TGTTAAAATTAGAAGTGAAGTGATGTAAAAAATATTGTAAGCAAGTGTGTTTAACTTTTAAGGATGAAGAGAAAGAAATTCCGAATTACGTTGGAGGTAAAAACAGAAAGATGGAACTGTTAGGACAAAAAGAGCGCGGAAGGAATCGTTAAGGCTTAGGATGGCGAATGTTTGCGTTAAAAATAAGAACAGGCGCGAGGATACAGAGATTGGTCAAAAGTGTTTGAAGGTGGAGGTGGAGGAGGGAGGTAAACAAATGACAAATGTCGAACAACTGGAAGCTAGGAGCATTCAATCAAAATACATGGAACGCTACCTGTAATAGAAAAGTCTTTTAATTTATTGAAGTCAAATCTTACACCCTGACACGCGAGATTACATACAGACACGCGTGTGTTGTTCAATCAATTTTCACACTGCGAGAGAATCGCGAAACACCACACACGCGTGTCTAGGTGTAATCTCACGTTTCTGGGTGTAATCTCGCGTGTCTAGGAGTAATCTCTTGTGTCTGGGTGTAAGAATTGGCTTCAACTATTTGCTTCAGGTAGCGTTCTATGTATTTTACTTCAATGGCTTGGAGTGACGAGTTTATAATTAATGAAAAATATGATGAAAACTGTTGTTATTTTTAGGATCCCTCAAGTAACAAGGTAACGATATCAGTTTAATTTCTTTTCTTTCCTCGTTCACAGGTTACACAGTTTTGATGAAGCGGACCCGATAATGTAGAGATAACTTCTCTGGCATATCCTGTCCTGGTGAAGAGGTTGCTAGACTGGGTGAAGCAATCTATGCGCCCTTGATGAATTGGCAATGTGTTTAAAGGCTTCAACGTCCTATTTTAACACAAGCGTATTTTGTTCTATTAAAAACATAATCAGCTCATATACATCAACTGACATTCACTTTGGCACAAGACACTGAGGCAGTAACTTATGATACAGGCTCTCTTCTTTATCACGTTATTTTATGTAGAAATGAATGACTCTGGAAATAAGAATTTTACCAATAAACTAATTTAGAAGTTGTTAAATGACATTTTAAGAGTTATCAGAATCAACGAAAATTCAAAATGAGATCATACTCACTTTGAACTCATCCAATTGATTATTTATTGAGTAAATATTTATGCATTGGTGTAATTTTTACAGGCGTTTTACTGAAAAAGCAATGAACAATATTATGGTATTATTAAGTAAATTGGAAGTTGTCAGAGTTTTATCGGACATTACATTACTATACATATTTAACTTCAACAGTTAACGGTTTCACAACAATATTCATAGCTGACAAACTTTCACCTGCCTTAAATTAGCTTTTCAATCAAACAATGAAAGAGCATTTGCAAGTCAATCGTAAATACAATTTTGAAGAAAAATTAAAATGTTTTTTCTAATTTTTGTCTTTTTCGCATAACTCTTATTTCATAAAAGAAATAAAAGATGTTTCTCGTCTTTTCACTGGCTTATGCGAACCTCTTAGACGTTTATGTGAACTCTCAAACAAGCTCAACACACGACCTTCGGTCTCGAGCTTGCACTGACATGCCCGCGATTTCTCCTAAAGGTCTCCTTGGTTTGCATACGCTTGTGCAAACACAGTAAACATATGTTATTTCTTAAATACAATTAAAAGAATCAGTCGACATTGTACTTAGTAAAGCATCACTCCGCCAAGGTTTCAACAATGACACAACAGGGAAAAAATTCTTCTTTTTTCTGCAAAACCATTCGGTTCTTGCGTTTGGTAATTCATCTTCACGTGATTTTTGTGATGGAGTCAAACGGATGGCAGGTTAAAAAAAGATTTGTGACCAGGTTTATTATACAGAAAGCTTAGGTAGGAAATAATTTTCTAATACTGAAATGTCACTTTGGGTCGGAGTTTGTTTAGAATAAATGTTATGACAGTTATTTATTGAATAAATCAACTGGCCAAATGTTTTATCCATGAATTTTATGATAATGATTTTATTTTTTTTGCCAAAAAGATAACAATGTGTTCTCAGTTCGCCTCAAAACGTAATTTTTTTAACTGTTGACATTAACACTTTTCCTATATAGAACCGCTGGAATCGTTGAATATAAACACAACGAAGCAAGTTCGGGTCCGTTCACTTAGCGAGTGTGCGCAACTTTGCGGAACCGATGACTTTTGTGAGGTTTTCCTACACAGCATTAGCGAAGAAAATGCAAATTGCCGGCTGCTAAATGGAACACCCAAAAAACGACTGGGATTCATTGAAAATGGGGCTGGAGAGAAGTGGAGACTATACATTTCTACAATCCACTGAAACTTTTATTAAAAAACTGAGTACTATACAAATACCGGACAACTATATACTAGTGTCTTTTGATGTGAAATCACTGTTCACCAGTATTCCACTTAATCTGGCACTTACTTGTACAAAAACCTTCATTACAAACATAACGGACGTATTTTATTTATCAAGGATGACTACTACGATGTTAAGTAGTCATCCTTGATAAATAAAAAGTCAAGTAAATATAGGCAGACATCAGACACGATCTCTTATGTGATCGCTTCCTGTCAGTCTCAGTTTAATAAAGCTCGATTTCGTCGAAGCGTCAATCGTCGAAAAAATAGCTATTTTTGGCTCAGCAAACAACTGGAAACTTTGTCATTTCCAGTCCAGTTCTATGTCAACGATCCAATTTTGCCTGCGGCAATAGCCGACGATTGTTATTTTTAATGGTAACAGGGAATTGGACGATTTGACGATTCAACACATAATTAAAATTATTCATACAGTGAATTTATACTAAAATAAACCAAAACAAGCATCGCATTTCTAATTCTTCTAACAAATAAGCATCAATCATCGAATGTTGCTCTTGTAACGGACATCCTGCTTTTATTTATGACTGACGTTTATGCTTAGAAGCTCAAGTAGCAGCTGAAAATATTTTGTTGAAGCTTTTAGATTATACAGATTTTTTACCAATGTAACCATCTGAGCAGGTCCAGAAGACGTGTAGATGTGTAGGATTAATATGTATATATTTGTTGTGTCTTACGCAACAATTGATAAAAGATGTATATTTCCTTGCAATGTTTCGTGCAATGAACATTTTATATGGGAATTTTCATAGCGATGCATGAATATCGACATTTGATTCAGTTATGTACATCTCAATATCAAGCTGAATCTCATACAATTGTGTGACTGTGGCGTACGACTTTAAGTAATTCTACTATATTCTGACATGTCGAATACAGCGGGTATTTCCATGCAGTTTTTATGGAAGAAGTTCAAAAATACGAATGTTTATATCACAAATTCAGCGTTAATTATAAGAACAAGCAATTGCAACAAAACATTTGGGATAAAGTAGCAGAGAAATTTAGTATTGCAGCAGAGGAAGCAGAAAAAAGTTCAAAAATATCCGAACCGCCTACTGAACAGCCTATATTCGAATTGCACGCAAATTTCGCTTTAGTACCCATGCTTTTTTGCGTGTTTTGACGATTGGCGATCATTGGCGATCAAAATTGTTTGACAGCTTGTCAAGTGGGCTTAATTAGAAAAATGAGTTTTTTCCTATGATTGACGATTCGACAGTTTTATGGAAACCAAGCTTAAGTTTACGTCCTCTTGTAGCGACGATTTCCCGTTTGAACGTGTGCTACTGATCTGACCTTACAATGGTTTCTTTCAATGAGGGAAATACGATTCAATCAAAATTCGAAATCACATTGAAACTAAAGCAAACCTGTATTTTCTCTTATGTTTTAGGTAACAAGACAAAGTATTTGATATGGCCTCCATCTACATCGGTCCGCTATCCCGGACCACCACAGCCCATAAATACTATATCTGCCTGTGTTTGGTATTACGGAAGTGGGAACGAGAGCACTGAAGTCTTTTCATACAACGCATCAAAGGAATTTCGACTTCTCTTAAAGTCAGGAACACAAATGTCGACTAAAATCAATGGTCTTTCGAGTCAGAAGTAAGCATTGACAACAATACTTGTCCACAACTAAAGTATGTAGGAACTCCAGTTTCAACATGAGATCAAATGAAGACAATAGATTTTTGTTCATAAGCACTCTAATTTTCAAGGTGAGATTAGTCCTGATAAAAACAACAAACTGGATAGTATGATTGATGACTTCACTTTAATTCTTAGATGACAGTCCTAATAAAGACAATAGACCCTAGTATTAAAGTCTATCTTCAGCATTAGATCATTTCATGTAAAGACAATGGCGGATCCAGCGATAGGCACAATAAAAATTAGAACAGTTTATTGATTGCTGTAAGAAGTTACCAAATATATTAAAAAAGAATCCAAAACTCGAAGCAGACGGCAAAAACATCAGCCCCCCAATTCACGCGTCGCCTAAATTGCCCATCAATGCCCTTCTAGTATTATTTATAACCTTAATGATGTACACAGCATGGATTTACACAGCATGGAAAACTTATAAAGTAAATGGTTTGAACCCGGGAGTATCGTTGTATGTTTGTTAACCTGGACGATCATCATTTACAAACATATGGAAAACTTATGTTATTCTTTTCTGTTTTTACAACCCACATATTCACATAGTTTAACCGTTTTTAACATTTTCCGGTATGGATGACAAATATATGTTTTTTGAAGTCTGTTAGCAGTTGAATTTAAGACGAACGAGTTTAAAAGCAATACAAACAAGTTTTCCAAACACGAGTGGCTTAAATCATCTAAAATTACAAAAAAAGGAAAGCATTGTTCAACAATTAGATTGTGATAGCATTTACTATAATATTTACGCGTAATGTGAACAAAAAAGTGAAAAATCATAGCCACTGTAGCTTAACATCCGAGAATGAATTTTGCCTCCTAAAAAACGCGTACCATATTTTGGAGTATAGATTATATATTACGATGCCACCTCCAGTATTATTAATATTCTCTGTGTACATCATTGACAAAAAGTCATATTTCTACTACATGACGTATTCGCCTATTTGGCATGTTCGCACAAAATGGCGGAAAAATCAAATATTAAATTTAATATACTGGGAACATTGGCGAGATTACACTTGTGTTTTTGCTTGTACGTCATCGGTGAGAACTTTTAACTATATGTGATATGCCAAAGAAAAAGTTTATCTGCTGAACTCCCTCATAATGCCGTTATGAATGAATAAAATGTCAAGACTGTCGCAATTATTTGGTTTCTTGAACAATGTCAAAACTATACAGGTAAATTGTCTTAATAACGGCTCCAAAGTTCGTTGTCTATCCACGACGTGGGCATGGCGATCGGGCGAAACTCGCTACAACCTGCTGGATATACAAATGCTCTCAAAATCTCTACACGAACAAATATTTGGCGAGTGCGACGACGTCCAGGATTCCGAATCGATCCGAAAGAGCATCGAACACCTTTCCGATCACGATCTTTATGGACGGTCGAAAAATCATATCGCAGATGTTCGATTTAAGCTCCCGAAGCTGAAAGGTGCAAACATTGCTGAACATTTTGAAATCATTGCAAAAGAGCAGAGTACTAACTACTTTGAAATGGCGCAAAGGTTGTCGAGAATGAGCCTACCCCCCCGACCGACGGAATGGAATTTTGAACCAGGCTGGACAAAGTACGAACTGAGAGAGAACTCGATACATGCTATTACTGTAGAATGTCCCGAGGGAGAAGTTATGGTGTTTGATGTTGAAGTTTGTGTAAATGAAGGACAGTTCCCAACATTAGCTGTCCTTGCTACACCTGATAGCTGGTATGTATACTTGTTGCAGAATACTAGGAATTTTTCCATATTTTTGTTTTCGAGTAATATTTTTGCTCATATGTCCGAGACCAGATAATAGACATCTTTTCTGTTTCCATTGAACATCCTAGCCATCAGTGATCTTTCACTGCTTTGCAAAATTTCGTACTTCTTTGTTGATTCACTGCAAAATAAGAGATTTCTAAAGCAATATGTGATGACAGTGTTTTGAAATTTACATAGCAGGACTACGTAAATTAATAACATGGCTACCCTGGTAATGGAGAGGATTCTCCATCTTGTTTAGGTACTCCTGGGTTAGTCATCGTCTTGTACAAGAGCAAAGCTATCAATGGTTTTTACATCCCAAGATGGACGATCTGATTCCTTTTCACTTGTCAGGAACATGCCCAGAGACGGACTGGCAAGAACAGCTTGTCATTGGTCATTCAGTTGGATATGACCGCAGTTTTATCAGGGAGCAGTATTTAATCAAGGTTAGTTGTGTGTAAGATTCTACTAAGTTAAATGACTACATACTAAGGTCATTGAACTTGGAATTATGAGCTTATGAATTGGAAGTCATTTAGGCTTCTATCAGGGCCCGATTCCTTTATGCATAGCCTGAATATCCAGTTGTTCGTCAATAAGAAATGAAGGCAGCTCAAGTGTTTTAGATTGCTGTTTGATATTTGGATAAAAATTGCTTCGATGTTCTTTGGGAATTGAGATGGCAGTTAATGTGGAAAATAAAGAACACTTCTGCTCTAACACAGCCAGACTTGAAGCATTTGATATTCTGTATTTGCGACGGTTTGCTATTTTCTGTGTAACATTTTTGACCTTTGCTGACGTGTAATGTTTTGAAAAACTGTGATGAAAAATGACCTGCATCAAACTAGAACAGTGCTATGATGATTCTTTTTCGTGCTTCCCTTCTCAAATAAACAAAAAGTTTCAACCTGATAGTGCGTTCTTACTGCACTTAATTACTTTGCTGGAAGTAACTTATTGTCGAAATTTTATCTTGACACATACTGAAGAGAATCTGGTGCGTGATAGTACGTCCATGCACATTTATAAGACTGCAAACGCTCCATTTATGTACATAGCGCTGTGTAATGGAGCTGGAGTACCGGAAGTGGAGTCTTAAATTCCGCAGTTTTTACAGCATTAACCGCAGTCAGTCGAATTATTTTCAGGGCTCGAAGATGTATTTCCTCGACACTCTAAGTTTGCACATGTGCATCTCTGGGCTAACCGGGTTGCAGCGCAATCTGATGAAGGCGTCCAACGTGGGCAAGGCCGAAGAAGAAGATTGGATGGACGTCGGCTGTCTAAATAATCTTCGAGATGTCCATCAGTTGTATTGTGGCGGAAAAGAACTCGAAAAAGAAAAGAGGAATATATTTATTCATGGTACTCTTGATGATGTCAAGCGAAACTTTCAGGTTGGTTGAAAAACCCGGGGAAATTTAGTAGCTAGTTTTCGCAGATGTTTTGCAGATATTGAAAGGTAGTATTGAAAGGCTTGCTTCATTTTGCTTGTTTTGCAATCTGTTTTCTGCAGTAAAATGAAATATCTCATTAATAAACAACTGTGTAAACTTTTGAAGCAAATATGTAAACGTTTGAAACATCTATATAAACTTTTGAAACAAAAGTGTAAACTTTTGAAGCAAATATGTAAACGTTTGAAACATCTATACATATAAATATTTGAATTAACTGATGTACATCTATAAAAACTTTCTGAAACAGCTATCAAGACTTTTGAAACAACTGTATAGACTTTTCTAACAATTATATAGACTTTTTAAACAATTAATATAGACTCTTAAACATTTCTGTAGACTTTGGAAACAAATGTGTAGACTTTTGAAACAACTCTATAGACTTTTGAAACATTTTTATAGACTTTTGAAACATCTGTATAGACTTTTGAAACAACTATATAGACTTTTGAAACAAATATAGACTTTTGAAACATTTTTATAGACTTTTGAAACATCTGTATAGACTTTTGAAACAACTATATAGACTTTTGAAACAAATATAGACTTTTGAAACAATTTTATAGACTTTTGAAACAATTATATAGACTTTTGAAACAAATATAGACTTTTGAAACAATTTTATAGACTTTTCAAACAACTCTATAGACTTTTGAAACATTTTTATAGACTTTTGAAACATCTGTATAGACTTTTGAAACAACTATATAGACTTTTGAAACAAATATAGACTTTTGAAACATTTTTATAGACTTTTGAAACATCTGTATAGACTTTTGAAACAAATATAGACTTTTTGAAACAATTTTATAGACTTTTGAAACAATTATATAGACTTTTTAAGCAATTAATATAGACTCTTAAACATTCATGTAGACTTTGGAAACAAATGTGTAGACTTTTCAAACAACTCTATGGACGATTGAAGCATCTATATAGACTTTTAAACATCTATACCTATAGACGTTTGAATGTAATCTATAACAGCTGTATAGACTTTTGGAACAACTTTATAAACTTTTGGAAACAACTATATAGACTTTTGAAACAACCACATTTATTATTGGAATGAGTAAATTTCATTGTAATGTAATGAGTGTTGATCTAAATAGTGAAAGTCTTGGCAGTGATAAATGCATTCTCACCCAGGATCTAATGACTTACTGCTCGGACGACGTTCTCTCAACTCATGAAGTTTTCTGTTGTGTGTGGCCGCTTTATCAAGAGCGCTTTCCTCACCCAGTAAGCTTTGCGGGCATGCTGGAGATGAGCGTTGCCTACTTGCCAGTGAATCAGAGCTGGGAGAAATACATTGCAGACTGTGAGGACACGTACGAGGACCTTGAGAGAGAAATGAAAAGCTCGTTGATGCGACTCGCCGACAACGCCTGCCATCTTCTACACAACGAGAAGTAAGTTTTAATGTGTCCTTGTCATGAGCATTTGCATTGCACTAGAAATGAATTGTAGTATTCGACAGATAAAAGCATCAGTTTCTTCATCCAACAAAGTTTTGAACTTGAGCTGCGTGGCACTAGAGATATCATGCTATAACGGCTGTCGCTCACGAGAGTCATGAGCTGAGCAAAGAGTTATTTGTGTCCGTAAGCTCAGCCAATACCTCGTTGCATGCGGGTAGAATTCACTGAGTTTTGCGCCTCATACAACCTTTCCTTGCCTTTCAAGCGTGTTTGATATTTTTTACCAAGCAAGGCAGAAATCTCACCGCTTGCGCTGCATGTGAGCTCGATGCTGACGTAAAATCAATTAGCAAACCAATAGCGGCGCGTTCTTTTATCTCATGACTGGAAACAGCAAATCATCGGCTGCATCTTCCTGTCTATTAAGTTTGTTTTTGCATAGGTACGTATGTGTGTACATAGGTACGTATGTGTGATGACGTTGTATTTCAGGTACAAGAATGATCTTTGGCTCTGGGATCTTGATTGGTCCGTTCAAGATGTCCGCATTAAAAAGATGAAGCCACCGAAGAAGGGAAGAAAGGGAAGACTTCCAGCTGAACAGGAAATAAGACCAAGCAACGGAAAGGTATGATCGAAACTTGTGTGCAAAAACAGCGTGTTCAGGTCCCTCCCTATAACATTGATTGTTGGGTGGGGGGTGTTTCATGTATTCAGTTGTGCCCGACTGGAATTAGGCATGTCTCTTTCAAAAGATATCAGTCTGGCTCAACTGAGTATATGAATGGACCACCCCACCCCTCCTCTTAACGTTCTAGGGACGGCCCTGTACATATCACTCACTGTGTGTTTAACTGTTTTTTTGTTTCTTGTGTAGTGAACATAACTCCGTGGCAAACTAACCTATTAGACACAATAACGAAACTCTAAGAACCGCCGAAGATTCTTTGACCTTCTCGACTCTCTAGATAGACTTCACTTCGTACTGTACTGAACTTATTTCAGCTTCTACTGACCTTTTTATGAACTCCAGTTAGCTAATTGTAATGTTACTAAATAAAGATTATTATGGCAGAGTTACTAAATTTAGGTGTTACATAGTTCTTTAAAGTTCTATAGTCAGCACGACTACTAATTATAGAAAGTTCTTCAACATCAGCTAACATCAATATAAATATTCTGTTCTGTGTTCATTTCGGGATTTGACATTAAATATCGAGAAAATTTGGCGCTCACGTTAAAAGTTGAATCAACCTATAAAACCATTGGTATTTTAGTCCCGAATTAATGGTTGTATTACTTTAAATGGTCGTACTACTTTAAAATGGTCATATTTCTTTAAATTCCCATATTACTTTAAATGGTCTATCATATTGCTTTAAATGCTGTGTACCATTTTGATGAAATTGTACTTATGCCATAAAGGTAGACTTTCATATTATCGCTTTCTTTCAGAAAGAGGACGAACTTGAGGAAGACATTGATATTGAAGATATTATATCTCGTATACCTCCGGTTGAAGATGTTCTGTATAAGAAAAGGCAGCATTTACCTGGCTATCCACTGTATGTCGTTGCATATTCAAAATTTACTTACATCAAATTTAGTGTCTTCGTCAGATGTGATCTGATGTTGAAATTTGAGTCTTTAAACGTACTCCACATTTGTATTCTCATCAGGAGTGATCTGATTTCAAAACCTTAGGTCTGTATACCACACACCGTCTAGTGTATTCATAAGATATGAAATTATGTTGCAACTTTAATCTTTGTACACTCCTATCTTTATCTCATGGTTTCTGACATCGAAACGTGGGTTTTTTTATTTAGTCCAGTCAAATGCGTCGACCTTAGAGCACGCGATATTGAAACATGAAAAGACGCATGCTGAAAGGCCAATGTGGTTTAGTGTTGAGGCCTTAGACATTTTACGGAAAAGAAGCATCTTCATCAGGAGTTCTCTGATGTTGAAACTTTTGTTCCTATTTTGTCTAATCCTTTGTCTTCACAAGAAGTTATTTAATGTTAAGTAATTTTATACTGCCTCATAAACAGTCTTCCCATAAAATAATGAAAAATTGTGGAAAAATGAAGTCCATAAATGTTATCTGTAAACATCTGACCTATTTTATTGACTTTAGATGGTATAGGAAATTGTGTCCGAGGGCAGACTCGGATGACTGGAGCCGTGGATCAATTCTAGTCAGTGCTCAGTGTCGTGTTGGCCCGAGTCTTTTGCGCATGAGTTGGGACGGCTTTCCGCTGTACTATCATGCGCGTCATGGTTGGGGATACCTGGTCCCCGGGAGAACCAGCAACCTTGTGGAAAATGACATGCAGAGAAGTTTTCCATTGAGGCAAGTGGAAAACTTTGATCGAATATCTTAAACCTTATTATGAGCTTTGCTCTTTGTGAACAGGGCATTTCAAGAACTTTGGCAGCGTTTGAAGAATGTCAACGGTCATCGGAGTACGGGTGCTATTGATGCTCCTCCCGAAGATGGCGAAAATGTCCAGGATTTGTGTGAAGGCGAACTTTGGAGCTCCGTTGAAGAGAATGAGTTGAAAAAACAAGGTAAGTGAGTGTTTTAAGGATCGTGTACTGCGGAGATCCAAAATCATTTTGGTTCTGATGAAGACTGTAGCTACAGTGTTGTATACGAAAATCAAGTTTTGGCATGCGATCACACATCTGATACATACACTAATATGAAGTATGTGGAAAGTCAGGTTTGACTGCATATCACTACCAATGAATGCTCTGCAACGGAAGAATATTTAAAATAAATAAGCGCTTCAGTTTTAACATCATGTAACTCGTGATGAAGACATCAAAGTGGAGTGTTAAAGCACTGAAGTTTCCAATAAAAACAGTCGTTTTTATAGTGTTAACGGATAATCGCTACTGACAACTGCCTTAGCAAAATTATGTATGTTGTAGAATATTGATTCCATACACCACGTTCAAAAAACCTCCTTTGCTTTATAGCAGTGATCCATCTTATATTTAGTGTTAGGCAGAACTACATCGCCCAAAAGTAGAATCTCTCGGAAGCGTGATACGCCTGATTTTCATCACGGTGTCGGACCTTTTAATGACGTCGATCTTCCCGGTGTGTGGTTTTTTCGCATCCCTCATAAGGTACTCTCATGACGTGAATGGAATGAGTTTAGTAGTATGAAACGGTGAAAAACGTGTAGACGAAACATTTTTTATTACGCAACAAAGCTGGTACCAAGAATCCTTTAAGGGTAGAAATATTTAGGCATAAGTAATTTTGGAATTTTTGTATAAATTTCATTTTCTTTGAACAAGAACGAGAGTCGTCCGGTTGTCTAATTCGCGTACATGTTTCGCTTTCAGAACGGGGAAAAATTTAAATGCGGTAACCCACTTGCCAAGGACTACATTGGCAAAATGGAAGATGGAACATTGAAATCTGAGGGGGATGAAAGTGCCGAACGGACTTTGGTTCTCAACAAAATGATTTCATTTTGGAGAAACGCAAAACAAAGGATCATGTATGTATATGTATAAATATGTATGCATATTTATGCATGTGTACGTATGTGTATGTGTATGTATGTATATGTATCCATATTTATGTATGTGTACGTTTGTGTATGTGTATGTATGTATATGTATGCATATTTATGCATGTGTACGTATGTGTATGTGTATGTATGTATATGTATCCATATTTATGTATGTGTACGTATGTGTATGTGTATGTATGTATATGTATGCATATTTATGTATGTGTACGTATGTGTATGTATACGTATGTATATGTATGCCATTATTTTGCCTGTTTAAAAGCTTACGTTGTTATCGGAAAAGATCGATTTTCCTTCAGTGTTGTCTTCCTTAAATTATTCAATTTATTTAAACCGTATTATCTGCCTTTATTATATCAGTTGCTTAAAATGATCCCCTAACATTTTATTCTAAGGTTTCAACCTATGCCAATGCCAATGCTTGGTGTATTAATCTCCCAGCACCTTACTGTGAGAAATTCATCTTAAATCTTGATATTTATTTTGCTAGGTCGCAATTGTATGTTTGGTTGGAGAAAGACGATCTTCCAGTTAATGTGGTGAAGTAAGTTGACTACTTTTGATAGCTGGTGATTTGTAAGACATAAAGTCTGTCCTTAATGTACATGGCCAATATTTGCAATTTACGTTTTGAATGTTTGTGGCTGCCAGACTCGTTTATGAATCTTGATAACCGCCTCCACTGTCAGCAAAATTATATTTTACGTACTTAACAGCTTCTTCCTGGATGTGTTTTATAGCAAATGCGTTAAACGCTGTTTCTGTTCAATTGTCGTGTTGATCATCTTTATGTGTTGTGCTCAGTTGTCGTGTAGATCATCTTTCTGTGTTGTTTTCACTCGTCCTTTAGATATCTTTATGTGTTGTGTTCCCTTGTTGTGTAGATATCTTTATGTGTTGTGTTCCCTTGTTGTGTAGATATCTTTATGTGTTGTGTTCCCTTGTTGTGTAGATCATCTTTATGTGTTGTTTTCACTCGTCCTGTAGATATTTTTATGTGTTGTGTTCCCTTGTTGTGTAGATATCTTTATGTGTTGTGTTCCCTTGTTGTGTAGATCATCTTGCTGTGTTGTTTTCACTCGTCCTGTAGATATCTTTATGTGTTGTGTTCCCTTGTTGTGTAGATATCTTTGTGTGTTGTGTTCCCTTGTTGTGTAGATCATCTTGCTGTGTTGTTTTCACTCGTCCTGTAGATATCTTTATGTGTTGTGTTCCCTTGCTGTGTAGATCATCTTTATGTGTTGTGTTCCCTTGTTGTGGAGACCATCTTTATGTGTTGTGTTCAGTTGTTGTGTAGATCATCTTGCTGTGTTGTTTTCACTCGTCCTGTAGTTATCATTATGTGTTGTGTTCCCTTGTTGTGTAGATCATCTTGCTGTGTTGTTTTCACTAGTCCTGTAGTTATCTTTATGTGTTGTGTTCCCTTGTTGTGTAGATCATCTTGCTGTGTTGTTTTCACTCGTCCTGTAGATATCTTTATGTGTTGTGTTCCCTTGTTGTGCAGATCATCTTGCTGTGTTGTTTTCACTCGTCCTGTAGATATCTTTATGTGTTGTGTTCCCTTGTTGTGCAGATCATCTTGATGTGTTGTTTTCACTCGTCCTGTAGATATCTTTATGTGTTGTGTTCCCTTGTTGTGTAGATCATCTTGCTGTGTTGTTTTCACTCGTCCTGTAGATATCTTTATGTGTTGTGTTCCCATGTTGTGCAGATCATCTTGCTGTGTTGTTTTCACTCGTCCTGTAGATATCTTTATGTGTTGTGTTCCCTTGTTGTGCAGATCATCTTGCTGTGTTGTTTTCACTCGTCCTGTAGATATCTTTATGTGTTGTGTTCCCTTGTTGTGTAGATCATCTTGCTGTGTTGTTTTCACTCGTCCTGTAGATATCTTTATGTGTTGTGTTCCCTTGTTGTGTAGATATCTTTATGTGTTGTGTTCTCTTGTTGTGTAGATCATCTTGCTGTGTTGTTTTCACTCGTCCTGTAGATATCTTTATGTGTTGTGTTCTCTTGTTGTGTAGATCATCTTTATGTGTTGTGTTCCCTTGTTGTGTTGATATCTTTATGTGTTGTTTTCAGTTGTTGTGCAGATCATCTTGCTGTGTTGTTTTCACTCGTCCTGTAGTTATCTTTATGTGTTGTGTTCCCTTGTTGTGTAGATCATCTTGCTGTGTTGTTTTTCACTCGTCCTGTAGATATCTTTATGTGTTGTGTTCCCTTGTTGTGCAGATCATCTTGCTGTGTTGTTTTCACTCGTCCTGTAGATATCTTTATGTGTTGTGTTCCCTTGTTGTGCAGATCATCTTGCTGTGTTGTTTTCACTCGTCCTGTTGATATCTTTATGTGTTGTGTTCCCTTGTTGTGCAGATCATCTTGCTGTGTTGTTTTCACTCGTCCTGTAGATATCTTTATGTGTTGTGTTCCCTTGTTGTGCAGATCATCTTGCTGTGTTGTTTTCACTCGTCCTGTAGATATCTTTATGTGTTGTGTTCCCTTGTTGTGTAGATATCTTTATGTGTTGTGTTCTCTTGTTGTGTAGATCATCTTGCTGTGTTGTTTTCACTCGTCCTGTAGATATCTTTATGTGTTGTGTTCCCTTGTTGTGCAGATCATCTTGCTGTGTTGTTTTCACTCGTCCTGTAGATATCTTTATGTGTTGTGTTCCCTTGTTGTGCAGATCATCTTGCTGTGTTGTTTTCACTCGTCCTGTAGATATCTTTATGTGTTGTGTTCCCTTGTTGTGTAGATCATCTTGCTGTGTTGTTTTCACTCGTCCTGTAGATATCTTTATGTGTTGTGTTCCCTTGTTGTGTAGATATCTTTATGTGTTGTGTTCTCTTGTTGTGTAGATCATCTTGCTGTGTTGTTTTCACTCGTCCTGTAGATATCTTTATGTGTTGTGTTCTCTTGTTGTGTAGATCATCTTTATGTGTTGTGTTCCTTGTTGTGTTGATATCTTTATGTGTTGTTTTCAGTTGTTGTGCAGATCATCTTGCTGTGTTGTTTTCACTCGTCCTGTAGTTATCTTTATGTGTTGTGTTCCCTTGTTGTGTAGATCATCTTGCTGTGTTGTTTTCACTCGTCCTGTAGATATCTTTATGTGTTGTGTTCCCTTGTTGTGCAGATCATCTTGCTGTGTTGTTTTCACTCGTCCTGTAGATATCTTTATGTGTTGTGTTCCCTTGTTGTGCAGATCATCTTGCTGTGTTGTTTTCACTCGTCCTGTAGATATCTTTATGTGTTGTGTTCCCTTGTTGTGCAGATCATCTTGCTGTGTTGTTTTCACTCGTCCTGTAGATATCTTTATGTGTTGTGTTCCCTTGTTGTGTAGATATCTTTATGTGTTGTGTTCTCTTGTTCTGTAGATCATCTTGCTGTGTTGTTTTCACTCGTCCTGTAGATATCTTTATGTGTTGTGTTCTCTTTTTGTGTAGATCATCTTTATGTGTTGTGTTCCCTTGTTGTGGAGACCATCTTTATGTGTTGTGTTCAGTTGTTATGTAGATCATCTTGCTGTGTTGTTTTCACTCGTCCTGCAGTTATCTTTATGTGTTGTGTTCCCTTGTTGTGTAGATCATCTTGCTGTGTTGTTTTCACTCGTCCTGTAGATATCTTTATGTGTTGTGTTCCCTTGTTGTGCAGATCATCTTGCTGTGTTGTTTTCACTCGTCCTGTAGATATCTTTATGTGTTGTGTTCCCTTGTTGTGCAGATCATCTTGATGTGTTGTTTTCACTCGTCCTGTAGATATCTTTATGTGTTGTGTTCCCTTGTTGTGTAGATCATCTTGCTGTGTTGTTTTCACTCGTCCTGTAGATATCTTTATGTGTTGTGTTCCCTTGTTGTGCAGATCATCTTGCTGTGTTGTTTTCACTCGTCCTGTAGATATCTTTATGTGTTGTGTTCCCTTGTTGTGCAGATCATCTTGCTGTGTTGTTTTCACTCGTCCTGTAGATATCTTTATGTGTTGTGTTCCCTTGTTGTGCAGATCATCTTGCTGTGTTGTTTTCACTCGTCCTGTAGATATCTTTATGTGTTGTGTTCCCTTGTTGTGTAGATATCTTTATGTGTTGTGTTCTCTTGTTGTGTAGATCATCTTGCTGTGTTGTTTTCACTCGTCCTGTAGATATCTTTATGTGTTGTGTTCTCTTGTTGTGTAGATCATCTTTATGTGTTGTGTTCCCTTGTTGTGTTGATATCTTTATGTGTTGTTTTCAGTTGTTGTGCAGATCGTCTTGCTGTGTTGTTTTCACTCGTCCTGTAGTTATCTTTATGTGTTGTGTTTCCTTGTTGTGTAGATCATCTTGCTGTGTTGTTTTCACTCGTCCTGTAGATATCTTTATGTGTTGTGTTCCCTTGTTGTGCAGATCATCTTGCTGTGTTGTTTTCACTCGTCCTGTAGATATCTTTATATGTTGTGTTCCCTTGTTGTGCAGATCATCTTGCTGTGTTGTTTTCACTCGTCCTGTAGATATCTTTATGTGTTGTGTTCCCTTGTTGTGCAGATCATCTTGCTGTGTTGTTTTCACTCGTCCTGTAGATATCTTTATGTGTTGTGTTCCCTTGTTGTGCAGATCATCTTGCTGTGTTGTTTTCACTCGTCCTGTAGATATCTTTATGTGTTGTGTTCCCTTGTTGTGTAGATATCTTTATGTGTTGTGTTCTCTTGTTGTGTAGATCATCTTGCTGTGTTGTTTTCACTCGTCCTGTAGATATCTTTATGTGTTGTGTTCTCTTGTTGTGTAGATCATCTTTATGTGTTGTGTTCCCTTGTTGTGGAGACCATCTTTATGTGTTGTGTTCAGTTGTTATGTAAATCATCTTGCTGTGTTGTTTTCACTCGTCCTGTAGATATCATTATGTGTTGTGTTCCCTTATTGTGGAGATCATCTTTATGTGTTGTGTTCCCTTGTTGTGTAGATATCTTTATGCGTTGTTTTCAGTTGTTGTGTAGATCATCTTTCTGTGTTGTTTTCACTCGTCCTGTAGATATCATTATGTGTTGTGTTCCTTGTTGTGGAGATCATCTTTATGTGTTGTTTTCAGTTGTTATGTAGATCATCTTTCTGTGTTGTTTTCACTCGTCCTGTAGATATCATTATGTGTTGTGTTCCTTGTTGTGGAGATCATCTTTATGTGTTGTGTTCAGTTGTTATGTAGATCATCTTTCTGTGTTGTTTTCACTCGTCCTGTAGATATCATTATGTGTTGTGTTCCCTTGTTGTGGAGATCATCTTTATGTGTTGTGTTCCCTTGTCGTGTAGATCATCTTGCTGTGTTGTTTTCATTCGTTCTGTAGATATCATTTTGTGTTGTGTTCCCTTGTTGTGGAGATCATCTTTATGTGTTGTGTTCTGTTGTTATGTAGATCATCTTGCTGTGTTGTTTTCACTCGTCCTGTAGATATCATTATGTGTTGTGTTCCCTTGTTGTGGAGATCATCTTTATGTGTTGTGTTCCCTTGTCGTGTAGATCATCTTTATGTGTTGTGTTCAGTTGTCCTGTAGATCATCTTTATGTGTTGTTTCCTCTTGTCATCTAGATATCTTTGTGTGTTGTTTTCATTTGTCGTGCAGATCATCTACAAATGTTATGTTTACATATCGTCTAGATCACAAGGTTATTCTTCGGATGAGCAATATGGTGCGATATTACCCAGGTTGATTACTGCCGGTACAGTAACACGTCGGGCAGTCGAGCCAACATGGATGACAGCCAGCAATCCGAGGGTAAGAAAAGTGGATTTCATAATGATGAATCTGAAGAAAAAATACTGAGCATTTATCCCTTTTATGTCATTGATCCAATCGGAAATCTCATTCTTGTTACTTGGATATGTACTGTCCTAAACTATGTGATGATAAGTCCTTTAAGTGGTGTTGAGCTACTCTGAGTGTTATCTTTACAACCTACATATCCAGGCTGACCGCGTTGGATCAGAACTGAAAGCGCTCATACGTGCTCCGCCAGGATACTGCTTTGTTGGGGCGGATGTCGACAGCCAAGAGTTGTGGATTGCCGCTTTATTGGGTGATGCAAACTTCGCCAGAACACATGGTAGGTTGACGCAAACCTCGCCAGAACACATGGTAGGTTGACGCAAACCTCGCCAGAACACATGGTAGGTTGTGACCATATATATATTAAACATAAATTGCTGACGATTTTGTTTTTCGGAGTACGCGATAGCAGCCCAAACCTGACTCCACTATTTCAAGGCTTCCTCGCGAGAAAATTGTTCGTTTGACGAACCGTTGAAGCGCGCTAATTCACTCCCACGATTGGAAGGGAAAGATGTGTTCATGTACCATGACCAGCCGGCAATTTAAAGAAGTATAGTGTAAAGCAATTTCCGAAAAAGCAAGACATCTTGAGATTCCAAAATATGCATCAAGACAAGACGAGAAGTGAACTGTAAATTTTCGACTTTATTTCAAAGTCATCCTCAGACAGAACATTCTGTCTGAAGATGACTTTGAAATAAAGTCGAAAATTTACAGTTCACTTCTCGTCTTGTTTTGATGCATATTTTGCAATCTCAAGAGATCTTGCTTTTTCGGAATTTGCTTTATACTATATGTGTTCATGTGTTTATGATTATTAGGAAGTACGGCGTTTGGGTGGATGACGCTACAGGGTAAAAAATCTGAGGGAACCGATCTTCACAGCAAAACTGCAGACACCATTGGAATAACACGAGAACATGCGAAGGTAAACTTACGGGATGATTGAGTATACGAACTTTGTATCCTGGGATAATTTTCGTATGAGTCTTATTTTGTTGCTTGCGTTTGAAATTAATTTGACCTAAATCGTTTTTTCAATTCACTCTGGAAAACTGTGTAAACTCTTTTTAAACCATTCATTATATTGGCTTTATAATGATAGTGTTGAAACAAAGTCTCGACCCCCTTTACGTGCATGGTTCACATGGATTTCAACAAACCTCTATCGCCCACATTCCCGCTCCCAACATCTACGTCAAACTGGGTTAGTCACCGTTATTTGGTTAAATAATGTTAGTCTGAAACGAGTGGAAAAAAAGTTTTACGTCAACCATATTTATTATTTCTGATGCTATGAAGCTGTGGTAATTTGATATTCACTTTTAGTGCGTGTGTACGGCTAGTTTATGAAGTAAAAAGAAAAGTTATGATTGAAAATAGGTTCTATAGGTTTACTTCAGTTCACTTTGACTTGATTGTAGGTTTTTAACTACGGACGGATTTACGGCGCTGGGATTACTTTTGCCGAGAAATTACTTCTGCAATTCAATCATCGTCTCACGGAAAACGAAGCCAGGAGCAAAGCCGAAAAACTTTATGCTGCCACCAAAGGGATTCAAAGGTGTTTTAGTTTATCCGTCACGGGCAATAATCATGTCCAGCGTCTTTTGTCGAACTGGTCTGAAGCCTGAAACTTTATACCATGATTTAGTCTAGAATTTTGTTTCGAAATCGTAAACAATAATCACAATGAGAAACTATGATTATCGTTATAAAGGCCAGTCGTCATCGGCAGTGCTTTTGTGCTCTAACTTAAGTCCATATTTTCTTAAGTGTAGTAGCGTTTTTACGGTGGCTCACAAGGGACACCACACAAAATAATAAGAATTATACAAAATAAAGATATTAATACAAACACAAAATACACCACACACCTACAAAATTAAAATACAAACACAAAATACATTATACACACACAAAATAAAAATACACACATACAAAATATGATCGCGGGCGCTTGCAGTGTCGGATAGCTGACTACTATCAGTTTATTATAAGTTTATTATAACCTGACGTTTTACGGTGGCCGGTACGGGTCACCAGAAAAATAATTTAAAAAACATAACAAACAATAAGAAAACATCACTCAAAATCATACTACACATTTCAAAATACTCACTACACATTTCAAAATACTCACTACACATTTCAAAATACTACACATTTCAAAATACTCACTACACATTTCAATATACTACACATTTCAAAATACTCGCTACACATTTCAAAATACTCACTACACATTTCAAAATACTCACTACACATTTCAAAATTCTCGCTACACATTTCAAAATACTCACTACACATTTCAAAATACTCACTACACATTTCAAAATTCTCGCTACACATTTCAAAATACTCAGTACACATTTCAAAATACTCGCTACACATTTCAAAATAGTCACTACACATTCGTCCCAGTCTTACCCTGGTCTGGCCTGCCCACGGTCGTCATTAGTTTACATATACGAAATTGACGTGATGGCAGAAAGCTGATATAAATATACGCTTCTGATATTACTAATAGTTCAGTACGAGTAAGGATATTTTGATGCTATTGTGGCGATATGTTGTCTATGTGGAATTCGGCACATAGACAAACATATCGCCACAATAGCATCAAAATATGCGATACGCGTACATGAACTATTAGTAGTATTTCTTCCAGGGATTTCTTGGTCTTGGTTAGACAACACAACATGAGTGGTCAATCTACAGATTGCATGTAATTGTATTTGTATTGGTTATATTCGAAAGTCGTTAGTTTAACTAATGCACTTATTGACGTGACTGGTATTGAAGTTCTAAATTTATTGCTTTTACTCAAAATTACCGAACTTTTCCTTTTCTTTGGCGTTTCTTGTGCAACAAATTATAGCACTATGTGTAAATTTCCTCTTTGGTTTCCTTGTTATTTTTGTAACGCATCACACAAGTACGTACGCGACATAGCGAATGCAAATTCTATACTCAAATTTTTGCTATTAAAGTACGGACATGTGTCGAAAGCCACTGCAAATACATTTGCTTGCGATATGTAGATCGTCTACTAATGTTGTTGCCCGACCAAGTCCAGCAAAACCCTGGAAGAATTTCTGATTAGAGTTCAGCCAATATTTTCATGCTATTATCCCAATGTCCCATTTTGTTTGTTTTGTGAAATGCGGAATTATATATTTATGCTTACTTTATGATGTCACTTTATTCCAAAGCCATCATCAGAGTATATATATAATATATTAATCCAGGATTAATATTTTATGATGTCACGTCAGTTTCGTAGATGGAAACTGATGACCGTGGGCAGACCAGACCAGGGTAAGACTGGGACGAATGTGTAGTGAGTATTTTGAAATGTGTAGTGAGTATTTTGAAATGTGTACTGAGTATTTTGAAATGTGTAGTGAGTATTTTGAAATGTGCGAGTATTTTGAAATGTGTAGTGAGTATTTTGAAATGTGTAGTGAGTATTTTGAAATGTGTAGCGAGTATTTTGAAATGTGTAGCGAGTATTTTGAAATGTGTAGCGAGTATTTTGAAATGTGTAGTGAGTATTTTGAAATGTGTAGTGAGTATTTTGAAATGTGTAGTGAGTATTTTGAAATGTGTAGTATGATTTTGAGTGATGTTTTCTTATTGTTTGTTATGTTTTCTAAATTATTTTTCTGGTGACCCGTACCGGCCCACCGTAAACGTTTACTCCTCATTTGACTCTGAAGATGACTACCGCTAAGGTTGTCGAAACGTCAGTCAACAACAACAAAAGCAGTCCTTCTCAGGACTATACCAACCTGGACGATCTACATTTACAAACATGTAACGATACTCCCGGGTTCAAACCATTTACTTTAGTTTATTACAAGGTTGTAACCAGATGTGTGTAATTGTGAATTTAACATGTGGTCGACTAGTACTTGTCGTCGTATTTAACAGTTTTAACTGCGAAATATTTTGAATGACATTTGGAAAGGAATCGAAAGCAAGGTCTTGCGATACTGAAGCGAAAAACAAATAAGAGAAATAATAAGCAATTATTGGATGATGTTGAACATGATATCAAGAATTATTCAGACCGAGGTCAATGTTTTTTCCTCAGCTTCGCTTCTTCCGATAACATTGTTACAAAAATATTTCGCAGTTAAAACTGTTAAATACGACGACAAGTACTCGTCGACCACATTTTAAAATCACAATTACACATATCTGATTACAACCTTATAATAAACTGATAGTAGTCAGCTATCCGACACTGCAAGCGCCCGCGATCATATTTTGTGTGTGTATTTTTATTTTATGTGTGTATTTTATTTTGTGTGTGTATTTTTATTTTGTTTGTGTATAATGTATTTTGTTTGTGCATAATGTATTTTGTGTGTGTATAATGTATTTTGTGTGTGTGTAATGTATTTTGTGTGTGTATAATGTATTTTGTGTGTGTGTAATGTATTTTGTGTGTGTATAATGTATTTTGTGTGTGTGTAATGTATTTTGTGTGTGTATAATGTATTTTGTGTGTGTATAATGTATTTTGTGTGTGTGTAATGTATTTTGTGTATGTAGTGATATCTTTATTTTGTATAATTCTTATTATTTTGTGTGGTGTCCCTTGTGAGCCACCGTACGTTTTAATGTGTTTTGATTTTTGACGTGGATCTTTATATACTCTAGTCGATTGAACGCAAGTGATATAATGTCGAATTTCGAGTCTTCCTGTTGAGTGTCGACAACGGTTGTGCTCTGCGTGTCTTTAAATCCTTTATTTTAGTGTGTTCATTAGAATTGATGTGAAGTTAAGATATTGTTGAAAATAAGGTCAAAGGCAAAATTTCTTTTAGAAGTATAGCGTAATGATATTTCATTGGAGTTATTCCGCACCTTTAGGCATCGGTTGTCTGATTATGGTATGAGGATTGCTATCAAGTATAAATATGACAGTTTCGTCACCGACGACGGTTTCATGGACAGTAAAATTTACTACGAGCTGCTGAGGAAGTCTCGAAGATTCAGGTAAATATATTTCGTTTTCCTTTTTTAGGTATTTCATGGTTTCCTGTTGCATACGTTGTGTTCGTCAAGAATTGTTCGGGGTTGGGTCGGTATATGTATGTATGTATGAAAAGGATTCATGATAGTAATGATAGGTTGCCAAAGTACAATCATAATAGGAACGCTTTAGAGGTGATAAGTCTAATGAGCTGAACAGTCGAGGCCCGTTTCCGCTTAAGAATTTTCCACGGAACGTATAATTTTCCAGGTTGTGCATGCTGTCACAGGACTAATAGATACATTGATATGATATTAGATAGGTTCTTACTGTCTGGAAGCAATTACTCAAAATGAGTTTGCTAAACCTCTATGGTCTGTAATTGTATCGAGAACAACGCCAAGTGAAGTGGGATGCCATTAATATGATCGGCCTATTTATTGTGTCTTTATCTTACGATTCACGAACGGTTGTTTGTAGAGATCACGGCGAGGTGATGAGTTTGTACAAGGAATGGCAAAAAGGAAGGTAAAACTCAATGAATAATTACTTTATTAATATGTGCTTGAATCCCTAGAAGAATAATCACACAATCACACCTTAAAAATTTTATTCTCAAACTCAAAAGTATCCTCTCTCACTCACTTTATTCTCAACATTACTCTACTTCCGTTCCGCCTATGCTCTTTGTATTGCTCCCTATCGTCCACGACGCACCCGAATGTACCAATTGGACACAACTTTAAGATAATTTGCAGCACCCCTTCGAATGTAAGGTTTCGTGTTCGTGGGAGGATTTTCATATTTTGCACTGGGGTTTTGCTGTAAGTTTAACCGATTTAACCCATTGGAGGTATATTGTTTCAAATATTTACTTATAAAGCTTGATGTATAACTACTAAATAATTATAAGATACATTTACACACATACAATTTACGCAGCGAATCTCAGATGTTCAACAAGCTGGAGAATATTGCGCAATCAGAACAACCGTCCACCCCAGTTCTTGGCTGTAAGATCAGTAGAGCACTGGAACCGAACATCGTCAGGAACAAGGTACGAATGAATCGACGAAAATTAATCATGTCCATCACACAATTGCTGTATTGTGATGTGATATGACAGACAGGCTTAAAGCACTGCGTTTTTTCATTACGGAGAGTTGTGAAAGTCAACTCAAACCGACGTTCGATGGCTTCTACGTGTGTACTCGAAAGTTTTTATATGCCTCTGAATTGATTTGCAAACTTCCTGTGAATTATGACAACATTGCCTTCTTTTTTGTGCGCAGGCTATTGTAAACACTTTTCTAGACAATCAACGCAAATATTATCGTTGTTTTGACACAATTTAATATTTTACACCAATATAGAATGTGTTCGTCATTTTTTCTCTAGTTCATCACAAGTCGTATTAATTGGGTTGTTCAGTCGTCGGCTGTTGATTATCTTCATCTGATGTTGGTCTGTATGAAATGGCTCTTCACCGAATGCAACATCGATGGTCGATTTTGCATCAGTATTCATGATGAGGTGCGAGTTAGCAAAACATTGTGGACTTTTTAGCACCGGGGGAGTGGTCATCTGCTTCACTGTTTTTGCGCAAGGGAAGAGTGCCGTGCCTTTCAAATGAGTTCATTTTAATAGGTTAACATTGATTACGTTTTATGAACCTCGAAATTCTGATTGACTGAATGATACTTACTGAAGAAAGTTACCTCACTAACAAGGATTTCAAAATGGTTCGACGTTTGTTGATGAAAGCAAGAACTTACATCGCTGTGACTGAGAGGAAGAAAAGTAGTTTCCAGTTTAATAACCTGCAAAATTTGAGTCCCTCCGTACAGGGGGACCGTATACGTGCAATTTTTACCAAATTCGATCGGATGAGCTTAAACACATCCTCTCCAGTTCCGAACTTTGCAACTATATGAAGTTGGTGAGAAATTATGCTCATAAGACCAGATCCAGTAAAAAATGCATGTATGGCACACTGGCTTTGTATTAGCTACCTTGGTCATCTTGCCTTTGGGCTAGTACCATGAACGTACTGGCTATCGCTTCTGCATCTTGCATAGGACGTTGTGATGTTTTGGATCCTTCCTGATTGGTGCTTCATATCATTGCCAATGTTGAAGTGCTCGGTTGTGAGGTGTTTTCTCTCCTTGCAGAGTTTGCAGGAAATGTTTCCACTGGATTTTCACCTGATCTTGTGACTGCTAAATCAAGGAACTTACGTTTTCAGCTCCACTTGAAAACGTCACGTTGATTTCTTCTGCAATACAACACCTTCAGTACATTTTTGTCTAGTACCCCTACGGTTTAATACTTTCGTTATCCCCCCTGCTCTAAAAAAATAATGGCTGTTGGTCTGTCTACTGAAACTGTTTGCACGTTAGGTTTTCTTACTCATTATGTTTGTTTATGTTATAAAATAACTGCCCTATCTGTTTAGGTTCGTTACTTGGTGAACGAAGAAGATCGTTTTAGGGCTGCTCTTGCTCTGCAGATCACAAACTTATTGACAAGATCGATGTTTTCCTACAAGCTGGGGATTCGTGATTTGCCACAAGTAGGCCTTAACAATAATGAAGTATTTTACACCAATAAAAAACTAACACCAATGAAGTAGTTACCCTAATGAACTTACATGTTATTTTCAATTTTCCTTGTGGCATTCACAATGTATTTCGTGAAATTGCCTCGCAGTGAGGAATACAAGATTGAAGCAATGATTATAATCACTTGTCTTAAGTGCTTCTTCTATTTTATAACATTTTGAATCAAAACTAAGATCACTGACACGTAGTTAACTCATCAAGAGTTAAGAAACCTGGAAACTCTTACTTTAATACAAAAGTACACATTGGTCAACGAGAGAAGCCGTATAATTTCAGATAGTGCTTTTGCATGAGAAAAAGACCACTTATTAAATGGGCGATATAATCTAAAAGAAAATTTTTAACATTTCAGTCAGTCGCATTCTTCAGCGCTGTCGATATTGATTCGGTGATTCGAAAGGAAGTAACGCTGGATTGCAAAACTCCGTCCAATCCTCGTGGCTTCACGGAAAACCACGGAATTCCACGAGGTATGCTTTTGCGGTCATTAAGCCTTCAATTCAACGGGTCGATTTCCAAAAGTGTTTTCACCCTCATGAAGCAAATTTTCCTTACGTTGTTATGCTATTTTAAGGAGAGGCACTGAATATCTATGAAATACTTCAACGGACAAATAACGGTTCTTTAAAAAAGCAAACATTTTTCTTTGATAAAAATGACGCGGAAGATGCTCTTTGACCACACTACCACATAAGGTATGCACAAATTTTTGTTTGATAGTGATTACTGAATCGCTGGCTCATGCAACGCCATCTCTGTTTTTTTGATACCGCTTGAAACTCCTTTTATTAACGCTGTCACTATATAAGATTTTGGCATAAACGTAGTCTGGAAAAGAGGTATATAACCTATTGGCAGCCAATTTCGAAAACAATAATTTAAAAATTTTACCTTGAAATTTCCTGTGAAATTTTTTCACTGATGAAAACAAGAATTATCTATATGTTAATGTTAATTTCATAGAACAGGAATTCACAGTGTAATTATATAATCTGACTTACGCTTTTATACACCTGCATTCCAAATCTACTCTGTACTATCGAAAAATTTGGAAGTTTTAATGTAGTTCGTTACAAGCTGTTGTCGTTTTTAGTGATAAAGCACACGCAACAGGTCCATTTCTAACAACTTATGGCACAAATTCCAGAATATATTTACCATTCAACCGCAGGCAAGACGGAATACGCATTCGTTTCCGTGACTCAATCGTTTGTCAAATGTGTCGGCTTTAGTATTCTAAATCCTTTAAGCGATAAACAAACGTTTTAAAAAACCCTCAAATGAGCTGATGTTTGAACTTATGAAGAATTTTTGAACGCTTTTGAAGAATTTTAGAAGCCTTCTGAAGAACTTGTCAGATTTCAATAATGCTTTAGTCCATTTTGCAATCAGTTGCACTTTCCCACTTTCTTTTCATTGCTTTACGTCATTTCCGTGTGACAACTATTTTAGGTCATGCTTCCTAGGGTATAATTTTTGACTTTGAAATAAAGATTTTCATTTTCCTGGAATTTCTAAGCAATTCTTGTGGCTATCGTTGTAACCCAGTTCTACGGACTATTTTCTTTTATCACATCTCTTGTTCAATCGACGAACGTTTCTTATTCAAATAGAAAATGGCTGAGGATTTGATAAGCTCAAGTGGACGCAGCACTGGTTATATGAGCGTTAGTACATCACGCATGTCTGACGTGCAATCTTTGTCGTCAATCTTACACTGTAATCGTGCTAGTACTGAGAGTGTTGTGTCGGATTTGTCTCCAGCGAACAAGGTTGAAGATGTCTGGTATCTGTCTATTTTTGCCGAGCTCAACTACGCTTGGTATAACCTTCGTGAATTGTGTCGTCGACGTGATTTGCTAAGGGCTATTTGGCTGTGCGTTTGCCTACCATTTCGTGTAATTTTTGGCGCTGCGTCGTTTGATGGCGATATCAAAATTCCCAGTCATTCATCGGTCTGTTACCTGTTTGTATTTATGTGCTACACTTTGGTTTTAATTTGGTGGAATACCATGACCCTAATACTACACGCCAACAAGTTTTCATTGTTTCCTCGATGGTCATAGCCATTCCAGCCATGTTGTACATATATTTGTTTAGCAAAGATCACGTGCTTCATGATCCACAACACAATTCGCCTTCGCGAATTTTCTCTCGCGGTGGTTTGTACATTTTTGGATTTGTGAGCATGTTCAACAGCATTTGCATGGCTATCGATGATGCCAAGTGCGATTTTTAAATTTGATAAGTTATTTAAACATTTACCAATAACTGTGCAAGTTTTGAAGGTCGCCTTTATCGCTTGCGAAACGTTGTTCCTTGCTTATTTTCATAAAGCGCGTTTTTCGCGCGAACACCGCTTTTGCAAATTTTCCTCGCGCACATTTTGGGCACGAATCTTTTGCTTTGGTTTTGGACACTCTGTGAAGAAAGTAGAATGATGAATGAAAATTCCTCTTTGACTTGTAATTCGTCTGCAAGTGAAGGGCTTCCTTTAAATTGGCAAAGGCATCAGGAAATTTTTTATCCAATTTTTATCGAGTATGTCATTCTTGCTATCTCCATGCTGTATTGGTTATGGACTAGCATAATCCCTGAAAGGCCCCAAAACGGTTTTTCGTATATGCGCATTGCATTAGAAAACGTCACAACGCAAAGGGAACCACGAAATTTTAATGGCAATCCCTCGTCAAATGTCGAAACACGAATGTATATTCCAAGATGTGGTTTTGGCTTATTATTTGGCTCGATTTATGTCGCGCTTTTCTTGGCGTTTATGCTGTGGGCAATTTTTACTCCAGCGAGCACCAAAAAACCAATAATTTTGATTATGATAATAAAACAGTGTTTAAGGTGTACTGTTGGGCGTCCGTCTCGATGTACACGACCATGATATTTTCATGTTACATTATTCTCGTGTCGCTAAATCTATTGAACGCTAGCAATGGCGAGAGCATTCGTGAGGTTGATTATGAGGACGTCTTGTTGTACATATCTTTCTTTGGAATACTCCTTCTGGAAGGCTTTCATCTTGTTAGCAAGATTATCACGGCGAAGCACAAGCGTCCTCCTTTTCATCTGATTGCCGTCGACGTATCCGCAACGTTTCAGCATGCCACCCAAATTGTCACCCTCATGACGTTGAGCCACAAAAAAGTAACAGCGACACGTCGAGCCCGCGTATGGATATGCGAATGCATTTTGTTTTTACTGCTGACCAACTTAGCTTGGTGGATCGAAGATACGTTTTATTTGCCACCCAAGCTGACGAGACCAGGTGAAATACGAACAATCCATGGCATAGATGCATATGGAACGATCGTGAAGCCAATGGTTATATTTTTCCGTTTTCATTCGGCGACGTACTTCTACAATGCTTGGTCCGAGTATAGAAGCTGAGAAAGGTTTCTTGAGCAGCTATTAAGGAATGTGTGTCAACCAAGATGCACTACGCGCTTTTGTTTGTTTACATCGTAACTTTTTGAGCTTGCAGCACAATGAATTCAATTTCGTCACTACGTTGTCTAATTTATCGGAAAAGTTAGCAAAAACTCATTTATTAAAAATTCTACTTTGCATTAACATTATCGTTTTTCTAGGTTGCATAGACTGCAGTAACATTATCCGCTATTTTCTCGACTCACAAAATGGCCGCCACGCTGTGATTACCGCGCAATGCATCTTGGTTGGCACACATTCTTCAAACATTTCAAGGGAGAGGGAGGGGAATGTTAAATTACACTTGCTCTCCCGTTTTGTAATATTTTTTCCTTTGTTTGTCGATCAAATGTATTTTTAATCGCCCATTTTTTTATTTGTGTTGTATGTGGGCAAATAGGTTCAGGGGCTGGTCTCTTAAATCGACTGGCATAGACCTTGTAATCTTTAAAGTGTGGCAAATCACGAATTGTTCTATGATTTCTTATGAAATGCCGTTTTTAGAACCGATTCCACAAATTATAATCATGGGCGAAACTAGAACGTTAATTGTGAGGTGTTTATTCATACATTCAGTGGTGGCCTATTGATTTTTTGAAAGTAAATTAACTTTCAGAAGGAACCAGCAGTGGAAACCATTAAGGAATATATGAATGCACACACACTCTAATTAACGTTCCAGCTTTGCCCCTGAGTCTCACTTGCGTGAATTGTCGATGTCGTTCATAGAATGCTGCACCTCTGCTTGCGACCAGTTGTATTTAGTATCTTGTAGTTCGTTACCTGGCGATCACATTATTTTGCTTTCTTTTAATGATTAATGAAAAGTAGCATGTTTGGCTTTCGTTGTATTTCAGCGGTATAGGTTACATCTCTTAGGGGCTGATTACATGAGCCCAGTAGCCGAGATTGACACAAGTGTTAAATGACTTTGGCAATTGGACACGATTCAATACTTATCATCAGATAAATCTCTCAAGCAATTTTACAATGTTCTGATTAAATAATTTCTCAAAACATTTAAAATTGAAACAACCAATTTGCCCTAATTTGAGAATTACAACCGGAGTGACGTGTAGTGCTTCGCAAACAGTTTTAATTTTTATCCTTGAAGTTTCAGCTCCTTTCAATCCCTTGAAATCATCGGGCTAGCTCGCTATCCGGGCCAGGTCGCCTCCATATAATTAGGCCCTTACAGTGCTGGCAATTAAACTATCAACCAATCACAGTCGAGATTATCTCAAAAATACTACTATGGGTGTAAGTTGTAAATGTAATTTGATGTAGGAATCGTTTTGAATGCCCACGCCAAGCGGCCGTGTTTTTCAGCCAGCTGTTTTATTGACTCTGTTTGTTTTCATTTTAAATTAAAAAGGGCACTTCATCGTTGTATTGATGTATTAGTGCATTGTCCTTTATGGCATCTAACTGTTTCATTTTAGAAGTGGCTGAACCAACGTTATGAAAAATAATATAGACTGTCTCATGGATTGGTGGGCTTTAAGTCTTTGAAAGTTCTATACCAATGACGTTGTTGTTTAAAACTTTAACTTTAAAATTCGTTGAAATTAGTTTTTGATAGGCTTTTGATAGCGAGAGTTACCTGCATTCGTGACCTGTGAACCTTGTCTCTGGTATCCAATGATAGCTAAGGTATCAACTGGCGTAGCCATCCCGCTGCAAATTTGGTCCTGCAATGTAAATTTTTCTGTGCATGGTCACTGTGAAAATAAAAGAATTCTCCAGAAACCGCTATTATTAATGCTCTGAAAGTCATACACCAAGACCAATACTTGCGGGCTCGCTACACTACTCGCTATCAGCTATTAGCAATTTTATTGGCTGATTAGCCATTGGCAAAATAAATTGTAGCGGAGATTGAATGTAATTTGAAACACCTTCATGACAATGCCTTTGGTTATAAACTTTCGGACAATGAAATCTCACTCATTGAACCGCTTTTAAGGTAGTTTGTGTTAAGCATTAGTCATTTATTTAGGCCTTACATTGAATCTGTCATTCAGTCGTTTGTCAAAAATGTTGGCTTGCGTCACCATTTGGGTGAATTACAAGGAAGCACATTCCTGAAATTTTTAAAGCACTTTTTGCGGTCTTTGTTTTTACTCTGTTCAACGGTCCATTTCTACTACGTTTACAAAATGGCGGATGTTCTTAGTGGGGCAAGTGGTTATTCGAGCACGAGTGCATTACACGTCGACACGCAATCTTTTTTGAATTTTGTTGATCTTCGTGATGATTCCAAGAGTGTCTCGCAAGATTTGTCTCCCGCAAACAGCGGTGCAGATGTCTGGTATCTGTGTGTTTTAGCCGAGTTTAACTACGCTTGGGATAACGTTTGTCAATCGTGGCGTCTACGAGATTTTTTTAAGGCCATTTGGCTGTGCATTTGCCTCCCATTTCATGTCGTTATTGGCGCCGCATCATAAGAGAGCGACATCAATATACCCAGTCATTCATCAGTTTGTTACTTATTCATATTTATGTGCTACACTGTGGTTTTGAATTTGGTAAAATACCATGACCCTAATACTACACGGCAACAAGTTTTCATTGTTTCCTCGATGGTCATAGCCATTCCAGCCATGTTGTACATATATTTGTTTAGCAAAGATCACGTGCTTCATGATCCACAACACAATTCGCCTTAGCGAATTTTCTCTCGCGGTGGTTTGTACATTTTTGGATTTGCGAGCATGCTCAACAGTGTTTGCCTGGCTATCGATGATTACAAGTGCCGGTTTTTCAAAGTTGATGTGAGATTTACATTTTTACCGATGGCAGTGCAAGTTTTGAAGGTCGTCTTTATCGCTTGTGAAACATTGTTTATTGGTTATTTTAGCAGAGCACGTTTGGTCGCAAGAACGGTGCTCTTGCAGCTTTCCCTTGCGCACGTTTTGTGCACGAACCTTTTGCTTTGGTTTTGGGCACACTGTGAGGAAAACAAAATGAAAAAAAATGAGACTTTCAGTTTGAATTGTATAGATTTGAAAAATGAAACGCTTCCTCTAAATTGGCAAAGGCATCGGGATATTTTTTATCCAATTTTTATCGAGTATCTCATCTTTGCTATCTCCATGCTCTATTGGTTATGGATCAACATAATCCCGGAAAGGACGCCCAATGGTCTTTCAGCCGTAATTTGGCAAACTTCAAACCAAGGAAACGTCAGTACGCTAAGGGAAACCATCGTCAAAACACGAATGTATATACCAAAGTGTGGTTTAGGCATATTTTTCGGTTCAATTTATATGGTGCTGTATTTGGCGTCCGTGATGTGGTTGATGTTTGATGACGACTATGCAACAGCTTTACAGGTGCATATTTGGATCATAGTTGTTTTGTTCCTGACCATGATTTTTGCCTGTTTCATTATTCTTGTGTCGCTTAACCTATCGAGCGCCAGCAATGGTGAAAGCGTTCGTGAAATCGACTATGAGGATGTGCTGTTGTACATTTCTTTTTTCGGGATAATGGTTGCGGAAAGCTTTCTACTGGTTATTGTTATCATGGAGAAGCATCACCCTTCTCTTCCTGACGTGTCTGCAGCGTGTGAAGAACTAACGAAACTTGTCACCCTAATGACTCTGAGCCGTAAGAAAGTCACCGCAAGGCGAGCCCGCGTATGGATCTGCGAATGCATTACGTTTTTGCTGCTGACCAATCTTGCATGATGGATTGAACATTCGTTTCTTACGCTGAGACTAGGTTCAGTTGACACAACCGTTGGAGCTCAATCATATGGATTTAAAGTAACACCGTTGGCCATATTTTTCCGTTTTCATTCAGTGAAGTATTTCTACAATGCTTGGTATATGTTTGGAAGTTGAGAAAGTTTTCTTGAACAGCTGCTTCGTTTAAAAGTTTTCGAAATGCAATTACTCTGCGTGATGTCAAGCATGGGAAACTTAAGATGGGAATATGGGTTGTGTCAAGCTTTGCTAAGTTTTAAATCGGGAGTACACTTAGAGATAAGTCATTGTGCCTTTCGTCTTGCCTTGAATTAAATGGTAAATATATTTTAGAATTTGCCACACATTGTATGAAATAAACCTGTTAATAGTGTCTTATCGCGAAATGCTGTTTTTTCTTAAATTCTGGTTTTAGAGCCGTTAAATCTAGAGTTTACAAATTGCGCTCACTTGTGCTTTCGTATTTTGTAATGAGTTAAATTTCACCTTAGCATCACGAGAGAGAACGACCGTATCGACTGTACAATTGATAGTGAACCAACCGGCAGCAGCATGAGAAAAATCTTCTCAGGATCAAATCCATTGCATTTAGCTTTCGTCTTTTTTCATTGGCTTCATTGCAGTAAACTTGTTAAACAAATGTTTAAGTTTTTGTATACTACTAATTGATGAGGAGAATTCATCGAAGTATAATCGTAAATTGTTGTTTTTCGCCCTGTGGCGTTAGCCTAACGTTTATGATCCTCCGTTAATCAGCCTTTGTTGGTTCTCCTTTTCTCCACTAGAAATTTGCTGAATGATCGTATTTATTAGCTAAGCTATGTGAATATGTTGAGAGTAAGGCCAGTTTCAAACGTCGCATTTTGCGTGCGCCGAATGCATTTAAAACAAGTAAAATGCGACGTTTGGAACAGGCCTATGTCTCCAAAGATTCCTCAACACCAAACATAGTTCTAGCTAAATGATAATATACCAAAATTTCAAAGTTCTACCGCTTGTCTAGCTCGGTATTTGATTCCCCATAAATTTGTTTTAATTATCTAATTGTTTTTTCTAGTTTTGTTGCGACGTCCAAAGCTTTAGCTCCCACCGTCCCAGCGTCACTTGACCACTGATCTGCAATTGACACACTTTCATCCCCCAGTCAAGGCCACAGGTTTAGCATGGTAAAAGTGAATGCCTACATTTGTTCTTGTTATAAATGCAGACCCTAAAATCAAAAGATTGAGTTATTTTCAAAAACATTAATTAAAAAATAATAGATGCTTACTGTGTTTGCACGAGCTTATGCAAACCGAGGAGACCTTTGGAATAACTCGAGAGCAGATCAGTGCAAGCCTGAGACCGAAGGTCGAGGGTTGCACATGCTCGAGAGCTCTCACAAACGTCTCTGAGGTTTGCATAAGCCAGTGCAAATATGAAAAACATCCTTTGCTTCTTTTATAAAGACAAAAATTTTAAAGTAGTTTGAATTTTTAATCTATCCATTTAAGCCGTAGTCATTTATTTTAAATTATTTATCCCTGAGACTGGATCCGTCCCTTGTCAGAAATATCGACTCGCGTCACCATTTTCTTGCTTTACGGGGATCAATTACAAGCTCATGGTTATTCATGAAGCTATTCGGGAATTTTTCCTGTCTTTATTGTAGCTCATTTTAACGGTTCATTTCATCGCATCTCTTCTACAATCGACAAAATTTTCTTCTTTGAAATAGAAAATGACTGTGGATGTAAGTAGTGCAAGTAGGCGCAGCACAGGAACCGGTTGTACGAAGCCTGGATAGCGTTATCCATTGAATAGCAATTTTAAAACTTTTAAAGAACCTTTTAAAAAGCAATGAATATTAGATTCGAACTGAGCAAGCACTGAAATAAAATATTGTTTCGAAGATTACGAAATTTCTTTGTTGTGAGACAAATACAGACACTTTTTTTACAAGTTTGAAAATTTTTGCTATCCAATGTATAACGTTATCCAGCTAGGCTCAGCTAGGCTCAGCTAGGCTTCGAGCAACCGACCCCTGGTTATTTAAGCGCGAGTACATTGCACGTGGACACGCCATCTTTGTTAAATGTACTTGATCGTACTGATAGAGTTGTGCCAGATTTTTCTCCATCAAACAGGGGCGCTGATGTCTGTTATCTGTCTGTTTTGGCTGAGTTTCAATACGCTTGGGATAACCGTTTGTCAATCATGGCGTCGACGAGATTTGCCTGTGCGTTTACCTCCCATTTCATGTAATTGTTGGCGCCGCATCGACGGAAAGCGACATCAAGATTCCCAGTCATTCATCAGTCTGTTACTTATCTATATTTATGTGTTGCACTTTGGTGTTGAATTTGGGGGAATACGAGGGTCCTAATACAGCACGGCAGGATATGTTCATCGCGTCCTCTATGGTTATAGCCATTCCAGTCATGTTGTACATATATTTGTTTACCAAAGGTCACGCTCTTCACGACCCTCAACTCAATTCACCGATGCAAATATTTTCTTTCTTTGGCTTGTTTTTTTTTCGGATCTGCAAGCATATTCTACAGCCTTTGCCTGGCTATCAGTTAGTACGATTGTAGGTTTTACAAATACAATTCGAGGTATCAAAGATTTCCAGTGACTGTGCAATGTTTGAAGGGTCGCCTTTATCGCTTCAGAATTGTTGTTCATTGGCTATTTTCGTAAGGTGCGTTTTTTCACGAGAACGTCGCTCTTGCAAATTTTCCTGCGCACATTTTGGGCACGAATCTATTTTTGTTTTGCTTACCCTGCGAAGAGAGCAAAGTGGATGAAAGCACAACTTACAATTGTACGAACTTGGAAAATCGTACGCTTCCTTCCAACGATTTAACTTAACGCGACAACCCTTTTTTTGTCCAATTTTTATCGACTTTCTGATTTTTGCTAGCTCCATGTGTTATTGGTCAAGTATTAATATAATCCCTGCACTCCTAAAGGGTCTTCCAACAGTTTTTCGGTAGTAATACAAAGAGGCCGACGAAATTGTCATGTGAATCCCACGTCAAACGTCTAAAGACGAATGTAAGTTCCTGGATGTAGTTTTGGCTTGGTTTTTGGCTCAATTGTTTTTATGATACTGTTCTTGGCGTTAACGTTTTGGGTGCTTTTCATATTTTTCGACGACAAGCCACGAGAAGATAAACCAGAGCTTAAGGTGTCTGGACCTCTATCTCTATGTACTGTATCATGATTTTTGCCTTTTACACTATTTTCATGGCTCTACCCCTGCCGAACACTAGCAATTGAAACAGCGTTCGTGAAGTTAATTGTGAAGGCGTCTTATTGTACATTTCTTTCTTTGGAAATCTACTTTTGACTGGATTTCACCTTTTTAGCAAGATAATCTCGGCAAATAAACCTCAGCGAGATAATTACGGTGAAGAACTCCACTTTAATGTAATTGCCGTTGACGTTTCGGAAACGTTTCAACTTGCCACCCAAATTGTCACCCTTATGATATTGAACCACAAAAAAAGCCACTGTCACAAGGCGAGCCACAGTACAGATGTGCCAATGCATTTCGTTTTCTTTTCTGGCCAATTTCGCTTTCTGGCTCCAATATTCGTTGTTTTTTTTGAGATCCAAACTAATGAGACCAGGTGAATTGTTCAATGACACAGCTACATATGACAAGATCGTGAAACCGATGGCCATATTTTATCGTTTTCACTGACCAAGCGACGTACTTCTACAATGCTTGGTCAGTTTATAGAAGTTGAAAAGGTTTTATTGAACGGCTATTTTGTTTAAAACTTTTCGAATTGAGACGTGATGAATTATGCTATCCACTTTTTAAACTTTTTTTCGTTTATTGGTAATGAAACGTACGTATGATTGCTCACTTTGTCTTTGTATTTTAGTAATTTTATTTAATTTGGTAAAATATATTCGGAGATTGTTTTTATATTAATTTTCTGCTTTACATCTTGTAATCTTTATAAAGAATGCCTATCACTAATTGTTATTTTTCTAACGATGTCTTGCATCGTATAATCCACCTCCAAATTCCCATAAACTTTACTTCTAACCATACTTATTTAACTTAACTAATAATTTCAAGTAGTTTTTATCCCACCGTTTATGAATTCTAGCCATTTAAGAGGTGCATAGCTTTAATTTCCCTGATCCTGCATGGAATACTGATGTGTCTCTTTAAAGTACACTTGCTACAATGAAGTTTTGCTTACTTTAATAATCAATTTTGTGTTCAGAATTGTGCAAAAATTTGCTGAATTCCAACAGTGTCTAATTAACTAAACCTTGCACACTAAATAAACGATCAGTGCCAGTTTGAACGTGCAAAATGATTGTTGTTGAACAGATCGTAATTGTGGATTCAAACAACGTGGAGTTTTCTCACTTACATTTACATTTTTTGCGTTTAGCGCTTTTAATTGGTTTATTTTTAAGACGTATGCAAAAACTGATTTGTACAAAATCGACGATGACGCCATTATTCAAATGTAACATGAAGTACATCAAAAAACTTCAGAATGCAGAAATTCAAATTCCCTATATAAAATTGTAGTGAAAATGAACAATAAACAAGAACACTTTTAAGCAAAAAATGTCTCTTGTCTCGTACGAAGACAGTGATGACAGTGGCGAAGAAAATGTGAACGATACTGTCTTACTAACTTCTGTTGATAGTAAGGATGAAATGCCTGCTCTTGTTGAACAAACGACTGTAAAGAAAATCGAATCGATAGCCTTACCTAACAGGATTACTAATGAGAATATCGAGAGTGAAGAGAGTTCAGCGACGAAAACCAAGTCAATAGGGAGCTTGTTTTCATCCTTACCTGTACCATGGAAAAGTTCCGTCTCGTGGACGGACAAGAATTTGTCGAAAGACGTCAAGAAAGTCGGTCAGTCAAATACCGTGAAAATATCCTTGCCAAATCTGGAGGCGAACGTAAGCTTTTTGTCAGATTATCTTCGGCCATAGCCTTGCATGTTGTGCTTTGAAGCTGCATTTTATTTTTCATTAGTCAGTATCTAAGTTTTCTACGTAAGCTTGGTAAGTTTTCAAGAGATAGTCATGAAGTTCGTATATACTGCCATCTCCAAGCTCATTCTGTTGAAGAACAGAGTGAAAATAAGATAAGGTGTAATTAATTGCAAGCGTCTTTATAGCAATGCTAGTGCTATTGATTTTTGGATTTCCGGAAGATTTTTATTGACTAGTTTGCTTCAAATTTATTTTGAAATATAAATGTTGCAATTTACTTTGACCTGCATGGAAGGAGCTGAATGGTTTTTTCTTTCTTTCATCTAACTTTATCGTTTGCCTTTGTGATCCAGTCAGATTCTGATGATGAGGACTATGCTGTACGAAAAAAATCAAGTTCCATTGTAGACTCTCAGGTAATGACCTTTCATTGTTTTTCTTGTGACAAGGGAATTTGCAGGTAGAATTTGTGATATTCACACTGCAATTCTTTGGCTATCCCTGGCTTCAGGTGTAGACATTAATTAAGACCTTTTGATACATAGGATATTTATTGTTTCTTAGGGTAACTTTGGTCTCAGTGAAAGCATAAGCTGTTATGTAGTATTTCACAGGCTATCTCGGAGACAAAATGTACTTAATAATTTTTGTGATGTGAGACCCACAAAAAAGGAAGTTTTCTATGTTGCCCAATCAAATGCCACATTCTACGAATGTTGATTTTGCAAATACATGAAAACTACATGAAGTGTCTTTGCCGTATCCCATAATCCTCACAGAAATTGATACTTATGTAATTAGCGAGTTTTGATATGTTGCCATTTACGCTCTGTTTCAGAAAATTTTGCAACATCATTTCACACATTCTATCCCGTACTGTTATTTTAGTAAAATGCAAGACAATTGACATTTTTTATTCTAAACATTTCAACAAGTGCTGCATGTCATCAATAGCGATTATTTTATTTTTATATTCAGTGTCAATTGTCTTGTGTTTTACTAAAATACTTTTTGCTGTAGTAATTTTATGTACTGCCATGTTTGTTAAAATGTCATTTCACACATCTTTTCCTGTACTATTAGTTTTGTCAAAATAAAATCATTAATTTGCACATTTAACCCCTCCTGGGGTCTACATGTTTATCAAAGTACATATTAGTGAAAGCTTGCATGCCACTATGAATAATTTCCAGCCTACATTTTCAAAAAGTAAAGCAAAAAAACCCTAAAAAAAACATTTTTTTTTTAATTTGTTTTTTGCTTCACTTACATGACACCAATGTCTGTCTCTCTATTGAACCCTTTCAGTATCCTATACATCGAAACCTTTTAGGGTAGACTAACTTCTCAACCTTTTTCTAGGCATTTTTACAAACTGGTGAAATGTTGTGTAGTCGAAGGGCGAGCAGTGGCGAAACCAGCCCGAACTTTTACTCCTACAATGCAAATTTTTTTCGACAAATTTTCGTTCATGTCTTTAGAAATTTAATAAATTTGTTGTCTTTTTAGTGATTGAATACCAAAATATTTGCATTGTAGGAGAAAAGTAGGTAGTGGGAAGAAGGAGGTTTAAACATTGAAATCGACTAATGTTCACGTGATAAAATCTGAATGCCAAAACGTTTCTGAAAATTCACGCTTTCGCCGTTTTTTTTGCATCATTTGTTTATTCGGATGTTTTCGCGGCAACGCACTGCCACTGGAGAGGGCGACATGCAAAAAATACTGACATTGCTCCTTGTTTTCGTGCTAGAAATCCACACGTTTGTTCTCTATGTTGCCGAAACCAAAACACGGTGTTGTCGTGAAGGAAAACAATCCCAACAGACCGGTGGCAAAGCTGGCCAACCGACCGCTAATACCCGACAGCTTGCGTAGAAAGCAAGCCAAGAATGTAAGCGGTACTCAGGTCAAGAAGTCCTCGGCTCAAACTTCGAAAATGCAAGAAAGTGACGATGAAAGCGACCACGAGGAAAGTGGAAGTTTTTTCTCTTGGAGCGAAAAGATTGCCGTCAGTGAGTCTACAGGTGTTTCCACGAGCCAAATTCCTTCAGGTATGTAAGGTTCAAGTATTTTTTACCATTTTATCTTCCCTTGACTATTACCAACTTGTCCAATTTGTTTAGGGAAAGTCTTGTAGCCTGGGGTGGTTAGGGAAGGTCTTGTAGCCAGGGGTGGTTAGGGAAGGTCTTGTAGCCAGGGGTGGTTGGGGAAGGTTTTGTAGCCAGGGGTGGTTAGGGAAAGTCTTGTAGCTAGGGGTGGTTAGGGAAAGTCTTGTAGCCAGGGATGGATCCAAGATGTTTATAGGTGGGATAGGGCAGTGTGACCAGACTTCATAATCCGTTTTCATGAGCTTAGGAAATTTAAATAATTTCAACATTTGGAACATTGGGAAGCAGTTCGCACAGATTAACCCCTGTTTGATGATGAATTATACATATATAGTCACACTGAGGAGGGTTCTCTAGTTTGGATTAGATTTCGGTCTCTACTTGTTGCTGTACCCCACCTTACCCTTACCCTAAATCCATCTACACTTCTAACATTACAGTGTTCAACTTCACGTTTACTTTCAATTTTCTTGCAACACGTGCGTATTGATGTGCCAAAATATCTTGTCCTTTTTATTATAAATTAGCTACATCTCCCTTTGTTGTATTATCGTGAACTTAGGATCAACGACCTTGTCCGTTTCCGGTCAAGTCGAAGAGTCTGCGAATGTAAAGACCACTTTCTCCACTACAAATGTCCCGCTCGAATTCTTGGTGTCCCCAGAGGCTCCCAAACCACCTCAACCTTACCCTTCACATGACCAGGATAGTGAATTTGATATGCAAGGAAATCCCCAATCTTTGCCTTACTCGAACATAGACCCAAATGTATTGCCTGACTATTCGAGCACCAATGAAAATGCTAGTTTTAATTATTCTGCGTCAAGTCTTCCATATCATGACACCACGAGCGATTCGTATGGATACGCCATGGGTTATTCGGGAAATTCTGGTCATTACCAAACGCAAAATGTAAGATAGTACTAACTATATACAATGCTATCAATGTCTTTGTGGCGTATGCGCACAAATGCATTTGTCAAAAATGCCGTGAATTTGTTTCAGCTCATGTAAAATATGTAACGGTGCGAAGAAATTGTTTTTCCAAAGTCATTCTACTTATATAATATATGATATCATTTACCATTTCTTTTTATATTATAACCAGAATAATTTGATAAATTTCATTGGTTGAGAGCTATGATCTATAAGAGGACATTCGCACGGAAAATTTCATATTTATAAAAACAAACAAATGGCGGATATATTTGAACATTTATCGCAATACCTCCGTGAATAGGAAAATATAAATATTCATAAAGACGTAGTTGAGGCAGTTGACGTATTTGAGCTAACAGAAAAGAAAAAACCCGGTTTTCAAACATTAATTTATAGTTCATCTTCGATAACAAAATTTCAACAAAATTGATCAGCCATTGCTTGTTTATTTTGTCGGCCAATCACATTTTATCACGTGATTAAGCTAGCCAATAGCATTTCTTCAATCCTATAGTCACGTCAGCGTGATATTTGCACAATCAAGACTTTTCAATGTTGCAAGTGTTGGTAGGAAAGAAAACAAACTGTTTGACCGTTTAATTTGGGAATTTTTTTGTATATAAAACAAATAGATAACATTTAACCGTTGTCTATACAGTTATAGAAACACGAGTAAGACGTAAATTGTAATAAAAACTGAAAAAGTGGCCACAAGCCGCCGGGGCGATAAATTTTATCTATTTGTTAAACATTTACTGAAAATACGTATTCAATATGTGGTTTTGCTTATTCATTTACGTTGGATTTAGTACAACGATCAGTATGTCACATCTCAAACACCGGTCGATTGGCAACAACCCGCACAACCTGCAAATCAAGAACAACCCGAGCAGGTGAGCAATGATATAGTGCAATGAATTAACTGCAATATACTCTTCATGTGAATGTTACGTGTCATCTGGCCATCTCACGACCATGTAGTATCATCGAATCTTACAAAAGCATGGCTGGAAAATGTTTGGCAATGCCTGACAATTTTTCACGAATTCATACCCATGAGAAATATTTTTGCATGTCGCGTGAAATATTTAGAAAAAAAAGAGTAGACTAAAAATGTTGATGAATGCAAACATTAAGGGAACGACACTATTTTAGGAAAATGACTAGCATCCGGCACGCATGTTTTCAATTGTTATTGATAAAAATTTTCGTAGGAAATATTTATTTCTGAAATTGTCACTGGAAGTGAAATATTTTGTCCAGTTGCGTACAAACATTCCCAATTATGTCGAGTTTGACTGCTGCCTCGAAACTGCTGTTCGCCAACCAGTCGAACATCGCACAAAAAGGTACAATAGACTAAAAGTTAACTGTTGTTACTCTTCAGTTGAAACGATTTCTCGGTAAACGTGGACGCGGTGAGGAGAACATCGCCATTATTGATGTGAATGCCGATGATCAAGTTGCATCTTCTGATGACTGGAGATCCAACTATCAGAAGGAAGATTTGGACAATAAACCGCTCTCAAAGGTATTCCATGTCTAATGTCTGCTCGATAAACCCCCCCGTCTCTCGTTTTGAACCATTATTTCCCCTTGTCCGGGGGGCAGGGTGACCAATGAGATGACCAGTGGCTCCCTGTGAGAGACTGGGAGACACTTTCGGACCAAGGGGCCGTCAGAATACATCGCGGAAAATATATTCCATTTTGAAATACTTTGAAAGGAATCCCATTGGGAGTATTTTAAGCTTAAATATTCTTTAGAAGTTTTCAACAGTGTTGTGAAAAAGTCTTTTGAAATTTAAGCTACGTGCAAACGCGCTCAACATGTTGACTCAACATTTACTCAACATTGTCTTGCTTTTGTTGTGTGATGTTTAGCGATGTATATAAGCGCTCTCAACGTGTTGACTCAACATTGTCTTGCTCTTGTTGTGTGATGTTTAGCGATGTATACAAACGCTCTCAACGTGTTGACTCAACATTTACTCAACATTGTCTTGCTCTTGTTGTGTGATGTTTAGCGATGTATACAAACGCTCTCAACGTGTTGACTCAACATTGTCTTGCTCTTGTTGTGTGATGTTTAACGATGTATACAAATGCTCTCAACGTGTTGACTCAACATTTACTCAACATTGTCTTGCTCTTGTTGTGTGATGTTTAGCGATGTATACAAACGCTCTCAACGTGTTGACTCAACATTGTCTTGCTCTTGTTGTGTGATGTTTAGCGATGTATGCAAACGCTCTCAACATGTTGACTCAAGATTGTCTTGCTCTTGTTGTGTGATGTTTAGCGATGTATGCAAACGCTCTCAACGTGTTGACTCAACATTGTCTTGCTCTTGTTGTGTGATGTTTTGCGATGTATACAAACGCTCTCAACGTGTTGACTCAACATTGTCTTGCTCTTGTTGTGTGATGTTTAGCGATGTATGCAAACGCTCTCAACGTGTTGACTCAACATTGTCTTGCTCTTGTTGTGTGATGTTTAGCGATGTGTACAAACGCTCTCAACGTGTTGACTCAAGATTGTCTTGCTCTTGTTGTGTGATGTTTAGCGATGTATGCAAACGCTCTCAACGTGTTGACTCAAGATTGTCTTGCTCTTGTTGTGTGATGTTTGCGATGTATACAAACGCTCTCAACGTGTTGACTCAACATTGTCTTGCTCTTGTTGTGTGATGTTAAGCGATGTATGCAAACGCTCTCAACGTGTTGACTCAACATTGTCTTGCTCTTGTTGTGTGATGTTTAGCGATGTATACAAACGCTCTCAACGTGTTGACTCAACATTGTCTTGCTCTTATTGTGTGATGTTAAGCGATGTATACAAACGCTCTCAACGTGTTGACTCAACATTGTCTTGCTCTTGTTGTGTGATGTTTAGCGATGTATGCAAACGCTCTCAACGTGTTGACTCAACATTGTCTTGCTCTTGTTGTGTGATGTTTAGCGATGTATGCAAACGCTCTCAACGTGTTGACTCAACATTTACTCAACATTGTCTTGCTTTTGTTGTGTGATGTTTAGCGATGTATGCAAACGCTCTCAACGTGTTGACTCAACATTGTCTTGCTCTTGTTGTGTGATGTTTAGCGATGTATGCAAACGCTCTCAACGTGTTGAGCGATGTTGAGCCTATGAGATAAAATGTTCCACGATGCCTAGCAACGGCGGGAACTATATACATACATATACAGTTAAGTGACGCCAATTTTACAAAAAATACGACGCACTGTGCGCATGCGTTAGCTCAACATCATTGATTGAGCTGTGCAAACTCATTAAACATTGTAAAGACACACATCGATGAGCGCAGAACAAAGAAAATGTTGAGCGGTGTTGAGTGGAATGTTTTAACAAGTTCAAACTTCTCTCCATAACGCTCAACACCTCTCAACAAGGTGTGCATATGCGCTAAACATGTTGAACGATACGTCTTACGGCTGGTTTGCTGCGCATGCGTAGACAGCAGAAGCTTCATGGGATTCATCAAGTTGACATTTAGCTTTAAAATGAGCTTTTATAGTGTATTTTGACCTACCCTAGATCCGCAACTGCCGAGAGAAGTTCTTTTTTGCATACTGGAGAACACGCTGTTTTTAACGCTGTAGTTTATACTGAAATTTGTAGCAAAATCAAGAAAGCTTAATAAACTTGAGTAATATTGTGCGCTTTGTTTTGAAGCACATTGCAATTCTATACCGTTAAAAGCAGCGTGTTCTCCAAATACGTCACGTCCGGTGAACTAGACCCGGTAAGAGCACCTCACAGTCAAAGACGAAAAAAGCCAACTTTGAGGCCCAAAAATTCAAGGAAGATGAAATTTCCGTTTCATAAAATTATATTGCAAATGTTCTAGAAATGGTCAGTCCTATCTAAATAACTTATTTCCCTGAGTGGGGATGATATTGGCACTTTAAGGACTAGATATTTTTTTTAGAAAAAAGGCAGTCTTCCCTCATCCCAGTCAAGAAGAAAACATCAAATAACTTACTTAGCCTTTCAGGTAATTTGCTGGTATACGTGTGTTTTTATCATGAAAGCGTTGTGTATGTGCTTCGAGTGATCGAAACGCGAGATATTTAATGAACAATGAACGGTCTTCAAAGTTGAAATAATGGATTATTTGACGAGACTTTTTACAACATTGACGCTTGTAAAATCTGATACACACTTTGTTTATCGTTATGATTAAAATGTAACCACACAAAACGCGTATTGCTGTTGTATTAAAGTCTTAAACACATCTTTGTTTTATTATGCAATTTGAGGTCAAATTTAAACGTTCTAAAACTTTTCTTGTATTGACCAAGGCTTTTGTTGTTGCCTATTGAAAACTTTTCTTGTATTGACCAAGGCTTTTGTTGTTGCCTCATGAGTTGTCTGGTAATGCACTCCAGAATCTTGCGCATTCATTAGAAAAAACTTTTGAAATTTCCTTGTTTCGCAACTAGTTATGTCAAATTATAGCGAACTGAGCATTCGCAATTTGTGTTGACCGATCTTGTTTACTCGAAGCTGTTTTACACCAATGATATGTATATTACACTGGATAACGCATCCATGTATAAAATATAGTAAGATAATTGAAGCCGGAAGTTGGTTCATCTGATTATGACCTTCGTGGGGGGTAAACTGGAGATTATATGATGCTGCTGCTTCTTCTTAAAAAATGTAAATTTTTTTTTAACGACATTTTGTTATTCACATCACTAATATCATAAGAATTTCAAATTACGTCTTTATTATATCAGTGAAGAAACAAAACAAATCGACCTAGAAAAGTAATCAGAAAGACATTTTAATGAACAATAGTAAGTTGAAAACGGTATTATCAAACTCTACGAGATGTACATCATCAAAATATGCGAATTAAAGTACCTCTGTTGTCATTAAGCGAAGCAAATTTCAACCAGTTCCTCCGTGAACAATTTCTTTATCGATGAATATGTTAAAGATATGAATACCTTCGTTCTTACTTTGTTGTAAATTTGTAATTTAAGTATTCATCTTCTAAAAATGCCTCGCACGGCTGAATTGTCCTCGTCACATTCAGCTTTCATCGTATTTTGCCTTCACTACAAATAGAAGGGAATTTTTAAGTTTTATTAAAGTGACGTGGCACTTGACGAGAAATATGCCCAAACACAGCGTGTCGTTTAATTTTATGGCTATCTTTAATTTGGTTTTCAACATTTCTTTTGAGGACTACTCGATTGTCATTCACCATAAAAATACGCTCTTCTGAGCAACATTTAATTTTGTAAAACGAGCAAGTCCTTGTTCGTGGTCAGCGGAGCGTTACATAGTGTGTCCGTGGTTCACGGAGAAAGGGCCCAAAATCTGAGTGTCACTCCCCTCCCCTAATGTCTCTGATCGACCCTGTTTATCCACACGTACCATTTTATCACATCAGCCTCAAAACCTCTTCGTTCGTGTTGATCGATTTCATATTTTTTCAAGCTCTTGTTGTGTAATTATTAGGCTAAAGAGAGGGAATGGGAACTAAGAAATCAGTGGTCTGCCAATAGACAAACAAGACGACAAACGCAGGCGAAGTATGGATTCTAGCGTCGAGCATAGGTGAGATGCTTCTTGAGACGTACTTGCTGGACTAGTACATCTTAACTCATCCGTTAATGGTTGCGCTTGAAGCAAGTCGTGACATTTGCTTTCATATATACAGGCTGGAACCTACCTCTTCCCCTGGTTTCTCCCTCGCACAGAACTTTAATCGTTTTATTGGGAGGGAAAATCCTGGTAGCGAGGTTGAGAGGAAAGCCTCAATTTCACATTACAACAATTGTGTGTGGACTTTCAGAATAAGCGATGGGAAATACAGTTCTATACTTGCCGGTCTCGGACTGAATGTATCTAGGAAAGCTACTTCCCTCCAAAAATTGAAGCCAGCACTTTAACTAATCTCATTCTTTCCACGCTCGGCCAAAAGAAAGTATACTTACGACGATGACGTAAAATGCGGGACTTGACTCCCAGACACGCGTGTCGGGCTGTAAAATTTGCCTTCATTCAAATAGAGGCATGTTCACCAAATGATAGCCTTGTTGTATATATTCATTTTGTTCAATCGTTTTTGTATATTTCTAATCAACGAGACTCGGGTGTACACTTTTCCATCGCTCATCTTGATATTTTCACAACAATTGTAATCGCACGATGAAAATTTATTTACTAATACAACGTGCAAACGCGGTGAAGCAGTATTACATAGCACAATGAAAACCAAACTTGTTTTTGTTTGAATAGAAATGTGTCTTTCGAGTACAATGATTGCACACAAACATTTGAGTGTTGTTTGTGTACAGCACAGGGGTTGCAGAAAGGGGGAACTAAGGGGGCTGCCGCCCCTATCCTTTCCAATAATTCAGATGGGGGCTATGCCTCTCCAATCAAAGAGCTACCTTCTTTAATATTTTTTACGTAATATATGTTTATATTTGACAAGAGAAAATCATCGACATAGATGGACTCTTGAATACTGACAGCCATTTTGAAAGCTTGCTATTCCTACAGACTTTTACTTACTTAAAGTACTGCATGTTGATGCAAGGAAGAAAATTGCGCCATATTTGTTATTAGAACATGGCGTAAATGCAATAGCAATACGGCGCAGTCTAAAATATAAAGCTTTTTCCCTAATCTTAGACCGAAGCAAAAAAAAAAATCATATCATTTGTGAGTTCGACAACTACAAATACAAAGGTCAAAATGTCACGCCCCTACCAAGACATTTTTTGTTATTCAGCCCCCGTAATGCAAAACATCTTTCACCACCACTTGTGCAGGCTGGATTGTTTGGGGATTGTTTATCCGTAGCTAAAAACATTTGAAACAATCATTTGATTTATAGTCAATTGTCATGTCATATATGCAATACCAGGAAGTCGTTTGTGATTGGTCCAGCTATGCGCTCAAGTGCGTAATTTATAACTAAATATATTATGAATGGGCTTGTTTAAAAAATCCATATTTGAGCCGTGGAACAACTAAGCAAAAAACTGGATGGCTGCCATTGCTTGCATGTAGCTAAATTTCACCTCCCGACGAGTGTGTGTCTTGAGGTAAAGATCCGCATTTCATATTAATATCGCTATAATCTTTGTTTGGGTCGTGCATGGATCCTGCCCTTCCTGTTTGCATGCGGTTCAAGGATTTCATAATATTTAGTCGTGTGAAAGTATTCATTTTTTGTCATCTCGATACAGCCTGGAGTTGCTTCTATCGAAACAACGTGTTTACTTTATTCAGATGTACCGTCACGTTTACCAAATACTAACGAAAACAAAATAAATAATGGATCCAATTTTAAGAAACGACGGCAACCGAACCTATCGTTCCATTTTTCTTTTGGAGAGTGGGCTCAGACGTCTCGCGAAAATCACTCTGTTGATTTGTTGACAATTAAAAATAGTCGTATATGATATAGCTTAATCAAATGGTAAATATCTCGTGAATATATTTTAAAGTACAAACGAACAACATCAACGTTTCTTACGAGTCTAAATAAAAAGTAGTGTCTCTGGTTTATGCCTTACTTTCACCACTATTTCAGTGGCGCTGATTTATACATACAAATAACCCCACCCCCACCCCGCCCCGTAAATTTAAGGTGACTTTTAGTTTTTCGACCAGACTGAAAACAGGATAGTTCATGACATTGTCTTAAAGCAGAAATGTTTGTATAAAATATTAATACAATTGACTGACAAAGTCGGAAAACCCTTCATATTGGATAGGTAATTACTGAAATGTTTTTGTGTTCCAACTATCAATACGAACAGAGTACAAGTTTTGATGCAATTACATAAAATTTTTAACATGGTATTTGTACTAGTTGATTTTCTTCTCCGTATATTTGTGACGTTTATCTCCTTAACTTTTCCTCGCCAAACTACGAAACCTTTCACCCCCGTTCATTGTTCATTGTATAATATAATGTACAACAGAATTTTTCGAAAGTTTTTCATTTGCATTTTTAACAAAGTTTATAACAATATATAATACATTTTAAAAATGTATAAACAATTTAAACGAACTTTGGAATCCTTTGCTTTCTATTTTTTCATCCATAAATACCCAATATACATTACATAAATAGAACATCTTGTCTCAAAACAATGTGCATCATAAAGTATCTTGAGATAACTGAACCACAAAAATGGCAAAACGTGTCCATCAACGCTAAATAGTGAGTTCATGAAGTCTGTGGTTGTTGCCTGCTCGCGGGCTGTACACGAAAACGGGCATGTAGCTGAACGAAGGGAGCACGGCGTGGTTTGAGTAGCGGTTTAGGTCGATGTATCTGGTGAATGTAGGTGTGTAGGCAAACTGTGTTTCCCGTGATATGTCGTTCTCGCGCTTGTGATTGGTCATTTCCACTTCGCTTGCTTCCGTTTCTTGCGACTTGGGTGTGTAGGCAAACTGCGTTTCCCGTGATATGTCGTTCTCTCGCTTGTGATTGGTCATCTCCTCTTCGCTTGCTTCCGTTTCCTGCGACTTCTCGTAAAGGCACTCCATCGAAGATTTCACTTGCGATAGGCGTTTCCTTTTGGCGCGTCGATTTTGAAACCAAACCTGAAGCATAATGTGTTTCTAATAATTATTTTGGGTCCTGGTGCCGACTTTCGCAATTACGCATTTAAAGTCAAGTTCGTGTCGCCTCTTTACAAAGCATTGAATATTGTTTGGTTAAGTAAGCTATCTCCGTGCATCACGAAGATTTAATTTGCTGGAAATACATTTTGCTGTTTTCTCTTGACGTATGTTTCGCAGACAAAGAATGTATTATCGAAACGATATAATAGGGCGGGCATCATCTCTGGCTATTTAGCGAAGGAAAATGCTGAAGGCTCACAAAATAAAAAATGACGGCAAATTCTGCTTCGATTCTAATCTCAACCCTAACACATTACCAGCTGTTTACATTTTGCATTTCGTTCTCCTTCGTTTCGAGACTTTATAGGTTAAAAGAAGGAATTCGTTTTCCTTTAATGCAATAACGCAAAAACATATTTTCCAATCGTAAAGATCAACAAGCCTGTTGGAATGGCCGTTCCCATGTAATCAAGACTCTAAATTCCAATACCAACCTGCACTCGGGCCTCGGAAAGATTGATCTTTTCTGCGAGCTCTTCGCGAGCTTCGATCCCCGGATACTGACAGCTCTCGAAAACTCGTTCGAGTTCTTGAAGTTGTTTTGCCGTGAACGCTGTTCGATTCCTCCGCGATCTCTTTGCTTTGAGCGTATTTGAGCCTAAGGATGCAATGAAATGAAATGAATGATTTGAAACCGGGAGAATCGTTACATGTTTGTGGAGTCATTAGTAGGGTCTCGAGAAGAACTATTGGTGCTGTTGTTGACTGACGTTTCAAAATCCTTAGTTGTTGTCATATTCGAAGTCAAGTGAGGAGTAAACATGGTTATCACTTCACGATGACTACCGCCAAAGATTTCGAAACCTCAGCCAACACCAACTGTCCTTCTCGGGACTTTACTAACCTGGGCGATCTACGCATCTACAAATATGCATTCAAATTCTCATTACAACCCGGCTTGAAAGAACATTTTTTGAATTGTTGGAAAGAGAAAAGAGTCTCTTAATAGTAGCTAGAAATCCCAAGGTGTTCTATCAATGTCTGTGTTTCATGTATTTATGTATGAGTTTTGCCAACGCTTTTGATATCTTGCTCAATTTTTTTAACCGGAATGCTGTATTTGTAATTTTTTTATTGAAAGAAAACGGTCGGCGAATACGAAGGCGAATTTAAGCTTCTTCCATTTTTTAAAATTTTACTTTACGCATGCATCATTGGTTAAGGTTTACTATTCGTATCTGTACATAAAAGTGATTGAAGTATTCATGTTACCTTCCGATGGTTTCTACACGTAATTTTACTTGTCATTCGTTACAACGCACTTATTTTGTTACGAAAACCTCAAAAAGGTTGAAAAAAGTTTCAAAGTCAACATGACCGAAGTTTTTTGTGGCATAGAATTGTCGATGAAGGGATTGGAGGATTACAACTTTATTTATGATTCTCCGATATCATTTCTTACCATGTACTGTCTCCGTGCGATGTCCTATTGCCTTTAGCATCGTCTTCGACTTGCGAAAAATTCCATTTGTTGGCCTCGCTCCTAAAATCGCATCGATGGAATGATCGACTTGCGTCTCGGTAAATGTTTCCCTCTTCATGTTTCCTCTAAATCCAATGTCGTAACAGAACTGGCTTGCGGCTTTGCTAGAATGCGGCTTTGCTAGAATGCGGCTTTGCTAGAATGCGGCTTTGCTGGTTGTGTGATACTGGTAGCTTGCGCTTCTGACTTTAACTGTTTCGTTAATTTGAATTAGCATAATTGTGTTGTAATATCGTTGTTCATCGTTTTCGTATCAAATATTACCGCTTTGTCTTTCGCGACAAAGACTTCTTTATGCAAAAAGTTATATTTTGTCATTTGTTTTGAAGACAAGTCAATTAGTCCCTGGTATGTAGCATATATCGATTCCGCTTCGAGCTTATTGTGTAATAATTTTTCTGCTTCATTCAAATGGCCGAAGTCGACCGTTAGGATTACAAACTGCAGCACCAATATTCGCTTGCAAAAAAATTTGAATTTGACTCGTACTGCATGTTTCGTAATATTCAAACATATCAACCTTTGTACCTCTCCAAATATCTCCCTGCGACAGGTTTCGTTGAACGCGCGTGTACAACGCAAGAGGACCTTAATCAACGATTAGAAATTCCGTCTTTTTCAGAATTCACACGTTACAAGGCGCGAATCATGAGCGCAAACTTGCCTTTTGTATTGCGAATCTGCAAACTTTAACTGCATAAAGTGCATATATGTTGTATAAATGCACATGCTTGTCTTGCACAAAATGAAGATGTTGCACCTTCGCTTGCTGCCGACATTGAAAATGGATAGCTACTATGTGCCTCTTTGCTTAGTATACTTAAAGTTTAGCTCTGCTCAGTTTATTTGCATTTTTCTCAAAATGGTTCACTGATAAAATAGCAAATGTTTTTATGGCCAAGCAGTCCCTGTGGGTTTATTTGAACCGTGATTTCGGAATTCGTTCCAAACTTCACTCGGCTCGGACCGTTTGATTCAATTTTTCTTCTCATTTTCGATATCGGACCAGTTTTCAAAACACATTTGCACGAGTGATACCGATATGTTAAAGTAATTTTGAAAAATTTAGAAAACCAACTTTGTATGAAAATCCTTTAACAGCGGATAATTTCATGAAGTATAAAAAGAAATTGCGATATACATCGACGTTAAGGTTCATCTTGAACTCAATATTTGAAAAAACAAAGACAAAACAATTTTCAAATTGTGCAATATTTATTGCATGATAAATTTGCACAATGAATTTTCAATAAATTCAAATTATTACAATTTTAAAAATGTCTGGTCTCTGTATTGACTTCAAAATAGAGTTTAACCATGGATATAATATTCATAAGTTCCTGATGCATACATAATAGCTGGGGCCATGATGTGTAATCCAACATGGCGGCATCAACAGGGCAAAAGATATATAGATTGTATTACGAAAATGAGGTTTTTTGCAGTTCTTGTCAATGAATTGTTTCGAAATTCATCTAATCAAAGTTTATATGAAAAAGGAACATACAGCGATTGTTTTGAGCATATATTTGAGTGAATTCAATAAAAACTCGCGAAATTATCCACCGACAACAATTTGTGTAAAATGGTCACTTGGTCAATTCCTGCATTCCATTGCCAGAATAATGATGACATCTGGCCTCTCGAATATTGTGATATATTAGATCGAACATTCTGAGATTGGCTGAGGTGTAGTGATGGAATGAATCGTTGGAAATGCACTCCATATACTTGTTGAGGAATCATCAATCAAGAAGGAGACATTTATATGAGTATAATCCAATGGGTTTGTCCGGTGTTTATTGTAAAATTTGTTGCATTAGCTTCTAATAAATTAATACGATTTCAATTTAAATGGATGATTAAAGTATTATGCCATGTCATGTGTCTTGTGTGTGTGTGCTAATGTGTCTCAATAATCAGTAATAAAATGTGAAATATTATTTCCTGATGCAAAATTTGATGAATATGTATATGAGATTCTATATGGTCACAGCATTTTAGAACATAACTAAAGTAAAATTATGAAAATTTCCTTATATTCACATTTTATTGATTGGAGATTTACTGAACTGCTTGTCAAATAGTTCATGTTAAATTGATGCATGCAAATGACCAGTAAAATTGTCTGAATGTATTGTTTTAAGAACATGATACACCATTCAAGTTCAAAAAGCTAGATGTCAACATATCATCATATTTCTGGCTAAAAAATGCAGGAATTGACCAAGTGACCATTTTACACAAACTGTTATCGGTGGATAATTTCGCAAGTTTTTATTGAATTTGCTCAAATATATGCTCAAAACAATCGCTGTATGTCCCTTTTTCATATAAACTTTTATTGGATAAATTTCAAAACAATACATTGACAAGAACTGCAAAAGACCTCATTTTTGTAATACAATCTCTATATCTTTTGCCCTGTTGACGCCGCCACGCGCGCACATATAACAAGTCAATGATTTAGAACCCAGTCTTCTAGATGTCTAACTATGGTATCAAAGTGAGGCAAGGACGCCATCTTGAAAGGTGGCAAAAAGCAAAACTCAAAATGAAAAGTAAGTTAAAAAAAAGTTTAAAAACCCCATCCTATCAAACATTTCAAGAATTAAACTTAGACTATCAACTTTGCGACTCTATAGCAACTCAGCAAAAGCAGATATTACTCGTAAATACTCTCAATTTTGCCACCCTTTAAGATGGCGGCAAGATGGCTGCGCATATTGGCGGAGTCAGATATCTAGTAGATTGGGTTCTATGTCATTGTAACATGTACATACGTCAGCAATCTATGTTTAATATATCTATGAGTTTAACCCTTCGGGATGGCGTAAAAACTGCTCTATCTTAATTGTTCAGGTATGGAAAATAGTTCTAGTTTGTCCGGTCATGTTGGTATGAGTCAACTTTAGTCGATATTTTGATTGTTTTTAAAACAGCTTCATAAAGTATGTCATGGCCAACGTTGGCGTTGCATTTCGAAAAGAGTTAGCTGTATAAAAGAAGGATCGTGAATAATGACATCCTTAATTGTAATCGTAAAATATGAATCCGGTGGCAAATCCTAACACTGATCGTCTTTATTGTACTTTACTTCTCAAATGTCTACATCCAGTCTGTCTGTTGATCTGCATGCTTTCAATGCATGCCACGTCAGACACTTGAATTCGCTAGATGTCTCTATGCGAGGTAACAAGTTGAAACATCAGTTCACATCCTCGAAGAACAAATAATGATTTATAAGTTCTGTCGTGAATGCTGTTGGACTTTAGAGGTCACATGCTGAAACATCAGTTCGCATCCTCGAAGAACAAATAATGGTTTATAAGTTCGGTCGTGAATGCTGTTGGACCTGTGAGGTTACATGCTGAAACATCAGCTCACATCCTCGAAGAACAGATAATGGTTTATAAGTTCGGTCGTGAATGCTGTTGGACCTGTGAGGTTACATGCTGAAACATCAGTTTGCATCCTCGAAGAACAAATAATGGTTTATAAGTTCGGTCGTGAATGCTGTTGGACCTGTGAGGTCACATGCTGAAACATCAGTTCACATCCTCGAAGAACAAATAATGATTTATAAGTTCTGTCGAGAATGCTGTTGGACCTGTGAGGTTACATGCTGAAACATCAGTTTGCATCCTCGAAGAACAAATAATGGTTTATAAGTTCGGTCGTGAATGCTGTTGGACCTGTGAGGTCACATGCTGAAACATCAGTTTACATCCTTGAAGAGCAATTGATGATTTATAAGATTTGTTGAGAATGCTGTTGGTCCTGTGATGTCATGCTGAAATGTTAGTTCGCATCCCATCGAATAGGCTTAGCAAAATGATTTAAAAGTTTTCTTAAGAATGTTGCTGAACTGCTTCAAGTCTTAAACTTTATAAAATCAACTGATTTCGACATTGGTATATTTCCATAGACAGAAAGATAGATATAGACATTCTTTATACCTCACTGCTATTTGTTGTCACTGTAGATTATAAATAAATTTTATATAATTGAAGTGATAAAACATAGTCTTCATCTTGTATAAACTCAAGATTTGAGTTATATTTGCTATAGGGACAAGATTTAAAAGCAATATTTACACTCTATTTCAAAGTGATTAGCAACCTTTGTGATTATTTACAAGGAGTAACTATGCAAGATCACACTTGCTTATAAATATAATCACTTGGCTTTTGAATCTTGCTTCTGGCTATAATATTGCTCGAATCTCGAGTTTACCAGATGACACATTTTTGGAGTATTTATCTCTTCATATTGTCGGCCGGAAAAGGTTTTGGGTGTACAATTTTACAAAATTTTACAAATCCTGAATTAGGAAGAGTCGAGTATATAGTCCTTGAAGGCTTTAGACTAAAGCTGCGAGATCAAAATGATCGCATAAGACATACAGCTACTTTTTCATTCAAGGTGCAAATACACAATTAACAATATAGCATGCGGTGTTTTCCATAATTGCCTATTTTTTATATTGTATTGACTGAGTTATTACATTCAGACGCGACCACACGGCATGACCGTTCAAATATAATTTGATCGTGATAAGCATGTTTTTCGTATCTTGATCATCAATACAGATTTTTATTGTGCTTCCACCTATAACTTATTGTATCCCATGATCTTTCAATCTGATGTTTTCACCTGAATTGCTCGTGAAACTCGAGTCTTTTCTAATGTCGTGATATTTTAATAATGTACGATATTGAATCTATGAAATTATTTTAGTTCGGGGTTTGGGGTCAATACAACTGTTTATATATGGTGTTTGCATCGGGAGAGATCAATTAAGGATGAAACTCGCGCGTCTTCATGTATTCTTTAATAAGTCTTGTGATTACATGTTAAGATTTATAAAAGTATCCCAGACTTCACTAAATTTTTCTCTATTCTTCAGTTCGTCGACCTCATCGGTAATGATATGCTGAATGTTAACTGCCGTGTACGTTCATCGTCTTTTCACATTTTTCTTCAAAACGCGATAACGAGTGATCCTAATAATTCCTAAGAAATTGATTTGTATAACGAAATTTTGTGTTCTAAGTGGATTTGTTCATTAACTCACCTTGCGATCTTTATATTGTATCAACGGTCATCTCTTACGATTTGCGCAATGGTTCGACCGTTATAGTATTTCGTAATTTTACTACAAACGCTGCGTTGCACATGTTTGAGCGACTGCTTGGTGGTTGCATATGTTTGCATTTCTGCGAACCGAACGTCTGCATTTTGATAATCACAAAAAAAAACTTCGACGTAGATATACACAAACTACCTTCACACACTTGCACTAAGATGGCGTTGTTCTTCAATGCCATTGACGAGAGCGGCTCATAAAATAAGCATTAATATTCATAAACAATTAGTTTGGCGTTCATTACCGTGCATGATTCCGATCAATATGCGTTAGGGGGTTAACTAAAGCTTTCACAGTCATTTTAGTCGTCTTATAACTGAACAACCATCTTTTTCAGTTCATTTATTTTTAAATTACACTACGATCTATCTCAATGTTGTTATTCTTTAACAACACAACCATCTCAGTTGTCTTATTCTTCATTGAGACAACCATTTCTCAGTCTTCGTATACTTATAGTATACAACCATCTTAGAAATCCTTATTTTTTAACAACGCAACCATCTCAGTAGTCTAATTCTTCATTGAGACAACCATCTCAGTCTTCGTATACTTATAGTATACAACCATCTTAGAAATCCTTATTCTTGAACAACACAATCATCTCAGTAGTCTAATTCTTCATTGAGACAACCATATCAGTCTTCGTATACTTATAGTATACAACCATCTTAGAAGTCCTTATTCTTTAACAACGCAACCATCTCAGTAGTCTAATTCTTTATTTAGACTACCATCACAGTCATCTTGCTCTTTATTAACACAACTATCTCATACAGTTGCTTTCTTTCTTCTATAAGATTCCTATTGACATTAGCAAAAACGGTTCCATTTCGAGACTGACTTTATTAGCGTTATTTACTAATATTTGCAGTGTCAGACATTAGGCGTTAACTATGACTAAAAGAAGCACTTTATATCAATTACGTCTATATGCATGTACAACGTAATGGAAGGGTGTATCGGAAGGGAGGATCATTTAAGAAATTAAGCGTATGTTATTTTTAGCAGTACAAAGACAACTATTTTACACTGATGTTCGACAGAACTATTTTTAAACAGGATGTTTTGAACAGATGTTCGTCACACTACAACTTTCTTGTCAACTCGACCGTGTCAGTCTATATTGTCTTTTGTGTGACTCTTCACCATTCTTCTCTCGCCATTTCTCAATAACGGACAATAGTGTGTATAAAAAACATAACACGGACATACTTATACAAAAAGAGCTTTACAACTTTGTGATTCGCGCCATCTGCTCTCACTGCATTTCAAACTTGCATGTTTGCAGTAAAAATGTGACGTTCATAGAAAGCGTGGCGATTAAACTTTCATGCATACGTACTAATACAGGTGCTGCTACACTTTGCAAATTATTTTACAATTATGTCGCCAGACAAATTTGATTCAGAGGTGAGATATAAGGGGCGTATAAGCGTGAAAGTCCACCTTAAATAAACTATACAAAAGTTCACCATCGCAGTTGTATTCATGTATAAAAACAGCGTAAAAACAATTCGAGCAAAGTGCCGCTTCCTAAGATCATGGTAGACGTCAGGACCCTCCCACACTTCAAGTAGACAGGGAAAAGATCTTATTTTAATTTATCGTTCGTTCGATGAATTTCATAAACTCTTTGATGCTTGCACGCAAGGCAAACTAAACACCGTTTTATGATTGTAAGTCGTTAGTCAAATATTTAACTGTGGATAAATTTCCTGACATTTTCATGTTGGCGTTATCTGTATAACAATACGCTTTTGCTCTTTTCTAGAAGTTAATGTTTTCTGCTAAAGGGGTCAAGAAGTAAGTTTGAAAATTTTCTCGACTTGGTTGACCGTATAGTCTTTCTCTTTGGATAGCCAAGGTTTGTTTCGAGATTTTTCATAAACCTCTATACTTTTTTCAACTCGCAGTTTTCAGTTTTTGCGTTGCGTCGTAAATATTGTTTTTAACATTGAACAGCAAGTTGAAATGCTTGCTAGATAATATAGCATGTATAGAATATATATGAGCTGAAGTGATGAACGGCAATTCTTGAACAGTTATAAAGAGAAAAAGCCATGTGTTTTTTCTTGTTTTCTGTATGATGAACTTCAGTTTTGATAAATGATACTTAACAAGTGCGTTTTAAGCCGCGCCATAAAGGATTTTTATTGCTCTATATAAAATAAAAACAATAAAACGCGTGTGCTGATTGGTCTTCAGCTGTGTTTACATCAGCCTGTGCAAACCGATCTGAGCTCAAACGATAAAATCAATCAATCAATCAATCAGTCAAAGAGAAATTACAAATCAATCATGAATACATTTTAGAGGAAAAATTGAAACGTTTGTTTTTTATTTATTTGTTTTGCTTTGCTTTTATTTGTTGTTTCATAAAAGAAATAAATGATGTTTTTCTGTGTTGGCACAAGCTTGTGCAAACTTCGGAGACGTTCGTTGAGATCAGGCTTCCACTGATCTGCTCTCGATTTTCATAAGCCTGTGCAAAAACGCATTAAACATCAAACATCTTTCATTTTTAATTAAAATATAATTATGATTACATTGGATTTATAAATCTTCCGTATATTTCATTATTCTTTTATTACACTGATGGATTTCATTTAAACCTTGAGGCCACTTATCCACCTTGGAACTGAATCTCACAATTTGAGCAGGTATGTTTGCAGAGAGTGTCGTCGATGCAAAAAAAAAACATTTATTCCAACAATTTGTGTTCTGTCATTAACATTACATAAGTAATGTTGAAAAGATAATTGATTATTTAAAGTTGTCCCAACAAGCTGACTCTCTAATTTCCGAATGCGGGAAGTCTTTATCTTGATCTTCGATTTCTGCGGCTCGCAGCTGTCGGATTTGTATAATATGAAGCTTCAGAATGTTAACAATTGACAAAAGCTCTTCGCTACATTAGAACGAAGTATATTTTTTACCGATGAAAGACAAGAAAGAAAAAATTATTAAAATGACAAAAAGCAACATGTTTTCGCCTACAAAAAATTACAAACTTATTATCCTTAGAAAACACTGTAATGAAATTAAGTTAGACACAACTTAAAATAAAAAACACGCGGAGCTTCGCCATGCAATACTCTGATAGTGTGTATTTCCGTTGCAACTGTTTTGTATATGACGTTACGGTCGTCAAATATGAAAACGGCATGCCGGGATTTCTTTCATTATTATTTGGCGTGGTCTATAAATTTTTAACAGCGCACAATTCATTCGTAATAAAAGCGATTCGTCCCGTTCGGCATCATACATCTAGTTTGTTAATTGCACAAACTATAATTGATTGATCATTCAATGATATCGGGCGGGCTAAACCATTTCTTTAATTTTTCTGAACACACTATCGCTAGCATCTTTGTAAATTGTTAAGTGTAGTTGGACTTTTTATGTTTATGATAGATGGAACGGAGTTCTTTCAAGTTTATGTGCTAAATTTATTTATTCGTGTGCTTTGTTCCATTTTCATTATTTCCTTTTCAAAACACGATCTTGATTGCTTGCACCGTGATCTGTACTATAAGGCAATACAGGTTTTCGTTCATAGTGTATTTGACTTTCTACAAATATCAGGTTGAACATGTACTTCAAATATTAATAACTTGTAGCCGTACTTCTGTATTACCGAAATCTGAATGATTTTTGTATGTAATAACTTTAGTATGAAGTGCGAAGTGGCTCATATATTGAGTTTTTTGTATGTTTATGACTTGAACTTGCCAGTTTTCAACAAACCGTTCTGTTTTGTTGTTCTCTTTGTTTCTTCTTTTTGTGGTTTCTTCTTTGGTTCTTTCTTTGTTGTGGCTCTTTTTCTGGCTCTTTTCTTCGTTTTTTTCTTCTGGCGGTTTTCTTTCTTCGTTGTGGCTTTTTCGTCTTTCTTTTCTTTCTTCTTGTTGTTTTCTTCGTTGTGGCTATTCTTCTTCGTTGTGGCTTTCTTTCTTCGTTGTGGCTCTGTTTGCTCTGGCTCTCTTTTTTATTGTTGGTCTCTTTCTTTGCTTTGTTTTTCCTTCTTTTTGTGACTTCCTTTCTTTGTTGAGGCTCTCTTTTTTCGTTTTATGGCTCTCTTTCTTCATTCTTGCTTGTTTTCGTCTTTATCTCTGCGTCTCTTGTTTGCCATGTGTACCGGCTTTTGTTTAACATTACAGAGTTTATTTAACCATGACGCGTGCGAACTATTCTCATATTGGTTGGCAGTTCTTTTTAACTGCCTGGGTACAATTTCATCCGAACAAGCCAGTTTTGCGATTGCTCACTCTAATGGGATTTTAATGAATGAATACTTGTGGGTTCTAAATATAAATAAAATTGGAATATATATAATTCTGTGTACGTATAAGTATATCCACATATATAGGTAGAATCAAAACAACTATGGATAATTTTAAAATATTGGCAATTGCTAGTTTGAGTTTCATGCTGATGCAAGTGATAAATGATTCCTTTGTTGCCTGGAGACTGCATTGGCATGAAACTTCGAGTAGGAACATTTTAATAATTAGAATTATTTTAATTAAAAATTAATGCTCAACTACGGTATGTACACAAAGGACTAAACATGCTGTATACACAGTAGGTCCATCTAATATTTATTTGAATTACATCCCACCGATTTTTCCCGAGTCAATTTGCGTCCCCCATCATTATGAACAGTCAGTAAAATTACAGCCTTTCTTCATTTGTTGAAAATGATTAGTTTAATGTCGTGCATAGTGCGTTTGATAATTTGCACTTGCGTTTCATCAATATACAGCCGTTTCTTTAATGACTTTTTGCTAGGATACCACCTTGTAAACAAGCTAACTCCAGGCGTGAAACATGATTTCACACTTTTTTAAGAGCTCGCGGCAATTGTCACTCGGCGTGATTCGCACCGATCAATTACGCATTTACAAAATTATGTTTGCGTATGCAAGCACATTTTGTTGCAAAACATGACATGATTGTTTTCGGCACATATTTTAAAATTCAAATGAGGCACACATAGCCGATTGTGTTGGATCGTTTTAGCAACATGTTTTTTGTCTTGCATCGCTTCTTTCTTCCAAAAACACGCCAAGAATTCAGCTCGTGACGAGACGTTTTAGTGAACAGGAAAGTTATTTTATTAAGTCAAGAAAGGTATAAATTACTACAATTATTCGTAGAGATATAGATGTATATAATGTCCGGTAATAAAATGCGCTCCGGCCTGAAGCTATTGCTAAGTTTTGAGAGCCAATCTCTGGGAAACATGCACTTTTGAGTGATTGAAGTCGGAGCAATGCCCAGTGAGAACGGGTTCGGACGTAAACAAACTCTGCCTTAACTAAGTGGAGTTTTTTTCTTTCCATCGTTCTATTTCTTTGTGTGCAAGTTCGGATTTCCTTTGACGTTTTAATTTGCATTTTACAGTTCAGTTATATCCCTTCTCGTCTACATAAATCTTTGAGGACAACGGAAATTAGTTTGTGCCTCAGCATAATTTGGCATTAACTAAGAAAAACAGTTGTGTTTTTCGATTTTCCCTATTCATTTTGCTGTACTCGTCATTTCGTCAGCACATCCCCTAGTTCATTTTAATTTGTCTTGGGCTGAAGCGAACTGTGTCCTCCGTTACCCTATACATGGTTTTCACTACTCGGGTAAGAGAACAAAAGGTTTTTATATTGTTTTATGCTTATACTTTTACACTAATCGCAAATTCTTTGGAATTGATGCCAATATACACACTGTATTTGCAAATTGTACCCAAGTGCACATTTTCTTTGGAATTTAAGCCGAGGTACACACTGGTCGAACGACCATGCAGCTAGCTTCTATTTCATCGACGTTGGGAAAGTAATAGCTAAATATAGGCAAAGATTGTTGGCTATAGTGTACTCCATTATGTAGATAGGAGTGTATAGCTCACAAAGTTTCGTTGATGAGCGATAAAACTCCGCGTCATCTATCTATTCTTGACTTGAAATTCAGCGATGTTGGTTGTCTGATACAAAAGAGTATTTTATCAGAGTTATTGTTGGCACCAGCCGGCGTGGGTGAGCAACATTATCTGGCAAATCTCAAGAAAACGGTTGCAAGTCAAGAATTGTCCGTTTATGTACCGATGAATGACATGCAACATTGACATTGACCATCGGTATTTTCGTGATTGTGTCGTCAAGCTAGTGGACCATTCTTTGTATTTTCCAAACATTTTTCTTTTATTATGCAGAATACTATTTAACATGGGAGGGCAGTTTTGGGCTTTTAAAATATTTGAACAGAAACAAGGCGTTTCATATCTTCAAAGAGGCACATTGTTTAGCTAAACAAATGAGAAGACATTAATGACCTTGGCGTGAAAGTTGCTGTCCTAGTTACGTAAATATTTGATCGTTAATTTTTGCTGCAAACCGGAGGCAAGGAGTTTGTAGTGCGATTGACACACTGATATTTTTTAAACACTGGCTGACACAACTTAGTGCTTGACTTAAAGCCAGGCGGCGGCCATATTGCACTATCCACTTTTCAGTTTGTTATATACGTTTTATATAACAAAGTGCTCTCTCGCATTCATTTGTCGTCATATGTTTTACTTTTGGGACATAAAAGAATTATGATGATGACAAGATTCATGTTCGCAAAATTTCATATGGAAATCTTCTTACGTTGTTTAAATATCATAATAAAAGATTTGGCATGATTTCGGCGCGATTAAGGGCAAGGTCTGAGCTCTTTAAAACTATTGCATCAGATCTCTTCAAAATTTTAAATCGTCGTAACCCTGAACGTGCTACACTTATTGCCTGTTGCCATCGCCTTTGTGTTGAATGAAAGCATCTGGAAATAAACTATCTGTAAATTTTATGAATCAGATCTTGTTTACGGTGGGAATTATGTATATTTTTTCGAGAATGCATTTGCGTTTGGTTGGTGTTAAATGTGTTATACGTTCCTCATCTCGACAGTCTATGCTAAAATGCTAATTGCAACTTATGAGAACACTGCCAAAACACGATTGCTTTTCTCCTTTTTAGAACTCTCTATGTAGCATTTTGTTTGACAACTTTCACCCCTAGATTCATACATCGAAAAGATGACTTGGGCTTTTTCGATTTCATCAAGAAGAATTGTTTTCCGTTTCGATAGATTTTCTAAACTACTGGTGACCGCATCAATTCATCAACGATCGACTGGCTTAAGTGGGCTTTCTGAAATGGGCATATTAGCAAATTAGTATATAAAACACACGCATTACCATTAAACAATGACGAAATTCGAAAGTTTTTGAATGAAAATTCGACTTGAGACTCATCAGATACTATCCAATATCCCTCATCATCAGGTAGCCGACTTGGAATAAACTTTTTGGCTAGTTTTTTTTATGGAGGCTTAAAATACTTTTGCTTCCAAAGAACTATTTCCGTTGACGTAAACCACGAAAGTTGCCCGATCAACATAAATGAACATTTTATGCAATTCGACAAAGAAACGGTATTTTTAAAAGTTCAAACAACACGGATAAGTCTATTGCAACTGTTCTCGTATATATAGGTAACTTTAGTCTTTTGCGTACCCTATAATCAAGTACGATTATCGAAATTCAAGTTTATGCACGTACGTTTTTATTGTCCTGTTTTGGCAAATTAATTAGTCGTTTTTGTACCGTTCAGAGAAATGGCTTGTTGAAAATACAACACAAGCTGATCTATATACCAAAACGGGCAATAATAGGTATATTTCTTTTTTTATTTCTTTAACGTTCATCGCGAACGGTCGCCCCGTATAATCGAGGCACTAAGTTTTATGCCAAAGCATCCTATAATGAACGTATACTAGCAGCCTATAAGTGCTATTTGAAAACTCATATAACAAAACGGGCAGCTGTGTTTTTGGTACGAAAGTGTGAAAGAAGGTAGAATGTTGCTTTTTGTTTGTTTTATGTTGCAGTTGATTCGAATTCTCGATTAGTTTCCATCAGAAATTGTTGGTCGCGTTCGCATTTTTATGAAGCATCTAGATCTCTACGTTTGTAACAAACGGTACCTAACATCTTGCATTATTATTTAGTGTTGCACATAGGATTATTTTCAATGACTTATAGACTGATTATACTTGAAGCATTTTCATCCCAGGATTGAACTCGGCCGTCTTTCATGCTTTCTTTACCGTCTTTATCAGAAATCCTTCTCTAAACTACATTGTATCGTATATTATCATTAGACTTCTTACGCCGTTTCTTCTAAAATTGAAAATTGTGTGTCGACTGCGCATACAAATTGGATAGCATACAGTCCCGAGAACGAATCGGAAGACGCATAACTGCTTTGTGCTAACGCGCAAAGGAGAAAATTGCTACACATGTTTCTACAGGCTAGAGTATGGGAGGGTGTATTGACCATGGGTATAATTTTACATTTAACTGCATTTTCTATAGTTGAAATGGTCAATAACGGCGTAAACAAAGGTGAAGAAAACAATATGAAAACGTCATCGAATGACTCAACGGAGAGAACGGCTCAGAACAGCTTTCGGAAACTCTTAAAGAACTTTGCATCGGAGACCAGCTTCGGTGGTATCTCGAAGGCGGCGCTATCCGAAGGTTTTATACGGAAGTTCCTTTGGTTCCTTATCTCCGCGACTTGCTACGGTTTCGCTATTTTCATGTGTATTTCGTTGGTTCAAACATACTTGGATAAACCGATCAGGACGTCAATAGACATTATTTACGAAAAGGTAACTTTTTAATCCTGAACTTTTCCTTTGATTAGATTGATGTTTCGATTTTCTCGTGATTCTTTCCTGACTATATTTCAACTGAACAATGAAAACTCTAGCGAATTTGCTATTGTCGTGATAGGGCCATCAATCCTACACTTGGGTTAGTTAGCCGTCACAAACTCACAGTTAATGACGCAGCCTGCATATCGAACTTTTCGCTGTATTTTTGGGAACATATTTTTTTTTCAAGCACTGTCTTTAGAACCATAGATTTTGAATTTACATAAACCGACAGACTAAATCTGCAGGCTGGCTACGGCATACTGGTCACGGTCACTGATCAAGGAATGGGCAGAGGCGCCATTTCGCCCTTCCACTTTGTGGTGTATATGTGATTTGATTACAGGATGTAGTTAGCCTTCTCATCATTCCTATTAGTCAGAAAATGCAATTGACTGGCTGCCATTAGGGTAATCACCTGCGTAATAAGATATGCACGGCACGAAATCTTTGGAACTAGTGTGTCTCAATATGAAGGTAGCTTTTGATGAATGTATAAATGCGTTATGCATGACAAAAAATTGAAAAAGAACTCATCTAAAACAGGGCTGCAGGCGTGTCTCAATACTTCAGAAATCGATAGTTTTTATCAATAGCAGTTTTCAAACTTTAATCCGCCGAGTATGATCACGTGTATCGTGGTATGATAGTGTGTGTAAGTCGAGGGCAAACATGCTTTTCAGGGGGAGTTATGAAGCGCAAGACTTATGAGCCACCAGTCATCTCAGTCATAGGTTGTAAGCATCTATGAAGTCATACAACGCCATCTTACGATTTCACGGCTTCACCCCCGACCAAAGAGCACCCCTGTGGTACATTTAGTTACAAAGCACGTGACCAGAAGCTCTACGTGAAAGGTTGTTTGGATTGTCTTCTCTTGCAGAGAGTAGCGTTTCCCTCGGTGACATTTTGCAATCTAAACCAATTTCGTAAAATGAAGCTTAAAAACTCTCTCTCAAACATTTATGCAATCATTGGAAACTACTCGAATTCAAAATCCAACGGCTCGAGTTTGGAAAATTCGTTGGAGGATCAAAGGAAAGCGGCAAAAAAGGATTTCAATGCCGATTTTCCTGGAAGCAGTATGGACAACATTCCTGACAACGATTTAGACATCGATGACAGAATCTTATTGCAACAAGTGGTTTCGATTGAAGCGTCCAATTATGAGGAAAAGGAACTCAAGTCCGTCGGACATCAGTTTTCCAAAATGATCTTGAGTTGTTCCTGGAAAGGAATTAATTGCAAATCTGGGTAAGCAAGTTTTACGAATAATATAAGGAAGTAGTTGATAAAGAGTGGAAAAGTTGATAATTTTGCGAGGGAGGAGGTTGATTCATGATTCATATGCGCATGTTATAATCCTTAGTAATTCAAAAGAACTCGCGAAATAAAATTATAATTAATTCATTGAGCAAGCTAAGTTCTTATTGCTCGCGGGGCATGAATGATATAAAGGATCATGAATGATATATAGGATCATGAATGTTATAGAATCATGACTTGTGTTGAGCGCATACTTTCATCTCATAGATAAGTTAACGTACTTGTGTTGTCCCTGGTTTTACGTGAAACACATGTGAAATGCACGTGAAATACATGTAAAATACATGATCTTTGCGTTGAACCATTTAGTGTGCTAAGTAAGTATTGGGTAGAGATCTGGAATTGGAGATACGGTAATTGTTTCACATTCAACCCCGGAGCTGATCTCAATGGGAGTTCACTCGCTGTTTTTCGTACGACGAAGCCTGGACCGAGCTATGGTATGTTTACCACACACTTCACATGTGATATCGTAAACTTTTCCTTGACCAAGCTATATGGTATATTTTTCACGGATAATTACACATATTTGACATGTAACATCTTGAATTTTTCCATGACCGAGCAATATGGTATGTTTTCCACGGATAATTACGCATATTTGACATGTGACAACTTAAATTTTTCATCACAAGAAAACATGGCCATAGAATAGAGCAATGACTCAGCTATAATCGTTTTGAGCAACTAATAAGATTAATTGAGTTGTTGATGCATTACATAACTTATTTAATTATGGTATCTTTCTTAAGTATTAAGCAACTTCCATCTCGTCTCTTTCATCGCCAACTCACTTTAGACATTGTAGAATGTTTATAAAAAGACAACTCATTTTTAGTGCCTTTTTCATTAGATGTCATGACCACTGTTCAAGCAAATTACCTAGAATCCAAATTACTAAATACCTGACTTCGCCGAAATTCTTTAGTTGCAAGTGAGGCAAGCCGCCATCTTGAATGGTGGCAAAACAGACGATATTGACGACTGATATCGGCTTTTCCTGTGTTGATATACAGTTGCAGCGTTGATTTCTAAAATGTTTGATAGGATTGTTTTTCTAATTAAGTTGAACTTTCGCTTAACTTAATTTTATTTTGATTTTTGCTTTTTTCCACCTTTCAAAATGGCGTCCTTGCCTCAACTCCGACACGGTAGTTATACATCTTGGGGATAGGGTTCTAAATCATTGGTTCAAGCCAACCCACAATTATTAATTTGAAGCAAAGTTGACAGTTTGTCATTCATTCAAAGGTCTCTCTGTCGACTTAAACATCGAACAAAACGATTATGTGTCCGAGTTGACGGATGAAGCGGGAGTTGTCGTCATTGTGCACAATCCACGACAGTTTCCGTTTCCTTACGATGAAGGCATCACGGTGCCTCCTGGGTTTTCATCTTCCATCGCCGTTCGAAAGGTATACTTTTTACTTTGTTGTAATGTAGAGTAAAATAGTCATTATAATGCCAGTTGGACGATTCCACCTTTCACGATGAGATAATTTGCAAGATGTTGCTTGTGTATAAGATTGCTAGCTCATTTGCCTGGACCACGTAGTAATAATATGAAAAAAAATTTTATGTTTGACGGAGCTGTCCTATGGAACTCTTTTCCCACCGACTTGAGAGAGTGTAAAACACGTTTCTCTTTCCAAGAAAAAAGTCGCTACTCATCGGTTGTAAATATTGTATTATATTTAAAATATCTCATCTTCTAGTTTTGCATGTCAATCTTTTATTGTTATATTTAGTATATATATCATTACATAGCTATATTTCAGTTACATATTGCACTTATGGTGACACGTGTGATATCTGTATTTTATATTTTACACGCCTATCGTGGAAACCAGCTTTTGCTGACGATACCCAGCGTGGGTAAATAAAGTTATCTACGTATATGCATAAAAGGAACGCGAGCAGAAGACACAAATAATAAAGTACTTCACTGGTATTGTTGTCGAATGCTGTTTTACGACTCACTTCCATTACCTGCAATTTTAAACTCTTTTTCAGGAAATGATCAGACGAGTCGATCCTTTCCAAAACAACAGCTGTTATCCTAACACCAAGTTGTCCAAAGATAATGTATTTAAGAATCATTTAAATGGGGCTGGCGATAAATACTCGGTCAAGGTAAGTGATTGGGTTAGTGAATGATTTGAGCCAGAGAGGTCGCGTGTTTGTATTACGTGACTCCCGAGAAGAGTATATTGCTATGGTTCGCGAAACGTCTTTCACCTGGTCGGTACTAATGATGTAATAATGGTACGAGTATTGGAAAATCTTTGTCAAATCTTAATCATTGTCATGCTCCCCAAAGGCTGATTCAAACTTCGAAAAATTGTTAGTTGATATTTTTTCATACAATCCAATTTAATTGTTTAACGAGAGGACATTCATATTTAAGAAATAAGAGATGCTCAATGTGTTTGCACATGCTAATACATACCAAGGAGACCTCAGGGAGAACTCGAGAGCAGATCAGTACAAGCCCGAGACCGAAGGTCGAGGGTTGCACCTGCTAGAGTGAGTTGAGATTTGTTTTGCACGAGATGATGCAAACACAGCTATAGACCAAAAGCGCCGGCGTTTTATAGTTTGTATTTTATAAACATGAGTATTTTCCCTAACACGAACTATCGAGCTGGCTACGGCACAACGTTTTTTGAGTTGCTCGTTTTTCCTTAGGCCTGTATGGAGTCTTGCCTTGCAACAGCACAATTTCGGAAGTGCTCGTGTTCGGACGCCAAATATTCGGGTTACGTGAAACGAATATGCAAAGCATCTGATGAACGTACGTACGGAAGTTGAATCTTTACTCTTGATGATTGAGTTTGTTTTCATCATTATTATTTACTACTGTTAATTTTATTGATATTTTGTTATTTATTCTTCAATTTTTACACCATTTTTTTGTTTTTAATTCAATCCATTTAACTTACCTGACTTAATGTCGAGGTGACTTACTTGTTTTTCTCTGTGTTTAGTTCAATGTGCGAACAACGTGACAACTTCTTACAAAAATAGTCTTCTGGATTGTGACAAAAGGTGCCCACAGCCTTGTGTGTAAGTGGCTTATCATTATTATCGTGGAATATTTTCATTAATAACAGGGGGATTGGTAAAATGTAAATGCCATTGTATAAGTTTTTTGCCAAACACTCTCCCCATAAATAGACTTAGTCATCGATTGGAGAACCATCTACCCGTTTTTCATGTTAATATCACAGTGTTTACAAATAGAATAATACTGAATTGTTGAATTGCTCGATGAGTCGAGCGAGATCTTTGCTACTGTCAATTGAAACTTTCGTTTCATTTAAGTTTGCTGCTTTTTTGTAGACACGAAGGATATCGATATACGATTCGAACGTCAAGTCTAACTTCTAAAGAAAAAGTTTGTTTTCTTATTTCATGTTACTCAGAAGCGTTAAATATTATACTCCTTTCTATCATCAAGCCTTGTCGACAAATCTGCGTTTTTCACAAAGTTGAAAAAAATTTTTATTTTGTCAGAATATTTTCTTTTTTTTTGTACTTTTTTTGAAAACCAGATTTCCATTCGCACCATCAAACAATAATATTATTTTGGGATTTATGTCTTTCGTTGGCTGAATCTAAGCATGGGTTTTCTCTAGGGGTTTTTGAAGCTTTTAAAAGCTGTGGGTGTTCCACGATCAATAGTTGAATTAGTTATGAAACTGTTTGATATTAAATATTTTCATGTAGTTTTATTCACAGCATCGTGCCTAAGTTAAAGGTCTGTTCATCAATTAGAAATAATTTGTATTTGTACATGTACAATAATTTGTAAAAGTTCAGGAAATTTCAGTTCAGGAAGTTCATAAAAATCCAAATTTGTGAGTCAGTGTACTTCCTATAGTCGGTGTGACCATGTATGCAATTTTTTTACCAGATTAGGTCAGATGAGATCAAACATTCCTCCCTGTTATAGGCGGTAGGAGTTTACTAAACCAAATCTAGTAAAAAATAGTTTGTTTTTATGGCCACATGCACTTCCCCCACATTCCACAAATCGTGGCTGCTCGGACAGCTAGACACTCGTGGCTTCCCAAGCCCTTGGTTTCGATCATAGAAATACAAGATATTTTTATATGTGTCATTTGTTATATCTTTGGATTTATAAAATCATCTTTTTCACAGGAAGCAAAAATGGCCAAAGACTTTCCTCTTCAAAAAGGACCGGACTTCAACCTCGAGTAAGCTATTGTTGAATTTCACTTTGTAGATCATCAAGCCTTTGAGATGTGTCGTGCAAGCTGTACGCGCTCTTTTACCGTATGGCAAACGAACACAGAACTGAAATTTTCTGTTAATTTTTACAGCGACAATTTCCTACGAGTGAAAGTGTTCTATGACGAATTGAATTTACAAACGATCACACAGTCTACCTACTATGATGTGAGAATGACTTGAATGTGTTCTTTTTTCATCGTTTTTTTTCATGAGGGAAGCTTTTACAGTGTGTGTGGGGAGGGAGAAGTGCTAATGCATGGACTACTGACGCAATATAGGGAATATACAGTTGGTCTACTTCGCTGAGCTACTGGATGATGTATATTTAATTAGACTACTGATTGTCATTAGCCATTTCATCATTCCTATTGGTCAAAAAAAGCAATTGGCTGGCTGCCACTAATGCATTGATTCATGCTGATGTAAACGAGAAAATTGTACAGTACCAATGTATTATTATAGCTTCAGACGTTGCTGGCCGATATTGGCGGCCAGCTGGGTCTTTGGATTGGTATTTCAGTCATAGCAGTCGCAGAATTTGGTGAACTACTGTTCTCTCTTTGCCTTGTCGCAGGCAGGAAATCACACGACAAGAAGAAAACAAAATCCACGGAATTGGAGTTGCACACGTAAAGATTTCTTCGTGAATTGCTCTGCTCGTTTTCTGATTATTTCGAGACTTCATTTGCATCGCCTTGTATTTACTTGTTTTGTATTTATGTAGGCCTTGATCGTGACGAAAAAGTAAAGGGCCTGAGAACGAGGTAGAACCCTGAAAACAATGACTTTTTTGGGAGAGCGTCGTAAGTTTTCTTTTAATGTGAATAATTGTTGTACATAATACAATCGAAAGTATGAAAATATGAAATTTTAGCGAAGGGAATGGTAGCCAGAGTTGATGAAATAGGCGTGACTCGGTCTCGAAACGTTTGTCTACAACACTTGAAACAAACTTAACTGTTAGGCGTGTTTTAATCAAGAAAATATTTTCTTGGATAGTTCTCAAATTACAACTTCGACTAGAAAAAAATATAAGCATTTCAGTGAAAACAGTAGCCTGCATACACTGATTACAATTTACAAATAAAAAGAAGGTTCTAAAGGTAGTGATATGGCGGCCATCTTTCACGCGCATCCGAAGAATCAAATTCACAACCAAGTAAAAAGCTTCAACTAACTAGTCAGCATAAGCAGGTGATTGTCTGTTTCGCTTTAAACACCTCCGCCGGTCGAAGGTCGTAGGGTTTGGCCACGTAACCTGGTTCAACACACACCATGTTTTTGTACTAAAAAATCGCCAACAAAACATGAATCCCGAAAATCGCCAAGAGAGAGAACATTATTTTTTTCATAGCTTTACCTCCGTATCGCCGAAATCCGACATCTGCTTTGCTTTTTCGATCCATGGGTTCCATACGACTGGGGAGAAAAAAATACTATTCATAACAGCATACCGCCGTTAGAACATTGATTGAAGGGGGGAGGGAGAATGGTGAATATTCATATATTCCTTTTCAATAGAAATTAGTCATCACAACTGAATATATGAACATTCACAATTCACAACTCCACACACACACACACACAAATGACGTTCTAGCTGATGGCCTGAATCAAAAATCTGAATGAGTGCTCGCTGATGTTACTATGTCAATCCACTTCTCGTAAATGAAATTTTAAAATGTATACCCGTGAAAATTTCTCACCGGTATCTGGAAGATTTTCTTTCGTTATTCGAATTTCATGATCGCCAGTCGACAAAAGCAGCTCGTTCGCCGTGTTCTTGTAGACGCTGCGAAATTTTCAACGTTGCAAAAGAAATTTTTCGTAAGCATTGAAACGAGTGTGCAGCATGATTATGGAAGTTAACTATATAGAAAATGAAATTCGAGAAATGCTCTCGACCTGATACCTGTCGACATTCCCGGAAATTTGAAGAGCTTCCCTTTCTTCCTTTTTTTCGCCACCTCCAACCTATAAATTGTGTTTGTACGAAATATAGCTAGCAACAAAAACAAACAGAAGTTCGTCATACGAAATTCAAACATTTAAAGTGGACGAAAGACTTTCGGTAGACGATTGGAATGTGATAAATGAATACGAATAAAGGCGTGCTTCATATTTACCTTATCTATATATTCACATCCATGAAGTCCTCGCAGTTTCATCTTAGAAATATCCACGTTGTAATAGGTATGAACAAGAGTCGTGAAGTGAAATCCCTTCGTTCCTGAAAACACGTCAATGTTGTAAACTTAAAAAAATTAAGTATGTATTTTGTAAACAAGGCAATGGAAGATGGCAATTATAAGTTTGCGCGTATTACATTGTTTGCACCTGAAGTGATCTCACTGAAAACATTTTGGTGTACAGTTGAAACTTCTATATATTTCAAAGTATTTTTCAACAATGTTTTCATCGAGAGAAATCTCGCCAAGGCTTGACACCTCATATTGTTCGGCCTCAAGGTCCAATGTTTGTTCACATGTTCACGTGTTATCCAATCATGATGGCTCTGGCTAAAATTGCCATTTGATTGGCTGATTTATGAACTTGGACAATGTTGACTTTTGAAATGAACTTCGAAACAGTTCAGTCGAGTCATTTGATTTGGTTCATACCCGTATTTTCAATGCTCACTTCTGTGGAAAATTCGTCGTCTTTCAAAGTCAAAGTGTACAAGAACTTAAAACTGCAAAGAAAAAAAAATTGTTAGCAGTTCTGGCTGTTCCATCTGGCCAACTGAAAGTTTAGTGTATACTTATAATCCCAAATTTTTCGAGTTTGTTCTGTGTCCTCTAACACCAAAGCAGCGACAATGTTTCCACTTTCGTCCTTTGAAAATTATAAACAGAGTTTTAGCGCCTGGCTGCGTCCAAAAGCGAAACCTTACATATTCTGTAAAGCGAAGAATGATTCTTACATTATCTTCAATTTTTTATGCATAAAAATCTAAGGTTAGTTTTAGAACTTGATGACGACTGACGAGTACACGAAGTTCGAATCATGCTTACATGAGATTGACAACTTTTGGCAGGACTTAAATTACTCAACCTGCATAATACCTTATCGCAGGTAACGATACAGAGAAAGCGGGAAATAGGCGGGAATTATTTGAAAATGACTGAAATCTAGACAACAAGATGGTTTTCTTGCCGAAATCCAATTTCGTGAAGAATTTTGTCTTCTGTGTTTAAGTTTCTAAAGATTTTGGCAAGCAAAGCAAGTGGGGTTAATATATATACCTCAGCTTATTGAAGTTAGCTGGCAAATTTCTCATTACTCCGCAAAGAATTTGAACTTAAAAACTTCTCAATTTGGATTTCACTCACTTCAGAGAAAAATTCAGTGGATATTCTTGGCAACTGTAAGTACATTTATGTAAACTTTGGGTGACGAGCTGCAGCTTTGCGTGATCGTGCTTGTAGTTTGAAAATTAGGATCAAAACAATTGAATTTGAAACATGTAAATTTCAATGCCAATTTTACTTTGTGATGAATATTTCGGCCAATATGGCGTAGCCAATCAGAGCAGACCAATTTTCGCATACTTTCTTCAGGCGCAAAATACAAAAATACAGAAGGTAATCGAGATCGATTTCTCATTTTGTGCCAATCCCTTGCAATACATCATTCATTAGCCACTCAGGGAAGGCAAGAAACAGGGACTTACCCCACCTTCCACCAATAAATGTTCATTTGCTTTTTAAATGTATTGGGTTTCTTTTGTTTCCTAAACAGGCTAAGAGGTAGATAAATGATACCAGGCCAATGGCATTTCACACTGTGTGTATTCTGGGTTTGTAAGCTTATACATGGTATGCTTGCAGCTTGCATGGTAAGATAAACCCTGAAATTTAAATGGCTTGACATACTCAGCTCAATCAAAAGTCAAGTACATTTCTGTTAAGTTAGGTATTCATTGAATAGAAACCCAGCTTAAGCTGAGAAGTAAGGAAACAACATTATGAAGGGCATTTTCAATGACATCATAGTAAATATGTCTTCATTGCACTCAAAAATGAAGGAAAAGAGTTTAGGATTTAAATAGCATGACTGGTTTATGAGTTGAGATGGCAGGACAATTAGCAAAAATTGAATTGTGTTGGGATAAGTGTTTGACTTTGGTTGGATAACTTATCGACTACCTAAGGTGAACTGCTGATTCTCAATAAAATTCACTATGGATCATTCCTTAGTCTCAACAGAGATGATGCATTGAAATGGTAGTGTCATTTTTTATGGTAAAATGTTCACCACCATCCATGACATTTGCTTATTTCTTTACCTTTTCTGGTTGTTGATGTATCTTCCATGTTTCTGTTCGTGCAAATCCGTGTTGTGGTCCCAACTCCCATGGGCCAAAATTTGCTAGCAATTGACAAGTATCGCACGACTCTGATTAGTTTATGTAATCCTTAATTAAAAGTAGAGCCATGTGTATTTTCAACATTCAAAAGCAACTCACGAAAAACTACAGGAATTCCTCCCCGAATTGCTTTTACTCCATTGAAGACAGCATTTTTACTAAAATTATAACCAAACTGATCATACCAAATAGTTATTTTGAAAACACAGCAAAGTCAACAAGTTAACCCACATATGATTAAGACATAAATGGTGAAGGAAAAGTTAGTTCAAAGTGTGTTATACGTATTATCATTAGTCGAATATGGCATATATAACGTTAGTCTAATATGGAATTATACTATATATATTCACCTAACAAACAGCATTTCTTTGCCCTTGCATTTCCATGACGTCACTGTTGCACCTGTATAAATCCCATGAATTGCACAAAAACAGTATAGCATAATATTCAACTCTGCATAAAAAACGGCCTTAGATGGAGAGTTGCAGCTGTATTATTCTAAGAAGCCGAATGGTTACGCATCTTTATGCAATTTCCGCTTGTTTGTCATCGGTAGAAGACAATTTTAGTGGCAAAGCTGTGAAAAATGTTTAGCTTGAGGTTTTTGTGCTGTGTGTATTAATTATTGTGTGCTGAGACAAATAAGCTTCATTTGAAACTTGGAAGATTCTTAATTTGTTCGGTTGAATTCTTTAAATATGGAAGACAGTCATACCGTGTAGATAAACCTCTACTGCCGTCTTCTCGTCTTTCTTAAGCACAAGTTTCGGTAGTTCGCCTGTCATTTTTTATAAGCGAGGTTTCGCCTTCACCTTTTAATTAAAATCTGTATTATATAACTGCTGTGACTATGATTTTCTAACATTGAATTTGTAATTTGTAAATACACTTCGCTGATTGGCTAAAAGCTGTGTTTGTATTAAGCGATTTACACGTACGCAAAATTGCCGCCGCGAATTTAGTTTGCATCAATCGAATAAACATGAGTGACTAATATTAATACATGTTTGTTTGGTCAGAGTTAAACTGAAATATTCTGCTATCAAGACCAACCTAGACATAAGTTTATGCACAGCTAAAGACTCGGAAAATTTTTATCAGAAAGTTACAATTGTAATGTAGGTATCGATGAGCGATGATGTAAAATTTCAATCATTAACATTATTAAATACCCAGGCAAGCGAAGGTTAGCATGCATCGCAGACCATTTATAATTCTTGTGTACTTTGACTTTCCCGTCTTGTCGCGACATTGCACAATCACGCGGGACTCTCACGAAATTACATCCTTGAACCAATCAACATATTTCTTGGCACGTACACTAAAATATGACTGACATTATATATTGCCACGTGTGAAATAGTTGCATTTCCGTGAATTTTTTTTATAGTTCTTGGCAAGAAATGTAACCAAACCCTGACTCGAGTAGCACAAGTGAACGGGCTACTTTTTTTATTGAACTGATGATAGGCATTTTGTTCATTTAGAAATCTGTTGTTTTTACTGTGAGAGAACTTAGGGAACACCGTATTATTCACGTAGCACGACAAAACTGGTTGCTTGGCTACGCCATCGGCCATTCACGAAAGTGGCAGTCCAACAATAGCGCATTCTCGAGTATGTACTTTTTCAATACACCTTAAAAATTCGAAAACATTTGTTAAGATTTTATTTTTTGGAAATTCATATCCGATGGCATTGTCTGAAAGGTATTTCAATAAAATTAACCAAATCTCTTTTTCTCACATTGTATTGCAAACTGATTCGGTAGGGAGCTGGCGTCTCGTTTGCGAAAGCATTTTCACTATTTCGGGAATGCGCCTAATCGGGTGCGGTTAGGGTTGATCTCACTTGCAACATAAATATAAGCATAAGTATCCTCACTTGCAATAAACTGCGATAAGTGCAAGCATAACCATACATAAGCATAAGAAAAATAGAGAGTTTTGATAATCTTGTGCTTATGCTTATGTCGCAGGTGAGGACCGAACTGTGTTCGCTTTCAATGCCCAACTGTCATTGATCAAGACAGAATTGTCTTCCGCATCGATGAACGCTGTTCTGACTGTGCATATTAAATTTAATTTATGCAAATCACGAGAGAAAAGACCATCTCAAATACCTGTTGCGATAACAAAAACACACAAGACAAGCATTACGTATTTCCTTTCGAGCTTGCAATTAAAGTATCTTTTATATAAAACGTATGATTCAGGTGTAGTTGAACGAAAGCATTATGAACGACGAGTACGACTATCTGTTTAAATTATTACTCATTGGCGACTCGGGGGTTGGCAAATCCTGCATTCTGCTTCGTTTCGCGGACGACACTTTCTCGGAGTCATACATCAGTACGATTGGCGTGGACTTTAAGATTCGTACGTTGACGCTTAATAACAAGCAAATCAAGTTACAAATATGGGATAGCGCTGGACAAGAGCGTTTTCGTACTCTAACCACGGCGTACTACCGCAGCGCTCATGGTATAATACTCGTCTACGACGTCAACGATCGAGAGACGTTTATTCATATAGAAAATTGGCTTCAGGAAGTGTCCAAGTACGCCGCCAACGAGGTGAATCGAGTTTTGGTGGGCAACAAATGCGATGTCTTGAACAAACGCGAAGTGGAATACGAAACAGCTCGTGTTTACGCGGAGAAATTGGGCATCTCTTTCACAGAAGCAAGTGCGAAAGATCGAACGAATATCGAAAAATTGTTTAACATAATGGCGAACGAATTAGTTGAACGATTAGGGGAAAGTATTGAGGAGCCTTCGCCGCTGCAAGAGGACAAAGTTGAACTGACCGCTGGCACGGAAGTTCATGGCAGTGGCTATCGTTGCTGTGGATTTGGATAGCATTCTATCGTTCTTTCTCAAAACGCGTACGTTTGGTTTGTTCGTTCTCAAAACACGTACATTTTAGATAGTAAGGGACGTTCAGGAATTTGTCACTCGTACGAGACTAGATTGCCGAACTCGACTCGAATGCACTTTTAGATTCCTTGGTTGTTAATTGCAATAGTCGAACTCAGTGTCTCGGCTACCTACGTGTTATCGCAGTTCGTCTCTATTCATTTGCATTAAGTTATATAAATGTTATCGATTTCACTTCGTGTGTATTTTTGTAATTTTTCTTCATAAATAATTCTTCTTGCATTATGCAAGTCACATGTTTTTTTATGAAAGAGACGATAAACCGATCTGAAACGTTGCAAAAACGCTGAAGTGTAAAATTCACTCTCCGCCTGTGTCGTGTGCGTTTAATCATTCCTTGCCAAGTTAAAGTGTGGGCGTCCCCCCTCCCCCCCAAGGTTGATTATTTTTGATAAATTATTGGAATCGTTCGCAATGAGATAGATAGGAACTGTTCATCTATTTATTTACATTTTTACAACAAAAATAACCTATGGGAAATACAAACTATCTACGTAAATAACAGGTCATGTTTTCATACGGATTTGTCAACTGTGCGAAACATAACAGGTTGCGTTGATTTAGCAAATTGTGGCGTTTCTACAAAATTAGAAAATAAATTCTGCTATACGCAGTGCCAAGTACTTTTTTTAGAGATTTTACATTTTTTCATAAGTCACGCTGTAGCCACATGTTCGGCATGTCTTCGTCCACGTGTCGGTTTTTTCGTCGTAAACCTCCTCCCCAGGCTCCCCATTGGCGGGAAACTCGTGCACGTGATGCGAAGAGTTTTTTTTCCACGTGCTTGTCCTCACTGCTCGTCGTAGTTCTAAATGGACAAAACCAGAATTCATTTGTTTCATTGTCATGCGTGGGGTCGTCTTACGTACATTATCGCTCCGTTTCTATAGCAAGACCTATTCTTAAAATGCTTCGCCATTTGCAGTTTGCTATCCTTCATTCAACATATTTTAACAAAGTTTTTTATAATTTATATTATTTAACATATATCGGTACCATTACCCTATAAATCCATTACTATCATTAACAATTCGCAGAATACCACCACCATTACAATCGTCACTAATGTGTAGTATATGTATCCACTATCATCACCACTGCACAATTTATCGGCATCACCATCATTTCCAATATACGGTATATCATTACCAAAGTTTGGCATAACAATAATATGTTACATATCACAATGTAATGGTTAAAATGACAAATTGTGAGCGCAAAATGGTGCCAAACTTTCATAGGATTTGATTTCGAGCCATTTTACCTTTGACTTTTTTGTCAAATTGTTTTTCTTTTCTCTTCTCTCTCGCATTTGCTCTTCGCTCCCTTTCCTCTTCCATCGCTTCCTCGTCACCCCACACCTCTAAAGATCTTGCAAATACCTTAATGTTTGGCAAAGGGGTTACGATCCTCTCGTTCACTGTAAAATCACATAAAGAAGTGACCGTACCTGACTTTTTAGATACAGTTTCATGTCGCCCCAAGTCGACTTGTGTGGATTTTTCTTCACGATGCATTTCAACGGGGGTTCGCGTTTGTCCAAATCACAGTCTTTCAGCAGAAAGTGCTGTAATTATAAAAGAACAGATAACATGTAAACATTGAATATGAATTTGTTAAAACATGAACTTTTTTTGTAACCGAAATGGTTAAATTACAAAAGCCCTTAATAACTAATTTGTAAGATTATACATAAATTTACAAACCAAAAAAAACCAATTAGAATGGAAATAACCCGGATTCTTAAAAGCTACAACGGGTTCTAGGTCTAGAAGACGGCCAAAAATATTCAAGGTCAGTGAATGGGCTAGGATAATTGAAAACGCTAGTGGTGATACTCGCCGTTGATTGGCTAAAAATATTTTCCTTGAAACATGACTAGGTACTCAAATCACTTTTATGTTTTGCTGAAGGGTATTTCAAACTCAGCCTATTGTTGTTTCATAATGTCGGGAAAATATCTTACTGTTTGATTCCCTCAAACATCTCCGGTAAATACGTCTAATGTCACCATCAAAAAGCTCGCCCGGTCTTCGCAGAAACTTCAATCAACGAATAAAGTTTTTCCACAAAATTTCAATAAATTGTGCTATTCATACGGTTCCCCTAATTAATCCTTACTGTTTTTGCATCTGTTTTAGTGATTAATGCATGTTTTTCTTCATTATCTCTGCAATAAAAATAATGAAATCGGCGAAATTTACAAAGAAGATAAAAAGTACATAAGCTTTTCATAAAACAATACTAAGGTATTTTTTATATGTAATGTTCTGTAAATAGCCTATGCGGGCTTTCTATCATCGTTGCAAATTTCTATATTAGGATTATAACATAGCGTATACAAGGTTAAGTCTTTTTAAGATATGCAATACTCCTTTTGTAGTATATAAGTTCCTTTAACTATCAATTTGAGCTACGTTTCCATTGTAAGGAAAGAAGGGATTTACCCTCTCTAACTTCAATGGGACGACAATAAGGAAAACAAACCAAAGGAATGTTCCATCACACAAAAAAATAATTTATAACCACGACAGTATTATTCTACTCCATACTCTGTCATCTTTATGACAGCATTATTCTACTCCATACTCTGTCATCTTTACGACAGTATTATTCTACTCCATACTCTGTCATCTTTATGACAGCATTATTCTACTCCATACTCTGTCATCTCTATGACAATATTATTCTATTCCATACTCTGTCATCTCTATGACAATATTATTCTACTCATACTCTGTCATCTCTATGACAGTACTATTCTACTCCATACTCTGTCATCTCTATGACAATATTATTCTATTCCATACTCTGTCATCTCTATGACAGTATTATTCTATTCCATACTGTCATCTCTATGACAGTATTATTCTACTCCATACTCTGTCATCTTTATGACAGTATTATTCTACTCCATACTCTGTCATCTTTATAACAGTATTATTCTATTCCATACTCTGTCATCTTTATGACAGTATTATTCTACTCCATACTCTGTCATCTTTATGACAGTATTATTCTACGTCATACTCTGTCATCTCTATGACAGTATTATTCTACCCCATACTCTGTCATCTCTATGACAGTACTATTCTATTCCATACTCTGTCATCTCTATGACAGTATTATTCTACTCCATACTCTGTCATCTTTATGACAGTATTATTCTACGTCATACTCTGTCATCTCTATGACAGTATTATTCTACCCCATACTCTGTCATCTCTATGACAGTACTATTCTACTCCATACTCTGTCATCTCTAAGACAATATTATTCTATTCCATACTCTGTCATCTTTATGACAGTATTATTCTACCCCATACTCTGTCATCTCTATGACAGTATTATTCTATTCCATACTCTGTGATCTTTATGACAGTATTATTCTACCACATACTCTGTGATCTCTATGACAGAACTATTCTACTCCATACTCTGTCATCTTTATGACAGTATTATTCTACCACATACTCTGTGATCTCTATGACAGAACTATTCTACTCCATACTCTGTCATCTTTATGACAGTATTATTCTACTCCATACTCTGTCATCTCCATGACGTATTATTCTACTCCATACTTTGTCATCTTTATGACAGTATTATTCGACTCCATACTCTGTCATCTCCATGACAGCATTATTCTACTCCATACTCTGTCATCTCTATGACAGTATTATTCTACTCCATACTCTGTCATCTCCATGACGGTATTATTCTACTCCATACTCTGTCATCTTTATGACAGTATTATTCTACTCCATACTCTGTCATCTCTATGACGGTATTATTCTACCCCATACTCTGTCATCTCCATGACAGTATTATTCTACCCCATACTCTGTCATCTCTATGACGGTATTATTCTACCCCATACTCTGTCATCTCCATGACAGTATTATTCTACTCCATACTCCGTCATCTCTATGACGGTATTATTCTACCCCATACTCTGTCATCTCCATGACAGCATTATTCTACCCCATATCCCTATCTCTGTCAAGGCCATAACAGTATTGTTCTACTCCATACTATCATCTGTAGGACAGAACTATTCTACCCCATACTCTGTCATCGGCATAACAATATTCATGTCATTTTCGGCATATGTTACCAACTGTTCAAATAAATCACTTCAAAGACATTACCTACAACCATCGCAAACTGCAACACTGTAATTTTTTAACAAAAATGAATCAATGAATTCTTTGCAACACTCGTTACATCTCGGCCAATCTTTGCCAAGCTCAGATACTAAATAAAATGAGCCATTTTCAGTTACGGTTACCGTCTAAATAATGATGCTTTGGCAAAAATAGTTTGTTGAATCTTATTGAAATATTATCAAATAAAGATGTAGAACTTATGGTTTAAAACCTGGTTCGTGGACGATTTTCAATTCTTTTTCAGCTTCTAGTTGTTCCTCTAGGTCAATGAAAAATCCTCCTCCGGTGTCAACAGTACGACTTGTAACTACGCCACCGTTTACCGGTGTTGCAACTTCAAAATTATTATGTTTATCAGAAGTGTTATTAGCACTTTTACCAAGATAAGGATGGTTGGCAAGCCTGGCGTTTCTCAACAGTATAGCACGCTGCCTGTTTCGCTCAATTCTAGCACGTTGTCTATCCGTTAACGGGGTAGCATCCACTGAATTTTCCATCTTTTATTAAACAGCGTGTTCTCTAGGCTTAGCATGAAATTCGTTCGCCATCTTGTGTTGGCGTTTTGCCATCTCTAACATGAAGTAATTGATGATAATAAATAGAACAAATAGGTACGCGCAGTGTGTACGTAAATAGAATAAATATTCAAATAATATATGTGTATATTGATAATCATCGAGTTCTATAATAAATGGAGCGGCTAAGTAGAATGGTCGATGATGCCAAAAACGTGCGGCCAAAGGATCTATTCCGCTGAAATGACTGCTTTGCAAAAAAATATTTGACTTCACCCTGGAGTCTACACTTCAATTATATAGAATTATTTAAAAGGGTTGTCAGTTTGGTTTATTTGGAGTCAAATTTGGGTTCGCTTCGTGATCAAAATGAAAATGAAGCATCTAAATAAATTATGTAAAGTAGTAACGTGTCCATGACAACGCAATGCTAAAATGTACATTATTAAAATTATTAAGTGTTTACATCCATAAATGGTCATAAACACAATGTTTGTCGACTGTTGACGACAGCAGTCGTTAATCATCCATAATTGCCAGTTTCAGTTTTTTCTGACGCGTGACTTAAGTATCGTCAAAACAAAAAACTAATTTACCAATTACTATAATTCAAAATAATGTTAAGTCGCGCATTTGAATGAGAACGAAGATGTCTGAAGCTGTTGTGACAATTCTCATACAACTTTACGTCAGAGACGTGTGTTGCAAGGACACGAAACCAAGGATTATCGGGGATGAATGTTTAGCTAAATACTCAAAACTGCGCTAAACAGATATGAGCACAACCAATTAAATCAATCAATCAAAGAAAATTTGCATGTCAATCATGAATGCACTTTAGAAGAAAAATTAAACCGCTTGTTTTGAATTTGTTTTTTTCGCATTTTTGTTATTTTAGAAAAGAAATGAGATGTTTTTCGTGTTTGCGCCGGTTTATGTAAACCTTGGTGACGTTTGGGAGAACTCTCGAGCAGGTGATCGAGATTGCACTGATCTGTTCTCAAGTTCTCCGAAAGTTCTCCTTGGTGTGCAAAAGCCTGTGTAAACGCATTAAACATCTTTTATTTCTTAATTGACTCTCCGTATAGAATAAATAATGTTTACTTTATAAAGCAACATTATTTATTCATGATTTGAAATAAATAATATATTTACTTTATACGTAGAGTCATTTTTTTTGTTTTCCTAAAATTCTTTTTGACATTTATAATGATTATGTTGTATGCATAATGTACCTAACAGAAACTGCTAGTGTGTTGGTTTTAGAAAATATTCAAGCATTAAAATTTATATCGGCGGAAAGCGTATATTGTAGGCTGTATGTTGTTAAGATTTGTTTTTTAAAAGCTACAGGATTTTGCGAGATATTTGTGATTAAACAAACACTTCCGGAAATTAATAAAATGTCACATTAATTAAATCCGTCGTTAAGGAGTTAATTTTGTTGCATGGTTGTTTTTATCAAGTTAATTGCAATGAAAATTATTGGCTCAGTTAAAGCCATTCGTCATTTGATGTAGATACTAAGCTTTGTTTCAGTTAAAACTTGAAACTCGTAGACGTGTTGAAAAACCGAAAATTGGCGAACTGAAAAGATTGTAAATGATGGCGATGAATGAAGAAGACTTGTCAAAAAGTGTGAAGTACGTTGGGGCTTATGTAGAAGACGAGGGGCAAATTACTCTGAAAAAACTGTAAGAAGACTTTTTAGATTTTGGCAATTTTTCACAAGATTTTAGGATTTTTTACAAAATTTCCCGAAATTTTGAGATTTTTCCGAAGCATTTTTCACAGTATTTTTAGACGTGTTTTCTTTCCAGTCTAATATTTTACGCACATTTGCTGCAAATTAGAAGCTATCTACTTTTTGAAGAATATGTAGATTGATATAAACTATGTAGAGGTAAACGCGTATTTCATTTCGATATATGTGTTATTTCACCATAATTTGAAGGTGATTAAGAATTTCGAGTGGGTATTTAGGAGAATTGTAGATTTTTTTGACTGTTAGGAATTTCAAAGGATTTTTAGGAATTTTCAGGAAAAATAGTTGGGTGTATTGTGACTTTTTGAGTTTTCATATTTTTAAATTAAGATTGTGAGATTTATGCGAGATTTTTTGAGATTTTCCACGAAGTGTGCAAAAATTTTTGGTGTAATAGATAATATAGATAAACGACTGAACAAACCGGGATGATCAACGTCTTTGAACATGATATGTTAAGTATATGTTGGTGCTTATAATCCTGTGGACAAAGCCGTGATTTAAACTGAAAATTGAGACATTTTATTTTTAGAGACGTTTCTGGGATATCGATCCGCGATAAAAAATTACCAAGTGCGTACTTGCGAGAACCGATACATCTCGAAGGAGAAAGCCGAGCCGAGAAAGACAGTATTCCGATGTTGATTCGGAATTTTCTTGGTTACACGACAGCGCACGGCTTCGATCGCCTGGAAGCTTCGAAAGGTGTTTTCGCGAAAGTTTTTTGGTCTGCTGTATGCTTGGGTTCGTTTGCCATGTTTATATATCAGGTTCACGGCCTTTTCGTCAATTATATTTCACGACCGGTATCAACAAGCGTCCGAATCACTTTTGAGAAGGTAGGAATACAAATGAGACTGGAAACGACTATAGAATTTGTGCGAACTACATATGCGTCGATGCATGAAGAGGTCTGGGGTGTACAATGCTTCTTCAAAATATATATAAGAAAATAAACACTATAAAATGCGTTCGCTACATGATTATTGGCCTAAAGCTGTGTTTGCATTAGCCTGTGCAAAACAAATCTGAGCTCAACCAATCAAATCAGTCAATCAATCAATCAAAGAGAATTTGCAAGTCAATCATGAATACACGTTAGAAGAATATTAAAACGTTTTGTCTTTTTAACATTGTTGTTATTTTATAAAAAAAAATAAAAGATGTTTTTCGTGTTTGCACTGGCTTATGCAAACTTCGGAGACGTTTGTGAGAACTCTCGAACATGTGCAACCCTCGACCTTCGGTCTCCGGCCAGTGATGATCAGATCTCGAGTTCTCCCGAAGGTCTCCTCGGTTTGCATAAGCCAGTGCAAACACATTCAACATCTTTTATTTTTTCATTTGTAAATACTCGGGCAAGAAACTGACGAAGGACGTAAAAAATGAGGGCTTTTCAATAAAATAAAGACACTACAAAAGTCGGCCTCAGAACGCAGAATCCCCAGTTTTTCAAATAGTGTTAACAAGTAAAGATCGTTATACGGATAATGACATAACCACTTTTCTGAATTGTCTGCAGACTCGGTAACAAAATGAAGTGCAAAGCTGAAAAAACATTTCACGATAAGACAAGACGAGCCTTGCATATAATCATTTTGACAGCACAACACCTTTGATGTTTGTGGATGTAGATTGTTCATGTTACCGATGTTAGTACAGTTCTAAGAAAGACTGTTGGCGTTGCTGTTACTTGTTGGTGTTAGTCAGTAAGTCGATGCTAATGCCAAAAGTCCTTAAAGGACTGCACTAACTTTGACGATATACTTCTACGTACATGCAACGATATTCCATTGACTCAAACCATTCACTTTGCAAGAGTTGAACTTGTGACTTGTTATCTTTGTAACACGAGACATTTACATCTTTAAATTCAAAACAAAAAAAGACTTTGATTTCATTTGTTTCACGTGGTAAGATTCTGAGATCGTTAACTTTATAACACAGGCGGAGGGGAAGGGGCAAATGAGGGGCATGGGGCCCACATCCCCTCTTGAGCTCGGATAATTTGACAGTTAATGTAAACATGTTATTTTACTGCCACATTTCCAAATGGCTGAGCCTTTGTTGGGTCCGCTCATGCAACGCGGAGACTGTTACATCATCGAATTTATTAGACAAGAGTCTGAAATCGTCAACCTATAACACCATGTGTGTGCCATCATCAACTTATAACAAAAGACTTTAACCTCTTTATAACACAAGTAACCTCTTTATATTACAAGACTTGGCCATTGCCAATTTATAACACAAGAGTTTGACATCTTCATAGAACAGGACTTTGACATCATCAACTTATAACACAAGATTTTAACCTCTTTATATTACAAGACTTTGACATTGTCAACTTATAACACATAAGAATGACATCTTCATAGCACAAGACGTTTACATCACCAACTTATAACACAAGACTTTAACCTCTTTATATTACAAGACTTTGACATTGTCAACTTATAAAACAAGAGTTTGACATCTTCATAACACAGGACTTTGACATCACCAACTTATAACTCAAGACTTTAACCTCTTTATATTACAAGACTTTGACATTGTCAACTTATAACACAAGACTTTAACCTCTTTGTAACACAAGACTTTAACCTCTTCGTAGCCGAAGACTTTGACATGAACAATTTTTTAACTCTTAATCTTTGTTTACGGGTTTGCACTCATCTGTTTTCGAATCCTCCCAAATCTCTCTTCGATTTGCACAAGCTTGTTCAAACACAAAAAAGCTACTTTTATTTCTTAACTGATAAGTACGACAATGAGAACACTAACAAGATTTCTCCTTTTCACGTGTAGCAAATCCCTTTTCCCGCAGTTACGATCTGCAACTTGAACATGTTGCGAAATAAAAATTTGCCACCAGAACTTCAGAAATGTAAGTTGATTGTTATACAGTGAAAGTGAATCAAACTGAAAGTTTATGCTCGAGACATTTTATGGCTTCTGAAGGAAGAAGAAGCATCTTATCCGCAAACAACGTTTGCTTGATTCTTCCCTGATTTTTAGTCACAAACTAAAATTTGTAATGATTGCCGTCCCTTTGAGTCCATTCTATCGTGTGTATTTTACACGTATGCGAAATAGGATTTCCTCCTGTTCATCGACACGAGTTTCTTCTCCAAGCTCAAAGATTACCAAACTTATATTGCAGATAGTACTTCTGTTCCAGATAGTACTTCTGTTCCTGCTCGAAGACGCAAGCGCCGTGATGTTGTAAACACCGCAACCTCCCCAAAAAGCCATCCCCAGGACGAAAGTGACCAACCAACCACGGAATCAGAGCAATACACCACACAAAGCACAAACTTGAAAACTACCTGGACTACGTGGACTACGTGGACTACGTGGAATGAATGGGCTCAAACAAGCAAAAACCAAAACAACTTACCCAGCAAAGAAGAGGTCAGCGAAGATGTGTTCTTCGTGGAGGAGTTTAAAACTTCCGTGACACGAGTTTCGACAAAATCATTGGCTAAGGCAGGACATCAATTTGAGGATTTTGTCACCGAATGCAGTTGGCGCGGTAGAGAATGCAAGAAGAGGTTTGTCTTTTTTCAAGGTTGTTTCTTTAATATTTTTTATTTCAGGATGAATACCAATATTTTCAGTTCAGGATGAACACTGATTATAAAAGAATGCTAATAGTTATCCCTTTTGTGTGTATTTGTCCGAACTTCTTATCAAACTCATTAGTTCTAGTTGTGCTTGATTTTTCTATTGTGTTGTAATAACTTGTAAGTTTCTTTCCAAATCAGTTATTGTCCATGGTTGTATCCTCTCTTGTAAGTTTCTGTCCAACTCAGTTGTTGTCCATGGTTGTATCCTCTCTTGTAAGTTTCTGTCCAACTCAGTTGTTGTCCATGGTTGTATCCTCTCTTCTAAGTTCCTGTCCATCTCAGTTGTTGTCCATGGTTGTATCTTCTCTTGTAAGTTCCTGTCCAACTCAGTTATTGTCCATCTCAGTTGTTGTCCATGGTTGTATCCTCTCTTGTAAGTTCCTGTCCATCTCAGTTGTTGTCCATGGTTGTATCCTCTCTTGTAAGTTCCTGTCCAAATTAGTCGTTGTCCATGGTTGTATCCTCTCTTGTAAGTTCCTGTCCCCATCTCAGTTGTTGTCCATGGTTGTATCCTCTCTTCTAAGTTCCTGTCCATCTCAGTTGTTGTCCATGGTTTTATCTTCTCTTGTAAGCTCCTGTCCATCTCAGTTGTTGTCCATGGTTGTATCCTCTCTTGTAAGTTCCTGTCCATCTCAGTTGTTGTCCATGGTTGTATCCTCTCTTGTAAGTTCCTGTCCAAATTAGTCGTTGTCCATGGTTGTATCCTCTCTTGTAAGTTCCTGTCCCCATCTCAGTTGTTGTCCATGGTTGTATCCTCTCTTCTAAGTTCCTGTCCATCTCAGTTGTTGTCCATGGTTGTATCTTCTCTTGTAAGTTCCTGTCCAACTCAGTTGTTGTCCATGGTTGTATCCTCTCTTGTAAGTTCCTTTCCATCTCAGTTGTTATCCATGGTTGTATCCTCTCTTGTAAGTTTCTGTCCACATCAGTTGTTGTCCATGGTTGTATCCTCTCTTCTAAGTTTCTGTCCACATCAGTTGTTGTCCATGGTTGTATCCTCTCTTCTAAGTTCCTGTCCATCTCAGTTGTTGTCCATGGTTGTATCTTCTCTTGTAAGTTCCTGTCCAACTCAGTTGTTGTCCATGGTTGTATCCTCTCTTGTAAGTTCCTGTCCATCTCAGTTGTTGTCCATGGTTGTATCCTCTCTTGTAAGCTCCTGTCCATCTCAGTTGTTGTCCATTGTTGTATCCTCTCTTGTAAGTTCCTGTCCATCTCAGTTGTTGTCCATGGTTGTATCCTCTCTTGTAAGTTCCTGTCCAAATTAGTCGTTGTCCATGGTTGTATCCTCTCTTGTAAGCTCCTGTCCATCTCAGTTGTTATCCATGGTTGTATCCTCTCTTGTAAGTTTCTGTCCAACTCAGTTGTTGTCCATGGTTGTATCCTCTCTTGTAAGTTTCTGTCCACATCAGTTGTTATCCATGGTTGTATCCTCTCTTGTAAGTTTCTGTCCACATCAGTTGTTCTCCATGGTTGTATCCTCTCTTGTAAGTTTCTGTCCACATCAGTTGTTGTCCATGGTTGTATCCTCTCTTATAAGTTTCTGTCCACATCAGTTGTTATCCATGGTTGTATCCTCTCTTGTAAGTTTCTGCCCACATCAGTTGTTGTCCATGGTTGTATCCTCTCTTGTAAGTTTCTGTCCACATCAGTTGTTATCCGTGGTTGTACCCTCTCTTTTAAGTTTCTGTCCAACTCAGTTGTTGTCCATGGTTGTATCCTCTCTTGTAAGTTCCTGTCCATCTCAGTTGTTGTCCATGGTTGTATCCTGTCTTGTAAGTTCCTGTCCATCTCAGTTGTTGTCCATGGTTGTATCTTCTCTTGTAAGTTCCTGTCCAACTCAGTTGTTGTCCATGGTTGTATCCTCTCTTGTAAGTTCCTGTCCATCTCAGTTGTTGTCCATGGTTACATTCTCTCTTGTAAGTTCCTGTCCATCTCAGTTGTTGTCCATGGTTGTATCCTCTCTTGTAAGTTTCTGTCCACATCAGTTGTTATCCATGGTTGTATCCTCTCTTGTAAGTTTCTGTCCACATCAGTTGTTATCCATGGTTGTATCCTCTCTTGTAAGTTCCTTTCCATCTCAATGGTTGTCCATGGTTGTATCCTCTCTTGTAAGTTCCTGTCCAACTCAGTTGTCGTCCATGGCTATATCCTCTCTTGTAATTTCCTATCTATCTCAGTTGTTGTCCATGGTTGTATCCTCTCTTTTAAGTTCCTGTCCATCTCTGTTGTTGTTCATGGTTGTATCCTCTCTTGTAAGTTCCTGTCCAAATCAATTGTTGTTCATGGTTATATCCTCTCTTGCAAGTTCCTGTCCAACTCAGTTGTTGTCCATGGTTGTATCCTCTCTTGTAAGTTTCAGTCCAAATCAGTTTTTGTTCATGGTTGTATCCTCTCTTGTAAGTTTCTGTCCAAATCAGTTGTTGTCCATGGTTGTATCCTCTCTTGTAAGTTCCTGTCCAAATCAGTTGTTGTCCGTGGTTGTATCCTCTCTTTTAAGTTTCTGTCCAAATCAGTTGTTGTCCATGTTTGTATCCTCTCGTGTAAGTTCCTGTCCAACTCAGTTATTGTCCATGCTTGTATCGTCTTTTATACCTCTCCAACTCAATACTTGTATTTAGCTGTATCTTTGCATTTTAAAATACTCGCTAACTTTCTCTGAAATTTATTCGTCGTGTGTGATGATCTAAGTTTTGTAAGTCTGCTTTTCACCTTGGATATCTCAAATCAAAAAAGATTCGCATTGTCTATTCGGCAAATAAGCTGTTATCTTCAGTCTGTTTTTCATTGGCTTTCATAAGATCATTATATAGATAAGCTGTTGTCAAAATCGGTCCACCTTCCATGCGTTTTCTCATACAAAAAATTTAAATGTAGAGCTTTCAATTTTTTGCCGGAAGGTATTTCGTTTACGTTTCTTGGACAGTAAGTACATAGCACTATAATATGAATGGATTTCTTCATTGGTTCAATCAGACAATAGCAAAGGACGTTAATGACTCGCTCTTTCGGTATGTCATTTCTATTTTGAAATCATTTATTTATTAACCTACCCTGGCTACTCATTATTATAAATGGATATGGTTCCCGTTTTTGTCAAAAAAATATGTATATTTATTATATGGTAAGCGTCATATCCGGCTAAATGTCGCCCTTTGATTGGCTCAGAAATATTTTTGCCGGTTCATTATTATCCCGTAATGGACCGCGGTCCAAAACGCGTAATTTTACAGTCAAATGTAAACAAACTTCGTCACCGCAAAACGCAACATAAACGAAACAAAAAACCATTTACGAATGTGATTCGAAGGAAGAGCACATGGAAAACAGTTTAACTATCCAGACGATACAATTTGAAACGATTTATTCTTTTATGAACGAAAACTAGAAAAGTGAAAGCCAACCCGTAAAAAACGACAACGACGAGAAAGAAAACAAACTTTGTTTCAGGTCAAATAATGCCATATGAAATAGGCCACCTCGGTCGGTAATTTCTCCGTAAAGACCTCGAGCTCTGCTTTTAAGGGCCTATTATGACTTAATCAAAATAAATATCATTGGAAGTCAACAGACTTTAATGATACAGAAAATAAAGGCTTTTTTCCGTCAAAAGTAGGATGGATTTCAATTTTATTTTTTGCACTTTTCATCCCTCTGTTCACCCCTGTGCACTCCTTTTAAATCCGCAACTGTTTCTGTAGCGTGTTGTACTTTATAATACTTCGAAATAATCAAGAACCTCGATCATACATGTGTAGGTACTAACTCTACTACTGGAATTCTGATTCTGGAATTCTGTATTTGTCAATTAAGCAATTTCTCCAACTGGTGGTCTCAGAGTTGGCACTATAAATATGGTAATTGTTACACGTTTAACGGCGGCCTGGATAAAAATGATGAACCAATCAGTGTGCTGAACACAAGTAAACCGGGACCAAGTCAAGGTAGTGGACTGGAATATCATACCGATCAAAGTTTATTTAGACAATCTCTCTTACGATGTTTGATCTAACTTTATAACAAATTAGGTCTTTCGTTACATATCGATATACAGCAAGACGACTACATGGAGCGCGTCAGTGACGAGGCGGGCGTGCGGGTTATTCTTCACAATCAAGGAATGATGCCATTTCCTTATTTGGAAGGTTTCAGTGTCAGCCCTGGGACTGCCACTTCAGTGGGATTAAAAAAAGTAAGTAATGTGTATGAATTGTCTTTCATATGAAGGCTATTTTCCACTAAACGAAATTTTCGGAGCGTAATAGCTGAAAACGCGCGTGATTGGTAGATGATGTCGGCGTTTTTTTAAAACCAATCATGTTGTAAATTTGACTTTGCGCGTGGAAAATTCCGCCTTTTGAAAAATTGGCTCAATGAAAATACTAAGTAAACTCAACTTCATGCCTGAGGAAGTAATCACGTGACACCCCCTCTAGAGTAATAAAGAGGAGGACTAAAAGAATTAGTTTCACGGTAATGCTTTGCGCGCTTGTGTTTACTTCTTGTATTGAATCTTCGCGATATCTGTAATGCGTTGTATATTAGGGTTGTATTCCAGCGAACTTAACGTAAAATGACATCTTTCTTCAACTTAGTTCTAGTTGTTTCTTCTTTATTTCTTGGCCAACCGTGCTTTGATATTGATGGGCTTTAAGTTTTTTTAATGATATTGTAAACTGTTGTATTTTCACTGTTGTATTTTCATAAAGTCTTTGTTCTCACTTGGGAAGGTTACGATCAGGACACTTTACTTTATTTTCCATGCGCGTTTTTTTTTCATTTGTAGTCGATAATTTCAAGAGTCGATCGTTTCAGTAATAAAACTTGTTGGAACGTCGACGAATTGGGCGACGAAAACATTTACAGAACGTTTCCTGGAATCACTAAGTACACGCAACAGGTAAGGACTTTAAGTTCATTAAGTGGGTTAAACTGTTTTGAATGCTATTTAAAAATTATTGTGCATTATAATTTCAGCGAATTTGTGCATTTATCTGCATTCATTCAATCCACACAGGGGGTAGAGGATAAATATGTGGGCATGAGGATGTGGGACACTCCCTCTCAGCTTCTGTGAATATGTATATAAAGTCGGTCCAGAACCTTCAATAGAGAACGGAAAAGTAAATTGGGCTGAAATTGAGGGCTTTTCTATATTAAATAAATACACTAAGAAAGTTGCTCCACGAACATAGAGCCCCAAGTTGTTTTTTTGGGGGGGGATGGGAGTGCGCTTATCATCGTGATATGGGTTTGGCACACATGTACGTCCGACTCCTGTAAAGGAGCATGAACCATAGACCGAACGACATCTGACACCAAAGCAAATTACATCCATCAAAAATCATGCTGGATCCATCCCCAATATGACGATGTCTTTATGTAGATATGTCAGAACTCTTGTATTGGAAAGACACAAGAGAAGGATTGTGGTTGCTCTGAATATTCGTATCCTTCAAATGTGTCAGCGTGTGATACGTTCAATGAAACGACAAGTAAGGATATATATATAGCGATAGCATGAATTATTTTGCCAGTTTACAGTGTTTTCATTAAGAGGCGCTTACTGGTGGCTTACCGCTGACCATATTATATTGGGCAACCGCTTGTTTGCTTGTCAGTCTGAAGATAATGTATAAAAAAGTAAAGTGTATTTGTTATTTATTGTTGTATGTACTGTGTATCTTCGAACGGTAATAAGCTCTTGAAATCGTACGAAAAATCAAATACTAAAGCTGTTTATTCGCCTTCGAAAACAAATTTTCGACGTCGTTGACGGATTACTTCATAACCTCCATTTTGCCAAGAGTGAAATTTCACCATTTGTTGTGAATTTGGTTTGAGCGTGGTGACGTAGTGAAGGAAATTTCAAACTTTCAAAAGATACAGAAATGCGATGAAACTTATGAAATTGATAGCAAAAAGCAATGTTGGCAAGAACAAAGCGACGAATCAATTTATGAAAAGAAGTTACTCTACGATCTTCCTGACAAAGGTCTTAAAAACAGTTATAACACTGTCAAAAACGTTATAACTCTGTTGTGTCAAGGGCCCAAATAAAGTTAAAAACTAAGCACTGTCATTATTGTTATCAAAATATATGAAATTTGACTTTTTGGGAATTTTTGTAATAAAGCCTGCAATGAGTACTCTTAATGAAAACACTGAATCTAAAACAGTTGTGGATCCAGTGTACGTCAAAATAAATTTTAGCTCCTCAATTTTAAATTCAAATCACTTTCAGAAAAGTACTATTGGTTTTTAATTTCTAAAGAATATAATTTTACCAATGGGTTACCCTCTAAGGTGCTTAGAAATGTAAATATACGCCAAAATGTGCTGCAGTAATTTATTTTGACGTAGTCTGGATCCACCAGTGGTCTAAATAGTTTAGTGAGGACCGCCATAGCTTTTCGTCTCAAATGTTGGTCCGAGTCGTTTCAGGAATGCAAGCTGATTGGACAGAGTTCTATCCATACGACTCAGCTCACGTAAACAACTTGAGAAGCGGCCATAAAAAGAAAACATTTTTCATGAGTAAAGCTGAAATTATTCTCTCTCTTTTTGCTTTGAATCCTGCGATTTGTGTACGTTTCGACTGTGCGTTTTTCAGACAGCGTTTTTCGTGTTGTGAATAAGAAAATTCCTCGCGTAACAAGCAACGTTCACAGCCCTCGTTATGATTTCGTAAATGGCTGTAGAATACCGCAAAGCGAAGTGATTTATTACATTTCAATGTGCTTAGTCCGACTTTAATCAATTTGACGATATATGCGATCTTGCTTCGCGGAGAAAACCTCGCCAAAATGTCCCCCATGCATACGATCACGCAGGAAAAATGAAGTGTTCGCTTAATTTAATTGTATTCAAGTAGTTAAAAGCAAACCTGCCATTTTTCTAAAACAGCAGACTTGATATTCTGCTCGTTTGGGAAAGGACTTTCTATTTTTGTTCAGGAACATTTTTCTCTGTAGGAGATTGCCTTTATCAAATACAACAAAGATTCAACAATGACGAACTTGAATGTATGGATGAATGTCGACAACCTTGTCAGTACGTTTCCACTTTCCACATTTGAATGCTTTTGTACAAGGCGCATTGCCATTCGGAGGCACTGGCATCAATCCAACGTTACGTTATTTGAGGGGGACTGTGTTCATGTATTCTGCTATACAAGGCTGATTTGTTATGAAAGTGACATTGTTTTCGTAAGAAATCACCCTGGCACAACAGAATATATGTACACGGTCACTCTCAGGGCCTGTTCATATGAGCCGGAAAATGCAGTAATAGTTACGCGCGCAACATAAAAGTCTAAATCCCGATATTTCATGTTACTTTTATAAGCTTAAAGAACCTCAATGATGTTATGCATTATTCTATTGTCCACCAAAAGTTGTTCTTTTTCTTGCCTACCATTTTGCATCGAATTGTCTTTCATGAGCATGCGCACTGGTACGATGCGCACTTGGCCCGGCATGCTGGGCAAAGGCTTCCTAGTGCATTCAAATAAGCCTGTTTTTGCCGAGATCTCACCTCGCTCAAGCGAGATCTCGGCAAGACAGCCATCCCGCCTCTCATAAGAATAAAAATTTCAAATTATATTGAAATATTGAAAGAGGCGAGATCTCGCTACTGCCGGGAAAGTAGGCCAGCCCGTCTCATATAAACAGTCCCTCTGTTAACGTTTGTTTGACGTGAATGTGTTTTTTTTGGGAGGGGAGGGGAGCGTTTTAAGATAATTTTCTCTTTGCAAATATGTAGTTATCAATCTCGGTGTTTCTGTTGGTCAAAGATGCAGTTGACGGGCTGCCATTTTGCTTACCACATGCCTAATGATATAAGTCTCATACAAAATTACTCATGAAGTAACCGCAAGAGCCCTGTATATATATGAGTTGGGACACGTATTGTTCTCTGCATTTCGCATTACGATCATCGTGATTGGGTAAATATGGTCACATGGGTATCTAACCTCCATTTTCGTTTCAAAAGTGCAAGTTATAACCAATTTTCTGTGGGAAATTGATTAAAAAACTATTAACAATGATTTTTTGTTGCGTTTTAATAGTGCCAGTCAAAGCGATGAATTTTAAAAATCTACGCGCTCTCTGTGGCAAAAACAGTATTAAATGCATATAAAATACATCCATTGCATTACATAAATGTTTTTCTATGATAATGACATCTATAAAAACTGAGTTCCAAAGGTAGGGATCGCTGTCTATTCATGAATAAGAAAACACAACAGAAAATTTGTCTTTGCCCAATTTTATGCTCCATATTTTTTCTGGCTTTTGGAAAAAATGGCGGAGGCTTGGCAATTTTACTTCCGATGTCCCAACTCTTTCGTATTTAGGGCTCTGGTAACCTCTACTGTTTGTTTTCTCTATTGTGCTACATCCAGCCAGCCTGCTGCTTATTGACTTTGCAATCATTTCAAAAATAATAGATTTCTAAAAATTCCAAATAGTAATGTTCTGAAATTTCTACCATAGCTGCTGTATATCCTACCTGCAAATGTAAAACTTGTGGGCTGGCTGCTGTATATTCTACCTGCAAATGTAAAACTTGTGGGCTGGCTGCTGTATATTCTACCTGCAAATGTAAAACTTGTGGGCTGGCTGCTGTATATTCTACCTGCAAATGTAAAACTTGTGGGCTGGCTGCTGTATATTCTACCTGCAAATGTAAAACTTGTGGGCTGGCTGCTGTATATTCTACCTGCAAATGTAAAACTTGTGGGCTGGCTGCTGTATATTCTACCTGCAAATGTAAAACTTGTGGGCTGGCTGCTGTATATTCTACCTGCAAATGTAAAACTTGTGGGCTGGCTGCTGTATATTCTACCTGCAAATGTAAAACTTGCAGGCTGGCTACTGTATACTCTACGTCGACATTGAACAGCAAAAATAACTTCTACGATACAGAGTTTATGAACATCATCCTAACGCAATTGTCTTTTTCTACAGAGAAGAAGTGATTCAGAAAACAATAAGCATGTCTCAGTGGCCTTCGAAGCTTTACAAAGTAAGATACACATGTTGTTTAAATGGTTTCCACGAAGATGATAGATCGTAGAGATGATTGAAATATAAGGTTTATCGTGTGAAACATCTCGCTGCTTGTTGATTCAATGCGACTGCGAACAACGCGAGGATTTTTCATCACATATAGCTAAAACTCCCATTTTGTTTTGATTCAACAGAGAACAATAAAAATCGTGCAACTAAGAGCGAATTACTGAACAGTAATTTTCGGTCACATTTTCGACCGAAGATTTATCCATGTAAAATCTCGATGTGCTGCCACCTCTAAAAATCATGAAAGGCGAATCGTAATTTATCGATGGTCTTTGTTATATGTGATGAAGCTAATTGGTTTTTGTTTATAATTCGCTTTGAACTTTGTATTTGCTGAACAAGCAGGGGGATCTATAGCAACCTACAGAATAATTCTTGCGTACATCTTACTGTCGGAGATTGTAACTTTCTATATTTTGACTCATGTATGCATGATGGAGCGTTTTCATGCATGTCGACAGAGGCGTACCGAGGGGCATTTGTGAGCGTATTTAACTTGTTTTACCGACAAATTTAATTATTCCCGACAAAGCCTTTTCACTGTTTTTGGAAGTCGTTATACGTAAGTTTGCAAGACTGAAGGTGAAAAACTGCCATCACCGACAACTAGTGAATGGGTGAAATGTTAAAAATTGCCAAATTCTTTTAAAAGAATCGATAACCATTTTTCAAAATGGCCGATGTTACACCCCCAAACACACTCACACACAAACCTCGATTTTTACGTCTCTGCATGTCAAGTCTTACTTTAATTTACTTTTAGCCTACTCGAGAAAAGGGAAACAGGAATTTTTCGAGGTAATTAATTTATTGTCCTTGCATACGTTATTGGAACCTTTATCAAGAGGTTTTCCAGCAAATGCCGAAATGGGCAAAGCTTCCTTAAATAACAATTTCAATAGTAATGCGCCGAATGCCTCAAGATAAATTTTCTCGACAAAGACGAATTCCCCATTATCTTTTGCTTTCAAATGCATTGACGACACATAAATAGCTTCAGACGTCAGCTGAAACGCGGCCTTACCTGTAGAAAGTTCCAATAGAAATGGCTTGCTAAAAGTACCCTTCGTTTCAACTGAGCACTGGTGGGCTTTTCATCGGCCAGTACACACAAGTTTTGTTTCGAATTTTTGTTTGTTTGCTTTGCCATTGTTTGCTCCAGAGCTTTCTTGTGAACCCTCATCCAGAGACAGGGGGGTATTGAGGAGGGAATGCAGCACATCCCCACCTCCACACCTCCAAGTTTATCCTGTTTCGCAATATTAGGATAATTTGGTCTTACTTGTGTTGTCCTTTCGTACCTACTCAAAAGGTACATTTCAAAGTATATAGCAGTTCATGATATATTTATAAACAATTAATATTGCGGTCGTTCCACCAAAATATACATAATTTTCTGTCATAATAAAAATAAACGAGAATTGATTCGTAGTATGGCAAACAAAAGTGAGACGAAGTACTTTGATGAAATGTTTGCTTTGAGCTACTGTCCGGGAGAATATTCATATTGCCCACTTCTCCCCCTCTGGAGAGAGTGTAGTTACGGCCCTGAGCTCTATTTGAGATTATCATCACAGACATTTTATCTTGTGATGAAGTGTGTTTGGTTTGGTTGTATAAATTTTGGTGATTGGGAAAGTTCTATAATGTGCACAACAAATCTCGGATTTTTTTTTAATATTTTCGGACGGGAATATTTCGTGTTGTTACCTAGCCGGCCATCACAATACTTTTTAATAATTTATAGACAGAATTCGTTGCTGTTGAACATATTTTACAACGAGCTTACCTATGAAAGAATCGAAGAAAAGTTTACATACAGTGTAAGTTTTACTATACATGCATTGCACAAAGTTCCGACAACCATTTGGTTGTTTAGTTTAGCGATTTTGCAACACGCTGTTAGGTTTTTAGGCGATTTTGCAAAACGCTGTTGAGTTTGTTTGGCGATGTTGTAACACGCTGTTAGGTTTGTTAGGCGATGTTGCAACACGCTGTTAGGATTGTTTTACGATGTTGCAACACGCTGTTGAGTTTGTTTGGCGATGTTGTAACACGCTGTTGGGTTTGTTTGACAATGTTGTAACACGCTGTTGGGTTTGTTTGGCGATGTTGTAACACTCTGTTAGGTTTGTTTGGTGATGTTCTAGTGTTTTGTGACGAGGATCCAATTTTTTTTCGAAACTATGAACGCTGTGCGAGCTTGCAATTTCAAAACAAAAAATTCCACCAATCCTGCTACAATCCCATCTGCACCGGTTCATTCCGAAACGATAAAAATGAAATTTGGTTTAGCTATTGTTGTGCCCTGTATGAAAAGTTTGGTTTTTTCTGCAAAAACTATTCATTTCCATAATTTTAAGGTTTCAAACAACGAAATCTTGAAGAATTGTCAAGGGGTTGAACCCTCTTCACTGAAATAAAATTCTCAGAAGTGGGCCGAGCCTCGCTCTAATGCACCCTCGGTTGTTCACGAGGTGACTTATGTTGCTTTAGTTTTCAACGCGCTCGTTAATCCTCAAAAAACCAAAAAAAGTAAAGCGGAAAGCTGATGACTTTAAAGACAAAGTAAACCAGAAAGCTGATGGCTTTTAATATCAATATTTAAACTGGTTGAAAGATATATTTATACACAGCGACCTTCAGTTATGTGGCTTGGGGACGAAATAAGTAAAACAATCAACTTTTATTCATGTGCAGCATCGATTCATCCGCTAAGCTGAGCAAAATCCTTCAACCTCGTGATGCCTACTTGTATTTTTCAAGTACAATAGTTTTTGTACGTTTCCACTTTTAGGAAGTAAATTTGTTGGCGGATATTGGTGGTCAGTTGGGCCTCTGGATTGGAGTTTCTGTCATTACTGTGTTCGAGCTGATCGAACTTATATCTTTAATCATCATACGTCTGTGTGGACGATGGAAAAGCGGCAAACAAGTTGCCAACAGTGATTCCTATTGAAAGTGGCAAAGTCGGCATCCCGCAAATTTTAATCTTGCACAGTAGCTAAATTTAAGGACTATACAATCATTTATTTATATGGAAGTGTATTGTTTTTGGTGAACTGATAAAAATTGCTTCGCAGGGGTGAATAAGCGGACTGACTTTACGCCACCGGTAAGAAACAAAATTTTTACTGTGCGTGAGCTTAAGAAAGCGTTGTTTTTTTGAATTTTTCACCAAGAAATCGAATGTATCAATCCAAGAGTCGATGCCTGCAATCTTTCTTCACCAGACGACAATTTTATAAAATATAAAATAAAACATAACATCAGTGTATACATAAATAAAACATAGTTGTAAATTAAACTCTAAGTTTAAGTTATGACCTAAGATCGCACTTTCTGCATTGTCAATAGTCAAAAAAATCATTTGTCATTCGCTTTTTACTAACTCAGCACTGCACATACCTAAGAAAAGTCTTGTATTTATAAAACGTTGTTGTATGAGAAATGTTATAAAGATCGCTTTATTGAACGATTGTTTGCGCCCGTAGGTTTTTCTGTTTGTTCTAAAACCTGAACGGTCATGTGGGTTGAGGGACAAGGTCGATTGGAACCGACAAAAGAAGCCGCGAATTGCTAAAAGAATTTGATGAACTAGCCATTTCATTGAATTCCGGGTAAAATTTCTCGAACAAGCAGTCATTTGCGACATTCAACCTGTGCGATAACATTTATCACATTCTACTGTTGGAAAATTGTTATTCGATGTTTCATTCTTAATTAAAAAAAATTATTTACAATTTGCATATGACTATTGTTGACTAGTAACAAACGTAGATGACGTTTTCTGTCTTGAAAAAAGTTTTAATGTGCGTAATATCTGATACAGCTAGCTGTATTATGCAATTATGGGCATAAATGCACCTGTTATTGTTCAAGCTGTTTTTACGAGTCACGCTATTTCAGCGAACGACACACGAACATTTTGCCATTTTATGATCTCCTTCACGTCGAGATAACTAAACTATTTTGTCTACTGATGAAACTTTGCTTATTGAAATCCAACTAGAAACTATAACTTGTTTAGTTGCACGCCACGGACTATGAAGATACAGCTTTGTAATTTTCGTTGAATTTTACTTAACACGAAAAATATCTTGCTTCGGGCGATTGCAGTTCTCTGTGATAAACGGCTGGGCTTAAGCTTGTGAAAACAGGAAAAAGCCAAAGTGGTTGTCTTCAAAGGAACTCGTTATGGATATTTCGCCCACGTCAAGTGGGTTGGTCCAACACAGCATGAATTTCCGACATTTTTCGAAACCTCAAATGAAAAAAAATCAAAAACTCGTCATTTTTGAAGCAGAGCCTATGACGACGTGTCAGGCGCTCTCGTAACTTTAGAATATTGACTCGAACAAACGGCACCCACGAAGATTTCGGAAATATTATCACCTAATTAATTTAAAATGCAATATTTGCGTGATGTTAGTGATGTCATGCATGGTGAATACGGCTCCGTGATTGGCCAGGAAATAGATACAGGAAGAGTTGGTGGAGAAAATTAACCGAGTTTCCTTGACTTTGTACTGAACGCAGCGAAAATAATAAATCACCAACTTATCTGAGTCTGTTTTCTTCGAGTTTGACGGTTTTCTTGTCCGCGTACGATTAAAAGAAACTTGCTTGGATTCGAGGAGTGTGGCAGGTTTATTCAACCGTCGTGAGGCAAGAGTACAGGTGTAAAATCACGCTGGAAAGTTGGCTTCAGTATATTGGCCCATTATAGGAAGGTTATCCGCTTCGCTCGAAGCATTTGACGTGATGAATGAGACTTTCTTATATGGTGTGAAAGAGTGAATGGAAGTTGTTCAATGAAAAATTCCATTTTGGAAGTTTGCAGTGGTATATTTGATACGGAAACTTCTTTCGAATCGAAGCAAAAATGGATCGTATTTTGGGCAGTAAAGACGGCATAAGTTTTGACCCTCTGCCTCATTTTCCGACTTCTGATCAAGACGTGTGGTGCATCGATGAAGGTACAACTCATTTGAAACTATTGTGTAGATTAAAGTACAGCTATTTAGTAACTTTACGAAAGAATACCAATATTAACGTTTTGTCTTTTATGCATTTATGCGAATATAAGGGGCTAATTTAGACGAGAAGGCCTTAATCGACTCTGGTTATTAAATCATAGGTCATTACAACTGCTCGTTTTTGGATTTATTTACATTTCGAAATAGCTTAAAACAATGCCATCGGCAGGCAAGACGCTATTCTTTGGAAATTCAAAACCAATACCATTGTTATTGGAGGTATTTTTAAATGTTTGACGCGGCTGAATGTAGTACATTGTCTATTTTCCTTGATTTGCTACAGTAATTGGCAAAATTGTGACAATCTGACAGATGTTCGAAGTTAGAATCTCGTGACTAAGTAAATGTCTTAAGCGTTAGAATACCCAATTACCCAAAACTATTTACACGTCTTAAGAAAATTAATTCTGATCGTTGTTGTTTTTCCAAAGTGAATGAGCAAACAAATACATTTGCAGTAAATACCTTTCCATCTCAGTGGGGGCTCAGATAGAGTGATTTGTTGGTTTACATGAGGTTGCCTAGTGATGACCAAATTACTTTTATAAAGGGAAATAATCATTTGCTAAGATGTTTTCTCAATGATTACTCCTGTAGAGTATATAATACCAAACATGGCACCCGACATTTTCAAACACCTTTCAACGCAATGTGGGAAGCTAAATATAGGATAAACCTAATAAGACATTTTAGTGGAGCCTTCAACCCAGCAGGTTCGGGAGTGTCTCAAAGGCTTTTTAATGGTCTTGCGACTTGTCAATGTGGTAGTTCTACTTCTAGTTTTGTTTTATTTTCCCCAAGAGGCTTCAGTGAAGGATAGCGGAGACTATACATAATATAAATCTTAACATGATATGCATATCTTTGAAAGGAAGATGGCCTTTCTCCCAAAAGCAATCTCCCTTCATTTCCTTTTTGGCACTATTTTGCAAATTGTATTAGTTTGCAACCACTCTTGAAATTTATCTATTAAAAACTGCTGACCTCTTCTAACTGATGGTAATAACAACTGATAGCCTTAATGGATAACTGGGGGTGTGTGAATTTAGTTTAGTTGGGGAATGCCTGATCTCACATTGTAGTAACTGTTGTCAGCACACTTCAGTCTCTACTCTATGTTGCTCAAGCAATCAATTATCAAGTTGTATTTACTGAAGTATGACATGTGGGTTGACTGATAATTTCAATGGGGGGGGGGAGTGTAGGTACCCACAAACAGTTGCTACTTTTTTTATCAACTCACCAAAGCAATGCCAGCAAAACAGTGCTCGTTTGCTCATCTTAAAATTCATCTCCTCACAAGGAAGCATTTTGTTTCGCTGTCTTGCGAATATTCTGAAAGTCAGTTTCCGTGATGTCATAGTTCACGTGACTTGGAGATAGCCTGCTGCGATATGACGAAACATTGTTAGCTAAGCTCATTGCATTTAGTTTTAGTGCTATTCACGCACTTGCCTTTTTCATGAATGGGCGTGGTTGTGCAGTCTCTTAGCAACAGGCAAATAGTTACAAACGCATTAACTGAAATCACAAATGAAATCTGCTTAAGATAATTTAGTCTGCAATAGCTTTTTGTTCTGCCCGGTTTAATTTATTTTCACGGTAGTTCATAAATGCTTGTCGCAACTTGTAAAAAAATATAATTACGTTTTTGTGGCTTATATAACTCGGATTATGTCGCTTATGACTTTAGAAAGTTCTTGCGTGATAAATTTGAGACGAAAATCAGTTTATTATGATGGTACTAGTAGCTTTTTTTAGCGTTTTGACTGTATAAACACTAACAAATCGCGGAGGCGCAGATAATAATTTCAACGCATTTGTAATTAAGTTATGCGGGTTCCATTTTTCACCAGTGGAACTTTCTCAACAATTCTGCGTCATCGTTCAATTTGAGGAACTTAAAGAATTAGAGCAGGGATTTTGTACATAATTTGTACATTAGCCGTACAAATACTACGGAAACTGGAAATTTCGAGGTCTTTCGAGACATTTCCACTATTTTTTTCGGCAAACTGCGTAAATTGACTTTCCATTTGAGTAGCTTGACTGATGTTCGCAAGCACCTTAGAAAGTTGCGTCTTCTTTGTTTTCTGTTTTTCCCACATGTCATGCAATAAGGTTCTCGAAGCGAAGTTAGCCAGTAAATGTTATTCATAATAAGCTTTTAATTCGACGTTTGTGTTGAGGAAAATCTTTTGTGCTTGGCGAATGTTTTGAGTGCATTTTTATTTAGGTGTAAACAGACATAAGAATATAATATCGACTGCTTAAATTACGTCGCGATTTCCAACGTAATTCTTTAAGAACACCCGTTTGGTGTAAGCAAGATTTTTTAAGAATGATGTTATAAGTTGATAGTTCTTAAAAGAACTGTTTTAAGTAAAGAGCACTAGCCCAATAGTTCTAAATTAAACGACACGATGCATTTCGGCAGACTACTCCTCAGGTGTCAACGTCTGCTTGATGAAAATTAAAAATGATGTTTGAAAATGGTTGAAATCCGTTTTTAACTAATATGGGGGAATCTTATGTTTCTGACTGGTTCTTATGATGTTACCTTAGACGTTTACGCAACACATGTATCGTTGACGTCTTCCCTTCTGTAAGTCGTCAAATGTAGTATTTAATTCGTGCAAATTGCTGTAGGAGCGGCACTTGAAGAACTATACGGTATGCTGACTGCTGCCGAACAAGCATCGTACAATAATGGTCACTTAAATCAAGTATTGGAACTTCAGGATGTGAACCACAATCAGACTGCACCCCAAAACCAAATGGAACACATTCAGTTATACAACAGGCAATATCCCGTGGCGTCCAATCACATTGCGTCGATCCCCGCTCTGTCTAACCAAGGCACAACGAGATTGAACCATTTTCAACCGGTCAACCCACAAGGAAACTATCAAATGCCTGTGCAGAACCAATCGAGTGTTCTTCCGCTTCCTCCTCCGTACGAGGCGAACAAAAATGACATCGACAACCCTTTAACGCAAAGTTTGTTTCCCCCGGCGAAAATACCGTCTTTCGAAAAGCCGAAGTCGTTGGAAGCGCAAGTGGACTCGGCATTTGTCACTTTTGTGGATCTCAAGACGTTCTATGAAAAGGACAGTGTCGCCTACAAGGAAAGTCAGAACAAAGACTGGATTATGCTTCCGCATTTGTTCGAATATATTTGGAAGATCCCGACAAAGTGCAAGTATGTTTCCTAAAATCATTATTTTCGACGAAACAGATTGTTATATGAGATACGGGAAAATCATAAAACCTTTGTTGCAGTCACTTTCGTGGTGGTTTCCAAGTTCGCATGTCATCCAATCAAATTACCAAGTCTGGATGGAAGGTCATTATGATTGGATGAAGCGCGAACTTTGCAAACCACTTTTAGACTTTGAATTAACTTCGCATTGTTATTCGGTTGTGTTATTTGAGAAATTGGGAAAGTCAGAACGGTTAGTTAGCGGTGCTTGGATGACGATTTAAAGAGATCTGATTAGGATTTAAAGTGACTGGCTGATGGCAAACTCAAATAATATACATTTAATTCGACATCTCCGTAAATATGCCCTTGAATAAGTACATGGAAATCAATATTTTTGTTGATTTTTTGTCTTCAAATTCGACATCCATATACTTTAAGATTACACGATTGGACTAAAACCTACGAGACAATTTTTTACAAAGTTTAACAAAGACCTGTTTTTGGCAACTCTAATGCCCATATGTCAATAACATGAGCTAGCCACTCCCATCGTCATTTCACCCCACCTCGTGTACCCCATTTAACCTCACCTCACTGCATTTCACCTCACCCCACCTCAACATTATTCCATGTTTCTGCCACCTCACCTCACTACATGTCACCCCATATCAACTAACCCCACTACATTTCACCACATCACAGCTCATCTCACTCCATATGTCACCCCATCCCAAGACTATTTCTCATTTGCTACCTCCCTGCTTTTACTATCTTACAAATCGTATGAACCAACTATTTGCTGGCACAACAGGCAAAGTCCGCATTCGTTGAGCGGTCACCCGATGCTGCGCATATTATCAAAGACAACGTCGGACAAGTATTGCTGAATATCATGACCGACAAAAATGATCATTGGATTAAAGTGAATCTAGACGACGCAGGCAGCGAGGTTTATAAACTCTCGAAGGTTAAAGGTGAGGAGCGCAATCTTTTTCGCGTTGGACTGAAGCTGCTTTTTAAAGATGCGAACAATTGGAGGACATTTTACAGCGATTCGTTTCAAGTGAAAAGCAAACCAAAGACAGCCGGTAAGGAAATATCATTATTGTTTCTTTGCTCGTAGCACACATCATTAATCCTCCTGGTGTATATGCAGGTTTAACTTTCAAAAATAGACGACTCTTGTTGCAGATGTTGAATTGTTTGAGGACAATTTGGCAGTCAAATTACCTCTGGAAGCATATAAAAACACTAGTTTAAACATCTGACATCTGATGAGCAGAGGCGTCTGAAGCAAGTGAAAGTAGTGGGGGTTTGGGCACAAGATTTTCGGTGCAATTTTTCATTGGATGATATAAAAGGTCTGACTTCAATCTTCTACCACTCCTGATGAAGACACAAGAGTGGAGGTGTAAGGCCTTAAGCGTCAATGTCCCATCAATCCTGATGAGGGCACTAGACTCTTCACTCCTGATGTTTGATGCAGACGTTGTCAGTCAGACTATACGAAGAAAGTTCAGTCCCTTAAATTATTCTATTCAAAGTGTAAACAAGGTCTTAGCTTAGTCAATACATATTACGAGAGAGACAACAGACTTTTCCACATTTTCTTGATACAGAAATTTCTTACGAAGAGTGCGAAAAGCCAACTGTCAAAGTTGAGCCAGAACTGACAAAGAGACCGGTAAAGCGTCTAAGAATGGACGAACAAGGTAAAACACTTAACAGTTGATTTTTGTCATTTTGTCATAATTCCATAGAAAGTTAAATATGTTCTTTGCTGTGTTTTATGTGTAGATATTACGACAAGTCCGCTTAGTAACGGTAAGTATTCTGTTCACTTTTACGACGTTTTGAGCTTTCTGCCCGTACAAGGTTTTTGGTTAGAGGATTAGAAGTACTTAGTAGGGGGTTAATGCTCATTTGACTGGAGAGGTGCCGATTTTCCAAGGGGGTGCATCGTTATCCTAGCTAATGTTGCAAGAGCCTCTGGCCATTGTGAGTTTTAGGTTTGCGGTTGAGTGAACCTTGGGTAATGGAAGTGTTAGGACCTTTTTAAAAATTTTTATTTGTTTTTTGTCAATGAATGCGCGTTTAATAATTTATTTTAATTTCAATGTTTCAATGAAAATACTCAATTGGTGATACTCAATAGCAAATGGTGGTAGAGTAGTTGCCTTTGAAATGAGAAGTTCTACTTTTACTTGCTCGCGATTTTGCTTCTCTTGCCCGTCCGTCGTGGATTGTGATTATGATTTCTTATTCAAGATTCTCGAACCCTGTAGGCTCGTCGATATTTCCCGAAGTGATCACGGATCACCTCGAGGCGACCACAGCGAACATCAAACAGCTGAAAGTCAGCAATCCCATTCAGACGCCACGTGGCGACATCGCGTATCACTTCAAACTGAAGGGCTTTTCGAACAGTCTGCAGCTGGAGGAAGGCGATTTGATTGGCTTCTTCGAGAATCCAGAGGACGGAAGCAGCGAGATACGGAAGCTGACATGCGACAATGCACCTCACGCCAAGTTGGCGGGTGTGATAAGCCGTTCCGCTTGGATCGAAGGAAAAACTCCTGGGGACGATGATAAAGGTGAATATGTTGCTCTGTTTATTTGCATCTGAAACGAAGCTGTGTTCACGCTTAAATGCTAGTTTTACCGGCTGTTCTGGGAATTCACCAATCACAAGAGACTTTTCTGTATTTTCAGAGCGCACAGATGTTGTTTGCGTCATTGGCGTGGTCAAAGTCAAGGTGAGAGGTGTCGTTGAAAATGGCGAGCGTATCTATGCATCCATAAATTCATATCCGGGAATGGCTATGCCGGAACACGTGATCAAACAAGTGACGTCACAAGACCTTACACTGATTGGTCAATCGCTGGAAACGGTGAACAACGTTAGTCCAGACGAGTCAGTCTTGTCTCGTGTTTCGTTTCCATTCTCCTGAGTATTCAGACGCAGCACACGACCAAGGCTCTTAGTGACATGCGCGTTGACGTTCTTGGAAATGTAGACAAGAAGATTTTTACTGCAAAGCGAATTATTGTTAGAGGTGAGATTGAAGTTAGCGTTATGGACCTGTGGGTGGCCACCAGAAGCTCGTACAGTCCTGTTCATATGATGGTCATTTTATCATGCTTACAGCTCGAAGGCTAGCTCGTGCTGTGTAAATATTTCGAAACAAATTTACACAGTACGACCCAACTTGAATGTCGCTTGCACCCTTAATTATTGGCCATTATTTAATGAAAACTATATTCCCTTAGCTAAGATATTAATTTTATGGATTCATTTTAGCTCTCCGCCTTTTTAAGGGATATTTGAGATTTCTGAAAGTTGCCATCCTTGCAAATAGCGTTAGCCACTGTACAGTCGGTTATTACGTGTAGATGTTCGAAATGTAAACATGTCCTTCCCTGTCAACGCGTGTTGTGTTTCATAGTAATCCATCAAAGTTTGACGAACGCCATCGTGTGTTTACTCCACGTGTTAAACTTTCGACATTTGATGCAAAGTTAAGATTGTTTTCTGACTAACCAAAAGTGAAATAACGGCTTCGTTTAACGTAACTCTCGGAGTCAGGTATCTTGTATATTTGTTTTAGGCCCTTCGTCACAAACCACGTGTTTTTGTTATGTTGTAATTGGGGTGAGATACTACTTCAGACAATATACCAGCCAGTTTAGGTGGAATACTTACTATTCGAATGAACCGGAAAATTTTTTTCAATTGGATTGCTGATTACGCTTGGTATAGATTTGGCTGTTCACGTATTTCTTCGCTTTGTTTCAGGTATTGGTTTGAAGTTGCTGATATTTTTTATCTTCCTCGGCCTCCTTGGTGTGTTTTTGTATCAGGTGTATGCTCCACTTACTGCATACCGATACTGGAGGTGCTCCATGGGCTCCGTCGACGATTCGACGTCGTCGTTCACATTTACAACTTTCAACTTCCAGGTAAGTTTCCGTTTTTCTCACAACGGTTTCTTGTTATTACGGCTTGCCAAGCTTGCGTTCATTCTCTATTTGGGAAGTTTCAATTCAAATCATGTTCGAAAAAGGTTTTGTTAACGTGCTAATAGTCGCGTTTCTTGCTCGTCGTTGGAAATGTTTGGATACATAATTTCTGAAGCTTCGCTGATTATTTAAGGAAGTACAGTACAGCTTTACAACTAGCATTCATAATTTACTTTAGCTGTATAAAAATTCTTTACTGTCCAACCTTCTGGATTGGAGGTAACCAACCATTAAACTAGACGTCCAATCAACAGGATAGGAGGTAGCAAACCACCAGACTAAGAGATGTCCAATCACCAGGTTAAAAGGTAGCCAACCACCAGGCTAGGCAGTTACCAACCACCAGGCTAGGAATCGTCCAACCTTCGTGATTGGAGGATTTAACCACCAGGATAGGAGGTGGTTATTAGACTAAGTGAGGTTCAGCCTTTAGCATGGAAAGAAGCCAATCAGCCGGCTTGGGGTTATGATCAACTTCATTTACTACTTTCCTCCTTGCCAAATCAATGGATAATTATGACCAATTGGAGATTCTTCCCTCGATTTAGGTTCCTCGCGTTAACGGAATCGAATTTACATTCGATAAACTTCAGGACAAGCTCGATGAGAAGTATGTGCGGAAAAAGAACGATTCTAGTAAGTAATAAAATAACGTAAAAGTTCAGCCCGGTGCGAGGTCCGTATTAGAAAGTATTGCCTACTAGAAAGAAGGTCCGTATTAGAAAGTATTGCCTACTAGAAAGTAGGTCCGTATTAGAAACTATTGCCTACTAGAAAGTAGGTCCGTATTAGAAAGTATTGCCTACTAGAAAGAAGGTCCGTATTAGAAAGTATTGCCTACTAGAAAGAAGGTCCGTATTAGAAAGTATTGCCTACTAGAAAGTAGGTCCGTATTAGAAAGTAATGTCTACTAGAAAGTAGGTCCTTACTAAAAAGTACTGCCTACTAGAAAGTAGGTCCGAAATACATCGTACATAAAACACCACACAGACAGAAAGTTCCCTCTACCGAGATTTTTTGTTATAAATTTTAAGTGAACGAGTCCCATATGCTGAAACACAGCACTTATTATAGGTATGTTAAATGACTAAACCCCAAGTGAAGAATGTAGTCACTCATGATGTATAAAGCACGTATACCGTCTCCTGAATTCGATAACACCCAACTTTGAAAGTAGCCTTGAAAAGTTTATAATCAGTTTCACTCGCTATTCAGCAAGATTACTCGTTGGTAACCGCCCAGATTGAGAACTACCTTGTACTCGCTCGATTAATAGCAAGAAATTAACAATAACAAACTCTACTAGGCGTGTACTAAACTATAACATACAATCATTACCAAACTATTTCCTTTCTCCTTCCACTCGCAGTCCTTGATTTTCTCTTGTGACCTTGGTAGGATCGTAGTCCTTATGTGCGAGATGTAGAAAATTTTCAAGGTAAAATTCGAATTTTTCGTTGACTGATTTCCTTAATTGCCTCTTAGCCGATCGCTATTATCTGAACATCGATCGGTGCGCAGTCGGTGGTCGTCCAGCGTATGGTATTCGCGGGCCCAAGTTCTTCGTCATCGACGGCAAATGCAACGTGGCTTATTACTATTTTAGTGGTACTTACAGGAGATATAACTCGGGGAGAAATTTTTTGTGCTCTTTTCATCAAGATAACTGCGTCGGATGTGACATAAGCGAAACGTCGTCGTAAGTTTGTATGATTTTTCCCCAGTTTAACGCAATTGTAGTTTTGATTGATTGATGTTTTTATGAATGGCACCAATCTGGTATATGACCTCATTTAGGTCGTGTACCACACTGTAATGTTTAGCTAAAGGCATGATTGTTACGATGCCCAAAAAACAGTGTGATTTTGCTTTTTCTGGAGTTAGTTAATTCTCACTCTTGTTGTTAACAAATATTATTACTGAGCTGGGAACACTTTTCAAGACTAAAAGCAGGGGATTCTTCAGAAGACCCGGAAAGGAATAGTAAGGACTGCCCAAGGTCGTTAATTGAGAGGGGGGGCTATTATTCATGTATGCATGATATGCTGTATTAAGCTCCTTTGAAATCCATTGTTTTCTACGAATTATAACATGCACACATAAGTATGAACCCCCTCCTCAATCATCGATCTTCGTCGTTCCTGAATAGTTTCGAAGATCAAGCACGAAATAGTTTTCAAGACTTTTCAGGAATAGTTTTACATATCATGCATAACATATTTTTGAAGACTAGCAGGAAATCTTTGAAGACGAAGCAGGGAACAATGATAATCGTTTTTATGACCAAGCAGTGAATGGTATTCAAGACTAAGCTAGCTGGAGATAGTTTTTTAAAACATCCCCTTTTTTCACTTCATACTACGTCGTGCGTCTACTTGGAGATAGGTTATTGTTGTTGCTCGTTCTTCAACTTTTTGATACTTTGTGATTTTTAATAGCAGAACTAGTCCACTGAATGTCACTGGCAATTATTCTATGAATGTTACCCAACATCCATCCTCTGCAGAAGACAAGTGCTTACGAAATAGAACGCACACGGGCAGTGCCAATTTCAAATACATTTCGCTTTCTGGGAAAAAGGTAAGTTCTAACAATATTTATGAGCCTGCGATAACGTTTTTTATTGTCCATGATGTATTTCACCCCGGGTGTATATGTATCCTGTTTCGTGTGTAAATTGCTGTGTTCAAGTATTCAATATTTGAGATCTGTTCGTTTTCAATGAGGACCGTCGACTAAATTTAGATGAAATTCGACATAAAACATCAGATCCTCCATGACTAGTATCTCTGGACTGGAACATGCTACAGTTTTTCAACTTGAGGTCACTACCCAATCAGGACACACGACTGGATTATATGAAAAATCCAGTTTCAACATTAGATCACTCCTGATGTAGATACTAGACTGAACTGTACCAAAGGCTGCAGTTTCAACTATCAGATCAGCTCTGATGAAGAAACTAGACTGGACTTTATAAAAGACTACGGTCCAACATTAGATCACTCCGAACAAAGACACTTCTAGCTTGGAGTGTAAAGACACAAATTACCACATAGTTAAGACATAATTAAGACACTGAAAGAATTCGACAGAAATCTTATCAATCCAAATGAAAATATTTTGTTGGAACAATAATAATGACTGAAGTTTTAACATCAGATCATTTCAGCAAAGTTGTTAGACTGGAGTGTACAAGTATTTTAAAATCACCTTAGTTTCTATAACCGCGCGATCTCAGTCGGGAAAATGGTGCACATCGCCATTATTTTGTATGATTATTTACAGGTAACAGTTGAAGGTATCGAGGTGACTGTGGAGGATTTAAGAAGTTTGTTCGAAATGAAAATAAAAGGAGTTCGTTCTAGCTTAGGTAAACAAACTTAACTCGCGTATCGCATTTACTGTAGTTTTAATTGTTGTGAAAGATTGCTTGTCGCAAAATATAACTTTATCTGTCATACGTAAGAACTCAAGTTTCCACATCAGATTGCTACTGATGAAGGCGCTAAGTACGTCAGCACTCGAGTTTTCCAAACAGATCACTCATGTTGAAGACACTAGAATTGAAAATACGAGGATTCAAGTTTGAACATTAAGTTGCTACGGTTGAATACTTTCTACGGGAGTATTTAAGGATTCAAGACGAAGCATCAGATCATTCCTGATGAAGACACCGGTCTGTAGTAAATAAAAGACACCAGTTTCGATACCCGATCTTTCCTGATGAGGGGACTAGACTGGAGTATATAAACGATTCAGGTTTTAACATCAGATCATTCTTGACAAAGACACCTAAGAGGAGTGTATAAACGACTCAAGTTTCTAACGAAGACTCGAAACTGGAGTATTTATTAGCTCATGTTTCTTCATATCACTCCAGATGAAGATTCAAGACTGGAGAATATAAGGACTTGATTTTCATCATCAGATTGCTACCGTCAAGGGCACTGTAGACCGGTGATTGCTACGGTACAGATGTACCGAAAAAGAACTCTCATTTTTCATGCGGACTTACAATCGAAATAGATACATAAAATGTTCTCAAATTAAATCTTCATGTATTTTTCTATCTTTTATTTAGTCCCTCGTTATTTTTACAATAGAAAAAAATGCATCACGAAAAACTTGAGTGGTCCGAAATTCTTCGCGATCTTTGGAAATTGCGAGAGTGCACATTACTACAGTCGAGGACGGTGGGTTAGGTACAAGTCGGGAAGGGATGTAACATGCTCCACGTAGCCAGGCGTTTGCCTTGTCTTATACACGCACATCGAAGTAGTTTTAGTTGCGCACTTCCGCGCTCGTTTCGGTTTACACCGAGATGTTCTTGGAAAACTTGATCAGACAAAACCTGATTACAAATGTGTATTAGCTGGTATAATACGAGAAACCTACGTAATCGTGTATATAATTGATGGTTGATCAAAGATCACTTGTAAATAGGAATATGTTTTAACACAATACCAATTTTTAGTTAACATTTTAAGGCCGTTTCATTTTCCCGCTCGGCGATAGAAGTGACTGAAAGACTGATAAAGAACATTTTCGTTCGCCGGATAGTTTTTATGATTGTAAAGGCGGTAAAGAATCAAAATTGGAAAATGGCATTTTTTTCAAGGTACTCGTTGTCTACAGTTCATTTTCAAAACGTGACGATAGTTCTTCAAGATTTCGATTGAACAAAGAGTTCGAAGTCAAGCAAAAGCATAATACAAGAAGAGTTCATTTTTTTAAGCAATTTTTCTGTTTGGTGAGTTATGGCTGTCTACTGACTTGTCCTGCACCTCAAGCTGGATGCAATTATTGGAATAGAACTGCAGACTTCTCTTCATCACTAGACGCCAGCATCTGCAAACAATTGGAACGCCTCGCAGTGCAACTCAATGCTATGCAGTTAGTTAAAGGCTACTGCTAGAAAGCGCAGTGGTCCTATTAATTAGAAAAGGCAATTGACTGGCTGTCATTGAGGATAATCAATAGCATAAGAAGAAATGCATTGAATAAAAAATTCAACAGAGTTAGGTTGGTACTGTTCAATGTAATATATTGTTGGCTGTTTTTTGTTTGCAGTTTCTATTTTCACCAGCAAGTGGGCACACTTACTCAACACCAAACTCGCAAAATCTTAAACATTTTGTATTTTTGTACAGCTTGCACACTTACCTTTCAGCCCCAATGTGATTTCACTCGCTCAAAAAACTAAAAATGATTTTAGTTTTTGTTGATTCAATTAAACAATTCATTTTGATAAGGAAATATTATATTATTTAAATATTGAACAACATAAAAAACCAAGCTGTTGATTATGATACAGTTTCATCCTTTATTTTGCATTTGCATTAATGTTCCTGAAAATAATGAAAGCACACAATTAAAAATGATGCCTAAACTTGTCAACAATTTCCCAATAGTTGGATTTAACAGGAAAACACCTTAGGAACATGATAAAAGTCGAGGGGGGGACAGCCATCAAACAAGCAAGCATTTGCTATTGGGGGTGGGGAATGAAATTCCACAAGATGATTTTGGTTCTTTAACTTCTCATAACTTGTTTTGCTGGAAATTATTTACTAAATTCTTCTTTTCTATACATTTGCTACGACACTGCTATTTGTTCTACATGAAACTCACCGGCCAATTGTTAGCTCGGTATTTCATGATCGTATTTCTTGTTGACAAAGGGAACATACTGCATCACAAGCTTCCAATCTGTCATGTAAAGACCAACAGCGCCCGCCAAAGACCCCCAGCCAACTGCTGTCCAGGTGCTGCAAACAAGATAGGGTTAATGGTTTGGTGGTCCTTGGGTTGTGTTGTTTTTCTTGGGTTTTGCACGAACTTCTTCAAGAAAATCAGCTATGAAGATTGCCTTGATAGATTCAACTTATAGATGTGGCATGAGATGAAATAAAGTTAATATTTCTTCAAGCCAAATAAACCGCGGACGTTTCAATTTTTAAGTCGACATAACAAATAACAGACAATACTCACTATCCCTTCGCTCGTTGTCTTAGGCCACTGACAAATCTTGAGAACACTTTGATTTCCTGAGCAAGAAGCATCACGGTTCGGCTTGTGAGAATATGCCAATAACTTGAGTTCAAACCTTAACTTAAAACAGGCCGAAAAATATGTGAAAAAATATTATATTTTTGAAATTTGAATGGTTTTTGGTTTTCCAGTATAAATGATTATACCGGATAAAAATGTCGCACTAAAATTACCGAAATAAGAACTGGCTTTTGCCATACTTCATGTATCAGTAACTATATGTTTATTTGTCATCGAAGCACGATTTAAAACTTTGATTAGAAGAAGATGGAATATATTAAAACGAAATGTCAAGGACGTTTGCAGCTTGAAAATCATTTTGCTGCTACTTTGTTCATCAAGGAAACAGGTATGTTTCTTTCAATGGTTTCAAAGTTGCGAATTTAGATTTCTTCGTACAGTTAGCAGCAGTTAGCTTCTATGCAGTTAGCAGCACATAGTGGCGACTGGCGAATGGCGATTGAATTGTTATTTATTCATTATTGGCGATTGTATCATTGTATTGTTAGATGCAGACGTTCTATTGAATGATTTCAATTCTAGTGACATGCTCAATTGCTACAGCAATGTAGAATTGCAACGTGCCTCTTTCAAAGTATATTACGGCATTATCGACTTTCATTTGGGGCAGCAAATACAACACGTGTCAGCCATGTGGTGATTTACTGAGCTTTAATAATTCAGTGGCTCTCTGTTTTATGCAAATGTGTTCAAAATATCAGGCAGTGATGGCAGTGTGTTCCATTACGTGAAATATTTTGTGTCAATTTTGCAGAGAAGTTTTGGGGCAAATGTCTTCTCCCCTGCTACCCCTTTACCTCCCTGATACCCCTTTACCTCCCTGCTACCCCTCTACCTCACTGCTACCCCCCCCCACTGTAACATATAGTTTTGCAGTGATGCCCACTTGTGTAGAAGATATAAAGTCATGAAAGTGACAATTGTGAAAGAATTAAGCACCACAGATTGCTATAATAAACTGAAAAAGCATTTTGTGTATTTTTTAAATTTTCTTGCATCCCAATCTCTGCCTTGCAGGTTTTAGAATTTTGATGCATATTTTTATGAAGTTATTTGTTTTCATCTGTAGGTAATTATCTGAAGTTATCCGAAGTGACAATTGCATCTGCATGTGTTTTGTATCACAGATTTATGGCAGCGATAGATGACCTTAACAATTTTGATGCCAATGTAAGTATCGCTACTGAGATGTGTAGTTAATTATTAATTTGACACATCATGTGTGCAGCCAGACATAACGTTTTTTGGGGCATACTTTTGAATGTCGAAGATGGTAGGGGGGGCATGGGGCATGCCCCATCTGTGAAATTTTTTTTCCCGCTGTCTCTTGATCCTGATTTTATGTGTTGTTTAGGTGTGATTTTGCATAACTCTGAGCATTTGAGCATCACCCCTTTGACTGGTAAACTTTCTAAACATTTCTATCATTCCTCCATACTATCACACCTTAAATCCACAGGACACACTGCCACCTTCGAGGATTTTAAAATACTTTCTTCATGCTCAGACTCACAAGAACTTCTTATTCACGAAAGCCTCTTAATCAACAAAATGCAACCATCTCTTAACATCCAAGGAACCTCCATTGTCCTTCAGTTGCTTTAATCTAATTTCGTCCGTCCTCATGTCTGTATACTTTGTGATTGTTTGTGTTTTGTTTTTGTGTTTTTGTTTCTTTCATGTTTCTACTTATCCTACGTCATACCATCTTATCCAATATTTACTAACACATTTTCATCCCACCATGTAATTTAATATTATGTAAATAGCTATTATATATATATCCCTCTATACTTGTAATTCAATATTGTCTGATGATGTCTTGAGAGTCAAGACGAAACGTTACACTTTTAAATAAATATCTCTTTTTATGCATTAAATGGCTCTTTTAAAAGCACTTTGCTGGGCTTTGATATTTATATTTAAAACTCTGAAAGTCATTTGTTAAAGGAAAACATGAATCTTAATGATTACTTAAACACAAGTAGCTGTCAAAATCCTTAAATTCAATTTCAAAATTTCTTAGTGAAAAAAGTTGACCTACTTTATGATTTTCAAAAAACTAAATAATTACGAAAAATCGTCATTACCTGACTTAAGTAAATTTAGTATCTAAAATAGGAATACTTTGATCAGAATCTTGAGATGTCTACAACCCATGCTATTATTGTCATGCTAAATTCACCCCAAATCCAAAAAAAATTGAGCCAGGTTTTTAATATCTATCACCCTAATTCCATTATCCTATAGCTTTTCCTCTTTCATAAGCAGTTGGGATTAATAGTAACAGGGGTAGTCAAGGAGGTATTGCCACCTTCCTAGTTTCTGCCATCATTTTTTGTGTTTTTGTGAAGGCATTTCCTCTGTTCATTGGGTGGTGGTGAGCCCCGTAGATCTGCCTTCTTTGCTATGCCACTGCACATGTGAGTGCATCAAGTTGTTTTTTTTGTAATGATTTGAATTCCCATTGGTGAAATGGACTGCGTCAAATGTGATTTTATGAATCTGTCTATTGTGTATGTTTTGATTAATATAACTGTCCAGCAGACATGAAAAAGTTTGAAAAGCAGGAATCGTCATTGAATTCCGGAAAACTTAGACATGAACCTCAAAGGTCCACGACGACTGTGCAGAACTTTTATTCTATATCAAAGGTTTTGCATTACCTTTGAAGCGTATTCATCATATATTCATCTGGTGAATGTGCCATGTACAATTTGGCAAAAATTAAAAGATGTACATCAAATTTTGAAGCGATATGCAGTGAAGGAAATGTTACTGATTAGTAGGATGCAAATTTCCATTCTTTATAATATAACATCAATATGATGTTTTATAATTTGATTCGAACATTGATGAAAACTTAAGAACAAAAGAAAGTCGACGTCGTAGTACACAACAAGTTACAATAAATGCATGTTTAAAAGATATTAGTGAACTGCTGCATCATATTGATTGAAATGGAGTGTTTGTTTTAATTTAGCGACTAAAAGTAGCTGCATGTTAAAGCTAATATCGATTTGATTGTGACTTTTGATGAACATTCTTTCATAAAAATAATTTTCACACGCTGATTCCAGAGATCAGCCATGAAATTCGATTGGTTTGAGAGACTTTTATTATATCAGAAGCAGAGAAGAGCAGTACACATTTTGGCGATAAAAGTGTTCAATTATGTTGGGAAACATGTCTTTAACCTCTGTGGCATGAGCTGTTAAACACAATCGTGCTGTTCTTTTTTGGAACATATTTTTTGTAAGCATTTCTTCTACAGGCAATGCTGCCTGAATGGAAACTTGGCGGTATGTAATTGCTACATTCTGAAGAGGGACTTTTCTTTCAGGTCGTAGGATGTACGGCGCTCTATCTTGCTGGAAAAGTCGAGGAGAATCCGTGTAAACTGCGAGATCTTATCAACATGGCGTACAGCATTCTCAACAAAAATAAACCACCAATTGATATTGCCGATAAGTACTGGCGTCTTAGGGACAGCATAGTCAAATGCGAATTGTTGTTTTTGCGGCTTCTTAGTTTTAAGGTTGCCGTGGACAATCCGCATAAGGTTTTTATGTTGAAGAGATGATTTGATGATGCTATCAATGATGTGAGAAATTCTTAATGTTCCTTGTATATATTCTCGCTGATATCCTTTTGTACATACGTATCCTTGCTGATATCCTTTTCTGTACATACGTTTCATTACTGATGTCCCTTCTTTGTAAATATTGATTCCTTATTCCTGTGGTTTTATTGCAACAAGAGAAATTTTTGGGTGTCTTTTATGGCGCCCCTGTTTTAAGACACTCGTCTTTTTGGCAGTCTCCCATTAATTTCTTTTCAAAACCCTTTATTTGCTCGTAATATTGGGGCTATGCAAGATCTTCTCTCTTGATTGAAACTTTGAAAAAGTATCCATGTGAAATAAGGAACCACTGTTGACACGAAGCCGTTCTCATTCTGTAGTATATGCTGCACTATCTGAAGAGCCTTGAAGATTGGTGTGAGGAAGAATCGTGGGAGTTATCGCAGTTGCCTCAAATGTGCTGGTGTGTGTTGAGCGACTTCTTTCACACGACGCTGTGTTTAGAAGAGTCTGCAGCGTGCGTTGCTGTTGCTGTCATATACCTTTGCGTCATGTGCACTGGGTTGAAAATACCAATGGAGACCGCTGACAAGAAATGGTGGCAGGTACGTATGTTGGAATGTCGCAATTGTCTTGTTTTGATGATGCTTGAAAAACTTGTTGCAATAAGTCGGGTATTAAGGATTCAGAGGGAATCTTTAGTTAAACGTAGCTTTAGGCCCAGTGATAGGCTAGACCATAGGTAAGATGGAGCCAGAGTTAGGCGGAAGCTAGTTAGTGGACTGGAAACTGGACCAAGAGGTTTGCCAGAGCCAGAGGTAAGCTATAGAACCACAAATATGCTTTACCCAGCAGTACGTTAGAGGCAGAGATTAGCTAGAGCCATATCAATAACAAGGCATACCAGTGTTAGAGGTATGTTAAAGCCAGAAGATAGCTTAAGCCAGAGGAGGGCTAGAGGCAGAGGTATGTTAGAGCCAGAGATAAGCTGTGGCCCGACGTCTGCTAGAGTCAGAGATAAGCTAGAGCAAGAGGCAGTCCGGAGCCAGATATAGCCAGAGATAAGCTAGAGCCAGAGATAAGCTAGAGCCAGAGATAAGCTAGAGCCAGAGGTAGGCTAGAGTCAGAGTTGTAACTATTAATGTAAGGTGAAGGCAAACGTGGGCTGTACGTCTTATTTGCAATAGGTGTTTTGCGATGACAAGACCGAGGAAGATATACAAGACATTGTTGGCAGAATTATAAAAGTGTACGAATTTGAAACAAAGCAAACGGTTAAGTAAAGCGAAGCTCGTTCACACTAAGGTACGTAACTAGCAAATTTTCCATACCTAAGTACGGGTGCAGTATCTGAACAAAAATATAGAGAGAGTGTTTTTGAAATGACACAAATAATTATGTTTTACTTTAGAAAAGCGAGTTATTGCGATTCAAGATAGAGATGGTTTCGAGAAGTGTTCCAGGAAATGTTTTGACGAATATAAGCGTGTGCAATGATCTTAGATTTGTCAGGAACACCATATTCAAAGAACGCGACAGATCAGAAGTTACAGAAGGCCGTCACCACTACCCACGGTGGTTTCTTTTGACAAGGACACGCAATGGCCGAGTAGAGGATATAAATGATGCCGTCTCATTTGCTGTGGAACAGGAAAGAAATGTTCTCGTATACCTACACATTTCTCTAGTTTTGCTTTGATAGCTATATGTCGTGAGCTAATTACCACATTCTTGGACGATACACCCCAACACCCAAACGACGTGCTACGAAAGTGGGGTTCGAATCCTTCGAGGGTCAGTCGGTTGTCGTTGGGTTCGGTGTGTTGAGCATAAGACTTGCGGTGAACGAGTTCCGTGAATGTCAAGAACATAGTAAGGGTAGATGATAGTGTACACGAGGTGTATTGTAGATTTTTCGAGAATGGATTGTGACACTTGAACCATGCAATTACGGTGGAATTACATTAGCCATGACTTTACCTTTAGTTATTTACGTTTTATTGAACTGTAAAAAGCTAAAGAGAACGACGCGCTCTTAAACTCGAGGAGGAGTGATCACCAATCCGTCACCTACCTGTACCACTCAGCCAAGCGAGAGAGATGTGATGCCAATGGAAACTTATCAAGTGTTTGACAGAACAGCATTTATTGCCTTTCATTACATAAGGCTTTAAGTAATAAGATCTTTGGCAAATGCCTTTACCTCATCATTGAAAAGATAGAACTTTATAAAGAATATTGGCTTGCGACAAGTCGAGTGAAAGCATTCGAAGCAATATATGTATTATCACAAAGAAAGAAGAAGAATAAAGTATGCACAATGTCATGCATTGCCATGTGGTGAATCAGGGTCATGGCGCGCATGTTCTTAATCAATTTTGTCCATTCAAAAGGGTCGCTAAAAGACCATTTTTCCGTCGTGATTTTTAATAATCGTCATTTCAAAGCTTTTTGTCTTTCTTTTTGTCTACCTTTTGTCTACCTTTATCTCTAAGTTTATGTCTACCTTTATGTCTACCCTTATATCTATCTTTTTGTCTACGTTTATGTCTACCTTTATATCTACCTTTATGTCTACCTAAGTGTCTACCTTTATGTGATTGTCTACTTTAGTGTCTACCTTCTTTTTTACCTTAATTTTATGTCTACCTTTGTGGGACAAAGTTCTTATTTTGTAGAATGCGACATTAAAATAAACTGTGATTTCACATTGCGACGAAATGGTAAACACAAAGGTAAACTCATAGGTTGACTAAAAGGAAGACACAAACGTTGATAAAACCTTTGTCAATACATAGAAGACGATATCTTAAAAAGACGAAATTTCATGGGTTTGTATGTCCTTGCTCGGAATTATTAAAGTGCCCCTGTCACTTAAACTTAATTGTGCGCAACCAACAGTAACGGCTTATGATGATAGAAATATTTCTGTTAGTTTAAACATAAAATCAAAATATTCTCGACGCCATTAGATGAGAATAAATGACCAAAGACATGCGCGTCATTGCCTTGATTTACAACACGACAATGTATAAAATTGAGTGTCAAATCACGATTTTTTAAATGTCATAATCTATAAAGTAAGGACTTTGTCCTACAAAAAGGTAAACACGTAGGTAGATATAAAGTTGGACAAGAAGGTAGACAAAAGGTAAACATGAAGGTAGACGAGAGGTAGACATGAAGGTAGACATAAAAATCGACAGAAAATTTTGAAATGACTTATTACAAATAACGACGGAAAAAGTAAGACAAAATTGATTAAGGACATGCGCGTCATGACACAAAGTCACCACATGTCAATGGATGCCATTGGACTTAATTTGTTCCTCTTGTTTCTTCATGATGAAGCATTTATTGCTTAGAGTTCGATAAGGACGATTAAAAAATGACTTCCTTCGGGAAGTCATAGAAAGATTTGATCAAAAGACTTAGTTTCTTTAGGGAAATTTTTGCAACAGGGCTGCTTTTCTTTTTTTTTATTTGGGATTTTACTCTGCAAACATGCTAAGTGTCGCATTCCGAAAAACCAACAATAGAATTGCCATATGTACACAGTGTGTACACTATTAACTACCCTCACTTGGCTAACTTCATTTTCCTAACATTCGCTGTTATCGGCAAGACTAATGTGCAATGCACCAAGTCCAACAACAACCAACTGACCCTAAAGGATTCGAACCCCACATCACAACCTGAGAAACCTAAATCTACACACTCGACCAGAGAGTGATTTGGAAACCGATGGAAAATTTAGTCTATTTATGATGATGTGTTTGAAGCAATAATAAAAAAATTAATTCGTAAAGTGACAATAAATAAATCAAAAAGCATTTATATTTAGTCTTGCCACACAACGACAAAACATAATAGTTTCTAGCCATGGCATCTCAGTAATATCATGTAACACGTCGAAGCAAATACTCTACGTAAGTACGAGTGTTTGTACAATACTTCCCTACGCTTGTGCAGTGCAGATTTGTTTCGGCAGCGGCCATCAATAATTCCTTGCGGATTTCCAGAATGTCGTTTTCCTAATGGTGGTGAACAGAAAATTTCTGCTTTAATGTTTGTTGTAAAGCAGCCGATGTCTTCCTAAAAAGAATTGTGAAACGAGCTGAAAAGAAGGAGCATCTCCATAAGAATGCCAGTTTAGTAGGCTACTTCTCTTTAAATTGAAACACGATCAAATATTAGACACAATGCATTTCTCATCATTTAGATGTTGGGCTGTATATTGTCTTGGAATGGCGTAAACATCCCACTAGTCAAACCAAACAATAACTGAAGACTGCATTCTTCCTTTTTGACAGCAAATTTTACCGTAGACTTCAAATGTCTTCTTGCTCAAATGTTACAATAACATTCTTCTCTAAGTATTAGGTGAAGTAAGTTTTTGTTATAAGAAACCACTATGTACAGTCGTGACGACGACGTTCTTTAATATATGATCAGTTCCCTTGCATTAAATATGGTACAGTATATTCACCGACAAATATGTTGATATTCTGTTAGACACGGTTGCATTTCTGCATTGACAGCTTTCATTGTTAGCGTAGTTTTCTTCAAATTCGTTTCCAAACTTGACTTGATTTTTCCTTCTACGTGGTCTCTTGTGAACACTAACTTCTTACAAATATCGACAAAGGTTTTACTTTCCTTTTAGTTTATATAGTCAGTTTATATCCAAATTGTCGGCTGTTACCAAATAGCCTTGAAGACTTCAATCAATCTTCTTTTCTTTTTCTCCGCTTCGATTATTCAAACACTTTGCCATTGCACTTGTTGTTGTTCATTTACATATCGACTTTGAACAGCACTTTTACCATACATAATGTAATATTGTATAGTTTTCATCTTAGCTATATGCTAAAGATCATATGATTCACCATGCATAAGAGCAGCTAACAATTGTATTTTCTAATTCCTTGAGCTGTACAACGACAGCCTTTTGTTTGTACATTATACTATGAAAAGAATGAACAAGCAACTTTATTATAATATAATTAAGACGACGAAAGATGTGTAAAATACAAGATTGTATTGTCTGTATGTCCCGTGTATGCTAATCATTGCACTACGAAAGGCGTGCAACAACTCGTTAAATAATTAACTAAATCGTATTTAATATCGTCAACTACAACAGGTGAATTGCAACCGTTCCCTAAGGACTCAGAGGACAAAGATATATTCGCCATGTTGGTTGAAATTTTAATTATAAACAAGCAAAAATCCTTTGTCATATTCGCTCAACATGGCGGCCGTGACGTAACATATTGCAAAACCTTCTATAAGCATAAGTGATGTTACTTGTTTCGTTTTCGCGTACATAGTTTAGTGCACGCCTTCGATAAAATTTGTTACTCTAAATTTATTTTAATTACTATTTACAGTTTTTGTGTGAATAGCCTTGTCTGTTCCCCCCCCCCTGACTACATTGAACGGGCTGAAGTCGTAAATTTTTGCGATTACATTGTCGACTTCGATCTGGGAGCGGAGAATTTCAAGTAAACGCGAACTAATGACAAAATTTGCGTTGAATACAGAAAATACAAAGATGGGATGTTGATAACGAAGTGCAACGGTTTTGGACCTTAGGATAATTGCTTATACACATGTCAATCTTCGCAAAAGACAAAATTGTGACGAATCACTTGCGCACAAAATCGTATCTGACCCCTTTGGAGATTCGACCAAGCCTGTTTCAAATGATTTCAATCGTGGTCAAGAGAAAAAGAAGTACTGAAGTTTTTATCACGAATATCTTATTGCGCATGTGACTAGACAACCATAGTGAGAGCCAGTCAATCGCCTCTTTTGACCATTAGGAATGACGAAATCACCGACCGCTGCCAGTAATCTAAAGAAATATGTAGCAGCCAGTTGCACAGCGAAGTGGAGCTACTTCATATTCATTTTTCTGTGCCCGGATTCAAACGGTGACATGGAAAATGTTTCAAGTTAAGCTACAATTCAAAGTATGTAATCATATGTTAATGTACGAATTGAAATGCTTTTATATGATTCTCTGACGATGGCTTCGCAATAAAACATGAGGTAACATGCCGGGCCCCTCCAAAACAAATTTTATTGTTTGCAGATATGCATCTCACTATTGTTCAGTTAGGGGCTGTTCATATGAGGCCGGCTAATCGAGATTCAGTGACTGTGAGGCGTTAAATGATTTTGGCAAATGAAAACGATTCAAAACTTATCATCACATAAATCTTCTCGACCAATTTCACAATATTCTGATTTAATAACTACGCAAAAGCTTAAAATAGAAACAACCGGTTTGACCTGATTTGAGGATTTCAACAGGAATGACTTGTGGTGCTCAACAAACAGTTGTAATTTTTAAGCTTGAAGTTTTGCTCCCTTCCAATGCATCGAAATCATTTAACGCCTCAATGAATCCCGGCTAGTTGGGTTCATATGTACATCCCCTAAGAAGCTAAAGAGTTATCTGACGAACAGCAAGTTTTAAAATTGGTTTCCTTAAATAGATCCCCTCCCAAACTCTTTGCCCCACCCCCCTATCTATTTTGACACTAAGTAACTAAAAGTACAGAATGGCTTTATCCCTCTCCTCCTGCTTCGACCCGATTCATCCCATCGTTACCTGTCGTTTAATACCTTGTAAATAGTTGTATAATTTATTCATATTCATTTGATTCACCTAGCTGACTTTTACAGCTAGATATACAGATGGCCAGAAAAACTTTAATTACCAACGCTAACCCAGTCAACTGGTCCTGATTTCCACGGTCGGCGTGAGAAGAGACAAAGAGAAACTTACAATTAAATTGATACTAGTTATTTTACATGTACTAATGTATTGTGCTAGCAATACAAGATACATACTATAGTAAAGATACAACAATCAGTAAAGTAGTTACAAAAAGAACAAAGTGAAATTTATAATTTCATTTGGAAGAGAGTTCAATATTTTAGCACCGTCATACACAAAAGTATTTTTCACGCTATCCGTTTGCAGTTGTGGCAAGGATAAACTACACGATGACGTCTAATGATTATGTGTAACTAATGTTTTTGACAATGTCTTACATTAAAGATAAAACGCTATCTCTATGATAGTTTGTAAGAAATACCATACGTGCAGTTATTGTTTTGGCTGTTTTATGGGGTAGGGCTTAATTATTTACACTACGGTTATAATAACACTGGTGGTGTTCCGGTGAATTATTACTTTGTCCATTTTCTCGTGTGCGCCCTATATTTAAAAACTGTTAGATAAAATTTCGTGCAAAACGTTGATAAGCTAATTGCACGGCATCCGAAATTCATGTTGACTTTGCGGTCGCGTGTTTGTTCAAGGACTGGCACGAGTCAAATAGGTGTAGCATGACAACGATCATATTACTAAGGTATGTATTAAAAAACTCGGCTTATTTCGTTACCCAATACTCCTTTGGTTACTCAACGCTTAAATCATTCACAATCTGCGCTTTGTTTACGAACACAAAAATGGCCGTTCTCAGGAGTTGCGCCGTATTTTTGGCTTTTTTGTTCATCACTGACGCTCGTGGCGATGCCTATACATCGGGATTGTCGAATCGGATAGTCGTTACAAGTCGTGTGGGATGTGAGATAGTTACAAGTCGACCGCCTTGTCCTGCGACATTATTGAACTCAGATTTGGCTGTGGAATATGAAACGGATGCAGAGATGGTGAACATAACGATAGATGATTTGAGAGCCGAGTACAGTCTAGGCGACGATTGCGCGCAAACGTTGACGAAAATTTACTGTTCGAAGATAACACCGCGTTGCTACGAAAACGGAACGAAATACTTTGAGAACGTCACCGAAAGTTGTTCGAAGGTAGACAGGATTTGCCCGAAAGATAGCGTCGAAGAAGGACTTTGCAAAGATCTCAAGATCGGCTGGCAACCACTCGACGCATGTGTGATGCCAACAGCAAGGATCAATGGAAGTTGCCCGCAGCCTAAATCAAAGGTAATGGCGCTTTTCCCCCCGTTAGAAAACTACTTACATTTACAGATTTGTCTGATATAGATCTTGCAGCTTCGATTAAACAGTTTGAGTTTACAGTAAATTGAGTTTACAGTAAATTCTGCAGTGTTTACTTTCATTATATGGCGCGCGCGCTTCACAACAAAAACACCTATAATGGAATGTTAAAACAAAACGAGCGTACGTGCACTAAGTAAACATGTCACACAAAAAGTAGTATTTAATAAACAGCATGGAAATAGAACACAGTTCGTCTTCTTCCATTTCGGCATTCGCCTAATCAGTTCGAAGAGCCACATGCCTTTGTGTTGACGCAAACAAGAGACGCGTGCTAATCTTGTCGCGGTTGTAACTTTCTTTAGCAGTTTAGTTTACGTCATAGCTGAATCACAGGAACTGTCATAATGTTTTTCTTCGTCTCATTTAACGTACGTTTACAACTACTTAAAACTACTACTTGAGCGACGCGATGATAAAAAAACCGCTTTAGATGGCCTTTTGGAAGAGCTTAAATAATCAGGAGGCGGCGTGAAATCCCGATCCTGAGCGAAAGTCATACGCGTTCTTTTTGAAGCGTCGAGTCAGAAATTGTTTTTAAAGACCCTCTTAGTATGAAGAAAGGAGAAGGGAGCGTCACATGCGGTTTTCCAGGAATGTAAACAAGTTAAAAATAATTGCGAACAATGGTTGGCAACATCACATCCTCGAGCGCAACTTTATTAATGAGCAGCTTGACGAAAGACACGTTACGTCAACGATCTCTATTTGGCGTTCGCGTTCCATCCAGTCGACTCCCATAACAAGTGTTTTGCAGGGAAATTGGCCGAATCTGTTTATTTTAGGGTGGCATACGTGCGCATTTTACGAAAACAATCCGGAAGAAAAAATTAGCACGCTGAACATTCATTTTGCTTATTTTGTGTCACGCTAGGTTGGAGCCCGGTTATTCGTGAATGAAACGGACGACTGAAACGACTTGTTGTTTTCGTAACTTTGAAAACTTCCTGAATTTAAATTTCCTTCACCTGAGTTTGCGAAGTTCACCAAAACACGAATTCGAGACTTTTCGCACACGCGAAAACAATACACGCATGAAATTCGCGTTGCGACACAACACCACGACCAAGAAACGCGAGGAACAATCGGTTCTGACGCGTTGTACAAAATTTTACTACTCTATTCACCCGCCAACCAAGTACAACATATAAGTAAAATTTCACGACATTGATATCGTATGGGTTAAAGTGCCATGACCTGTTTCTAAGAGAATTCAATTGTTATTGTAGCAATGAACAATTTTCAATGATGTTTCAAACTGAAGGATTGCGCTTTAAAGAAAGGTTCATGCTGTGCGCAATTTGTTGATCATTTCAAGGGCCCCGAAAATGGCTGTTTTGCAATACCAAGAGTGCGTTTAATAAAACGTGAATGCTGAAGCAAGAGCAAACACTTAATCGTAAAAAATTTGGCTACATTAAGACGATAAACTAACTGTAACTGTACCAGGTTAAGTAGCTAACAAAACGTTCAGCGAAGAAAATTAACGAGACAAGAGCGAAGGGGTCCCGTTTTAAAACATATGACAGTAAGCGCGCAAATCATGACCCCAATAGTCAATCTTTAGTAAGGATTTAATTCGCGTCAAATGAATCTCTGCGATGATTGATGCCTGTCGACTATACGTTTTAAGCCAACTCGAGAATGCACTCGAAACTTAATATACATACAGTACGAAACTTGTTCACTAAATGATAATCGACTTGGTACAAAAGCGAATCATGCGTGTCATAGATAGACACATAGATTGATGGATAGTTCCGAGAAAATATATTTAAGCACATTATCCTTTTCAGCAAATGTTCATTTCCAAAAGGGATGTGTATACTATTTACAAATTAAAGTGGAACTATGACTTTTTTTATAAAGTAAAACTTTGTAACACAGAGAGTGCTTTACGCAGATTGTCAAACGAAATTTATTAATTTTTACTGTTTTGTGAGCTTTTAAAGTCGACTCGTTCGTGTACCAAGAACGTAATTCTAAAAACCGGAAACCGCGATAAGTGTGACGTAGATAGGGAACACTTCAGCTCAGAAACGTGTTTACATCTATAAAATAGTACTGGAAGGTTAAGCAGTTTTGCCAAGGTTTTTAGATATTTATTTTTATATTTGAATGTATATTTGGAAATCAACGCCTTTCGTGAGAGATTTGGTTGGTGAAACACCTTTTTGGCATAATTGCTTTGAAATTCAACGAGAAAACGCTTTCACCAACTATTTGTTATTCAAACACATGCTTGTAGATGTGAACAGATTACCCTATTACGTCACGCTAGTTCCAGGCTCTCAAACACGCCGTGAAACAAAACGGCAATAAAAAACATCATGTTTAAACCTCCACAAAAAGATAAATGGTCCCTCGATACGATTTTTTTTCTTTTTACAGTCACAACACGAAGTCAAATTGGCTTAAATGAAAGAAAACACGAAGATCATAGTTCCACTTTAAAAACTACAAATGACGAAGTGATAATTATTTTAATAAGCTCACAATAAAAGTTACAAGTGCAACATATTACTTTAAGGTCCATGAGGAGAGCTTAAGGCTCGAGAAAATGCATCGCAGTCACTCTCTGGCATTGGAAATCCATAAAAATAGGGTTTTTTTTTTATAAAAATAGAGATATCCTGGCACACGAACTTTTTATTTCTGCAATATTTCGTAAACGACCTTGATTCCGATTGGCCACAATTGCTTCATGTATAATCTCGAGTCCGATTGGCTAAAATTGTTTAATATACGATCTCGATTCTGATTGGCTGCAAATGTTTCACGTGTGGCCTCAATTCTGATTGGCCATGAAATTTCACCAAATTAACGTGTAGTCCACATTTCTCAATTTAACTATCTTTCGAAAAACGCAGCTCCATAGTCTCTTTGAGTAGGTTCCTTATACTTCATGAAGCAAGTTGTGCGGAATCGAAATAATTCATGTCTTCCAACATGTGAAAGTTCCTGAAATTCTTTTATTCCTAGATGCCACAAAACCTACTGAATGTCTACGCCAGATCGTCCGTTGAGTACGAAAACATTGAATTTTTTCACGATCTCGTTAAAGCTCGTCTTGACAACGGTAGCAAAATGTTCACAGCAAAATGCATCGCGAAAATCCAGGAATTATACTGTATGCCGTTCTACTGTTCCGCGGACGAAACGGAGTTGGTTGCTGAGTACAGTGTTGACGATTGCTTTGATATCATTGACGACTGGTAAGAAATTACTGACTATTTAAAGTACTCCATCGACCTTTTGGTCAGAAATTATTCACGATTGGCCGAAAATTATTGACAGTCAAAAATGCTTTATCGACATTTGGTAAGACATTATTGACGTTTGGTAAGAGATTATTGACGACTGGTGAGAAATTATTGATGATTGAGAAATCGTTGACGATTGTTAATCATATTAAAATAGAAATCTTGCCGTTTGTGACGAATCGAAATATTGTATTGAAAAGTGCAATTGCTCTGATGAATGGCCTAAAAATAACCCAAGACTTCCGAAAAGAATTGTTTCAGGACATTAATCAAGCAAACAAATGACCAAAATGCATGATGTCTTTAACTTAACCGCGAGTTAAACAAAAAAAGACGAGAATGAATGTAGAGCAATTCTATAAATCTAAATGTAGGACGTAGAGTTTGAAGAAAAGCCCGATGGTTGCGAGCAATAAATGTATTTCCACTCTGGATTATTCATTAATATCGCTATTATATATATTGTAAATTTTAATGCTTTTCACATAACATTTGTTTTTCTAGGATTAAAAATACTTGATGTATTTTAATTAGTCTTGTAAATAATGTATTTATTTAACTTTGCTATGACAGCAATGAAATCACAACAGTTTGCGCCTGTTAGCTACTAAACAGTTATTTTAAAAATTCTCGGGTTATTCTTTCCGGACATTCACCATGGCACATGCGCTTTTCAAGGCAATGTTCAATACTTAGTCGAAAAAGAAAAAATAATGACGATTGCTGACATTCACAACGAGCAAAGAAATACCGACGACTGGTGAGAAATTACGGAAGATCAGATGGGTTAAATAAGTGACGAACTATTTTAATTGTTTAACTTTTCCATCTAGTTTTCCAGTAATTGACGACATTCGCAATAAAACACTGAAAGAAATCGTGTCGAACCTTCATGAGAAATACAGTGGAAATTGTGTTCTGTATCCTGACGACCCAGACAGCGTGGACGGATCGGGCACTACAAGCACTTCGAGCACACCGAAAGTAGATGTGATCACGTCCCTCGACAAATTGAATACTACCTCGACTCCCAACGGCACAAGTGACTCCACCTTATCACCTCACGTGGAAAGCTCAACTCGATTGGTCAAAACAGCACATTCGGATACAGACAGCGACAGTTCACCAAGCGACGAACCAGAAATATCTTCGGAGAAGCCGACGTCGCCTTTCGACGGGACAGTGGAAGTCATTATGACGTCGACGACCACAGCTGGTAGTGGAAACTTGGAAACTCGCTCGATCCTCTTGGCTTTGGTGGTTTTTCTCGTCACGTTACATTTCTTATTCCATTGAAGACTTTGTCCATAGTTAAGGTGTCGACGCGACCTTAAATCAAACGCGCACCTGATTGGTCAGTTCTCATTTTCTCCCGTCTTACACCTGGTTACGGGCGAAGGAATAAATAAACGCGCCAATCAAAGCTCTTCTCAAAAATGATTACGAAAGAACTGACCAATCAAGTGGCGTTTTGATTTAAGGCCGCGAGTAAATTGATGTCGAATAATTCTTAAAGAATCACAAAAGAAAACGCGATAAGCGCTCGAGCTGTCTGCATGCCTGAAGTGCCAGCAAAATTTGACGAACCAAATCCGTAGTTAAAAATCTTTTCAGTTCAAGCGTCGGTTCGACAAACAAATAACCAATGTGGTTAATACATTGGCAAACATTCCACAAAGGATTAGAGTTATCGTTCAAATCAACTAATTAATTAAAGCTATAAACATTGCAGTAGTTGTATCAATTGATTTTGATTCATATTTGGCACAGTGACAGTAACAACAAAGTGGCAAAGCATAGTTACAAAAAGCAGATCAACTAATCTAGATTACGACTCTCGAGATCGGATTAGGTACACCGAGCACACAGATTAAACCAAGTCGATAGGTGTTCATACAACAGCCGTTTACCATATCCCAGCCGTGACGTTCACGCAGCGTTATGCGAATATATGGGCTGTCGCTCATCGTTGGACAACGTTCATTGTGAGCGTAGATTTTTAATGCCAAAAAAAAGAAAGAAAAATCTAAGCTAGAAAAAAGATTTCAAATCTCTGCTTATAAGTTTAAAGCCAATTGTGGCCACGCATCACGAGCCCTAACTACAACTATTGCGATATTTGTAATTTTGATGTCGTCAGACTTTTCTGCACTAATTTCGCGATCTGTGAACGACTGTACCCCAGTCCTCCAAAGCCGACACGGACTATCACTTCACTCAACGGGTACGCCCCCCCTCCCGCCTACAATAAATTTACGTAATATTTGGGAAATACTGACTCGTGGGAGACGTGTCTCGTTACCGAAGGAGGGAACAAAGGAAATTGTCAAGATTTCTCTTCTCCACTTACATGACGTATCTATTTAAGATGCTTCGATGTGAGCTTGGTCGTATTGAATAACTAGTTTCTTGATGTGGCTCAATTTCGGGTATAGATAATTTAGTCTCTGTCGATCTCTCGTCCAACCCTCCTGGAATGAGATAGAAAATGCGTCATTTAATAATGGGAAAACGCGATGAGTATTTAACCAGTCATAGAGGGAATATGCGATTTTCTCGTAAATTTGCAGCAAAACAGAAATATGCACAAAATATGTACTAAAATTAGTTTTGCACTCGATTGATAGCATAATCTAATATGTTTCAGGTAACAGTTTCAAACGGTGAACTGTCATATAAACTGGAATGCTAACTCCAGCAGTAATGCCACAGGTCAATACGAGGTTATGATTCATGTTCAATACTAGTTTTGTGGTTCATGTTCAATACTGAGTTGTAATTTAAGTTCAATACTAGATTCTGATGTATATCTTTGTTAATTTTGTTAAAATGACATCATGGAAGAACGGCTTCAAAGATCCTCGCGACGTCAGCGTTCAACAAACATTCAATAGTTTAAACAAAATTTCTTGCCCCCCCTTTCCAATATTGAAAACGTTCCTACGTTCCTGCGTTTAACATCCACAAAAAGTTAACTTGCCCACCCAAATTATTTAATCGGTCAAAAAATTGCGTCATAAACTGTCGCACGCACCTTTTTTTCCTCGTATACTTTAAATATTTCCTCCTGTAGTTCCTGCAAGTGACAACGTATTTTTGTTAACGGGAATACGAGACGCGATCGAAAATCGTCGTACGGCAGTTGAGAGGGTTACATGTTTGTGGATGTAGATTTTCCTGGTCAGTGGAGTCCTGAGAAGAAATGATGGTGTTGATGTTGATGTTGGCTGAAGTTTCGACAACCGTACAGCGGTAGTCACCTTCAGAGTCAAGTGTCAAGACTCGGGGTCAAGATGACTACCGTTAAGGTTTATCGAAACGTCAGTTTATCGAAAGTTTATCGAAACGTCAACAGTCCTTCTCAGGACTCTACTAATACTAAGGTTTATCGAAACGTCAGTCAACGTAAACACCAACATTCCTCTCAGGACTCTACAAACCTGAAACTATCTACATCCACAAACATGTAACGATACTCCCGGGTTCAAACCATTGACTTTAGTGGAGAGGGTTCAGCATAGCAGGGGGGCGGATAAATCTAAGGGATTTTGTTGCCACCCCCCGGAAAATACACAGTAATCTTTTCGTGCAAAACTTAGCATAATCGAACCTAACATTTCACCTTATCTTATAAGCAATATTCAAACGGCCAAGTTTCTTTTTAGCATTTTTCAGCAAGATTTTTTTAAGTAATTCATTCGTCAACAAAGTAATTATCTACCTCGGCATCCTTGCTTCCCTCGGGAAAATTCTTTAATCGCTCTTTGAGTTCGTTGAATTGTTTGGTGACGGAGTCTAGACGTTCTTTCGTTTCGGTGAACTCCGTGTATTCTCTGGCAAAATCTCGTTTATAAGAACATCGCTGCTCGTAAGTTTTAATCTCGAGATACCGCCTGATATAAAATGACAATAACTAACAATGGCCGACACTAATAATGACAGGGTTAAAACTCATAGTAAATACGGTGTTTTCTAGACCAAAACTAAGTTATGACTCAATCAAGTACTAGGTTATATAATTCAAGTTGAATACTAGGTTATGATATAAGTCTATTGCGACTTCATGATTAAATTCAAAGCAACATTTCAGTAGAGAATCGGAGCTAAGGCACACAACTACATTCATGAAGACGCGAGAAAAATAAAAACTAGCAATTTTTCATATACTAACTGAAGATAATCTTCTTTCGTTGACGCCTCCGTTTTGGAATATGAGAACGTATTGTTGTTTCCGTCGTTATCTTCGGTAGCATTTGCAGTTTTGTGAAATTTCGTGCTGTCTTTGGCTAAATGCGCATAAAATGGACGGAAAATGAATTTCAACGGATCAACGAATTAAGTAACCGAACAACATGGCCGCTATGACGTCACATGAAAACACGTGATAAAAACAATGCAAATTTCAAAAACATTCAGGTGCAGCGGGAAACTTTTATTTTGGTGGAAATGTAGGGGGGAGGGGGGTTTGCACGCTATATGGAATTTTTAAGACCACAGTCCGGAAACACCGCGGGTGCCAAGCCACCTCCTTGCCATGGTCACAGAAAACATTGCAACCCAGGAATACAAAAATTTGAGCGATGCATGCATCGAAAATGAACAACGCAATCTTACTCGAATTCTTGTTTTCCGTTTCGTGGTCTGGTCTGTATTGGTCTTGGCTCGCACGTCCCTCTGGGACATTCCGAGGCGGTTGTGACGTAAGCTTCGGCGGAGAAGGTTCGGTTCTTTTCTTCTCGGTCTTTGACGTCGCGGTGATATGTGCTATACGAGGTTTCTTCCCAGCGGGATTTGTACCCGTTGCATTGTTTCCGGCAAGTGGCCGTTTGTTTGAGCCCTGGGAATAAAAATAACACCAAATTGCAATTTTTAAACGGATGCAGTGGCGGAAAAACGGCGCTTGGCCGAGAGAGTGGGTTCTCCCATAATAATTTTCAAAGAAGACCTTATTTGATAACAAAGTGGAAACACACAGACGTTTTTATACAAAAAGTTATACATGTAAGAAGGTGACCAGGCTAAATAGGAAGATTCAGGTTCATTGATTCACCCAACCAATACTTTGTCGAAATTGAGCCGTTTTATTTTTACAAATGCAGTGCATATAAGGTAAGGCCTTCCAGATTGCGATAATCTAGAGCAAGTTTTCAATCGAGACTAAGTTGACAATTCATCGGAGCGAAGATTTAAATGCTAGTTCTACATACGTTGACCTGAATTCAACTATCTCACCCTCCCCAAACTTCATAATTCATGAAATATCTACCATTGCTTTGGAAAATTAACAACAGGAAGTAAATGTCGCTTCAAATAAAATCTCCATTGAAATTCAACGGATCTCAAGCGCAAAAACTCGACTGACTTGAAAAATTTAAACGTACATTGCCCGGTAACGGCAATCCTAGTGGTCCGGGGGACAGTCGGTCGACGCTCGAGCCCATCTCGGCGACAAGTTTCCTAAATAGAAAAAATATAATGAGCTATCTAATGTCATCGGTCGACAACAATATGAAGGTTAATCATAATGTAACAGAATGTTCCTAACAATATGAAGGTTAATCATAATGTAACAGAATGTTCCTAACAATATGAAGGTTAATCATAATGTAACAAATGTTCCTAACAATACGAAGGTTAATCATAATGTAACAAAATGTTCCTAACAATATGAAGGTTAATCATAATGTAACAAAATGTTCCTAACAATATGAAGGTTAATCATAATGTAACAAAATGTTCCTAACAATATGAAGGTTAATCATAATGTAACAAAATGTTCCTAACAATATGAAGGTTAATCATAATGTAACAAAATGTTCCTAACAATATGAAGGTTAATCATAATGTAACAGAATGTTCCTAACAATATGAAGGTTAATCATAATGTAACAAAATGTTCCTAACAATATGAAGGTTAATCATAATGTAACAAAATATTCCTAACAATACGAAGGTTAATCACAATGTAACAAAATGTTCCTAACAATATGAAGGTTAATCATAATGTAACAAAATGTTCCTAACAATATGAAGATTAATCATAATGTAACAAAATGTTCCTAACAATATGAAGGTTAATCATAATGTAACAGAATGTTCCTAACAATATGAAGGTTAATCATAATGTAACAAAATGTTCCTAACAATATGAAGGTTAATCATAATGTAACAAAATGTTCCTAACAATATGAAGGTTAATCATAATGTAACAAAATGTTCCTAACAATATGAAGATTAATCATAATGTAACAAAATGTTCCTAACAATATGAAGGTTAATCATACTGTAACAGAATGTTCCTAACAATACGAAGGTTAATCATAATGTAACAAAATGTTCCTAACAATATGAAGGTTAATCATAATGTAACAAAATGTTCCTAACAATACGAAGGTTAATCATAATGTAACAAAATGTTCCTAACAATATGAAGATTAATCATAATGTAACAGAATGTTCCTAACAATATGAAGGTTAATCATAATGTAACAAAATGTTCCTAACAATATGAAGATTAATCATAATGTAACAAAATGTTCCTAACAATATGAAGGTTAATCATAATGTAACAGAATGTTCCTAACAATATGAAGGTTAATCATAATGTAACAAAATGTTCCTAACAATATGAAGATTAATCATAATGTAACAGAATGTTCCTAACAATATGAAGGTTAATCATAATGTAACAGAATGTTCCTAACAATATGAAGGTTAATCATAATGTAACAGAATGTTCCTAACAATATGAAGGTTAATCATAATGTAACAAAATGTTCCTAACAATATGAAGGTTAATCATAATGTAACAAAATGTTCCTAACAATATGAAGATTAATCATAATGTAACAGAATGTTCCTAACAATATGAAGATTAATCATAATGTAACAGAATGTTCCTAACAATATGAAGGTTAATCATAATGTAACAGAATGTTCCTAACAATATGAAGGTTATTTATAATGCAACAGGATGTTCCTAACAACATGAAGTCTAATCAAAACGTAACAGAATACATAACTATCGAATGTTCAAATCTGAAAACAAAATAAAGAAATTTTTGACCGTACTCTTCAAGGGCGGCGGAACGTTGATAATTGGGGGGTGGGGCTATATTCATATATTCATATGTTACAATCCGTAAACACAATTGATTTCAATAGAAAGTAATAAAGTAAAAAATGCATATATGAATAATAACCCTCCCCACAGTTATCAATGTTCCGCCTCCCTTGGTACTCATCAACAACAATGGACTTACTTTCGAACGGCTTCTCGATCTTCATCACTGTATCCAGGCCAAGTGTCAACCTGTCAAAAAACACAACAGTGATAACCAAGAATGCGTTATTTCTGAAAATAATAACGAACCACGCGAACCAAAAATAAAGCACGGAAATGCACACGAAAGAGAACGCTTTATCTCAAACACGCACAACAATAGAATTTGATCGACTACACGTCACATCAAACATGTTTTCAAATAAGGCGAGCATTTCTATCTATACCTCGGGGCCTTACAACGAAAATCGGGAAAGGCCTTGCATGGAAACGATTTTAAGGACGATAATGGCTCAATGTAAAGTTTTTGAAAAAATTATGGGATTTTAAACAGAAAATTTTGCAAAACTTTGGCGTTAATCTATAAAAAAAACGTAGCCCTTCTGTTGTCAGTCTCAAAAAAACAACCAGCTTGACAAAAAAGGTAGAAAGAAATCAACGTCACGAAATACACTAATTGACAGTCACAAATCCAGGGTGGCTCAGAATACACTATTAATCACCGAAAAACGTATTTCCATTTCAAAATACATTACTGAAAATCCCATTTTAGAAAATCTCATAGATATTCTTTACAAGTTTCTATCAAACAGAGTTGTTAAAAAAGTTTTTTGAATTCAAAACGAGCTTCTAGAATTAATTTTGCTCTACGTAGCTACCCTAGATCCGCTACTGTTGGGATTAGTGGGATAAGTCAAATGAAGAGTGGGAGAGTTTCTTCAATTTTAATTTCTTTCGTTTGGATGTTATAGCTTGCAAGCTTGCTCGTGTTATGTAAAGATTTTGTTATTTAGCCACGATAAAAATAATAGGTATACAACAAAACAAAGCTAGCTTGCAAGCTTGCTCGTGTTATGAAAAGATTTCGATATTCAGCCACATTATGACACAAAATGTAATCACAATTTTTTTGATTGCATTGCAAAGAACTTTCAAAAAGACTTCACAATCTCATCAGTACAATTGACTTGTGGCAGTTTTTTCTAGAGATATTTGATTTTATCCTTAATGCAAATGACATCTTTATGACATCACAGAGCACAATTAACTTTCAAAAAAAACACATCAATTTTCAACATCGTTAGAACATTTATAAAGATGCCAAAGTTGGATATTTTAATCGTTGGTAGATCTAGGGTAAGTCAAAATAAATTACTGCAGCACATTTTGGCACATACTTACATTTCTAAGTACCTCAGAGGCAAATCCATAAGTAAAATTATATTCTTTAAAAATTCAAAACCAATAGTGATTTTCTGAAAGTACTTTGAATTTAAAATTAAGAAGCTGTATAATTTATTTTGACGAACGCTGTAACCGCTACTGACTTTAACGTCGACTGTCGACAAAAAACTGTTTTCCTAATGCTAATTATGCAATGTGATGTCATAACGATGTTATTTGTACACCAAGGAAAAGTTATATATCTTCAAAACGAAGTAAAAAAGCTACAATTCCGTTAAAGACGTTGTTAAGTCATTTTAAATTGCCTTTACAATGCGATCAAAAAACATCGCGGCAAAATTTCGTGTCATAAACACTTTAACTGTAGTTTGAATGAACAACAAACGCTTTTAGCATTCGTACCCCAAAACTTCTACGAGCTTTATACGCACCTGAACTTCGCTGTACAAATGACGGTTGAGAGAGTATGTGTTATCCTGCATGACAGACACCTATACGACATAAACTTGGTTAGTGAAGAACTTCGCGTAGGTAAGACAAAATCCGACCGGAAAAAGAGCCGAACAAAAGAAAGACGAAATAAAAAGACAGCTCGTGTATGTCTGAGTCTTGCGAGAACAAAGAAAATTTATCTGTTCAAAAAACCTGGAAATAACGTCGATGCAAATGAACAAGCATGGTCAAAACATATTTCGACACATCTCATTTTGTAATTTTGATTCAACAACAAGCGCATGTGTAACTGCAATATCCCTAACCCATTGTTTCTTCCTATGATCAAGCTTTAGCAAGGTCACAGTATCACATTTAGCAACAACGGAGCTTGCAGTTGCAAGAAACCAAACGAAAGGATGCTTCTTTAGATTAGGGAAAACCACTTACATTGTAAGGAAGAACTCTAATGTTTGAAGGAAAAACGATTTTTGATGTTAGGGAAAATCATTAAAAACGTACGAAAACCCATTATGATTCGGGGGGAAATACTTATATTGAGAGGAGAAACCATTCGTGACGTTTGCTATTTGAAATCATGACGTCACGGGGCACCAGGACAAAATTTTGGCCCGGGCCCCACATTATCCTCGGTGGCTCTGTATATTGCTAATTGTAACAAAGGGTTTGCAGAAACCAACGACTTTCTTCCCTTACCTGCTGAAGAATATTGGTTAAAACACTCATGGCATCTTTCAGCTTCACCCCGTCTGAAATGCAGGTTGATAAATGTAACTCATTGGAAACAAATACAAAAATAATGCTACGCGGGTTTGCATTCGGAAACAGACGGCAACTACTCGGGCAACGGAAAAACCGAACTTCCAGGAAATTACAACGCAGTCAGATTATGGGATATTTCGAGATCTGACGATATTTCTGGTAGAAAGAAACATCGTGACCTGGGTGGGGTTAGGAAATCCAGGCTTAACGTCGGCATGCACATCTTTTTAAAGTAATTCTTTCATCCCATACAGCGCATGTAAAGCAATCTCATAGATAGTTTAGTCTGCTTTAGTCTCAAATTAATGGATCAAAACTTTACGTTAAAAAGTTATAAATTTTATATGAACTTTTAAATCTTGAAAATTGTTGTATTTGATAATACGCAAGTTTTTATGCTTACGTAATTCATAGCAGACTTTGAGGTATTTCTCGATTGTGATTGGTCGATTGTAGTGCAGTTTATCTGTGAAAATGTGCAATTGCACTGCAGTAAAGTGTACGTGCACTGTAAATACTGATTTCTGAATGGTAAAGAAACTAAAAAAAACGGAAAGCCAAACAAACTTCTCAAGCGGCAGTTGCAAATGAACAAAGATTTCCACAATCCACCTTACCGACGATAGACAAACGTGTCAAAAATACGAGATCGATTTACAAAATTCGGACTAAATCAAATAGTCGGACATAGTATTGTATATGTAAAATAGTAGTATATTTACCACGATTTAAGTAAATAAAGTAAATTTATAGTCATTTTCCGTCAAATCAAAGTAAAGCTTGGATATGACATACAATATGCAGATACAAAGTTATAGAGAAAAACAAAAACATCTCTATGTTGTCAAGGATATTAAAAGTGCAGTAACAAAGCGTTGATGAGTTTGATATGCATTTGTCAAAACAAGCTTAAGAAGACAAAGAGCAAGCCAAAAATAAATTATTGAAAACTTGCTCAGCGCATCTACAAGCGCCAATTTCAAGTTAATTGAGAATTAATCTAAGCATGTGTGGTTGACTCCACCAAATCACCAAGTTCATGGTCATGGCAACGACCAACTGGATGTACTAATACCAATTATGGAGTAATTAGCTCGCTCACAGTAATTAATCAAAAATTTTCAGATAAATGATCTGCACATGCGCAATTTGCCTGAGTTAACCAGCTGCCCAAGTTCATGGTGATGGCAACGATCAACTGCATCTACTAGCACCGATTTTGAAGTAAATGGCATGCTTAGTAACAATTTAATAGAGGAATCATCTGCGCATGCGCAGTCCACTCGACTAATTGTTCATAGTCATGGCAACGACTAACTATATATACTCGCACTACATTTGTGGCAATTAGCCCACTTAGTCGCAAATTATCAAAGAAATCATCTGGGCATGCGCAGTAGTGACTTTAATAATACCACAACTTTAGTAAGCCTTTGAATTTATGTATATATATATATAAATCTAAAACTTCATATAGTAGATGTCAACTAGCAGTGGAAGCTGGGTGCGATATAGTATGCATTGGCTTTAGGGGCCCAGACTTCGGTCGCGACCGCACTCTCCCTGCAAAGCCTATCGCAGGTGATATCGGCGTCTGATGGGTGGAAGCTTGCTACGCATTTGCATTCCCAAGTAGGATAGCGTGGAGGGGCCGAAATCTCCTACCGAAACGTTAACATGTGGCGCTCTAGTGCCTTACGCTTAAGAAGGTATCGGGGAAGCATGGACCGAAAACGGGTTTTTTTGCTTTTGAATTTTATCTTTTTGTTTATCTCATAAATGAAACTAGAACAGTCATTAGTGATTATAAGACAGCGAAACCAACATGTAATACGAATAACAGTTCAAAAATACGTATGGCTTGCTTTTTTGAGCTTTATGCAGCTGGAATCCGTCTTGGATATTCTTAAGTCACGCCGTAAAGGCCCGTAACAATCCTTACAAAAAAGTCATTAGCGCGACAACATGCTAGTGTTCGCGCTTTCCTTCGATCGTTATGCTTTTTTCTAACCCAAAATGGTAATACTTTCTGTTACGCCTTCTGCCTTTATAAATTATCGTTCTGAATAACTAGTATCAGATTCACAAATGCCTTAAGAGCATTTTCTTTCTATTTTATCGCGAGTATTCTACATAACCGACTATTTGATTGTCCGAATTTTGTAATTTGATCTCGTATTTTCGACACGTGTGTCTACCGTCGGAAAGGTGGATTGCAATCGTTTGAAATTCTAGAATAAATTTTCGCTTCAGCCTTTGAAAAACTCACTTGTCAATGTTTATCCGTAATTGCACTCGAAACTATACTACTCTAGTACCGCACTGCATATAACATACTTTCATATGACCCATAATAATTGCTATAACCTTGCAACTTCAATACTAACTCAGTTCACAAAACGGTAATTATTGGTTCATTAAACGTTCTATCCATTCTACCTTTCTCCAATCTCATTCTCAGTTCGAGTTTATTAAACGATCTCAACGCCAGCAAATGGATAACTTTTTCCCTAAAAAGTTTGTAGATATAAATGAGAAGTTCCAAATCGAACGAAGGAGAACGAGCGAACCTTAATCCCTTCGAGCTTTGGTTGTTTTTGTTGCATTTGCTGACATTACGCAGATACTTTTTTTGCATCGCATTCGGTTGCACAGTCCATTTGGTCTTTTTCACTGCTGACAAAGAGAAAGAACGGAATCATGAATGTCGTACTGATCGAAGTTGAACAACGTAGGAAGGAAAATCTCACCGCCATTCTTGGAGAGTTCAATCACTTTAGCTCTGCGATGAAATAAAGCAAGGATGAGATAAGAAGGAAAAGAAAACACGTTTCCTATCAATGTATGTCGTCAAACTTTGTCTGTAGTTTTGGCTGTGACCTTGGAAGGTTCTCACTCTTCATTAGTCGTTCTCATTTTTCGTACCTAATCCACGTTCATATGTTATTTAGTGTAAAGACTGCTCGCGTTCTTTGTTGTTCATTCATCACTACCTACACTGACACACGTTATCTCAGTTTATATTTAAGGTAGTGTAAAGACTGTTCTTGTTCTCTGTTGTTCATTCATTACTACTTACACTGGCATACATTGTCTTTTTTTATATCTATTTGTTATATTTGTTATATTTTGTCAACCCGAGGAACACAATGTTGATATCTAGATAGCGAAATACACAACACAAACTTTGTCAACCCGACAAACAAAATGGGGAAATCTAGATACCAGAATACACAACACAAACTTTGTCAACCCGACAAACAAAATGGGGAAATCTAGATACCAGAATACACAACACAAACTTTGTCAACCCGACAAACACAATGGGAAATCTAGATACCAGAATACACAACACAAACTTTGTCAACCCGACAAACAAAATGGGGAAATCTAGATAACGGAATACACAACACAAACTTTGTCAAACCGACAAACACAATGGGGAAATCTAGATAACGGAATACACAACAAAAACTTTGTCAACCCGACAAACACAATGGGGAAATCTAGATACCTGAATACACAACACAAACTTTGTCAACCCGACGAACACAATGGGGAAATCTAGATACCAGAATACACAACACAAACTTTGTCAACCCGACAAACACAATGGGGAAATCCAGATAACAGAATACACAACACAAACTTTGTCAACCCGACAAACACAATGGGGAAATCTAGATAACAGAATACACAACACAAACTTTTTCAACCTGACAAACACAATGGGGAAATCTAGATACCAGAATACACAACACAAACTTTGTCAATCCGACGAACACAAAGAGGAAATCTAGATAACAGAATACACAACACAAACTTTGTCAACCCGACGAACACAATGGGAAATCTAGATAACAGAATACACAACACAAACTTTGTCAACCCGACGAACACAATGGGAAATCTAGATAACAGAATACACAACACAAACTTTGTCAACCTGACGAACACAATGGGGAAATCTAGATAACAGAATACACAACACAAACTTTGTCAACCCGACAAACACAATGGGGAAATCTAGATAACAGAATACACAACACAAACTTTGTCAACCTGACGAACACAATGGGAAATCTAGATAACAGAATACACAACACAAACTTTGTCAACCCGACAAACACAATGGGGAAATCTAGATACCAGAATACACAACACAAACTTTGTCAACCCGACAAACACAATGGGAAATCTAGATACCAGAATACAACAACACAAACTTTGTCAACCCGACAAACAAAATGGGGAAATCTAGATAACAGAATACACAACACAAACTTTGCCAACCCGAGGAACACCATGGGGAAATCTAGATACCAGAATACACAACACAAACTTTGCCAACCCGACAAACACAATGGGGAAATCTAGATACCAGAATACAACAACACAAACTTTGTCAACCCGACAAACAAAATGGGGAAATCTAGATACCAGAATACACAACACAAACTTTGTCAACCCGACGAACACAATGGGGAAATCTAGATACCAGAATACAACAACTTCCTCAAACTAAGGAACGCAACAAGAAAACCTAGACACTCGAACTGTACTGACATTCACCTGCTTCCTTGGCGCTCTTTCTCCACCTCGGCCATTCTAGTTTTTGTAGCTACGTAACTGTCATTGTTAGCGCTTATGGTAATCTTCTCGCAGATATTTCCTAGCAACGTCAAATTGCCATCGTCCCTCTTCTGCTGCAAGCAATCCAGACCGATCGTGCTGTTTGCCATGAATAGGTTGGAGCACGTGAAATTGAACCGCGTTCCGTCGTTGTCACTTCCATTTTTAGAGGGAACGAATAGAGTCTGCAAATGATTTCGAAAATCTAATTAGAACACTAACATTCGTGATTCTAGAAAAAATGCGCCCGCGTTCATGTTTCTTCTGCGGAGTCGAAAGCCGGATGTTCAATTGCAGGGATGCGTGAGTTAGTTTCAAAGCCTAAAGGCAGATTTCCATTCAGTGCAAATTGTCGCGCGATCGTCTTTTTGCGATCACTTTCCTTTGAATTGTGTACAGCAGTGTGAAACTGTTCCAGTCGAGAGCTTACAAGTGAAAAGAAAGTGATCGGAAAATGTCGATCGCGCGACAATTTGCACTGAATAGAAAATCAGCCTTAATGCACATGACATAACTAACTTGGGTTTAATCCACGTCAATTTTTATAAACGTGTAATAATAACTTCCTACGCTGAGTATTCCAAATTTCAAACAGTGGAATTGGTTGGATTTCTTAGGATAGAGCATTCCATAAACCAAATAAAATTCACAAGTAGCCCATTTCTTCTAATACACGTAAGGGAAGGGAGGGTTAATGAACTTTCTGATGAGAATTGAATGGGCGCTTATGGGGAGGGAGCGAAGCATGTTGAAAAGGAAGAAGCGTCTATTTTGCAGTAGATAGCATAAGCAAATCAATAGATAATGCAACAACAACAACGGAAATTAATAGAAACGAGCAAATAAAGTTAAGAAAAGAAAACTACAATGACCATTACGAGTTCGACTTCGATTGCGAACTGGCGTGTGGTATGTACATTAAACTGGACAACGCCTCTAAAGGAAAACAAAAGCCGTAAGTTGGCTCGTTGTAAGAACTCTATTTACTATTTCACTAAAGTTACAAATATTAAAAAATTGAATTATTCTGCTCTTCCGATAGATCGACTATGTACAGAAAAAAAAAGAAATCAAGATTAAAAAACATATCTGGAAATAATTCTGTACGTACACTAAAAACCTAATGATTTCAAACCAAATGCATGCAATTCCTTTTTTAAATTATTTCTAAAATTTTTTACATACTTAGAACCTTAGGTCAAAGAGGTCGAACTATTCCAAGACACTGCCCCACTTTACGAAAAAGATTTTTTGACAAAGTTTGCACCAGGCTTCGATGGCGAGAAAGTCGCGATGGGCGTGTCTCGTTTGATGTTCACGCCCTGCCTCAGTTTCAATAAAAAGATCTACAATGGCCTGTTTATATGCAGCCGAGTTACCCGGCCAGGCGAGTAACTCACGAAGGCGGGTAAAGCAAGTGAACTGTTCAAAAGATACCGGGTAACTCGGCTACCACCTCTATTCATTTTTCTTCAACAAGTTTGTTATTTAGTAGCCATGTTCTTTATAGAGGCAATCCTAATTACGCATGCGTATAAACGATACAGTCTTCTTGCCTAGCCGAGAAACCCGGCAAATGCGTTTATATGGAAAAAATTCATCCCAACTAGCCGGCTTGCAAAAGCCGAGTTCCCTGCAAGGCGAGCCACTCAGTGTGTCATATAAACGATGTATCAGGAAATGCATTCACTTTTATAAGGGCCAAGTCACCCGGCTCCATATAAACAGGCCCTTAGATACGCAGAAGTAGGCTGTTTTTATAAATGGTACATTGTAGCACATAGTCGACTATTTCTTTAAACACTCGAATTTTACCGCTCTAGTTTATTAAGTATGTCAACTGACACAACAGCCCTATTTGCAGAGGTTGTAACTTCTTTTGTAGGACGGTCGCTTAACTTACCCGTATCATTTTCATATAGCTTGAAAATTTAAATGTTTTACGGGTCTTTCTCTCCATTTAATAATATATTTCTATACATAAGTAAAGCGCGAATGGGATAATAACGCTAAAAGTGTGACTTTGTAATTCGAATGTGCAGTAAAGTGGAATAAACCAATAACGCGTATGCAAATGAGCCAAGCCAATTTCCAAACAATTTTCAACGAAAGGGGCGTTTAAAGGAGGGGGAAGGGAATTACAGAGAGAGAGAGTTGATGGTCATTTTTATCAACCGGTGAGGCGTCTGTTGGAGGGCGGCGGTTATTTGAGACTGGCTATAGGTAAGTTAAGCGACCGTCCTGCATATATATATGTGAGAAAATTCGACTTGCAACCAGAAGGGAAACTAGAACGTTGGGTGAGGGGAGGAGGTGGGCATTCATATATTCCTTAATGCACTGCCGGTTTCTTCTGAGTTAATTAATTTACTTTTAAAAGAAATCAATAGGCCACAACTGAATACATGAATAAACACCTCACAATTAACGTTCTAGTTTCGCCCCTGCATGCAATATGCTCGTGTATTAGCATCAAAAGCTTTAATTATAGCCTGCCACTTCCTGCAGCATTCATTTGAAAAACAGCTTGAAACGAGTTTGAACGTACACAACGGCTATCGGGAATTACAAAAAAGTATCAGCCGCCAAGACCGCCATACACACCTCCCCCTCCGCCAACAATCGCCATTCGAGCGTATCTGAGCACTAAGTTTCCCATTAACCCACCTGCTATTTTTAGCGCTTTACATGAAGTAAAAAGTTTTCATCACAAAATTAATTAATGCATTGTAATTCAAAACAAAAGCGATGGGGGAGCAGCAGCTGAAAGCAATAAGATAAACAATTGAACAGATAAAAATGAAGACGGCTTGTCGCCTTTTACGATATTAATCTGAGGAGGAAAGGGGCAACCATTGAAATGCATGTCACGCTTTAAGAACATCCATCAGCAAGAGCGCTAAAGTGCTATCTCTTCAAAGATTAAAAGACAACAGGCAGACGGTGATGAATGGCGTCGAACTAAAGGCTACTAGACGAACGTATCTTCCGAAGTTTCTAATAATTCGCCAAATAATGTGTTATTTTTAAATAGAAGAAAAGTCGATATTGTGTATGGCGCATTGTTTCGCTCGAATGAACTGCATTTCAAAGCCATTTGTCTAGTCGGTGTTTACGAAAGCAAATACTGGTTGGTGTTTTGCACATCCAGAATTTCGATGACGCTCAGGCGAAAGCATTACATCCGAGAATTACAGTTGAACAGAATGTATATTAAATACGGTTATATCGATTTTTTCAATCGCTTCCAAATGAGCTTTCGCAGATGAACTTTTTTAAAGAACCTTTAAATAAAGCTGTTTACATTTCTAATTTCAATTGCTATATACGTTTAACTCAGAGGCATTCAAATTTTTTATCATCAATTGCATAAAGCGGCATAGAAGCGACAATAAGCGAATTCTGCGAAAAATAAAAAATTGGCGATAGACAAAACACAATGGCAATAAAACAGTACGCCAGCGTCAAAACTCAAATCAGATTTATACATCGATATTCTACAGCTTCGGGACATAGACGTACGACCAGTCGGCAACACGCTCGATTGAAACAAAGCTTATTTGTAGGAATATGCTGTTTACGAGCTCCCTATAACAAATAAACTAGGCTGACGAACGAACAAAATTTATCATCTCTTACCCCAGCTTTAGCCGATTTTCTGAATCGAATAGAGGGTTGCTTTACAGTACCGCCTTTAGTGACCTAAAGCCAGGAAATAATACAATTTGAAGTCGAATGACCTTCGAGAAAAACGTAGTGTGTATCTTAAAAGTTTTACAATAATAAAACGCAGAAAACTCGATTTGCCTACCTTCAGTTTTCCCGTCGAATCTTGAAGCTGTTTAAGTGTTTTTAGGCATGAATCGGTAAGCTTCACGAGAAACAACGATTTACTCGTTTTCTGACCATTTCTCGATACAATGTTATAGCTTGACCCACTCTCTAAACACACGGCCATATCGCTGCCCCGTCTGTTCTCGAGGTGAGACGAACTAGGTCAAAATTTTTTCCGAAAGAAAATTCTACCGAAGCTTTGCCATTTGCCTTGGAATAATATCTCGGTCCTCGCTCTCACACCGGAAGTTCGGAGTTATCAACAAACTTTGTCCACACTGCGCATGCTTGTTTGATATACCCGAAAGCGGAGTGAAAGCAACACGTCTCGCGTTTCCTGTATAGGTAATCCAAGTTTTGTAAACAGTATGTAACCTGATGATCCCTCTTTTAATAGAACATTTCTTTTTTTCCGGTTATAACTTGTGAAATGATTGATGATTACCCCTCTTTCACACCTAATTATTCACGCAATCGAAAAAAAATGATTTTCTTAAATCCATATAACAAAATGAGATAATTTCTTTTCCAATAAAATATACAGATGAAAGGAATCTTTCTAATCGCTCTAAGCATCGAATCGCGATGTACTGTGCGGAGTCGGCATGCATAGTGAATCCAAATTACAAATTCTACAGAGCATAAATTACTTTTACATATACATAGATTATATATAATAATATAATATATATTTTTCGTGGAAATCTTTGATGCAAGTTTTGAATAACAAATATGGTTAAGTCAAGAGATGTAGACGCACCGGTGACGTCACATATCAAATAAAAAAGACGACAAGCCCATGACATAGTATTACCTATGTTGCGGGAATAAAATTAGTTTGAATACTTGGAGTAAACTAACATGCTTTATCTGTGACACTTCTATAGGGAAATTCATTGCTACGACATGCAAGAGCTGTTGCAAATTTATGAATGTACTACAGATCAAGAAACGCCCAGAAGGGAACGAAGCATGTTTGTTGCCTGCCGAGTGTGAAGCCTGTCACGCAGGCGCACAATGCATCGGGAAGACGGCTAACTAACGCATTGACGGCACGCTAAAACACAACACTTTCCAAGCGCTTGCTTGATTTCTATTGATAGCATAACACGTTAGAAGAATCGTTTACACACAAACGAGGGATGAAAGAGAAAGTATATACGACGAGCAGTCGCCTTGATAAATTATTCTCCAAATAAATTTTCTCCAAGCACCCAAATTACGTCTTGGCGGAGCTCAACTTGCACACTGAAGTATGGAACCCAAGTTTTCACAATTGCGTGTGGTCTCTGCATAAATGATAAAAATGGATACTCCAGAACAACGCATGGATCACTTGTCCAAGTGAATACATTAAAACCACGTAAACCTTAATTATGTGCATCACAACATCACGACAACATGACGTAAACACATCCACCCAAAGAGGCTCACGTGAACCATACGTAAAGTCCTCACGGGCTCATAGTCACTCTCCTGGCGAGGAGAGAGAAACAGCTATCTTTTGCTCAAACATTTTTGCAGCTTGATAAGGGTAGATTTTTCCAGGCAACAGAGATCGAATTCGAAAGTCTTCTCCGCCACGGTATAGAGGCCCGTCGTTTCGATCACGTCGACGATCTTTTGAAGGAATTCGCTGTCTTCGCAATTCGATATCTGTTCGTGAAGATCGTAGAGTTCCTCGTTAGACACTTCACCGTCACTTCTCGTTTTCAACTCTCTCCTTCAACATGCAATAAGAAATACATGTAAATTAGAAATAGAACTAGCTATGTATATTTGAGAAATAAAAAGTGTTAACTGCGCTTGCACAAGGCTTATGAAAGGAGACCGTACATCCTGTGTCCCAAATGCAGGAGTCGCCATTGCACTATGGTGATAGTCGGGAGCGCACTTTCTTGTACACGTTGTATATACGGATGTCTTAAGGGCGATTCTCAGAAATTGAGCCCGCGTGAAAACATTTTTAAGCTGCGGATAGAATGTGCCATAATCATATCACGCATCACAACTGCCTATGTATCCCCGAGAAGAATAGTAAAACCTTTAACAGCACATGTTTTAAGGTAAAGTTACAGAAAGACACGCTAATTATCCCGTACTTTGTAGAATCTTAACTGTTGTCTACACTTAGAGCAAAGAAGAACAACAGAATTACAGTGTAAATCGCCCAAGAAAGATCGTAGAGAGTAGAGTGGATGGACTACGACCTCGACAAGATGACGTCATAAAGAAAAGAAAACTTAAAAGAAGCTCCGCCATGCGAACACTTACCCGTTTTCCAAAGTATTGGGATTAATCGAGTGACTAGGCTGTGACTTTTCTGAATCGAGAAGCGAATCTTGCGTGCTTTCTTCATGTTGACGAGGGTATTCCCCGTCCACAAGCAACTTTTCTTGGTTTTTTATGGTATTTACATGAGCGCTCTTGATCGCATTTTTCTCCTTGTGTTGACTCGCTTCTTTGGGACCGTTTTTCGTAAAGGGTTGAAATGATCTGAACGCTTTCGACTTGTCCGAGTGTGACGATTTACCACTGGAATGCGGTAAACAGTCATTTTTTGAATTCAAAGGGTGATTGGCCTTCTCTTTCGGATTTTTAGCGAGCGTAGGTGAGATATCTTGTTTGAACGGGGTCGAAATGTCAACCTTCTCCTCGTCGTCGGTAGATAATTGACTAAGAAATTTTCCTATGTTTTTATTTTTGGCTAGAACATTAGACATCAGATCCGAGCCTTCGGTGTTCGCCCAGCTGTCGTTCGATTTACGCCGAATAGTCATCTTTTCGATTCTATCTTTCTTCGTTTTGCCAGACTTCTCCTTTTTCTCGGCACTTCTTCGGCTTTTCTCTGTCCTTTCCCCGCTCTTTTTCTTTATTTTATTGCTCCGTTCGGTCGATTCGGAAGAAGGTTTTTTGTGATCGCCCTCGGCCTTTTGCGATTTTCCCTCCTTGTTCTTCGAGCCATGAGAGTTCTTTGATTTTTGACCATCTGAGTCTTTCCTCTTCTCAGCTTTGTCCGCGCCTTCCTTAGGCGGCAATGCTTTGAATTTAAGTTTCAAATCTTTTATCTCTGTCGTCAAGCTCTGCGTCGTTTCCAAATACGAACTGTTCGAATCAGAATGCGAATGTTTTGTTTTGCCCGCCACGTTCCCGCCATCCTGACTTTTCTTCTTCTTTCTCGGAATACCGTCGGTCGTGTTTTGTTCGTGCAACGGCGACGGACGTTTCATGCCGACGACTGCCGAACTCGCCTTAGGCTTGGAAACTTTAGCTTTCTTCATCTGCCTCTCGTTTTCCGTCACGCCATTTGAGTTACTGCTTGGCTTTTGCGTCATTTCGTTCCTATCTTCACCACGTCCAGAAGCGTGACCGTTATTAATCCCATTGCTGTACGTAAAAATGAACAGAAAAAATGAGAAATCTAAGAAACCGTATTACGTAATTATGTAGTACACAATTGGATTGAACTACATAGGTTAATGACATCACTATGGGATCACAATTGGATTGAACAACATAGGTTAATGACATCACTATGGGATCACAATAGGATTGAACATCATAGGTTGAAGGTATCACTATGGGATCCCAATTGGATTGAACAACATAGGTTGAAGGCATCACTATGGGATCACAATTGGATTGAACAACATAGGTTAATGGTATCCTTATGGGATCACAATTGGATTGAACAACATAGGTTAATGGTATCCCTATGGGATCAAAATTGGATTGAGCAACGTAGGTTAATGGCGTCCCTATAGGATCACAATTGGATTTAATAACATAGGTTAATGGCATCCCTATGGGGCCACAATTGGACTAAACAACCCAGGTTAATGGCATCCCTAAGGGACAGCATGTAGCATAGGTGGGCACCTCAAAGTGATACTGTAGATTGATGGCATCACTTTGGGATGGCATATGAATGAGCCATTTAGGGTGATACTTTAGATTGATGGCATCACTTTGATAATAAAGGATTATAACACAAGTCAAATCAAGGAGATACTATATGTCAACAAAATGTAAAACATTTTAAATTTTACAACAAGGCAGCATCATCACCAAATTACGAAGGTTGTTTAACAAAAGTAAATAACAAAAATGGCAACTACTGCATGACGTGAATAGACACAGGAGGAGGGGGGGATACAAGAGTTTAGCGAACTCAAACCTGGTGGCATTGGCCGAGATAGGGATACCACCACCTTTAATCAACTTCTTCATGAAATCGTCAGCTGGATGGGTAAAGGTGAGAGCCTCCGTACGCACACTTGAGACGGGTGGATAGCCACTTAGGGGTAGGAATAAATCATATGTGAAGTTAACGCGACGTGGCTCATCCTTTGTCTTGAAGCACACTTCAATTTTCAACTCAAAACTTCCATATCCTGATTCATCTACTTTATACGGAGGTTCTTTGACAACTAGAGAAAAAAAGGCACATTGGGTTAGATCGCAATTGCATGATTCAGATTATGAAATGCAGGGCTCCAGTTGTTGAAGATTTTACCATGAAATGTTCATACACTTAAAACATAAAGAGGTTCGTTCTTTATAATTTCATCCATAAAATTTAAGCAAGGCTGGTAAAAGTAATCTTTTGTTTATAAGCACTGGGCAATTCTCCTTTCAAGTGTTTAACAATTCTGTTGTAATTTCTGGCGTGAAGCATGGACAGCACTGAAGAATAGTTATAAAGCATAGGATACTTATTGCTTCTTGAAGTAACTTTATCTGAAAAAAAGCTGCGATAGATTTTTGCCATCCTTCTCAGGGATATAAAGGCAAATGTCCTACGTCATATGGGAAATCCAAAAAAATGAAAGTTTTCCAGTAGGTTTATCAGTAACTAGGAAACACATACAATATACTACTGTAATAATCCTAGTTTAAACTGAAATAGTCAAATTAAACTTATTATAAAATCCTATACAAGTAGTTTTGAATCTTTGTGCATTCAAGTTTTATTTCAGAGCATTGAACTCTATGATATAAATCGAGGAAAATTAGATCACTCAATTAAGAGTAAAATGAGCGATTCTGATTTAACTTCGGTAAGCACTTTCCTAGACCTTCTTCCTCTTATATTTTGACTTCGTATAAATTCTTCATTCATCTATGGATCATGTACAATTTCGTTGCCCAAAAATTCCGCATCGCACATGATCTGACGAGATTGGTTTATATTTAGAGTACATGCAGAAATGTTGTATGGGGGACAAAAAGGATTAATTTCAAACGTGAGAACTGATAAAATATCAAATACCATTCGACACAATGTCATATCTTAGCTTGAACTGTGAAAATTTGGCGGGTGTTTTCGTGAGAAACGGGTCTATAAACGGTCACAATATTAACCCCATGTGAAATTTTGGATGTTCATAATTGCCCCTTATAATCATGAATGGGGAGATACTCGAATTCCCTGAGATCTCAAATTAAATGTTTACACAAGCAAAAGATTTAACTAATGCTCACTTCGCTTTGGTCTTGGGAAGCTTTCATGCAAGTAGAAGGTAACTTTCTCGACGAAATGTGAGACATCCTTTCCTTCGGAACCACGAACGAACACAGTCCAATCGTGGGTAAAGCCTTGTGCAGTTGGTTCGGTTCGACATGCCGCTTTGTGACCAATTTCAAGTTTCACTTGCATACGCATCTCGGCGTATAAACTACAGCATTAGTTGCACACAATTCCTCTCGAAGTTCAAATGCTTGAAGGCAAGGACGTGGCCTTTCAATGAGCCCTCAAGCATCATCCACAAGCGACGTCGCAATGTTGTACGCTCCAAAATCACAACATATTTCTCAATTTCGTAGTTCCATCAGCTCAATACGAAAGTGAATGTTGTGTCTGTAATTTGCAAGTTCAATTGCGCATGCGCGAAGTGTCATACCATATATGGCAGCGAGTGTTATCATGGATTATCGACCCTTCCGACACTCAGTGTGCAGTCATTGCAATTTTGTTGTTACTGTAACAATTATAAGAGGTACTGAGCCGGAGGACCTAGCTGGTGAGAAAACTTAAATATTTTTGGATCGACCGAAGATGAAAGGATTCCAACGATTGTCACTCGAACCAAAAGCAAAACAACAAACGTTACGAAAACACGACCATTGATTCATTATTACCATCTGGCATATCAGGCAATTGCAAACTACCGCTAACCGCTTTTGCGAAAAAAGGAGTATGCTTTCTATGTTATGGTTTTGAACGCATTTGATTTATAAAATCCAAGGGTCAAATGGCGTGTGCGCCAAGAAAACATAAAAATAGACCTCTGTTGACAGAAATTTGTTATCTTCGGCAAATACGTTCTCATGTTTGTTTAAATACGTTCTCGTTACTAACTTTAGCAAACCTGTTTAAAATAAACATCATTAGTTACTATGTATGGCTACATTATCAAATTACTTTGTTTGTGTTTTAATGTGAAAAGCGTCAGCTGGACATTCCGTAGTGGGAAGCAAATCACGTAGTGTTTTTAAACTTTTTTGAAAACAGCAAATGTCCTGGGAACTTATTAGTTATCGGAAGTATTGAATCATTACGTAATAGTACGCGCTATGTTATTACTGTATGAAGTACTATTTGCTGGGAGCATAAGTGTTTTGTTAGGGAACCCATGAACTATAAGTATTTTCTGTATTATTTGTGTAAGTATTTTTTGTATTTGTATTTCCTGATCACAATAAAACACTCAAATATCAACAGAACTATCTTTTGAAAAAAGTACAGCCTTTTTGGAAACTCATGATCAGTCTTTAATACACCTTATTCAACATGGTTTACATTTCATGTCATCGAAGCCTGCATTAGACAACAACACCTCAAATTTCAGGCTTCCTTTGGGCAAAGTTTCCACATTCGTGTGTCTTAAGTCCAGCTTGTGCAGGCTGGGAAATCCTTTGGAAAAATCACCTGGTCTTATGGAAAGATTGTTGTGTGACAGCTTCAAATAACTAAGGCTTTTTGATCTTTGCAATGAATTAGGAATGTGCTGTAGTCTGTTTTCTGAAACATCAACAAAAGTCAAATGCTTCAGTTGGTGCAGATCATTTGGCAGGCTTGTGATTTGATTCTTCCTTAAGCTTAACCATTCCAAAGCTTGAAGATAGGAAAAGTTTTCGGGCAAACCACTCAACAAGTTCTCTCCAACACCAAGTTTGATTAACTTTTTCAGTAAGCATATTTCTTCCGGTAATGCAATCAATTGAACGTTAACGAGCCAAAGCTCAGAGAGGTGATTCAGTTTTCCAATTTCTGAAGGAAGGAATGCTAGATTGTTGTGACTTAATGAAAGTACTATGAGATTCATTAGTTCACCAAATCCAGTGGGTAGCATCGTTAGTTGATTATGGTCAAGCAAAAGGTGTTCGAGATTGGTTAACGACACCAGTTCCCCCGGAGGCATGATTATGTTGTTATCATTTAGCATTAGTACCTTCAGTTTTATCAGCCTGCTGATGGAAGATGGCAAAATAGTCAAATTTTGGTGACTCAAGTTCAAAGATGTGTACCCCATTGTACAGGCAATTTGAACAAGCTTCTCTGCCTTTCTCAGCTCGTCAGACATCACAAGCATGTGCTAGCCAGCCACTTGCCCGAGAAGTTTTACATCATTTCAGTTAAAAGTAATTCACGGAAACGTTACAAATCAGATGGGAAAAAGTTAATTTTACTAGTTAAATTTTCTCAGACAGAAAACAGATCGTTCAGAATGATATTCAACAAATTTGCAGGATACCAGGAATTTCCATGGTGACCACGTGATTCATTTACAAAATGCATAGTTGTGTAAATGATATGTATAATCAAATGGAACATTAATACATGTGGGAAATAAACTAGAGCCAATAATTTCAAATTTTAAAAGCAAAAAGTTTCAAAAGTGAAAAACAGAAACCTACCACTACTCGGTTGTTCACTGTCATTGTCATATTTCCCACTAACTTCTGAACGATTGAAATCCAATCAAGTTGCCAAAAGAATCCAAGATGGCGGTCAAAAGACGACGGTGATCAGTGATCAACTTTATTGTGAAAATGAATCATGTTGAGCGAAACAGCCCAAACAACGACGCAAAAACTAAACTGGAAGAAGCATTTCAGCACTACGATAAAGGAAACGACAGCAATTTCTTTTTGATTGCCGCTCGCGAGAGCCTCGAAGTAGGACAACTCGACGTCTTGTTAACTTTCTTGAACACTCCTAGAAATTGGGGTTTGTTGTGTTTTGCAGCTTGGGATTTAGTGAAAATAATCTTTCAGGTCATTCCCGATGACTGTAGGAACTCCTTTGACTACGGAAAGCACGAGCATTTGCTATATCTTGTCTGTAAATCGGGTAATGCACGAGAAATATGCTTAAGTTTAAATGAACTTTTTACTGATAAACCATCTTTTCCAAAGTTTGAGCTGCTATTGAATCTGATCAGGGAGCCTTTCGGCCGACTGAGAGGGAAAATCAGCATGATACTGACCAACTTCCTCTCGTCCATTCAACAAAATCTGCAAAGTACGGATAGGCCTAGCGACTTCATAGACATTCTCGTAGCAATTTTGAAATTCGTCCGAGTCGTGTTGACGAAAACTCGCGACAAGCTTTTGACTGCGGCAAAATCTCGAGATGACAAAAACGTGGAAAATGCTCTGTTACGATTTCTCGTATACCTTTTGGAATGCCCGATTTCTTTACTCGAGTTGAATATCGATCGGGAGGAATCGCGAGGCGTCGTTTCGACGAAGAGTCACGAAATATCAACCGAAATCGTCGACTCTCTAAGTTTGCTTGAAAATGGAAGTTTGCAACGTCTTTTGGAGTTCGGATTTCGAAAAGAAAAAAAGTTGAAAGAGAGGTGGACGGATGAAGACGATGAAGACGGCGTGGGGAATGATGACTTATCGATAGTCGGGCTGGGTTGTCTTGCATTCTTGATATATATTCTTGGCATAGGTTGCTTCTGTTTACCTCAAGTGACAACGGCAAAGTACGCGTTGGATACAAACATTGTGTACATGAACGCGCTGACTTCGAGCAGGCGAACCGCAGTGCTCTCGAAAGGTCTTTGTTTGCTAGAATCGGTTTTGAACTCGGTCGAGGAGAACACCATCGGCTATGCCTACATAGATGATAAGAATTTCCTGGGCACGGTCGTCAATTTGAGAAATATTATGCTGCATAACGATGAGCAAGTTATAAGGCGAGAGGCTCTGAAAGGATTTCGAAAAATCGTTGATGCCTTAACAATTAGGGGAAAGTACAGGCTGCTTAGGACATTATATCACGGAGAGATCCAATCCGGATTCGCTGAACTGCTAACCCTAATCCTCAAAGAGGAAATCGACAAATCTTTACGAGTGGACGGCGTATCGTGGTTTCTTGGCAGAAGTTTGAGTACTTTCCTTCTTGATGATATCTTTAAGATTTCGCCAAAATCAATGGAATCCGAGTTCGGTATAGTACAAGAGAGCAATAGAGTATTATCCGCGTTGAATCTACTTCGATTCTTGCTGATAAGAGACGCCGAAAACCGAACAGAGATTCGCACTCACTTTACGAGGATCGAAGCGACGTATTTGAAACAGTTAAGAGATGTCGTTCAATTCAGCAAGAAAGGTATAAACGCTTTGATTCGAGAAAACGAGGAAGGTCGTGGGAAGGGTTTGGTTCCAGAAAACAACTCGCACGTGACCGCTTTCGATGTCACTACGGCGGATGGAAGTCACCTGGGCGCAGGTACACCTGCCGAGCATTTGGAGTCGATGAAATCTGCTTATCTGACTTTGGACATTGTCGAGTCTATCTTGGCAAGAATTGGAAAGATATCTTGCGAACAAGCAATCGTTAAGACAAGCAATCGCTAAGATTGCGTCAATGATCTGGCGCGACGGCGCACCTGGGAATGTGACTAGAAAGTATTTATTTTGAGAAATCGGTCATTTTATTGTGCTGCGATTAAATATTAAGATTTCGATAAGAGTTTTTTTTTAAATAAATCATACCACGACGTTACTTCATTCATTATTAATATCGATGCGTCTGTCAATAACATCATTCTTAACCACTGAACTGAATACAACTGGAAGGCTATCTCACGTCAAAACTTGAGCGAGCAATTCCACCAGTCTCAATCTTTTCGCGCACTGCCGGAAAAAAATGGGACTTGACCTCGGGACATGCGTGTTTGAAGGTGAAATATGACTTCACGAGCAAGTACAGTCATGTTTGTCAAAATGTAGCCAATCAGTTATATATTCAGTTCAGTGTTCTTCACCTACGTACGACATTTCAAAATGGTGAATTTACGATCAGATCCGTTAGGGGCAACTGCCGAAATTTTAGTGTACCGTCACCTCCACATGAAAACAATTGACCGCCTGGTTGCAGGCTGACGCGTGGGACGCCTTGGGTGCCGAGTTTAATCAATTGATAATTGCTTCTCCCGTGCTCGTTAGGATATGAGAGAAGCTCTTTATGAGAATGGAGACTCCAAACCTGAAAAAATGCGAAAGATGATTTCGTTTTTTTCTCATTACCTAACAACAGGTCATTGCATAAAACACTGTGTATGTGTGGCGATTTTGGGGAATGGAAGACTTTCAAAATTTTACTTTGTGCACACTGTCTGAAAACTTAAACCGTTTTCATAATAGTGTATGGTAGAGAACAACGCACACCCGTAGAGAATAGGAGCTTATTCTATATTTATGCTTTACTTTAGAACTAAAACATGTTTACTGTGTTCGCATAAGCCAGTGAAAACACGAAAAACATTTTTTATTTTTTATATAACACAATAACAACAATGCGTAACAGATACATTAAAACAAACGCTTTAACTCTAGTCATTCCTCTATAATCAATCCAGATCGATTTGATCGGTTGAGCTCAGATCGGTTTGCACAAGCTAACGCAAACTCAGCTATGCACCAATCGGAGCGCGCGTTTTATTGTTTTTATTTTACAATAAAAACTAAAACATGCTGAGGTTTGCATTGAGGGGCAGTGAAATAATTATTAATGGTAAAATACTAATCAAAAATTTAAGTCACCGTTCTTGATTAATCAGTAAAATAATAATCCATCAAGAACGGTGACGTAAATTTTTCTGCCTTCAAAAAAGGAAGGGAGGTAATTTTTGGGGGAGAGGGGGAGCTGAATACCAACAATAAGTGTTTCGTTGGCAATTGTTCACATACTGTCAATATGTGTAAAGGAAATCGCACAAAAAAAGCATAATAACGTAAGCTTTTTCAAGTTAAAGATTGGGAAAGTTTATAACCCAAACAAAACCAACAATAAACCAGACATCATCCGACATCTTTTCCTTGTTATTTCGTTGTGTAGATTACAAGGTACGGCAAACTATAACCCAGAGTTCAACAGGTTTTAAAACCTAGAGATGAGGGGCCGGTTGTACGAAGCCTCGATAAGGAGAGCTAATTCATTCGAGAGCAAATTTTTTCAAATGTCTAAAAAACCTTTTATAAATGCAAAATATAAAATTTGAACTGAGCAATCGCTGAAATAAAATTTTGCTTCTAAGATTAAATTTCTTTGTTGTAACGAAAACATAAACACTTTTTTTACAAGTTTGAAAATTTTACCATCCAAAAGGAGAGCGCTATCCAAGCTTAGTGCAACCGTCTCCCGTGTTCACCAAGTTATGACAACAATAATTGATGGTAAATGACATTTGACAGTAAATGACAACAAGAAAGACGCTTGCCTTAATGTCCCCATCTAAGGATCCCGTTACGAAGAACTCCCCGCTTTCGTCAACTGCGATACTTTTGACGTCACTGTCATGCGCAGTAAACGTTTGCATGTGTTGTCGTTGTCTTAAATCAAATATACCTTGGCGAATGTTAAGAACGAAAACTTCACTGTCACTGAAAAATTCTCGATGTTAAAATATGTCTCATTTACTCGAGATAGTTGCCACTGTTTAAGACAAGTGACAAACCCCTGTAAGCGGCAAAAAGGATACAAACATCACCCTTGCGACCCCCAGATAGTAATAATCTTTTACACGGAACGTAAGCGACACAAAGGGATCCACTTTCGTGACAGTTGAAACCTAAACATTGAAAATTTTATTGTACAATATCTCTAGATTTGTTCATTCATCACTACCTACACTGACACATATTATCTTTGTTTATATTTTAAGTAGTGTAAAGACAGTTCTTGTTCTCTGTTGTTCATTCATCACTATCTACACTGACAAACGTTATCTTAGTTTATATTTTAGGTAGTGTAAAAATAGTTCTTGAGCTATGTTGTTCATTCATCACTACCAACATTGACACACGTTATCTTAGTTTATATTTTAGGTAGTGTAAAGACTGTTCTCGTTCTCTGTTGTTCATTCATCACTACCTACACTGACACACGTTATCTTAGTTTATATTTGAGACAATTCTTGTTCTCTGTTGTTTATTCATCACTACCTACACTGACACATGTTATCTTAGTTTATATTTGAGACAATTCTCGTTCTCTGTTGTTTATTCATCACTACCTACACTGACACATGTTATCTTAGTTTATATTTGAAACAATTCTTGTTCTCCGTTGTTTATTCATTACTACCTACACTGACAAATGTTATCTTAGTTTATATTTGAGACAATTCTTGTACTCTGTTGTTTATTCATCACTCACATTGACAAATGTTATCTTAGATTATATTATACAGCCTGAAGTCTGTTCTCGTTCTTTGTTTTTAAAAACCGTTCCACACAGTTCGGAGACACTACTTCTCTCAGTGCATTGAGACAGTTAAGAATTACATACCATGTACTAAAGAAGATGCTTGTGGTAGAAGTGTATCCCAAAGACAGGCATTGCTAAAAAAGAAAGCAATGAATACGTAAGACCTTGAATCTGCTCCTGAAGATAAACGTGTATAATTTCGCCAAGGTGAACTATAGTGTGGCTACCGTATGATTTGCCACTTTGGACGGAATGGGGAGCAGGAAGTGACGTTTGAAAGGGTGTTGTTGTTTAGTTAGAGTAAAAGACAAATTGTTGTTGTTGAATGTTGCACGTGGGACCAAACGGTCCTTAACGTAACTTGAAAATAATAATTTGTAATTTGGTATATTTCATTAAATTGTTTATTCCCAAGTTGTATGACAACTTGATAGTAACATATAGAATAAAACATATTTAATATTTAACATTATTAAACATTTAACATATTTAAGATATTTAAGAATAAAACACGAAACTACTCACTTTCCGTCACTCGAGTATCCTGCCGTGGCGAGGAGGCTTGTGGATCCAAGGAAAGCAAAATCGTTGCCTTGTTTGTTGTGGCATTTCAAAGTCTAAACGATACAAAAATAAAACATAAAAATTTAACTAAGACCACCATGGAAGTCCGTCGATAAATACGTAAATAAAGCGCGGGAAACCTTTCAGCAAACATATCATATGCTGTACATGCTTTAAGGCAGTATTCTTATTTCCGTGCAAGTAAAAATATACGTCGTTAAAAATCGTTTTTCATTTGATTCGTGTTTTTGCTCGACAAATATAAAACCAGATTTCCGTGCAAGTAAAAATATACGTCGTTAAAAAACGTTTTCCATTTGATTCGTGTTTTCGCTCGACAAATATAAAACAAGAAAGCTGAAGTCTGTTTTAGTTACTCGGAACGTTCATCAATTCTCGTTAGGGAGCGAAAAAGTTGGGTCAATGGCCAACATGAAATCGAAGAGATAATAGAGATAGCAACAGAGGCGTAGCTAGAACGTTAATTGAGGGGGGTGGTGTATATTTATATATTCAGTTGTGTCCTACTGATTTCTTTTGAAATTTTATTTACTCCCCCCCCCCCAATTAACGTTCTCGCTACGCCTCTGGATAGCAATCATAGACATTGAAAATAATTTTAAAAATCAGTCTTTAGTTCTTTATAATTTTGTACGGAAGCTGAATCACTTCGTCAAACTCATGTGTTTCTTGAAACCCAGAGGAGGAAAAAGGGCCTGGGAACGAGATCACCACTTACTGTAATAGCTGCAGTTCGCGATGTGTTCATACACTGATGGAGAGAAAGCTGTCCACCGAAATCGATTACGCCAAACTACGTAAAATGAAAAGAAAAGATACACGATTTAAAAATTTCATGAACGAATACTTCATTAATCGGTTCCGTACGCTTGTATTGGTGAGAGAAACAATTCGTTTTCCTGTTCGCAGCAAGTCGTACAAAGAGCAGTTTTCTCGAAACGATTTACGCATGTACATAATATTGTATGTTGCAACAGTTACCGAAATTGTTATCACCAAGTTTTAAAAGATGTAGAGTTCAACACATATTCAGACGAAGTTCAAAACCAACAAATATTACGAATAGAAAAGAAAACGTTTGAACAACAAGCCTATGATCAATAAGATTTCGATAAATAAAAAAAATGTAGCCACACGAAGCAGAAATTAAACACAAGCATTTCACCTTTCCACCGTGTTGACTAAAATGAACTTTCGTGACGCGTTGATATTTCCCGCTTTCGCGATACGTCGCTATCTCATGCTCGTGCCCAAGCTCCCAGATGCGCAGACTTCCATCGTGGCCGCCGGCTAAATCTGCCAATTCAAGAGAGTGAAATATCAAAAATCTTCATCATTTCAAATCTTCATCAAATCGGGAAACACAACTCCGTAAATTTTCATTCCGGGGGATGATTTAGATAAACTGAGTGAAGGCAGGGGTGCGGGGGGGGATTCACCTCAGTCGATACGTACAATAAGGCAAGTTGGGATGTTCTTCGAGTCTTTTGATACCGGAAACATTCCTTCTGAACATCTGAAAAAAACAGCACTACATCGTTACAAAGAGACGACAATTGTCGACGTTGCAATACAAACACCAGCATGGCGAAATGTGCATTTTCAGTTTACTAGATTCGGTTTGATGAGCAAAGAATCTCCCACCCGCGTTATAATCGAACAACTTGCAACACACAAATCAGCGAAAGTCTGAAAGAACGCTTTGGGTTTAAATGGCAAAGGTCGCATTATGTGTGTGTGGGGTACCAAACCTTTCCAGAGCACCGAGCTTTGAGAATGTATGCGACTTTCTAGCCCTTGAACTCGATGAGAACATACGAAATGTAAGAGCTGTTAAACCCTCCGTATTTCTTATTTACGACGAATAAATATCACTCGGTGTGACCATATGTGCAAATTTTTTTAAAAGATTAGGTCTGATGAGCTTATACACTCTCCCCTGTTCTGAACGTTGCAACTATATAAAGGTGGGAGAGCTCGTCAAACAAAATCTGGTGGAAAAAATTGCGCGTACGGCCACACTATATCAACTGTTCTCGTACCACAGATGAGGCGACCCCAGATTGAGCAGATATTCCAATATTATGGTCGACGGGTTTTGCCGTATCTGTTCCAGTGTAGACCATGGTGTATTCTTCTTGGTCACTACAGATTATAATAAAAGACAATTGGATTCCACAGAGAAGAAATCTACGGTCACCGTTCAACTATCTATTGTAAGGCAAGCATGCCATTTAATTCATAAACATCATCGTATACCCTACTGGATTTCAATCTTAATTCCAAGTGCCCATTAGATTGATTTATAATTCGCCTACTTGAAGTATTGATAGTTACCTTTTTCTGTTCTCAGAATCGGAGATAAATTCGTCAACGTAAAATGCGCGCGGCATTTTCATCGCGTTCGAAATATCCAATTCATGCACGTCACGCATCGTTGCCACGACAACACGCATCGCCATCGTCTTGCTGACGCAAAACGAGTTGATCGCCTCGCTGTCTTTGTATAAAACTGTCGCTTCGTTCTCGTCTGTGCGTTCTTCGTCGACCTGTAACGCACCGCATTGTTTAAAGTACTCAAAAATAAATAAGATTCTTCATGAAACTAAAGTTCATTCACACATGTGTCAGTTGTGTTGGGCGCAGAAGCAGCTAAATTAAAAAACCTGGTACAATGTTCGTACAATTCTAAAGTAGTTGTAAGAACTTTCAAGTAAGGACTTTCAAGTAAGGACTTTCAAGTAAGGACTTTCAAGTAAGGACTTTCAAGTAAGGACTTTCAAGTAAGGACTTTCAAGTAAGGACTTTCAAGTAAGGACTTTCAAGTAAGGACTTTCAAGTAAGGACTTTCAAGTAAGGACTTTCAAGTAAGGACTTTCAAGTAAGGACTTTCAAGTAAGAACTTTCAAGTAAGGACTTTCAAGTAAGGACTTTCAAGTAAGGACTTTCAAGTAAGGACTTTCAAGTAAGGACTTTCAAGTAAGGACTTTCAAGTAAGGACTTTCAAGGACACATTTTGAAAAACTTATAAACCAGGAAGAGGTTGAATTGCACACAATACACATCTAAATTAAGAAAACATCAAAAGAACTGTTTCTAATGAATCGAGTAAAGGGTCTGTTTTCACATGACTTGAAAGCTGCCATGTTAGTTGGTCGCTTCGAAATTCTGACATCAACCCTTTAGCAAACGAGTTACTTTTTTGCAATAAAGGGTTAAGATACAATTCCAACTCTAAATTTGACAAGAAATTTGAGCGATGACATGTTTACGAAATTTCGATCGAAAAAATTTGAATTCAAGCACTTTCAAGCACATCTTAATAAATTCAAGTGTATTCAAGACCTCGAATTTTACAATTGAAATTCAAGGACATCGAAAGAGATTCGAGTTTCGTACGAACCTGCTTGTAACACAAGTTTGTAAAGACCTTACATGAAGTACCCGACTCGACACATTTACAACCCAGTGCGGAGTTGTAGCAGTTGACAACGACCAAAACGCCAAACAGCTAAAGTGGGTGTTTGGTTTCCCAACAATCGTATTTTCGGCGACAGGTATTGTTTTAAGAATTTGATATAGTTGAAAAAGTAGTGAGAAAAGTTTGAAAGATTTATTTGTAAAACACTTCGTAAAGTGATTGGGTTTAGAGCATCATCACATGTTCGGAAATGTTGGAGGTGAAGTTCAGTAGAGTCTCGAGGTCTGTTGGTGTTCACCGACATTTCGACAACCTTATCAACACCACCACCAACAGTCCTTCTAGGAACTCCGCTGACCTGCACGATCTACATCTACAAATATAAACTTCTTTGGCAACTGTTACTGTTGGAGCATTCGGGCATTTTCGAAAAGGCGAAACGACGATTTCGGGGAATGGATAGTGGGGAGTACCGGGAGTATATATGATCAAATACACTTACAACGCCAGCGTGTTGTTCCGTCTTGAGACTATTTCTGGGGAAGGCAAAATCGAGGAACACTTTTTGCAATTGTTCTTTCGTCACCAAAGTATGCCATAATCGTTTTGCAGGAATCGCTGTCGAGCTCGTCGACCTAAAGCAAGAATCGAATCGTGGCAAAAAGGGAGGAAGATGGACAAAGATGGACAAGTTCGGAGAAGGGGGTATTTTATTGACCAGTCGAACCACGCAATTTCACATTTCTCCCAAACTTTCCCGCGTGTTGACATAACGCTACAGAAACTCGGAAAACGTTTTCTATTTCATAAATGTAAGATCTCATAGAACTCAATGACTTTGCGGAGAGCGAAAGATTTTCGCTTCATTTTTCATAAACCGTTAAACATGCATCACACGCAACTACAGAATTTCGGCTAAGTCAGGCAATAAAGCTAATAATCTCAAATTTTCATACCAAGATCAAACTTGTGCAGGCGGTTTACCACACTGTTCACGGCACTTGTTTTCCGACCGCGAAAAGGGGAAACATGCAAAACCATTACCCATTCACGTGAAGACAACGTGACCGCAACAATGATTTAGAACCCAATCCCCCAGACGTCTAACTAACGTGTAGGACGCCATCTTGAAAGGTGGCAAATGTAAAACGCAAAATGAAAAACAAGCTAAAAGAAAGTTTTAAAACCAATCTTATCAAACATTTTAAAAACTAAACCTCGACTACTAACTTTGCAGCTGTACATCAATTCAGGAAAAGCAGCGATTAGTCGTAAATATCGTCAGTTTTGCTATCTTTCAAGATGGCGGCTTGCCTCGCTCGTAGCTATAGAATTTTGACGGCGTCAGATATCTAGGAGATTGGATTCTAGGTCACTGGACCGCAAGATTACCTGAATGGTGTATTGTTGGGATCGATGAGAGCTTTGTATTTTATCAACGTGGGTCCACCGCGAGGAAAGTCATCTTTATCGACACAATGTAAGGGAATGTAGTCATCCGCTGGACGATCACATTTCTTCAACTTGTCATAGAAAACTTGTTTCCAGTGATCCAACATTTTCACAGCCGAATGCAGGAGAGGCGAGACCATTGGCAAGTCTGAAAATGAAAAATTTTACTCAATCCCCGGAGCTTTGCAATAACATCCCGGGGGGGCGCATGCCCGGGGTGCCATCAAATTTGCCGTGAGCGCTATTCCACAACGTGGCAACGCGTTTCATAGCCAACCTGTAACCTCCAGACCAACATCTGCAAGGAAACGATGCAAATCGAGACAGATTGAAGCACTGATGGCGTAGTTCATTAGGGTCCAACTGAAGGAGTTAAGATCAAGATGATCACGTGGTTTTTCCCTTTTCTTCTTCACTCCGGAGGCGACTATTCCATCCTCCTCTTCATCCTCGGAATCCGAAGACGCCATGTCGCTATCGTAATGAGACAATGTGGTCGTTCCCTCGTTTGGCTAAAAGATAGAATATCGTGAAAAGCTGTTTACCGCCGGTGAACATGAAAAACAAGCTTCGAAAATTGAGCAGGAGTAGATACGCAAGCAGTAAAAAAGAACCGCACCAAAGCATGAAAATAGCTGAACAAAGTAGCAATAGGACAAACTGCCGAAACATAAAATATAAGTTGCACAACATACAAATAACAATGTACTCAATAACTAGTTGTTCTTCTTCTTGCGTTAATTACAGCTTTGCACCAGTTTGCTCGCCGTCGATGAAGTTAAAAAATCTTCCGCGCGGATGACAAACATAACTATCCGATATCATTAGCCCGAAGAGTTCTTTTTGACTACATATGTACCATGCCCTCCTCTCACTAGCCCGAAGAGTTCTTTTTGACTACATATGTACCATGCCCTCCTCTCACTAGCCTGAAGAGTTCTTTTTGACTACATATGTACCATGTCCTCTTCTCACTAGCCTGAAGAGTTCTTTTTGACTACATATGTACCATGTCCTCCTCTCACTAGCCTAAAGAGTTCTTTTTGACTACATATGTACCATGTCCTCCTCTCACTAGCCCGAAGAGTTCTTTTGACTACATATGTACCATGCCCTCCTCTCACTAGCCCGAAGAGTTCTTTTTGACTACATATGAACCATGTCCTCCTCTCACTAGCCTGAAGAGTTCTTTTTGACTACATATGTACCATGCCCTCCTCTCACTAGCCTGAAGAGTTCTTTTTGACTACATATGTACCATGTCCTCCTCTCACTAGCCTGAAGAGTTCTTTTTGACTACATATGTACCATGCCCTCCTCTCACTAGCCTGAAGAGTTCTTTTTGACTACATATGTATCATGTCCTCCTCTCACTAGCCTGAAGAGTTCTTTTTGACTACATATGTATCATATCCTCCTCTCACTAGCCCGAAGAGTTCTTATTGACTACATATGTACCATGTCCTCCTCTCACTAGCCCAAAGAGTTCTTTTTGACTACATATGTGCCCTCTCTCACTAGCCCGAAGAGTTCTTTTGACTTCATATGTACCATGCCCTCCTCTCACTAGCCCGAAGAGTTCTTTTGACTACATATGTACCATGCCCTCCTCTCACTAGCCTGAAGAGTTCTTTTTGACTACATATGTACCATGCCCTCCTCTCACTAGCCCGAAGAGTTCTTTTGACTACATATGTACCATGTCCTCCTCTCACTAGCCTGAAGAGTTCTTTTGACTACATATGTACCATGTCCTCCTCTCACTAGCTCGAAGAGTTTTTTGACTACATATGTACCATGTCCTCCTCTCACTAGCCCGAAGAGTTCTTTTTGACTACATATGTACCATGCCCTCCTCTCACTAGCCCGAAGAGTTCTTTTTGACTACATATGTACCATGTCCTCCTCTCACTAGCCTGAAGAGTTCTTTTGACTACATATGTACCATGTCCTCCTCTCACTAGCTCGAAGAGTTCTTTTTGACTACATATGTACCATGTCGTCCTCTCACTAGCCGAAGAGTTCTTTTGACTACATATGTACCATGTCCTCCTCTCACTAGCCTGAAGAGTTCTTTTTGACTACATATGTACCATGTCCTCCTCTCACTAGCTCGAAGAGTTCTTTTTGACTACATATGTACCATGTCCTCCTCTCACTAGCCCGAAGAGTTCTTTTGACTACATATGTACCATGTCCTCCTCTCACTAGCCCGAAGAGTTCTATTTGACTACATATGAACCATGTCCTCCTCTCACTAGCCTGAAGAGTTCTTTTTGACTACATATGTACCATGTCCTCCTCTCACTAGCTCGAAGAGTTCTTTTTGACTACATATGTACCATGTCCTCCTCTCACTAGCCTGAAGAGTTCTTTTTGACTACATATGTACCATACCCTCCTCCCCTAAATACAGTACAAACATTATACCTTTCTTTGGAAATAATCCATTAGCGACATTTGAGGAGGTAAAAACTCCTCGTCTTCTACTTTCTTCTCCGTCTTATTTGTCACATTTTTCGGGGGAAGTAATTTATAATTCCACTGTCTTCGTTTCGCAGCCCAATCCACACCTTGTGACTGAGAAATCGGCAATGACTGACGCCTGCTGTCTTCATCTGCACTGTTCAGCGGTGCACTTTGCTTGATCACTTTGCATCCGCCACCAAAAACGATTCCCCACATGTCAACGGTAAGACTGTTCGAAATGATGCAGTACAACTGTTTTGGATCGCTCTCGTTCCAGGCCGTCGCAAGAAGGCTCAGGAAGGTCGCTACACATATTTCCGAGAGGAGAACCTGAAGTGTACAAAGCGAGTATCTATATACATCGTACATTGTATAAGAAACAACACAATAACATGATAATTTTGAGCTAACATAAACGTATAACAGAAAAAGTACTCCAAATTGCATCGTCTTGTTTATTCAAGTTATTATGACAAAGGTCACACTGCTTGTGACGGTATGAACTGATATAGACTAATAACAACTGAATTCCAACATTATCCTAGTGTGCATCCTGTTGTGTACTCATGTATCTCGCATACCTACCTTCAACTTAGTGGCATTATCTTTTGCCTCCGTAATGAGCAATGACCGCAGTAGGCGAACACCTGGCCATTTGTTGGGAGAGGAGGTTGGTGTTCTGACTTTATTGGTTGAAAAAAGATCGTTCGCACGAAAGTTTTCCGGGTTGTGAATACCTTGAAGGAAAACATCAACGATAAAAAAAAGGAATAATCAACGAATCATACAGTAGCTACTAAACTGATGGCTTGAGGTTAAATCTTTAAGAACTGGGAAAAGCTAACTTTTATAAAGAACGCACAGGCATTGAAATTCTCCTTTAACGGTGTTACTACACTGCTACAGCTTTTGGAGAGAAAAAATAGCCACTCTGTTAATTTTAGGAATACGCAAGAACAGTGACCTTTCCGAATACCTTTAATTCTAACCCTTTTTACCAAATGAGACGGGCTGGCAGCAGTAATTGCCCAATAGATGCACTTTACTCATCCCCACTCCGCCCGTTTCTTCATGAAATGACAACACATGGATGAGTTGATGGCAGCAGTAATAACCTTATTGGTAAACTTGCAAGTTCATCCTTTCCTTATCAAACGACAACACAAGGAGTTGCTGGTAGTAGTAGTACCTTTATTGGTAAACTTCCATACTCCACCCCTCCCCCCCCTATCAAATGACAAATAAAGGAGGAGTTGCTGGCAGCAGTAGGGTTCTTAGTGGTAAACTTCCAAGTTCATCTTCCCAAAATCAAAGGATGACATAAGGAGAAGTAACTTGAAGAAATAGTCCCTTAGGTAAACTTCAAAGTTCGACCCCTCCCCCCTCTACAACACAAGAATTAGTGAGAACACTTTCGGTGAATTGATTTGACTCACTCACTTGACATACTTTGTTCAACTTCACAGTTTCCACACATCAGACTCTGAAACACACATGCCGAGAGCGTGGCAGTCACTCTTCGCAACACGGACATCATCTCCAGCGGCTGAGTCGGGTTGGGGGGGCCTGGTAACTTGGTGAGATACTTCAGTATGTCTTGCGTCATGGCCGAGAGATAGGTGAATGGACTGGCGCCGAGCGAAAAGGTCGATACCATAGTTGCAAGAATGAGAGGAGGAATTGATGAGCCGGCGGACGTAAGGTACAGCGGCGACATGAGGTGACGTTGCTGCTCCATTTCGTGGATGAGTATCAAGAGTTCCAGCTTCATTGCTGGAAAATAGCAAAAATTGATAGTTTGATTTGTTAAAAAAAGACATTACAACAAAGGTTGAATCACTTCTAGCTTTACAAAGAAGCATGAACTCACTCGCAACATCTCCACCTGAGGCGCCATGTAAGGTACAGTAGTTCAGAAGGATGTTCAACAACGGTTGGTTCTGTTTTAGCCATTCGATATGGCGGGCAGAGGTCTCGACCTTTTTCGCAAAGTTGTTCTTGTCGTTCGCTGAATCGCTGACGAGATCACCGAATGAATCTTCAGATAAAGAGAAAAACATTTAAGATTTTATAGGAAGGGTGTTCTAACATAAAAGTAGAGTCTTTCGGCAGACTACATCAGTGGTATTTGTAAAGTACGTTATTTCAGTTTCTCGATCAATGCAACAATGATTTCGTGATAAAACGAAGCCCCTAAATACTTCAGTCTAGTGTTTTTACCAAGCAATTTTCATTTTCAACCGATTCCTTATACATTTGAACTTAGTATATGAGTGAAGAGGGATCTCCTTTTATTGAAACGTGAGCCATAACAAAACTATGACTTCGATTGATTGTCTTAAACAGGAGTAATCTGGTGTTGAAATTCAAAACCTTATGTACTATTGGGTACAATTATGTACTATTATGTACTATTGTTTACTATTGTGTACTATTATGTACTATTGAAACAGTTTCCACAGGCGTAAATCAAACTTTAATTGAGGAGGACCATCTTTATACGTACTGCCACACACGGCTAATGTAGTTTGAAAGCGATTTCCTTTCCTAAAGAAATCAGCCCGGTATAGTAAAATATACGAATATGCCTCCCTCACCCCTCCCCCGCCCAATTAACGTTAGATTGACGCCAGTGCAGCTTTCCCTGTCTAATTGAGAAACAATGAAGAACTGACCTCTGTCCGTTGTAGGTGAGGTGACAATCAGTGACATCAACGATTCGAAAGACGCGTAATCTTGTTCAATGTCACAAATTTTATGTATGAGATCGACCTCCTTCTTCAACCAACTCTGAAACGTGGACCTCAAGTCTTTATTGTTTATCTCGCAGTGATGAGGTAGGCTACATAGCTCGTCCACAACTAATTTCAAACACGCGCGGAACTTCAACCTCTGCGTGATAGCTGCGTGTTTCTTCGCGTGTAACGTGCCACCTTTTGCACGTGCCTCCGGGAAGTCCTCACCATTAAGTTCATTACTGACTTTATTATCATTATTTTGTTCACTTGAAGTATTGTCATCACCTGTTCCTGATAAAGGTAGAGACCGGTCGGTATCAGTCTCGTCATAGCCATTCAAAACCCCCGAAATCGGTTTCGACCAATCAAAGCTTATTTTATCAGGGCCAGAAGCAGGCTGTGACCAATCAACATCTGAGCTTTTTTCCCCAATTGTCATAAGTGTCCCGGAAACGGGCTGGGACCAATCAAAATCGGATGCTTTATTTTCCTTGCTAGCAAGTTTGTGAGAAACGGGCTGCGACCAATCAAAATCGGCATTGCTCTGCCTATTTTCATGTGGTTGCCCAGATAAAGACTGGGACCGATCATGAGCCGAATTGCTAGACGTAAGTGGCTTTCCCCAGTCCACATTTAATGTACCCGTGTTGATCATGGTCTCGTTCCTATCGGTAGAACGCTCCTCAAATTCACTGGAAACAGAGGAACCATCGGTTTTCTAAGAAAATCCCAAACACACTGTTAAACGTGTTCAAGTGAATCCAACAAACACACCATTTGTACATGACAGAAACCTACCGAGACGGGGTCATTTTCTGGGGGAGGAAGATCCAACAACACTTGCAAGGACAGGTCAGGACAGCCCGTGTTGTAATGATGCTGAGCGGTCATGTAATACAGTTGTCTTTCGAAAGCTGTCAGCGGTGACGTCAACATGACCACTTCGCTAACGCTCTGCTGACGGGTGACCTTGAAAGCCTTTAAATTAAAAGACGATGAACAATAACTGAACTTCATGTAACACGGAACATGCAACAGTTGATGAACAATAACTGAACTTCATGTAACACGGAACATGCAACAGTTGATGAGCAATAACTGAACTTCATGTAACACGGAACATGCAACAGTTGACGAACAATAACTGAACTTCATGTAACACGGAACATGCAACAGTTGATGAGCAATAACTGAACTTCATGTAACACGGAACATGCAACAGTTGATGAACAATAACTGAACTTCATGTAACACGGAACATGCAACAGTTGATGAGCAATAACTGAACTTCATGTAACACGGAACATGCAACAGTTGACGAACAATAACTGAACTTCATGTAACACGGAACATGCAACAGTTGATGAGCAATAACTGAACTTCATGTAACACGGAGCATGCAACAGTTGATGAAAAATAACCATTACAAAAATCGACATGATTGTTTACTATTCTGTTGCTTATAGGCATTGCGAAAAACAAAAATGTCTTTCCACCTGATCAGCAATTTTAAACGATGTCGTTGAAGGTCGTCGGGTTTTTTGTTAAATCGCAGAGACTGTACTCGGTTTTTGCGCAACGAAGAGAAAATAAACAACAAAAGGTCCGAATAACGAATAATTACTGGTGATTTGCTACAAAATTGCCGCAGATTCCATAAAACTAAACATTTTCGGAACACTTTAAAGGCAAGGGAAAAAAACGAACAGAAACGTTGATGATACAAATAATGAAAGGTAATCCTACTGATTATCTTCCAAAACTCCCCTCCATCCATTCAAACCAAATGTACAAATTACCAAAAAAACGATAACGTACTCTACATGTTGATAAAGCAAAAACAGACGCTTTAAAACTAAGCTTTTCTTACAGAGAAGCTGAAGCTTTGAACAATATCGAAGAAAACAGAAAATATCAAATGCATGCATAAAGTAATCGTAGTCTTCATGCATTCAAACCTCCTGTACGCGGACTGGGATATAAATAAATAAGTCATGAAGTCGGATTGACTTACGTTTCTTTGCTTTCGGCGCGTGTTAGACTTCGTGTTCTTCTCGAACTGCGTTCGGCGTAGAACGGGATGCGTTCGGAGATACATGTAGAAGTTGAAGATATCCGGACTTCCTGACGCAGCATATTCGTTGTACTCGTCATCCGCCTCGCAGATGTCGGAGTCAAGAAGCAGGGTTCGCAAAGCTTCGTGGTAACTTTTTGTCAGCCAGTGCGCTATACTTCGCAAGAACGGATCTAAAAAATGAACAATTTAACATTCGGCCCATCAATTCCAGATATACTTTATCGGAAATCAAAGGCGAGTGAGAAGTGAGCAAGGACTTCGGTGGAAGTTCACAAGTATGGCGCTGTTTAGGGTCTGTCATACAAAATAAGGTACAACCGCATTAATACAAACCGTGTTTATGACCATAGGTCAGTTCATATACTTAATAAACTAGAGGTACGAAATTTGTGCGTCCAAAGAAATAATCAGTAATGTACTACAATCATATCATGTAAAAAAACAGTCTACTTCTTGTCTATCTTACGGATCTTTTTATTGAAACTAAGGCAGTGCGTGAACATCAAACGAAAAACTTTATCACCACCGAAGCCTGGAACAAACTATGGTAAAAAAAACTGTTTCGTATAGAGGTGCAGTGGCTCTGAATACTTCGACCTCTTTAAACTAAATTTCTAAATACTTTAGGTGTTTTGCATAAAATTTAAAAACGGACAGTATGTATTTAGTTCGATATAACTAGATTTTTAGTGTACGCACAGAATTATTCTGAGATTTGTTTTTTTTTATTCTTCATTTTCTTTTATTCTGTACATAGTCAGTCTATTGGAAGATCAATATTTCAATTTTTTTTAACAATTGCAACTTCAGTGAAATAGTACCTTGGGTAAATAAAGTTATTATTATTGTTGTATTTTGACTAAACACTCCCCAACCTTACCATCACCACCCACCCCACCCCACGCTATTTACATAAATAATAAATCGCATCGGTCTTTTTTGTCCTAACCATTGAGCTGTATATAACTGGAAGGCTTCTTCCCGCCAAAATTTGAAGCCAGCAATTCAACTAGTTCCAATCTCTTCACGCACGGCCGAAAAAATTCACTTATGACAGTAAAGAAGTAAGGTCAAATTCGTAACTTTACCCTCAAGACACGCGTATTTTGCAAGTACAAGCGTGTTTATCTACATGTAGCCGCCCAGTTATACATTTAGTTCAATGGTTCTAACCCATGAACCGTTTATACCCTTTACCTTTTTCCGCCTTACAGCCCGCTTGGCCCAAGACGTATTCTTTGAGAACTCTTTTATAGGTAGGCAGTTCGGCATCCGCATCGTATAGCCTAGCAACAACCAATGCAAGTTGAATATCTTTTAGGTGACTGATACACAGCCTCACAGCATCCCAGAGAGCGTCGGCTAAAAGGAAAAACGCCACGGCGTGCTCAAAACGCTGTTTGCTGAGAAGAGAATAAGCGTTTTTCAACGCCGCCTTTCGCCATCTATCCTCCGAGAAATTGTTACCGAAGAAAGTCGCCATCCTCGAGTTTCCCTGAGTCCTGGAACGAGAGAGAGAGGTGGAAAAGTGGGTTACTTGCTTGTCCGTGCCTTGGTATTTTCCTTATGTTAAGAAAATGAGTCGAAGCGCATTGGCCATATTGTGCCTTGATTGCTCTTCTAACCGGCAAATATTGAAGAACGCTTTGCGCTCGTTTGTTTACTTTCAATTTTTCATATCCTCACGTCGCTAACTTTTTTGTCTAAGTCACAATTTTTCAATTTCGGAATTTTTTCAATGAAACTGCCATTTTGCCAAACTGGCGTGTAATGTATTTTTTGACGAAGTCGATTGCCCAATCAAAACGACTAAACATATGTTCAAATGTGATATGTTCACGAAAAAATGTTTCACTGATTTTTTATCATTTTTTTTTCTCGTTTTCTCAAAACTCACAAAAATGATTTCGGCATAAAAAATAGTAACGTGACGATATGGAAGTCTCGCCGTATTGGATGATTCGCAATTTACCCTTTTACAAATTAAACTATCAGACTAATTGAAGAATCGCATGTATTGACTATTATTATTTGGAAAATGAATAATTGAACAAGGATTGGAGCGATTACAAAGGACTAAATACTCTTGCCAGTTGATTTCGTGCTTCAAAAATGGCCGATCTCGCGCGCAATCCGTAATGGTTGGCACTCACTCTGTAAACATGACGTTTTTAATCAAAGATGTTTTAGAAGGAAGACGGACGGCACTTTTAACGTTCAGTAAAGCCAACGCTACGCTACAAAGCAGAACCGGCTACCGAGCTTTGAATAGACTTCTTCCTAAGAAAATTCGTAAGATTTTGAACCTGAACAAGCCTCGCAGGACAGTTTTCTTCTTCATCGCCATGTAGAAGAGCGAGCAATCCATCGGATCTTGATTTTCATTGAACTTCGTCTTAGCCACCTGAAAAGGGATCCGAAAAAAGGCGAGTGAACGTACCCATTATATTCAAACGGTCACGTATTCAGGTTACTAACTTCTCTGCCTAGGCCTTTTTTGGGAGTTTTGAGAAAACGAGAAAAGAATTAACAGAAATTTCAAAAAACTGTTAAACTTCTACTGAACATCTTACATATTGAACATTTATTGAGTCTTTTTTAAGTTCATTTTTAAATCTTACATTATTGTTGTCTTTTGACAACAAATTCAGAACACGCCGGTGGACGAAATAGTAGTTTTAGGCAAAAATCAAAAAATTGAAAAAGTATTTGACTTAAGAAAAAATGTTGGTATATCCAAATGCATTCAAAAAATCCAAACATATCCATCGAGAAAGGTTTATTCAACAGCGGAGTAAAACATCTCGATTTTCATGAAATTTGAGCACACTATTCGAAAGCAAGACTATCGGCGTTGTAATTATCAGCTGTCATTCAAATAACGTGCTGGAAAAGTCAATTAGATTGAAGCATGCGAGGAGTTTTTTTTCACAAAAAAATAGCTTCTTTGAAGAATAGATATTCAAAGGCGGTATGTAGCATAAAGCATTCTTACTTTTTCAACAAGTCGTTTTAAAGTCTCATTGCTTTTGATCCACCATCCAACGCCATACTGTCTCAGTTCGTTCCACGTTGGTTCGCCTCGAATCATCCCAGGAAGCATTGCGAGCAGTTCCTCTTGCGTGTCCGAATGAAAGGCCCAGATGAACTTGGACGAAGACAGCCCCTGATATGAAGGACATTTGAAGTGCTCGCGCAGCAAAACAATTACTTTTTTATTATATTTGTGATAAACAGAGCTTTCAAATCAACAGCATGATTTCTAAAACAGTTTGTACATGTCTCTTTCCATTCTCAAGATGTTGAAGTTTTTGTTTTGTTTAAAATTTCCCCATTTTTGTACGGCCAGTGACGGCATATTGCATAACGAGAATTTGAATTGACAGTGATATTGTTTAGGGATGGTTTTACGCTATTCACGATTGATAAATTATTTACAATCAAAAACATCTACAAAAAAATCACCTGGAGTTCGAGCTGCGCCCTGGGTACTAATGGAAGGGATCTCAGGAGACATGTGTGGTGCCTCATCGCCAAAAGGAATCGTAATCCGCATTCGTCCACAGCGTCACCTCCACTACCCTCCGTCACACCAACACTTCCAGTCGTAGCATATCCTCCACCTCCACCAGAGGGTCCCCCCATGAAGCCAGTGACTCCCTCTTTGGCTGAAAGCAAGAGATGACGTCAACAGATGTTCGCAATCTACTCAAAAACGATGACTGTATATATCACTTAAAAACTAGCTACGAATCATTCCGGAGAAACCTACATCTCAAACAAGACGCTTGCGGAGTGTTCAACCCGGCAAAATTTATTTTGTATCAGTTAACATGGTGGGATTCAAAAGGAGCTTGTTTCAGAATAAATTGAAACGTGCGATAAATATACTTTGAGCTAAATTCGACATGGATAATAAGATATGAATGCAATTGTTTAGTTATGGCCGACTACACGCAGCATGGGTAAAGATGTTGCTAGACCACTCTCAGGTAACGAATAAGAGAGATGGACTTTAGGGGAGAAGTGCGGAGGTGGAGGGGGGGTCCACTCGTGCCCAAAGGAGATGCAGGAGGGATACTAATCTCCATAAAAAAATACTAACATACCAAACAATTAAGCAAAAGCAATTGCGATGGGCGTTTAATGGAGCAAACTTCCAAAAATCTACCAATGATAGTAAAAAGGTAACAGAATTTAACAAAAAAACTCTGACCAGGTACGACAACTGGTTGTTCACGAAATCTAATCTGAAGTTAAAGCATGCCTCCAGCAAAAACCATTCGGGATCCATCTCTGACGTAGAACAATTTACTTTTGATAGAACTCACAAAAAAGAACACAATGTGAAAACGAAGAGCTTTTGCACGAGGAGACTAAGTCCTGCACGAACCTGCAAAATCTTAAGATTTGGCTGTAAATGGTCGATACGAATCGCACTAGTACATCAGAGCGTGACATTTACACCACCGTTTTGTGAGAACTTATCGCTTAAAATTATTCCTGAGCCGTAATTCCTGAACAGTTTTCATCCCCACCGATAAACAATCCTTTCGAGATCTGTTCGATTTCACTGTTCACTATTGATCACGATCCGACAAGTACACACAAATACAATAACATACCTAAGTCACACTTTTTCACAAACGTCAATCCCTGTTCAGTTTCAGAGTTGTCTTCCTCCAGATCATTTTTGGTCGTCGCTAGAGTATCGGCGAGGGCTTGCAGTTCTAGCTGCTCGATTCGTGTTAGGCCCGCCAGCTGTTTTCGACTCAAATGTTCGGAGAGCAGTCGGGCTTGGCCGACACCAAAATGCACAGGACTGAACGAAGTACTGCGGGAGTTCTGTAAAACCGGAGGGTTATCTATGATACCCGAATTATCAAAACTGCTCTTAAATGAAGTATTGAACAGTTCACTATAATCGGTTTCCTCAACACGATCACTCGATGAGTTGGAGTCTGCGTTTGCTTTATCTGTAAGACAAAAAATTGAACAAATGTGGATAAAATTCCATAAAATCATGATTGCAACCTGAGCCTGCACTCACCCATATTTGTGTTACCGCTATCATCTTTGTCAGCGGCCAGCAACTTGAAAATGGGCAGAGGTGGAATGCAATCAACATTATACTGATGGCGGCTAAAGTCACTTGCTCTAACCGAAGTTTCTCCCTGCCCACTGGAGTAGTAGGTCCCTAGATTCAATGCACCGATGACACTTCGTGTTCTTTTACGTGAAGTATCGTCGTTGCTGTACACCGCTGCCTGCGTTGCTTGCTCACCAGCAATACAGCGAACCTGAAAGAGTTGAGTACTGCGTGTTTAGTCGTCGAATTGCAAATAATCCGAAATAGATCTTATTAGGAGCCGGATGCACGAGGCCCGGATGATTCAAAAAGTTTCAAAAATCGCTTGATAAGGAAAAATCTACGATGTAAATTGTACAATCGATGACATGAAAAGATTGTTTCACGAGCACTTCTCATTACGTACGAAAAAGTCACTGTCAAATGGTTAAAGCTATCCGGACTTTGTGCAACCAACCCATGGGTACATGCATGGGGTCTTGAGAATGGTCTTAATTTGGCGAGTAGCCTTTCCACAAACTGTCCGGATGCCACCTTCACAGTCATGTTAGAGTATGATTTGAAAATATTAACGTTAATACTATAAATTGACTTTGAAGATGGCTTTCAGACAGAATGTAGATCTCAATCGCCGGTAATAGATGATCTAGAGAACTCCTTAGTTCGACGTGTTCGTGGTTTGAAACTACTCAAAATTACCAAATGATTTAATATGGCACGAGCTCTTCGCAGTTTTCCGAAATCCAGCAATTCGATCAAATACTTCGGATGGTATTGAGGCAGTGTCGGATTTCGTAGACGCACTTCGTTAAAGAGGCCTGGATTTCGAAAGTCGTCGGAACTGACGATCAACTTTGTGTCCCCGCTTATATTACCGTTCCACTGAGAGTAGACATGAACTTCGTTACCAATCCCCACAACTAGCAAACCGCGTCGGACAAATGAAATGAAAAGTTCTAAAATACAAATGGAGAAATGTAATCTTCTTTCTTCAATTTCTCATGTAAGATAGCGCACATATTTTTCATAATTCGCTATTGTCAACGTATTGCCTTCGATGATCTACAAAAGAAGTCTACAACTACAACATGATGCTACTCGGTGTTAAGCTTTTCATTGTTGTCCAAAGTTGTCTCGAATAAAGACGAAAATCGCATACAGTATATTTTCAAACTTACACTTTTGTTCAGTCTGATAACTCTCGTTGAGATTTTATGCCGTTACATAGCTTTTGTAACATAGTACGTTTCCTTCCATAAGAATATACTTGTTTTTCTGGTAATAAATGGCCTACACCACTATCACACACGTGCTAGGTGGCTTAAAATGCCCACATCGAGAAGTTTTTATTTTCTCAAATAAAAAATCTTCTAAAATAGTTATGGACTTTTCGGCCACAATATCGTTAGCATATGCATATAGGCACGTGTCACATGCATCATAGCTTTCTACACACAGTTCTCATTAGTCAAGCAAACAAACTTCAAAAGTTTGTACACACATTCTCATTGGTCAAGCAAACAAACTCAAAAGATTTATACACACAGTTCTCATTGGTCAAGAGAACAAACTTCAAAGGTTTATACACACAGTTCTCATTGGTCAAGCAAACAAACTTAAAAGGTTTCTCCACACAGCTCTCATTGGTGAAAAAACAAACTTCAAAGGTTTCTACACACAGTTCTCATTGGTCAAGCAAACAAACTTAAAAGGTTTCTACACACAGTTCTCATTGGTGAAAAAAACAAACTTCAAAGGTTTCTATACGCAGTTCTCATTGGTGAAGAAAACAAAATTCAAAGGTTTCTACACACATTCTCATTGGTCAAGCAAACAAACTTCAGAACGTTTATATACACAGTTTTCATTGGTCAAGAAAAAAAACTTCAAAAGGTTTATATACACAGTTTTCATTGGTCAAGAAAAAAAACTACTTCAAAGGTTTCCACACACAGTTTTTAGTGGTGAAAAAAACAAACTTTCAAAGGTTTATACACACGATTCTCATTGGTCAAGCAAACAAACTTCAACGATTTACACACACTTCTCATTGGTCAAGCAATCAAATTTCAAGTAGTATCAGTACTAACCGCAATCACTTGGAGTTGATGGGCTACCAATTTCAAACGTTGTAATTCTATTATAACGATGCTTTGGGGAACGTTTCTTTAAACTCGGTACTTCGTCTAAACTCTCGACAAGACTGTAGAGATGTATGAATCGTCCCACGCGAACGGCTAGCACGAAAAGGCCATTCTCGCAGGAGAACCACCTCACGCATGCGTGTTGTATGGTTTCTGCTGTTCGTTTGGCAACTGCATTTCGGATGTCAAATGCATCCTCCACGATCCATTCAGTGTTTCCATTTGATTCGCTTTCCCATATCACAACATCGTACTTTCCTTGAATAATTTCTGAATTTTCAGCTGGTTCTACATAGATTTCAAGTAAAATAAAGATTTCAAAGCTCAAACTGGAGAAAATCACAAAAAAGTAGCACCGAAACTGCACAGACAGAGAAAAAGACAGCTATGATAATATGTTTCACGGCTTTCAAGAGAATTCTTACTTGAAACAAACATGCCACGAACAATTTCACGTCACAGTCGAAAAGTTAGCGCAATTTCTCAACAGGAAAACAAAGGTTTTAAAGAAGAACGATGCAACAATTTAAATCGAGCGACAACTAAAAACGCCTTTATACCAAAACGTCGAGATTAAAAATCATACGTTGAACACTCATATTCATAAAAAAACTCCGCTTTACGCCCGGCAATCTTCTTGCCACTATATTGAACATCGCTTGTAAGGCAAAACCGACTAACTAAAACGATTAACTAAAAAACTAAAATAATAAAAGACGCCTATCAGGCGTTCACACGGGCTACTCGAGAACATCGTAAGGTATATATTCACGTATAATGACAGTAGCCAAATACCGCAATAAACGTCAAGGTAATGCAATGTCACATGTAGCAATACGTGATTACTAGCCGGGCAGCTCTCGCGCGTTAAACGATCGAAGAAAGATTTGATTGGATCGTCGAATTGACAGGAAAACCAAACCGAATTTTAAACACTTCGCTTCGGTAGCCCGATTAGCAAAACCAGCTGTCCACCTAAACTTGCCAAGCAAAAGTTGTCCCGAACGCTTTTCATTGTTATGACCTTCTCGCTTTCGAAAATAAAAAGCAAGTTAAGATATAAAAAATGGCGCAGCTCTACAACTAAACGTACCCACCTGGACGCGTCACGATTGCCACCCTCCCCGTGTTGGCACAATCTAGTGCCACGGGTACTCCATCGGTATTCCCTCGTTTATTTTGATCTCTCGCACTAGTGCCAGGACATTTCATTGAGCATTCACACCAAGAATATCGAGTGGAGGTGCCTTCAGAGGAATCCCGAGCAAGGCACGACCAGAATCGAATCTCACCGTCAGAGCAAGATGTTGATATCAAAAAGGGCAGGCAGCCTACACGATTTTCAGACACTGACGATAAAGTGTTGGCAGAAGGCGTTGCCATAGTAACGTAAACGCCAGCCGGGAGGTCAAGACAAGACGTAAGAACTTTACGTGATCGTATGCCACAATTTACATTCTCCTTGATGTCCGTGAATGAAAATGTAGGCAAGGGATCTTGCGGGGTAAATGACATCTCGCCTGAGGATCCATCATCTTCCTTATCAATGGTCGTAATCTTTATTCTCCACATGTGAACCATTGTACGGATTTCACCCTCGTGCCGAGATGTTCTTTGCAAATCACTGCTATTCAACTGTTTATTATCCAAAGCCACTAAATAAAAAGTATCTTCCAGCAGATCGTCTCTGGTTGACGTTATCCCATCGCTTGAACGGCATTTGCCAATCGCATCCTCGGTGAACACGTGAAAGAACAGCGGACTTTTCAAAACATTTCTCGAGCTTCTGAGTCGACAGAGTCGAAGGATGCTTCCGGGCCTAGGCCCAGACTGATCGCTTATAATGCAGTCTACTAAATGATTTATGGTGGACACAGATGGATAATCGATGCTAAACTCATCTCCTTCCTCGTCACTGTTAAAATTCGCCATTCGATCGGCTCGTCGATTCTGCTTTCCTGAAAGGAACTCGAGCAGAGCTCGTCCATCCAAAACGACCTTGTAGAACAACAAACCCGTCTCGTCGGGGGCAACAAAGCACGCACATGGAGCGACGGACTTGGCCGAGAGGGGCACAGAATAATCAAACGTGAGCAAAGGGCGAACGAACAATTTTGGTAACCAGGCGATTTTATCGAAAGCACACGGGCTAGTTGATGTGAGCTTTGCTAGCTCCATAATACCGCCAGATTGAGAAAGCTGAAAAACGCAATCACACTGCCACAGAATGAATTCGGTGAAAGTAAACCTTTTCTCGAGTTTTGTCAAGGGGACCGCACGTGGAGATCCCTTGGAATCTTCGTGCCCATCTTGATCGTTCAAGGTCGACGAGTCTTCGACTTTCGCCGTGAATGTTGAAACCGACAGCAGTATAGGTAACGAGGGATGCGGAAACAATCCCGTCAAAGGGAAGCGATGTCCCGACAGACGCGTGACATGAGAAAGAGAAATGAGTGTGGAGAACGCACTGTCGTCTGCGAAATCGATTTGCCACTGATTCATCGAACCATCTTTGTGGGTGGTTATCATGGAGACGGGTGGATGGGCGCCGGTTTCAACTAAAACTAACGACGTCTTCGAAGAAGTCTTATTCACGATTGATGTCTTTACGTAACGACCGTACAAATGCGTGTGCTCTGAGTTGCTCACGCTTTGAATGCTCAGCTTGTCAGGCAAACGATAGAGGATGACGTTCTGTAACAGCGAATGCGCATCGGCAGGTGGGAAAACGTCGGGAATACACGAGGAGAAGCTAATTTGCGCCTGTCGGAAATCGGCGTCGAGAGTGGTGTCGAGTGAGTCGACAAGAAACATGAGCAAGGAGCCATCTGCCGGGTTGATGGCCAGCAAGGAGTCTGGTGTGTTGCACCAGTCTCGCAGCAAACCATCAAATTGAGCGAAGAAGTTGTTTCCACCGACGCTCGATCGATCTTTCGGTAAATCTTTGGAGTTCGTTGAAAGTCCTTCGAAAGAAACTTCGCTGTCATTAACTAGGGACATGTAAATAAAAGAATATGGTGAAGTTTCAACACGGAGATGGATTGAAATGAGAGGAGAGGGTGGCATAAGGGGGGTGAGGACAAGATAAAACATACTCAAAAAATATCATCTTGTAAACTCAAAGTTCGACTTATGTCAGCAAGAGACGAGATTTAAAAGTAATATTTCGGCTGGGGTTGATAAATACTTTGAAATATAGTCAAAATGTCGCTTGTAAATCTTGTCCCTTGCTATTATAACTCTAGCCACAAAATGATATTTTTTTTGGAGTATATTTTAAAAATTAGTGATTAAATTGTCGGCTGGGAGTCACTACATAATACGGCACATTTCTTACGGACATAATACGGACATATAAAGGGCCAAATGGGTCACAGACAGCTATCGACTTTCTTCTTCCGGTTTATCGCTTGCCAGAGGTCGCCACAGCGAATCATCTGCCTTGATCTATTTCGACATCCATTTTAACAAGTAGTTGGTGACGATCAAGATGAATCGTCAGCAAATAATGATTCATCAAAGGTGACAAAGACTTAATTGAGACATTTCAAAAACTACGATTTGGAGACACAATTCTTGCCAATGCTCAAATGACAATGAAAGATGAGGCAAATCTTACCATCCCGTCCTACGTTCTCGTCTTTGGTCAAGTCCACGTACGGGCTGTGAGTGTATGTGTTACCAGTTTCTCCAGATATTGTGTTGTCCGCTTCCACATCGACAACGACGGTTGGCGATCCTAGGAGTAACTTGGCAACGGCAGTGATGTACATTTCCTTATTATTGACCCAATGAAGTACGAAAGAACTATGGTTCTCCGCCGAGGAGAAGAAAGAAACGGTCGACATGACAGGTATGTCCTTACTCGGGTCTATGCTTGCCGCAATGTGAAAATGGTATTTCGTTCTGATGTCGTACGAGTCGCCACCACTCGTGGCGTCCGCACTCGAATTCGGGATAAGACGCTGTCGCTCGGAGTGGCTCGGTTCCAAGGGAGACGAAATCGATCTTTCTTCGATAGTTTCGCACCACAAACGGCATATGTTGTCCGCACAAGACGTCAATAGGACGTTCGCCACGACATTTCTATTCAAGTGAAATGACTTGTTAGCCACACTGCCTGCAGTTCAAACCTGTGCTATACATATACTACAATGCTAAAATAATGAAATTCAAGCTCTTTTCGAGGACTTTCAGAGACACATTTGGAAAAAATTAAGGACGAGGAAGACCTCAAATTACACACAAAGCTCACAACACTTCCATTACGCAAGGTTCACTCGTCCGCAAGCCTATGAATCTGCATTAGGCCGAGGCCCTTACACCTTTAGCTACGACAATGATGCACTCCCTTGGGAAATCCGCACCCCTCCAGTCAAATGAGCGTTGATCCGCGCTCGAGAGATAACAAAGGAAAATGCGCTACGTCCCGTGTGTGACCCGCAAAAGTAGAAGTTTGTCATGTCCTTCCAACAACTTCTACACTCAGAGATCTTTGATAGGGAATGGTAAAGAAGGATATACGAAATACTTCACCCAATGATTCTACATTTCACATGAAATAAAACTCGTTGCGGGTTTTGCTCGCGAACGTTATCCGTCCAACATACCTTTGCATTAAATAGCTTGTCTTTCTCCAAGATAATCGAGTGACAGGTCTCGGATGTGGAATGTAGAGGAAATCGTAATACGCCATTCCAGCGTTGCTGCCTTCACTTTCTACAAAAGCAATGGCGAGAAAATGCAAGCGGCAAGTGTCGTTTTGCTACTCGGGAAGGGGTAAAAGCTTCAATCAGAGGTTATCTGTTTAATAATATGATTTTCCAATGTACACAAGTATTGGGTCGGTAGAAAAATCTTTAACTCGGGAAGGGGTAAAAGCTTCAATCAGAGGTTATCTGTTTAATAATATGATTTTCCAATTTACGCATGTATTGGGTCGGTAGGAATATCTTTAATTCTGGGGGGGGGTCATTTATATGTATGAACGATATAACTATAATCCGTAAAAAACAACGGACTTCAAAGGAGCATTATACGATATATCATGGAAATATGAATATGGGCCTCCCCCACCCCACCCCCCCCCCCACCCCCCACACACACACACAATTATAAACAATCCAACGGCGCTCTGACTTTCGATGAAAGAAGGAAGACTTTATCAGTTTTCAATGGGTTATCTGTAATCATAAGTACGTACCTTTTTCTACCTCGAACCAAATCTTCACAAGACAATCGTTCTAAGGAAAGAGACATTTGTGTGTCACAAAAAACCTCGATAACATTTGAAGAAATAGCTACATACATACATAACATACTAAATTAGCCGAAATTTTATCAATTTATAGAATATTTCCGATGTCTCAATTACTGTAACGCTATTACTAGTTTTGCATGTAACGATCCTTCGAGTACGTGTGTATTCGCTCCAGAACTTCAGAGTTAGGCCTGGTAGCAGATTACATGAGGCGTGCCGTATGAAACCGAAAAACGGAAAACTGCGTAACCGTGCCTGCGTCGAGCGTTGCAATAAAATTTCCCAGTGGAAACAAAAATAAAATGTGCAATATTTTGTTCTCGTCTCTTCGAGCATTTCTGGCAAGCACATTGACGGTAAATTTCTCGCTCAAATACATTTTCACAACTTCAAAAAGCTGTGATCGACTCCAGTGCAAAACCCCCGTTCTTAATTCCCCGTTTTTCCGTATGCAGTTGACCCATTTCAATCAATAATCAACACTCAGTAGCCATATTATTAAATTGCAAGTCACCCCCGAATACCAACAATATCTCATGCGGTAAACGCTTTTCCGTACTCTCCAAGACTCGTATACCTTTCCACATGTAGCAAAATACGATCCGTCCGAGGAGAACTGTATGCAAAACGCCGGGTGGGGTATTTCACATCGCCAAACGCTTTTCCACGTCACATTTTGCGCAGTACTTTGCTCGGACTCGACCCACATTTCAAGGACTTCACCCCCCGTCAGCAATCGTTGACCTGCATCAAATTACATTCTTTAATACTGACATAACATATTATAGCGGTGCGAACACTGCAGGGGGGGAGTGGTTTCACTAAACTGGCTCCAGAGCTCGCCTATGGTTGGACAACACTTAGCAAACAATCCTAATTGCACAGGAAAAGCATACGTAAGCACTTGAAAATCAAGTTTCGCTTTATGTATGAAAGTTACTACAAAATACTACCAGGATCCTAAATGTGATAAACGTTAGGAATAAACAAGATCTTAGATGAGATCCTTACTTAAGCAACTAAAATATGCATGTTGCATATTGTTTACTATAGGAATTCATTGAAGCACCATTCCTGGCTTATTTGAAGCTACAATGCTTGCGTTCCTGGTTTCCTAATGAAAACACTTTTATTTATCAAACTGATAACTGGCATCTCTATCCATAATTCTCCAATTGACACCTTAGCTACCATCTCTATCCATAATTCTCCAATTGACAACTTACCTACGTACTATCTCTATCCATAATTCTCCTATTGACACATTATCTACCATCTCTATCCATAATTCTCCTATCAACACCTTACCTACCATCTCTATCCATAATTCTCCAATCAACACCTTACCTACCATCTCTATCAATAATTCTACTATTAACACCTTACCTACCATCTCTATCCATAATTCTCCTATTGACACCTTACCTACCACCTCTATCAATTACCTACCATCTCACCTGTAACTATCCATTTGACACCTCCCATCTCATCATGTAATCATCCCATTTAAACCTACCATGTCTATCTATAATCATCCTATCATTGAAAGCTAGCCTACCATCACAATCTATAAGTATCCCAATTCATACATACTTACCATCTCTGTCCCATGACAAACAATGCTGAGTGTAGTTGGTGAAAAGTTCTGATGTCAAAAACCATTGAAAAGGCAAAGACTTGAAAAATAAATAGAGATAAATTGTCGCATTTAAACATGCACAAACACACATTATCCAAAAGGCAAGTGCAAAAAAATGGGAAAAATATAGCATGCAATCGTCTTTCGCATACTTCATTTTGTTGGTCGCAACTGGCTCTTGCTCCGAAAATTCTTGTCCAGTTTCCATAAGCAACTGCAATCTTAAAATAAATTGGAAAATCTTTTTCAGTTCTGACTCATATGAAGGCTTGGTTAATTGCTCCTAGTAAAGAAAATTGCGGATTCAATCCTCTACATGAAACATATGAACGATATTTTATTTCAAATTGCAACTAGTGATGACACGAGACAGTAGTATATAATGTGATATATATGTATGACCACAGCTGAAACCATCTTTATTTTATAATCAGATCACTCCTGATGAAAACATTACATGGAATATGTAAAGACTCTAGTTTTAACATTAGATTCTCAAGAAGACACCAGACAAGAGCGTTGATAAGGACTTAAGTTGCATTATCAGTCACTCATGATAAAAGCACAGGACTGGAATGTACAAAAACGACTGGAGTTTCAACATTTGAGCACTACTAACAAATGGACTATTTAAAACCAGTCTGAAAAGTTAGTACTGCATACCCAAGATATTAAGGCTGAAGACAGTATTGAGAAAACCAGACTCTTGTGCATGTAAATTTAAAATTTTGGATGCGCAATATACAGAACTTAAGACCAAGTTGGTGATAATGCTTAAGCCAACAGTATAAAAACATCTCTGACATCTTACTTTGCCATCAATCTGGGAACAAGATATCAGTCCGACATGATTGGTTGCTGCACACTGACTTATAACAATCTGAACACGTTGAAATCTACCATCCAAGATTACGACTTCACAGCCGGAGATATATACCTGCATTTGTGAAGAATAAGAAGAGTCAGCATTGGCACAACAGCCTAAAGGTCCCTTCTCCGTGAGAATAGAGTGCGAAGTGCTAATGCATTTTACTTATCATTAAAAGCGTCTTGAAGCATATACTTATTTTCATTATCATTACACAACCCCAACAATCAGATCATGTGACGTCACTGGTGAAAGTTTATTGATTTTGAACGCACTTTATCAGTTCTTATAACAAGAATTTGAGCGTTTTGTCTATTCGTATGATTCGCAAAAGCTAGAAAATTCAAAATTTAATGATGTAGGAGCTACTCACTATAAAGGGATAGTCATCAACACAGCCGTATGCAACAGACGCCGAATTATCAATAGTGTTCGCAGCGCCGGTCAATATCTGGTGTAATTTCATGATTTTAACACATGCGAAGTGTCTCAAACTATTTCAGGTGGTCGAAAAGTTTCCTTTTGCTCCTTTTCGTTTTCGTTTTTCGAAGAAAAACATTTTCTCTGTAGTTACGTTTCTTTCTACAGCACAGTTCCAGGATCAGGTTTGGATACTTGATGGATACTTGGGGTCTTTATTGAATAGAGCGCTGATCACGCTGTCATCCTCATAGATCCTCGTATGTTGTCTAATGGCGGATAGCGAAGAAGAATTATCGAAAGACACGGAAACGATTCTGCCTAATGAGAGCTACCTCAATTGCGAGCGGAGTTTTCCTTCAAAGCGACCAATTTGCTGTCGCTGCAAGTACGTGTTTTCATTTCAAATCTCCCATTGGGCGCCGTGATTATCTCTTAAATCACAGCCATCAGGCCATGAAGGCCCATGCTGCAGCCATGCTTTCTTTATTGCTTTTCAGCTTTTGTCTAGCTCTAAACTAACTGAAAACTCATAGTTTTGAACCACGAAAACTGGCAAAATTACATCACGATAAACATGTAGAAGATGATATTTTATAGGATACAGTATTTGTCACAATAAAAAAGCTTGGCTTTTGCCGGGGGGAGGGTGTGAGTACAATTTGCAATCATGCAAACAAGGTCAATGCTAAAGATTGACAAGACCTTGATTTTCTTGAAGGCGACCAAAGAAGGTGTGCATTTGCTGTGCATTCCCCGAACAAAGATTGGATATTTCCACAACGATTTATGTCTTACAACATCCAGAGGAGGTGAGCCTCAATCAAGCAAACAATTTTTACAATATTTCCTTTGCCATTTAAATTTGCCAAGATGAAATCGTGTATTGTAGTTATGAGTAAAGAATGTTTACTGTTTTTGCATAAGCCGGCTCACAAACCAAGGAGAGAGAACTCGTGAGCAGATCATTGACAGATTTTTTAATTTTTCTATTGCAGGTTTCGATAATTCATTTGAAATTTCTCATCAGTTCATCTTATTGATTGAGTTCAGATTGGTTTGCACAGGCTAATGCAAACTCAGCTATAAACCAATCAGCACACTCAGATTGGTTTGCACAGGCTAATGCAAACTCAGCTATAAACCAATCAGCACACTCAGATTGGTTTGCATAGGCTAATGCAAACTCAGCTATAAACCAATCAGCACACATGTAGTATTGTTATTATTATACAGACATTGATGTTTTAAGATATTTTTCCCAATTATGTTGCATGCCTATAAAATCGTAGGGAAACATAGCTGCATCTATTGTTGTGGAGTGAATGCCACGTAAATTGAACATGCATTTGTTTTTTCCACTTTAGCGACAGAGAACTCTAACAACTGTACCCATTGTTGCAGCTTGCCTTCCCAGAGACAAATGCATTGTGTACAATGATGTGCGGTATTCCAGGGAGAAGTATGCAGTGCTTCATCATCTTTTAAAGCAACAACAAACATTCGTATTGTATCCAGATGCTTCTGGTATGTGCCATCTCTGGCTCATCTATCCATGTGTATATTCAAGGGACAGCCTGCATTCGTAGCCAGCCTGCATTCTTTTTAACAGCCTGCATTCTTTTTAACCGCCTCCATTTCAGGTCAGCGATTGCAAATTGATATTGAGCATTTTATTTTTACTATTTAGCAGAAGATTTGCGTGAGGTAGCAAAGCAGCTGGACAGAGATTTAAGATATAACCTCGTTGTTCCAGATGGCACTTGGCGGCAAGCTCGAAAGATATTCAAAAAAAATGAAATTTTGCAAAATGCCAGAAAGGTTAGTTCTGTTTCTTTAGTAACTTTTTGATTTGATTGTTGAATGTCATGATAGTCATCTTAGGAAGTTATGTTCAGGGGCCAAACATTTGTGTGGGGTGTTGGGAGGTCCCAGCTCCCTAAAAAAATTCACATGGAGTTGCTTTTGGTAGAAGTACTATAGTAGTTGGCAGGAAAGCGGAAAAAAACGATTTTTGACAACTGAGCAACAATATTACTGATAATTTGGATGAAGCGTAAACATGAGTTAAGAATGATCCATGAACCAGCATCGTGTGAATAATTCATGAGCTGGGTCATGACATCCATGAACCAGTATCGTGTGAATAATTCATGAGCTGGGTCATGGGATCCATGAACCATCATGGTGTGAATAATTCATGAGCTGCTAGGTCATGGGATCCATGAACCAGCATCGTGTGAATAATTCATGAGCTGAGTCATGGGATCCATGAACCGGCATTGTGAAAACAATTCACGATCTGGACTCTGAAGGCCTTGAAGCTCCATCTGTAGCTCCATCCACGTTGTAGGATCTGTAATAGAAGCCGGGATACAGAAATTACGATTTTCATCTTTCAATCTCTGTATTGGATTGATGTTAAAACAAATCAAAAATTCTTTGATCTGTAACTGAAGTCCGGCAGCTGATACCCAAGTTAAACGTTTTCTTCAAATACCCTTTTTAAGACGTCGCAAAACCCATCAAATAATTCCGCCATTCGTATACTATAGGTGCGGTTGAACGAGGACTTGAAAAGTGATTATGTCATTCGCACGCAGCCAACTCGAAAGAGCCTTTCCACTCTGGAGGCGATCGCGACAGCCTTGTCCATATTGGAAGGAAGGGAAGAAATAGCTAATGTATGGAGTGATTTTTTATTTTGAAAGCTCTTCAACTGCTACACTACGTAGCCAGAATAGTTTAGTGATGCACCGATATAGGATTTTACCGATATATCGATTAACCGATATTAAAATGCCGCTATTGTGCCGATACCGATATTTTATGCCATTTTACGAAACTCAAACATCATAAAGTATGCCATGTTGTGCTCACCAGTGACTGTTCATTTAATAAAAAATATAAAATTCAAAATGATTATTTACACTGCAGCCATATTTCCCAGCACAATTATCAATGACTATGATTCATTTCAAATGTATTTCCATTTCAATGAAATGTCTAAATATCGGTATTATGAGTAGGGAAAATACCGATATCGGTGCATCACTAGAATAGTTATTTAGAGGAGCGTTTTTAGGTTAAATACTTAGTACACTACAGCTTAAACGATTCTCGTTTTTACATCAGTTCATTAATGTTGATTAAGACATTAGTCTGAAGTATTAAAGTATTTTATTGAAGACTCGATGGAGGAGTGCATGAAGGGTAGCGCCTACATCTGATCACTTCTAATGGGCACTTGATTTTGGCATTGTTTTAGCATCAAATGTACGCACACAAACTTGTCATTAGTTTCTCTACAAAAAAGTGTCAAAATCAAACTTTTATCAATGTATGCCTTAGGAAAGTATTTTGTAGCGTTTCACTATGCCAAATGCCAATAACGAAGCATTTTTTTGGGCGTTAGATCTTAAGAAAGCCGCTGCAGTTGTTGTGCGATATTCAACTTCGACATGGTGCCGTACCTCATTCAAGTAAAGAGGAAAAACACGAAGAGGAATTGCGTAAGAAAGCGGCAACGAAGTGAAGATTACCTGTGGAGATTTACGACGTTGTTTTGCCAAAACCACTTTACTTGCGTGAAGGAACATAGCGATGAAAATGAAACGCAGACTGGTCGAAGCCTTTCGGGATCATCGTGAGTAAAAGTGCGCCAAAACGAGACCGAAGAACGACAAGAAGAAATCGATTCTCGTGCAAAGAGCAGAGACATTGGCACATCGCTGGGTTAAAGACTGACCGAAACAAATTTGTAATAATCGAACGAACAATGAACATTAAAATGGCTTGTTTTTTAGAAAACGTTCGTTGCTTGCAAATTTTTCAATGTTAATTTATGATCGTTTTACGTATATTATCCGGGGGTCTTCGTCTACTATTTATCTATTAACAAGTCTAGGTCTACACTATGACTGTTATGTCTATTTCTCCGAATAGTAGAACTCAGACTCAATGAACTAGTAAATGATAATGTATGCAGTATTTTAGCTCCTAACACTTGTTCCAACAAAACAGAGACAAATAGAATGAAAAGCTTGCTCCTTCAGGCTTCAGAGAGGTGCATCCGCAAGGGTGTACTTATACACTCTCCCCCCCTCCCCAATTATTTTGTCTTTTGAATTTTTGAAATTTGTCCCAGGATTCTGTCTTTCGCGGTAGATGGCTCTTTAGCCTCACCCCCGTGGTGAGGGATATGCTTCTTGGTCAATACTGTAGAATGGTCTTTCTCAAACAAATTGCGATAAGTTGACGTAAGCCCAATATTTTCTAAATTTTCCCACTGACCCTTGCACATGACGTCATTGACCTGCATTACCAAGTTATCATAAATTATGGTAATTTATTAGAAAGTTACCGTGTATTCTGCCTTAGACATACCCTTCACACAAAGACAAAAGGCACCATTAGCAATTTTAGCTCATACGATAAAAGGAACTTGAAAAACTGCTTCAAACCGTCTGCTCAACTGGGTTCCTTTTCGACAAGTTAAAACGCAGCGGTTAGTAGAAAGTTTTCTTCTGACTGATGTGCGACTGTAAATCATTTTTTTTGATAATGTCGTAATATAGTAGTTGTCCATTGTTGTGTAGTTGATTTGTTAGTGTTTTCCTAAACAATTGTCGGTGTTGAACTGCATGTTTAAGGACATTAATATTTAACTGTCCTTAAACATCACAAAGAAAGTATAAAAGTCAAAAAATTAAAGAAAACACTAAGCTTTAGGTTACAGTGTACTTTTCATTTCTGTTAAATAGCGTATAATTTAAAAACTGCACGGTAAAATTTTTTTGAACTTGGCCAGAATATAGATAATTATATTTTCTAAAATATATCGAAAGTCTGGAGAGTGCACAAAAAAATAAGTTGTAGAAAATCATCTACAAAGTCGGATCACACGAATACGCGTAATATAATCTTATATAATTAACTTCCTATATCCATGTAATTTTGCAAACAAAAGTTTAAAAAAATTGTAACGTGTAGTTTTTTATTTATAGGGCTTTGTTTGTTAAAGAACCGGAATTCTTAACTTAATAATTCAAGATTATATTACGCGCATTTGAGTCATCCAACTTCGTCGATGTTTTTCTATCATTTATATTTTTGTGCACTTTCCAAATTTTGGATATATTTTAGAAAATATAAAATGCTATAATATACTTGAGTCTAAAAAAATTCTACCGTGTAGTTTGTCGAATGAGGTGCTGTTTGTCGAATGTGGTGCCAACTTTACAGTTTATTACATTCTCAAAGAATATTTTTCCTTATATATTTTGTGCACTCTCCAGATTTTGGATATGTTATAGACAATAAGAATATCTACAATATGGCCAAGTTTAAAAAATTCTACCGTGTAGTTTTTTATTTATAGGCCTTTGTTTAGTAATGATATTGAATTCTCAACTTAATTTTATAAGATCATATTACGCGTATTCGTGTCACCTAACTTTGTCGATGATTTTCTACAACTTATTTTTTTGTGCATTCTCCAGATTTTGGATATGTTATAGAAAATAAAAATATCTACAATATGCAAAAGTTTAAAAAAGTTCTACTGCGTAGTTTTTTATTTTTAGGCCTTTGTTTGCAAAATTACATGGATATAGGAAGTTAATTATATAAGATTATGTTATGTGTATCCGACTTTGTAGATGATTTTCTACATTTATATTTTTGTGCACTCTCCAGATTTTGGATATATTTTAGACAATATAATTATCTATATTCTGGCCAAGTTTAAAAAAATTTTACACTGTAGTTTTTAAATTATATGCTAATTAACAGAAATGAAAAGTACACTGTAACCTAAAGCTTAGTGTTTTCTTCAATTTCTTGACTTTTATACTTTCTTTGTGATGTTTAAGGACAGTAAAATATTAATAAGTACTTAAGAATTGTTTTTTACTGTTGTATTTGCTAGAAAAAGTTTTTAAAGACGATTTTTCAATTTATCATTTTGAATGATAAATTTTATTTGAATGTGGTGATGAATGTTGTGATGATTGTTGTGTTGAATGTGGTGCCCAATAAGGTGCCAATTTTTTACTTGACCATCACAAAATTGGCAAAATTACATCATAATAAACATGTAGAAGATGAGATTTTATAGAAACATTTCTATTTGACCATCACAAAATCAGCTTGTAAGCCTGTTGCAAGCACAATAACTGAATGAAAGCTGTCTTTTTCTAGGTATGTCTTGGTCTAACATGTTTGGTGTACTACTATTTGCATCTTTTTTTGCTGGTATGTAATTTGTTCTCCAGATTTTTTGTAAAGGAATGTGAGAGAGTTGAGTTGTGGGAAATGCCTGAAGCAACAAAAAAATTCACATTGAAAATTCAGGTTTTGTACATAGTTGGAAGCGACTGTTTCATAGCTAGCCATACTCTTTCTGCTGCATTCTTCTACATATAAGGGTTGTAAATTTTGGTTTGCAGTAAAAATGCCTAGAACTATTTGATTGAAATACATTGAATTTTCTTGAGATAAATAATTTATTATTTATGCATTTTGGGCAGCAATGTTAAAATTTACCAGCCCATCCCAAGTTGAACACCTCCTGGTTTCTTTGCCCCTTTTGAAACTGCAAAATAACAATGGCCATTGGCAGACTTAATGTAGACAGCTATTGAAGTAGAGCAAGAAATTAAACTAGTTCTTTTCTAGAACGTCTTGAGCAAGTTAAAGTAAGGTCTGTGTTTCACTATAGAAATATAATGTGTTTACTGTGTAAACAAGCAATAGAGAGGACCTTTGAACTTGGCATTACCCTGCTATGCACCCAAGCTCTCTCAAAGGTCTCCCCAGTTCGCATATGGGCTGATGTGATCTCAGCCATTGACCAATCAGTGCACAGGTGGTATTGTTATTTTGTAATATCATTGAGTAATTTGAAGCTGTTTGTAATTTTTTCATAAATTTTGTCTACTATTATTCTCTGTGAAAAAGAAACTATTGAAGTCAGACAAAACTATCATTGCTTTAAATATTGTTTATGTTCACTTTACAAAACTTCAAAATGTATTACTATTTTATACTATTTTGTACTTCGGAAGGCAAAAGTTTTACTTTGATGTGTTACATTTTTTATCATACTGTAAAAGATGTCTCTCAATTCAAGAGCTATCCCCTTCCCATCTTTTAAGCTCATATTTCTTTTGTATGGGTCAATCCAATATTAAAGAAAGAATTCCCCCACATACTTCACATGCTTTTGAGCTGTTTCTTAAATTATAACGCTTTATTCAAAGTCCATTAACTTTGTAGTTTAATTCACAAATATCAAAATCAAAAAGCCATTGCAAAATGAATTTTTTGAATGTCATAAAAGCTATCTTGCTTGCTGGCAGCAATTCCTGTAGTGGCCTAGCCAACCCACAACTGTAGGTTATGCTATGTAAGTCTCGTAGCCTTATTATTCCTCTCCTCTGTTTGAATTTTACTGTTAGTGCAGCAAGCAAACACAGAAAAAGTTGCATAGCAGGACCAATTTCTCAGTGTTTGGCTATGCAAGGCATTGACTAACCATGGTCAAATTTTTGTTTTATGAGAAAAATTTAAGAACACATTTTTTTCTACTGTATTTATGATGCGGTCAGGGAACATTTTTGGTTTGCATGTCCAGTGTGATCTTATATGCAAACACATTAGATCGGATGTGCTCAAACATTCCCCCCTGTTCTGGACTTTTCAACCATATAAAGCAGGTGGAAGAGTCCAAGCTCATCAGACCAAATCTTGTAAAAAATTGCATGTTCAATACACATCCATTTATTTCTTCATTTAAATCTAATGAAGCTTTGATTTTTGTACGTACTTTTACATTGGAAGAAATCTTAAAACGGTAACTTTGTGTGTATTGATGTTGTTTATGTTTTATTCAGGTGTACTGTCTCTGAATTGCTTATGTGCAAACGGTGTATTTTGTTTCAATAACCCTACAACAGTGTGTTCTGGGGGAAGAATGTGCTTTGCTGCGGAAGTTAGGACAAGTAATGGTTCAATATTAGTCAGGAAAGGTATGAAATATTTCATTGTACAACAAAACTTAGCAGATGAAATGTTCAAGCTGGGATTTTTCTCACACAACTATTTTCCCAATGAAAATAAGGTACCCACTGAGCTGACCTAAAGGTGCATGCATGCCATCCTTGGATTTTTCTTTATTTTCTTTTTTTCTGTCATTTTTTGATTATTGCTGCCACGCATCAGCGTGGCAGCACACTAATCTTGACATGTCTCGGCCCATTCCTCTACTCGACCTATATAGAGGTAAAATCTCGATTTGTGTCGTTCTGCCTGTTAACATTTCCGGGGGGGATTTTTACGGAATGAGGGGGGAAGAACAATTACAATAAGGTAGAACCTTTCGGAACTCCTGTCAGTTTCTCTTTGATTTTAAATGTCTGGAATCCGAATAGATATGCGGCCTAAACAACGTTATACAGTAGATACCAAAATCAGTGATTACCGACATCAATTACACATATCTCGTTTGGCGAAAACACATGAAATCGATTCACCGTGCCGTATTTAGCCAGGTCGGTTCACATTTTTTATCTTGCGCTCTATGGTCAGACGGTGAGCAAAATATAGTGTAAGCATGTATTTATTTTCGTTAGAGCTTTTACTATTACTTGAAATATCGGTGTGGATTTAACAAAACGTCAAAATAATTTAAACGCATGGTGCGAGTTCAACCATGAAATATGAATTATGAATATGATGAAACGTTTGCTCTTTGCGATAACTATACATCATTTTATCGCAGTCGCACAGAATCATCGGAAAAAGGTTCTATCAAAATGTTATAAAGGAAATAATGGAAACAAAACTACAGTTTTATAATATTGTCCGTTTCTACGTTTGTAAACATGCGGACGATTGTTCGGTTGAGTAAACAACGTATCATACTTTTAATCAAAAGCATTTTAAAACTCAAAAGAATCAAAACAATCAAGACATTTAAAAGAATCAAAAAAATGTTTTCATTCAAAATGGCAAGGAATTTATCTTTTAATTTTATGATGAAAACGTATGACTGACGAGAATCGATTGAGCATTGAAGCACTCACCTCCATATAAGGTGAACTGCGCGTCGTTTGTGCATGCCGATTGGATAGAAATTGGAATGCTATGATTAAACGATCGTGACTAAAACACCACACGAGTACATACGAGTAACATACGAGTACATACGAGTGACATACGAGTACATACGAGTAACATACAAGTACTTACGAGTAACATACGAGTACATACGAGTGACATACGACTATTTTCTGGTCAACAAATGAGAAACAATCATTGAACTAAATATAACCATTGAGTTCTATAATAACTGGAGCGGCTATCTTTACTGGGGCGAGGTCGCCAAAAAAATGGCGGCCAACGGACGTATTTCCGCTGAAATGATCGCTTTGCAGAAAAATAATATTCTCGACCTCCCCCTGGTGTATATAGTAAATTATAAAATTTTTCAAAACCAACACGATATCGTTAGTTCCATATTCTGTGACGATATCTTTTTGGCATTTCTTTATAATGCCAACACTTCAATCGTTCAATTGTTGGATGTCGTAGTTTCCACAAAAGGAACATATCGCTTCTCACAGGTGAGATAGTTGTAGTTTTTAGTCCGTCAACGATTGAAAACTGAAAGCAATTATACATGCACTTTAAAAGCCATAAAAATATTAAAGATCGTATTTTTTAAGACTGACTTGAACGCCAAATATACTGATGTTTTCCTGTTTTTGTTTATAAAATTCTGCATACTTTTCTAAAGTCTGCATGAAGTCGTAAATTTACCCATCTATTTGCAAAATAGTTTCCCTAAAGCAAAAAAGACCCTGCACACATTTTGCTCTGTGAGTAAGTATCAAAACGAAATGATCAGCCCCAAGAGTACCCATGATTTGGAGCAGAGCTTGCTTTGTTCTATTTGCTGACAACATGCAGGGAAGACCAAGGAGTAAAGATGACTGGAAGATGTTATTGACCAGGCAGAGTCTTAAAAAATTATAATGCTGTAAAGATAATTGATTTATCGTCTGCCCTATCAGAGTTATTTAATTTGATCATGGTCAAATTCTAGGGATGGAGACAATGGATTCACTAAGGATGCCTTGAATGCTTTGAAGTTAAAGTTCATGAACCAAGAAAGATGGCAAGGTTGTGTGTGTTTTGATGCTTAATGAAATGTCAATTCACAAAGATATAAAATGGGAAAGCCATAAAGTCTATGTAAACATTTGTACTGAGATTGATGACTTGATGCAGATGTGAAGCATCAAACTGTATAAGCCATTGGGTTTTATATAACTTATGTTTAAATCAAGTCATATCTTTATCAAAACATTTTAGTTGAGTGTTGTATAAATGTTACTAATATCTAATGCACTACACTGAAGCATTAAAGATTCAGTGATGAAACTTTCAAAGTTACTGTACTGTATATTTCTTCATTATTACAGTTTTGTTTCAAGAAACAGTTTGAGCTTATTTACCTAGTAAAGTACAGAATGGAGATTTATCATATGCATTATTGCTACTTTTTAAAGAAAAGTTTTCACTTTTCAAAGCTTTCCTACAAATTTTTGCTTCTTATTTCTTTTCATGAGATTGATGATATATGGTTAATATAATCCAATAACTTTATAATTTCTAAAAGCTTTTAAGCTTCTAGAATAAAAGTACGCTATAGGTATTTGATTCATTTGGTTATATTGCCTTGCTATGACATATCTACTTGCACTTCATCATTCTTGTATGAACAAAACACCAGATGTGGATACTCAGAGAACAAAATGCACTACCAACTGCTTATGAAATTTATTATTTAGGTGAAAACTGTGTTAATCATTCAAATTGTGTACTTATTTGCAAATATAGGAAAAACAAAACAAAGTGAAAAAGAAGGGTAGAAGTATTAAAACTACAAATGAATTATAAACACCATTGGAAGCACAAGTGTTTTGATGATTATTTGCATTTTGCCCAATTCATGTATCAATACAACAAAATCAAAATGTGCTACAACTTTACAAGTATTTGATGCAGTTGCACTTCAGAACATCACAAAAAGGTTACTTAAAGTACTTTCTATACAATATTGTTTGTTTTGATTTACCAAACCTATGCAGACTTGAGTCTTTTTGAAATTTAATATGAAACTCAATTACAGAAAATCCGTAAATATCCAGAGATTTAATATTTACTTTTTTTTAAAGAAACAAGTAAAAATCCAACAATTGTGGCGAAAAAAGCCATTGCCCATTGCATCATGAAAAGAAGCAAAATAGCAATGATAACAAATAAGCTAACTTCTCTCTCGTGAACCGTGGAGATGAACTATGATATACTTTTTTGTATAGACTAAAGAGTTTAATCGATCAAACAAGTTCGACGTTGGTAAAAAAACGACGCACATCTGCATTCATACATGTGTAGCCGACATATAGCTCTTTCGTCGATAGTTATAAATGCATCCTCGTAGTAGCACATAACTGACAACCACAGTTGACTCGCTGTTATGAATTTGAGGTTTTTACCTTGATTTTCATCAAAAAATTGCTTGACGAATCCCAAATACACACATACATTTTCTTCTCTCTTTCCTCAGGAGGGAGTGGGAAATTGTGAAATTTTCGGAAAAGCGATCAATTTCGGTAAATCTCAGCGGCAACGGACGAAATCCGCCATTTTTTTGGCGTCAGCAGATATCTAAGGCCGCGCTTGAGATAGCCGCTCCAGTTATTATTGAACTCAATGAATATAACTGGAAGGCTACCTTCGCCCGGAAATTTGAAGCCTAAGTCGACAGTATCGTTCCCAGTCTTTCCACGCTTGTGATAAACACGACCAAAACAAAATATGTCAGTGTTTTAGTCATTTTGACAGCGGATTTTGCAAAAACTATGAAAAAAAACTGGAAGTAAATTGCAAAAAATGTAAATTTTCCAGGTCATTTATAGTAAGTTTGATTACGGTAATAGATCAATCAAGCAATCGTGCCTTTTTTGAAAAAAAAAACAAACTTAACAAGCCTCGACAAATGCGATTTTGACATCTTGCAAATTTGCATGGTATTGTTTTAAAAATTTCTTAAAAAACGTTAAACCAATAATGACATTAACATAACAGAACGTTAGCAAAATTATGTTTTAAAGTAATATTTACGAAGAAAAACAAGTATAGCTTCTTCTCACCCCAGTCCTTTTTTTAACGTTAGAGCGTATATTTCCTTGATTTTGCAAACAAAAGTTATTTTTCACTGCATAATTGTCGTCTTTAGGACAAAGATAAGTATTCAGGATTGTTCAGTAAACATGCCACTTACATGTGTGATAATTGGGTGCAGGAACAGGGCTATTTCTCACCACATAGGTGCAGAAACTGTTGCTTTTCACAGGTAAAATTCCAATACATAAGTTGAAAAAATGACATCAAACAAAACTGCAATTTGGAAAGATTAAACATGCTTCAACTACAAAAATGAAATTTTAATAAAATTCAGTTAAATACTAACATATATAAATTCTATATTTTGACAGTTTAGTCATATACAGTATTTATTTGTTTAGCTGGTCACAATTGCAATAAAATAATACTTTTCACAGTAAAAGTGTAAAGTAGATATAACTGGTATCATATTGTTAGTACAGGGCTTACAACTTTATTTAACTGGACAAGGATTTGTAGTGAAATTACTGGAAGTATAATATTTAAAATACTAGATCATGAATATTTATATGTATTACAGATTTCCCATGAAAAACAAGGCAGCCATAAAATTATGGGAGCATTTTGTTCAACAAGTAAACCATCTTGAAGTACCATGGACAGCAAAAAGTGCACATCGTATATGCAGTGACCATTTTCAACTAACTGACTACATTGTCCCCCCCTCACAAAATGGCAAATGCCGACTAAAAAAGTATGCCATACCATCCATGTCCAATAGCTTGCATGTTCAAAATGTTTCAACTTCTACAACCCACTCAAAGCACTGCTGAAT